ATCGCAAAACAAACATGGATATGTCCCTTCTCCGCGCAGCGGACGCGGCGGCGGTCTTGTTGCTGCCCCCTCCGCATCAGACAGGACCCCATCGTCCCAGCCCTCTGCTTCGTCCTACCAATCCCACCCTCACAGCCAAGACCCGTCGTTGGTCTTCTATGACCAGGTGGATAGTGAGGACGACTTTACCATGTTTAGCGAACCCGTGACGACGGCCAATGGGTGGACTGAGGGCTGCATGTGCCCCGAATTGATGCAAAGACGCCCTTCGGAGATGTTGGGTTATGCATACAGGCAATATTAGTTTGCATAAACTCAAGGTGGCTTTTGTTCGTCGGCAGTAAAACCCTGCCCTGGTTATATATATCTATGATTTTTCACTTAAAGCACTTTACGATGTCGTCTAAAGGCTTATACACTCTTTCATAAATGCACTAGTAGTAATACGCTCTTTTCTAAATCATGATGTTCCCCAAACATACTATGGGCCTCTTTCGGGGTCCTTCCGTGACTGTAAAGGACTTGCTTTCCTCGGCATAGAGGGGCATGAACGCGCCCACTATCCAAATCATGTTGCTTGAAATGAATTCCAAACACTATGAATCCTCACTAATGATCAACATATAAATGTCTATCTGCGTACAGGCCATGGAGTCCTGCATACACCTCTCACCAATTTACAGTGCTTGTCCTCCATCATGATGTTCGTACTACTTGGGAATGTTGTATGCATATTGTATTTGTATTGTACTGCCTCTAATCATTGATCTAATCATTGTTTTCAGACAGCAGTGTGAAGTATTGTCTCACTATGTCAAGCCTCGATCTCACTTTGTCATGTCTGATGCAGCCTCTGTACTCTGTACTACCACGTCAAGCCCCTACCATGCCGTGTCAAGCTTCAGTCAGGCTAGGTCAAGCACTATTCATACCACGACAAGTTCTCCCCAACATTTTCGCAGCCTCCGTACTAATGTAATCCTCCACACTTACCTATGCCGCGTCAAGGGCCTCAAGGCCCACTTGCATGCCGCTGGAGCCCCTCGGCCTAGTGTACCGCAGTGAAATGACTTTGGAACGCGTACGCGTACTGATGATGTGCCGCGCAGCATCACGGCTTGTAAATTCAAGCGGAAGTTGAGCACGCCTGCCTGCCGCGGTCATGACGCATCTGTGACTCGGCACTGACGATTACAAATATTTTGGTCCAGGAGTTTCCTTATTTGGTGTCTCGATCCTGGAAGCGATTTTTTATTTTGTATTCAACGGTAAAGGACGACGTCTCCGTCCGCTATTTGCCTGATCTCATATACCATCTCTGGGAAAGCTGGAACATAGATTCATGTGTACCTGGAAGCTATTCAGTTGGAATACTCATCAATCTACGTTATCTTCCAACTCGCACTCACCTGTCGTGCATTTCGCGATCTAGCACAGAATGTTCTTTATTCTCACCTGAGAAATTCGTGGCCTTCTCTCATCCAGACCTACCGAGCTCCATCATACACCTGAACTGTTCCGCCCATTGGACCTAACTCCCTGCATACTCTTCCTTCCTTGCGTGTGCCCAAAAACCAGCACAGCTCTTTCCAAAGCTACGATCTCTCGCATAGGATGATTATTCTCTCACCTGTATCCCAGTCCTCAAACTCCTCTTACCCACAGTCGAGATCCTCGTCCTCGACTCATTTCGCAAAGCCATCGTCCCTGCCCTCTCTACCTCCCTCAAAGCTATTGAGATAAGGGCGACCTCTTCACGACCAACAAAGATCTTGAGTGGCTCCTCAAATGCGCTACGGCAGTGTTCGTTACAGCTACTTCACGGTGGCGCAAACGTCACTGCCTTTCTCGATATATCTGCTTTGACTGACGGAGAAATCATATGTCATATATCAAGTTCCGAGTTCGGCTCCATCGTTGTCGTCTGCATCTCACAATACTTGCGTTCTGTCAAAGAATACAGGAGTGGTCGTAGAAAAGCCCGCCGCTCTGCTTTGAAACAAGAGTCCATTGTGGCTGCCTATGCTGTTCATTTGGATCGTGAGCAGGCGTGGCCCTGTGATGTTGTTCTTCGCTGTTTGGAGGATTATTACACAGGCTCCTAGTGGTCTGGACCTCCAACGTGCGCTGTTTGCTCCAAGCTTGCTGAAGTTGTTGACCTTTCAGATGATCCTGCGAGCTACAATTTGGACCTCCTGCGTATCTCTAATCCATTTATTATTTGACATTGCATTGTTGAGAGTATGTCGGCAAGCTTTTCATTCCACAACGACGCGATCGATGGTCTGGTGTTGGACAAGACTGGAGTCCAGTTTATTTTCAGGGGGATTCAACTTATATCTATCGAGGCGAGCCAAGGCAGCATCAGTGTCGAAAGGCGGAAGATTGGAACCTGAAACGAGCTTGTGTAGAAGATTCATGCGGTCAATTACAGTCCACACTTCAAGTAACGTGATATTTTACTGATGCGGCTTGAGATAGCCATATCAACGATCCACGGTTATGATGACTTTGCCAGAGGCATAGAGCTGTACGCAAAACAGTTGTATTGATATTATAATTCACCATAGCTCTCAGTTGTGCCAGACGACTCGACTCGAGCAGAGCAGAGCGTTAATTATGTAAGTTTTGGTCTGTTGCTTCCAGGATTTTGCTTATTCGGAACCTTTGGATTGCACAGGGATACTTTGTTAATTACTTGCTTCACTCAAAAATATAACGATAGCTAATACGCAATACTTGCACATTTACCCTCCCACTCCTGCCAATGCTTCACCACACCCTCCACGATAAAATGTGCCACATCCCTTCTTGAAACCGTCCAACTGCTCTCTAGATCCCCTTCTTTCACTCTGTACGCCTCGCTTCCTTCGCCTTTTACGTCCGCGCGACACACTCCGTCAGTTAACAGCGCGGGTCGGATGATGACGATACTCTTAAGTTCTCCAATATTTGGGACACGGCTTGTCCAACCAACACCGAGAATCTCATCACCTGCGCTATCTCTTGCATCCCACTCCCGCCCAGCGCTGTGAGCTATGACCTCCTCCATTCCGCGTTTGTCTTTGTGCGGTACGGATATGAAGTAGCGATAGAGTGGTTTGAGAGGGAGGGGAAGTGATTTGTGGGAGGCCTGCGTGAGGCCTGCAGATGAGACTGCTATTATCTTTGGGTGTGGTGATGGGAGAGTTTCGAGGACGTTAATGAGAGATTGGGTGATGAGGTTTGGTGGGGTCATGGTGAAGCCTTTTGTTAATGAGAACTGGGGTATTCCCCCTGATAATCAGGTATATGGATGAGTAAGATGTCGACTAGCTTGGAATGGGTTAGACATACCAACTGTGAAGATGAGAAAGTCGACTGGTCTGGTGTCGTCTACCTGAGCCTCGGACCATGCCCGGCGAATATCGTCCTTCACGAGTGCATCGCCTTGGATGAGGCGGGCTTTACCTTCCTTGATGTAGTTTTGGATTGTATCATCTTGGTCGAAGACTTGTGGTGATCGCAGGAGGAATGTAACAGTCGCGCCGAGAGCTGTTGGCGGGATGTCAGAACATGTGAGCGTCAGGAAAAAGGGGGTCATTTTACCAAGGAGCCGAACAGCAGAGTAGTAGCCTATATTTCGTGAACCTCCGATAACGAGGACTTTAGAATTTTCCATAAAGTTTGGTTGGTGCAGCGGATGAGGATGTTGAGTCGAGGATAATCGATAATGACTAGCCTAGTACTAGTACCCCCCTTTTAAGTATCTTCGTAGGGACTGCGCACTCGGGGGAACATTCTGGGCTGCGAGCCCCTCGGCCTAGTGTACCGCAGTGAAATGCCTTTGGAACGCGTACGCGTACTGGTGATGTACCGCGCAGCATCACGCCTTGTGAATTCAACCGGGGGCACTCGATTGCGGGCCTGCCTGCCGCGGTCATGACGCATCTACACCTGTGACTCCCACATAACGACAGTAATTATAGGCGATAACACATGGGTATCGCACCTATAAGACAAGGGGGTTACAGCGTCCCAGAGCCTCCTTCAATATTGTTTGAATAAAGAGTGACTTGTACTGTACAGCCAGGGTGTAGGTAGTATATACTAAGTACCGCCGGCATTTCGGCAATGACGTGACGTGGTCCCGGCGCCGTGCTAGTAATATCTGGCCCTTCGTGCTCGCTGTGTCGCACGATGAGCTCGCGTATCTCATGATGGTGTGGATGGATTGACAGCGCGTTTTCGACGAACAGTGCAAAACTAATGATTGTGATACGTAAATTAGTCATAAAGCTATCTACTCCTCATAAACCTCATGGTCAAGACGCAAGAAATCATCGGCGACGCGGAGGACGTCTTGCAGGCTCTTCGATGCTTCCTCTTCCACCTCCTCTGCCTGCTCCTCATCATCAAGGTCATCTGGGGTATCTGGGTCTACTGTAGATGGTCTATTAAAAGGTATGTGTTCGGCAAGCAGTCGCGATGGGACCTGCGCGTTCGGTGTGCTGCAGCTTTCCCCAAGACTTGTATTAGTACTTACACCTGGGACTATTGTCCCGCTGAAACCAGGAAGCTTCGATATCTCATGGAGCCGCCTCAGGTGGCGCGAATTGAATCGTCCTCGAGCGTTTCGATGTATGGCAATTTGATGGGCAATGGCTGGACTGGTCACCTTCAACTGATCCTCGCACGTCCGCAAATACTTGTCTTCATCTCGGATGTAAGTTACTAGACGCCGTACCTCCACATTCAAGCGCTGAATTTCCTCCCGCGCCCGACACATCTTGAAGTACAAGTCCATCACACTGCGAGCAGCAGCCGATGACCAAGGCCGTTGAGAGACGTCCGCACGTGTGTCGCGTAGGAGGTCAAAGTCGGCGAGAAACGCATACTCCACGACCTCTTCCCACTTCAGCGTTTGGCGGGGAGGGTGCATTGCTTCTGCGATGGTATTGTATGTGTTGAGGGCAGTTTTGATGGCGACAGAGCGTGTCTGTAATGCTTTGGCGATGTGTTTACGTAGTTTGTAGCCTATGGTAACATTAGAATCAGCAGTTGCAAGCAAGACAACACCTATACAACCTACCTGTACCTGCCCGGTTCATCTTTGATAGTTCAAATATACGTGCTACGACCAAACCTTCGAGTCGATCCAGTGCACGCTGGTACTTCCTCTGAGCAACGAGCCTCCCCACCCTCTGCCAATCTGCATCTGCAGGAGTCCAGCGCGTCACGATCTCGAGCTCACACTCGAGCGCTTGAATGAGCTTCAAATTCCTCTCGTGGTCCTCGACAGCATGACGCCGTGCGGTTTCGGCCTTGCGGGTATGTTGCATCTGGACGTCATACGATGTAACATCCTCGTGAGAATACACCTGGAAGGCTGCCATTGCAGCTTTGAGAGCCTCCCTGAGTGAATGAAGTGTTAGTGAACAGAATCCCGATATACCTTGGGAGCCACACTCACTCGCTTGCAGTTAAATTTACCAGCCTTTGCCAGTACTCCATCTGGAGGGTTTCATTTTCAGGCTCTCGCGTTAGACCTTGAAGGTAGACCTTTTCCTCTTCTATCCAGCACTCGAAAATACTCTCGTCCGTGAGTCCTAGGTCTTGCATGAGCCTCGGTAGAGTTGCATTGCCATCATTCAAGATGTCCAGTGCTTGCTTGTAGTTCCCATGCAAAAAATTCGCTAACACCATGATTATGTCAGCTAGCATTGGATCAAGGTATTAGCCATGCTTACAAAGATGAGCGTAGACCTCGAAGTCGTCAGTGTGCTTGAAATAAGAGTCGATGGCTTGTTGCCGATGGAACACGCTTGCATAGCGCAGCGCAGATGCCAGAGAATTTGATTTTGAGAATGTCCTTTCACAGGTTTCGAGATCCTCGAGGCCTAGACCCTTGATGTACGTTGTAAGCGAAAACAACTGGCACAAGCGCCTGTGGGCATGTCCGTGGAAGGCGCCAACCAGGCAGGTGTGTTGAAGTGAGCGTGCGAGTGGTCCAAGGGAGCTCTGGTCGAGTGTCGTTTTGAACTGACAACCAATATCATACCCACCGCCCAGATTTTTCCCAAATACGTCCATCAACTTCGACACGACAGCCAACGGGTACTTCGCGCTATTTAGACCCTTGTCAGTGCAATGATTGAGAACAAAAGATAGTACTTACAGCTCACCGCTTTGTACCATGTCTGCAATAAGTAGAGAAAACCCGTGGCGGCAGACAGCCACGAATACACCTGTTTCATCATATATCCCCCAAGCCTTCTTCGTCTTGGCGTCGTCCATGTTTTTCCATCGTCCGGCGCAAGCATTTTCGGCGGCTGTATCCTCCTCATCACCCGCAATAGCAGTTTGTGCCGAGTCCCGAGAATACTGGTCTACAAATGCGCGAGGTAAGTAACGATCACTTGTGAATTGTTGGCCCATAGGAACTTCAGATGAGGGAGCGACACAGTCATTGGCATCATGATCCAGAGATCTCCGAAGGACTCGCTTTAAGGAGTCGTTACCGTCCATAGCATACAGCAGCCTGAATGTTAGTTCCTCTTCATCCTTGAGTTCATACATACATGCAGGACACGCATGCTTAAGGTGCCAGTTGGGTGAGTTGCAGTTGAAGCGATTCGGCTACGAGGGCTGCCACGGAGCGTCGAATTTGAAGGAATAAGTCGAATGCGATGGAAAATTGACGGGATAGATGTCTATGAAATTCCACCTGCACATGATCAGCACAATAACTAGAGAATTTGAAACAGTTACCCCTTGCAAGTCGCACACAGTTTTCACAAAAGCCTGGATAGACAAGTGAGGACTCCTGAGATGCGCTACACGATATAAGTCAAGTGCTTCTGTGGTTATGCCTACAGTTGGTGATATAGGCGAGCACGGCATTACACCTTGACGCACCAGTGCAGAGCTGATGGTGGCGTCTGTTGGTAAGATTTGAAGGGTCGCTTTCTCAGCGTCTACAATGAGCATGCCGTTATTGATATCAAAAGTAAGCAAACGACAACAGATCACTCACAGAAGACGTCAATCACGCTGATTGACCATTCACCACAGTCCCGCGCCGAGTTCCTTTCCAATCTCTCAGAAAAACTCTTGAACTCCTCCTTGGATTTTGCGAGACTCCAGGCAAGGTAAGCGTCGGTCATCACAGGCATCTGCTCTGTAAATGCCTGGTTCCTGCGGAGGACGCGGTCACGACGAGTGCGGTTATCCACGCGTCGAACACGATTGTTTCTGCTCATAAAGGTATGTCGCACAGTATCAGCGGTCAACACACACTAACACTCACATTTTCCAGAAGTCTCCTAACACCTCTCTTGCAAGGTCAGTGAACTCGCCGCCAGCATGACTGATAGCGAGCGGTTCGGTCCCATTCCAGATATCGCCAAAGCTCATATCATCACAGTCATCCTGCCAGACCTCTATGGTGGTGTTATTCTCTCTCAGTGCTTCGAGAGCACAACGCTCGTCCAAGCCCATGGCTATACAACAGGTTTATATATATATATATAACATATTGGATTAATAAAAAATACCTTGTAGACGTGCTTGCCGCCGCTCGTTAGAAGTTGCTGCTTGCTGAACCAACCGTGTGTGTTTGAGCACTTTGGATACGCCATTGACTGGCAACCCATTCTTGTTCCTAGATGCCCCAATGTGCCGAATTGATCGCAGAGAGAGATTAGTGCGGACTCGCTGGCGTACACTACGCGCCATTCAGATGTATCTTACATTTGTACTAGTACCATAGATCAAGTCTTATCGATTTTCCACGTGACTGATACTCTGTAGCACTCCGACCAAGTCCTTGGTGAGATCGCTACTACGATGTTGACACCATCTAGCTGGGGTGATCATATCCAGGACTTGCGCAATTTGTTGCAAGGGATGTCACTATCAGGTGGGTGTTTTACTCGTTCAAAACCTAACATGTTCACACTCTTAATAGATTTATCATTCGACACCGTCACTTGGAGCCGTAAGACAACTGAAGAGTCCATCACACTGTCCAAATCATCGCTCCCGCAATCTACGCCTGCCAAAAAACCATCGCCCACTCTCCCTTCCACCTCAGCTCGCTTGCATCGCCCAAGTCACCCACCTTCTGCTGCTACATCATCCCACCCCCAGTCGCAAACTGTCACCCAGACACCGTGCCAAGTCACAGTTCCAATACCTAGTGAGATCCATCTCCCACGAGGCGGTGAGACACCTGAGAGGTTCTGGGTTATAATAGTCGGGCAGGAAGTTGGTGTATTTTACCGCTGGTAAGTGTCTGGGTAGTTGTGGGCTTGTGTTGGCTAAATTTTGAAGCTATCGTTAGGTCCGACGTTGCTGAATGAACGAATTTCGTTAGTGGTAACGTCCAGAAAAGATACCCGTCGTTTCAGGAAGCATTATCAGCATATATGGTCAAATATGACGAAGGTAGGGTTCGAGCAGTTCCACTGCCAGGTGGCGCCTTCTGGCCATCCCCTCCAGAGTCCTCGCCCAACCCTCCTTCACCCACACTCTCTGTAGACTCATCTGTGAGCTCAGACTCGTATGAGCTATGGTCGCAGGTTGAGGACTTGATGGAGACGATGAGCCAACTGTAATAATTGCTACATAGTTTTGATTGTGTGCCGTACATACAAAGAAATGTATCTTGCCTTACTCCTTGTCACTGCAACTGCAACTGTCACTGCAACTGCAACTGTCACTGCAACTGCGACTGTGACTGCTACTGCGACTGCTACTGCGACTGCTGATGTGGGCGTAGGATTGAGTGCAGGCAGGGGCAAAGTTGTAGAAATCATTGATTCCATTTCGATTGACTTCTGGGGGTGGTATACTAGCTAGTCTGATTCCATTTCGATTGAGTGGACTTTCGAGAGGGGTATACTTGAACATATATTAACTCTGTGTCTACAGGTAGTGCGCAGTGAATAGTTGTGTGATGTACAACAGATTTACTGGCTAATGTAAGGTAGTGTGGTAGCCTGTGCACGTACTAAATGTGTCACATTTGACGAGCATCCCAAACAGCCGTCCGTTATCGTAAAATCTCTAAGTCACTTGCAACACTTTCTTTCAGCTTCGGTTCAAGAATGTATATCCGGTTCTGATCATTGAAGCGCTCTCCTTCTTCAAAAATTTCAAACACATTGTTTTTCACGATCCCGGACATCCGCACAATCTGTTCGCTATGCGTTCGCTATCTGTTCGCTATGCGTTCACTATCTGTTCGCTATATTTACTAAATGTTCGCTATGTGTTCGCTATTTAACATGTTCACCGTGTTGACCTAAAGGCTCCTAAGAACCATGACATTGCTAATCTAGTTACAACCTTCTAGTTACAACCTTGTATTTAGTTTCACCTCAAAGAATTTTACCTGTGAGATGACACAAACGAGCAAATCGTATAGTAAGATAGTGTCGCCCTTAAGCCGCTCCCTGCAACACAGACAAAGCGTGTGCACGACCTCATGAATACCCTCCAGGAGGACCCTCCCTTCTCCAACGTGTTGTGCGCATTCATCGAGGAATACAGTTGTGGCGCGCTCCCCCTTTATGCGAGCGCGCTCAAGTAAACTGTCGAATTCCTCATTCCACATGCTCTCTGATTCCCACTCCTTCCGCCATTGCCCGACGAGGTTCTCGAGTGTTTGCAGTGTGGGAGTGCCACAAGAACATGGTAGGTCGTTGTCCATGTCCATGGTGAGCACAGAATCATCAGCCTCGTAAGAGAAATCGTTGTTGTCCATGGTGAGTACAGAATCATCAGCCTCGTTAGGGAAATCGTCGAGTGGGGTGACCACAGAATCATTGGCCTCGGAAGAAAAATCTTTGAGTGGGGGGGAACTGATGGCAGCGACAGGCTGTTGTTCAGCGTCGTAAGGGAAATCGCAAGACTGCGTTGTTTTCCTGTCAATTATGTTAGTGAGTTGGAGCGAGTGGGCATAGGACTCACTTTTTCATGTTGTGGTAAATTTCCTGTAAGTAGAAAGCCTGATCTTCATAGTCCGACTGGGAAATTTTACGGGAAATGTTGAGTGGGGAGGAGCCAGTAGTAGGAATGGGTGAATGTTGCTCTGCGGGAGATAACCGATCTTCATAGTCCGACTGGGGATCATGGGAAATGTTGTTGCAATCGAGTGAGGGGGAACCAGTGTCAGGAATGGGTGAATTTTGCTCTGCGGGAGGTTGCGTCTGCATTTTCTTTGCCCTGTTGCTGAAAATTCCTCTAAGTAGTCGTAGATTTAATTGAAGAGCATAGACTTACCGAGCCACTCGAAGACGCGCTTTCGCGTTTTGGCTGTCTCGGATTCTGCAAGGCAAGGTAAGCAACATTCTCCGTGGCTGAAAACCTTCAACTTACCCTGGTTTAGCGAGCCAGCGCTCTGTGGCCAAGCACTGCCTCAAAGCAGGACTGCAGGACTTGTCCCGACGACCCTTTGATTTGAATTCCAATGTCAGATGAATCAACACAGGTGCGAGTATTTGAGCTTACCATGCTGCAAAATTGAAAGAAAGAGAGACAATCTCTGGTGAGATACCGCTGATCGATAATATATTTCTTGATAACATCATTGATCTGCGAGCAAAATTGAAGAGGGAAATGAGATGGTCGTTGTCTTGTGACGATCAGAAAAATATACGTTGTGACAGTATCTGTCATTGAAAGATATGAGGTTGCGGCGCTTGCGCGGATGTAGACTCGACTTGATTACTACATTTGGAAATGTTGTGGGTCCAAGGTTTGCGTTCAAGTTGTTTCACTCACTATCACCGTGCGTGTCTATGGGTGTCATGCAGCCACATCTTTACCAGGATACCTACTCACCTACTCTACTGCAGACATAAGATTCAAGACTGTTTGTCTTACCACAGTGAGTCCCACTCATCGCATTCTGTGCAACTCCGAGTTGGAGGGACTCATCATGATAGTATGTCGTTGTTTGATGCTCTCGTCGGCGACATGATTCGCCACATGAGATCTATAGTATGCCGGGTGCTTGGAAGTTTGACTCGAAGGAACAGGACAAGGTCATATTCACTGTACTTTGTGATTTTGTGAGTGACTTATTAATGCACTCCGTTCTCAATGCTTACCCGACCTACGGCAAATACCAGGTGTAACTCAGACTGGATTGAAAGGAACAGGATGAGGTCATGCACACCGTGTTTCGTCATATTGTGAGTGGCATTGAATGCATTGTTGACGAGTCTCAGTGCTGATATAACTTGAATTTACTTAAACCTCTAGTTGCATTTACAGCAGCTCAAACAGCAGCAGACAGGGACCTGAGACGTGCAGCAAAGGTAGGTATATATTATCATCATATCCTGCACTGCCTCATATGGCGTTAGCAGTTCCAGATCAATATCGACCTCAAGATCTTAACCCGATATCTGTTTATTTTAAAAATAAGCGAGGTGCTCTCAATGACACTGTAGCGACGCACACGACACGTCGTGCTTTTTTTTTTGCATCATCTGTACCATTTTTTTTGTATCATTCATACTGACCAACACATACTACAACCCCTCATCACAGCACCTGCAATGAGCTTTATCTATTCAGCTGATGACTTCGACATTAATGGTAATTTTGTCTCCACTGGACGCTTTCAGGATCTCCCGAACGAAGGCAATGGTCTTACTGGACATGTTCCCTCGTTCAACGAGATTGATTGGAACGACCCAGCACTCTACACCATGCCCCTGACAAGTGATGAGATAGCAGCTATCATGTCTAATACCAATAATTCACTCCCTAATCTCCCGCCTGGTCTCCCGCCCCCCACGTCTGATCCCCTATCGCGTCAGCTTTCTGAATCACGCTCCCCACTCCCTGATTTCCCGCCCCCCACTGTCTGATCCCCCATTGTGTCAGCCTTCTGAAGCACGCTCCCCGAGTCCTGAGAGGTCAAAGCCACTGCGCGAGGCCAATTCGTCCAGCTGGGCAGCACGGAACCCAACACGAAGCATTATCCGCCCTCGGACGCCACCACCTCGACTAACAGATGCACAAAAGGTATCTCGAAAGATCAAGAGGGACCAGAGGACTGAGAGAACGAAGCACTTACATAACGCAGTCGCTGAATACCTGGACGAACAGAAAACAAAGATTGAAGCACTCTCTCGGGCTCACCACGTTACACCCAAGCAAATCAACGACATCATCGGCAGTCAGACACATTATCGCACCACACGTAAGAGTCAATTGATCCACGCACTTATTCATGCCAAGGCAAAAGAGGTCAATGCAGGTAAGTCAATTTTTTTTGCTCAATAGTACCATGAAGCTTATCTTGCGTCAACTAGACCTACCCGCAGGCTCTCGATACTCAATGGCCGAACTGCACGAGATGGTTGTGACTGACCCCGACACAGAAAACCTGACACGGGAACAAAAGGAGGCTTACATTGCAGCTCTTGAGGAGCATCGCGAAAGAAAAGTCGTCGGTGTTCGGGCTCATAATCTGGCAGCTGCGCGAGATGTTGTAGCCACGACGGATAGGATCAGTCAAAGAGGTAAGTTCGAGTCTTGATGGGAATCAACTGAACTCATCTTTTTCTTTGAAGCTAGATGATCTACGAGTTCGGACAGGTGTCTATGGAACGCTCTTTGTCGTCCGCGGTCACATCAACGACACCATTCAAAGCGCGATGCACGGCACAGATAATTCTGAAGATTTTTGGGAGGATGTGTATGAGCATCCCATGGCTGACTTTCTTAGGCAATATGAACAATGGGCGTGCACCCAGAATCAAAGTAAGCCATTCATTTCATTATATATAGCTCAACTTATGCAATGTTCCGTAGATCTCAATGAACGTGACTCTTTGGGAGCTGTAAGAAAGCAAGTATGCAAGATGATCCTCCGGGGCCTAGGTGAGTGATGGCGTTGTTCTACATATGCCAACCCCGTCTAACATCATTTGCAGTTGCCGTGACAGGCAAAAAAGATATCGCGATGAATTACAGTAACTACGAAACATCTGTCGTCGAAACATACAGAGTGCAGGCTTGTGGGCTGGCCCCATGGTGTCAAGTTCGTTAACCCTTCGAATATTGGGACCGTCGGTGATATTCGCAAGCTCCGGGATGCTCTCAAGACACATACATGCTACTGGGCTGCTTTATCACCAGCAGAGGTCAAGACTCATGCGTCCGAGCTTGATACACGCCGTTCAGCCGGGGAAGCCGTTCGGAAGCCCCGAAAAAAACGTTCAGATGCTGGAGTCCCTCGGAAGCGTAAAGGTGGGCCTAGCGCAGGACGGGCAAACAAAGAGAATCATAGGCCATCGAAGAGAGGGAAGAAGAACCCTGCCCAGCCGCAGGAATGTCCCAAAAGCGCTGAATTTGTGGAGTCTTCTGACGAAGAAGGGGAGGCTGATGAGGAGTAGTGTAGCTTAGTTTACACGTTCATATGACTGATTTACGTATCGCAATCATCAGTTTTGCTTTGTTCGTCGAAACGCGCTGTCAATCCATCTACACCATCATGAGATACGCGAGCTCATCGTGCGACACAGCGAGCACGAAGGGTCAGATATTATTAGCACGGCGCCGGGACCACGTCACGTCATTGCCGAAATGCCGGCGGTACTTAGTATATACTACCTACACCCTGGCTGTACAGTACAAGTCACTCTTTATTCAAACAATATTGAAGGAGGCTCTGGGACGCTGTAACCCCCTTGTCTTATAGGTGCGATACCCATGTGTTATCGCCTATAATTACTGTCGTTATGTGGGAGTCACAGGTGCGCATCTAGGTGACGCGGCACTGACGTTTACATTTTGGTCCAGGAGTTTCCTTATTTGGAAATTTTGGACAGCACTTCGTTGCTTCACTCTTGACAACCATCTCTGGGAAAGCTGGAACGTTCATGTGTACCTGGCAGCTGTACATCCAGTTCATTAGAAACTTCTAACTGAACTTGAACAGCTGCCATGTTAGGCCTGGACTCGGATACTCATCAATCTACGTTATCTTCCAACTTGCACTCACCTGTACATTGTGCATTTCGCAATTTAGCACTGAATGTTCTTTATTCTCATCTGGGAAACTTGTGGCCTCTTATTCTCTCATCCAGACCTGCCCGGCCCCACGGCCATCGTATCCATACACCTGAACTATTCCGTCCATTGGTCCTCGCTTCCCGTGTACGCATCAATATTCTCTTCCAACCACAGTATAATAGCAGTGAGCAGTGCTCTTTCCAAACCTACGTTCCTTCGCATGGCACGATTGTTCTATCACCTGTATTTCTGTCCTCAAACTCCTCTTACCCACGCTCGAGATCTTCTCCATCTTCCTCGACGTATCTTCATTTGACAAATTCATCATCCCTGAACTGCTTACCTTCGCTCCCCGCCTCAAAGCTCTTGAGATCAAGGGCAGCATCTTCATAATCGACACAGGTCCCTCAGAAATTGAGTCGCTCCTCATCAGCTATCCTGATGGTCTCACAGAGCTTTCATTGCAATGCCACTGGTATGATGTCCGGAGCAGCGTGCTAAACGTCATTGCACTCTGGCCATCTCTCCCATCACTCACCTCAAAGCCAGGTCCCGACAGCATCCCTACCGTACCCTCCACATCCACCAGCCCTTTGCGAAACTCACGCACTTGCATATCCAATCCAAGAACACTTTGGAGCTTTTTATATCTTTCCTACGCGCCTTCCAAATCCTCAATCTCAATTCTTCCAATAATCATTCCATCACATCCTCCAACCTCAAAACAATACAATTCAATGCAGGACGTTGCAGCCCCGTCCACACCTGGTCCCAATTCGTCACCTCTCTCACCCACACAAACACAAAGTTCGAGCACATGATTATAGACGATAATTGTGGCTCTCGATACCTTCCACCCTCATCCGAATTTTACCCCCTGCTTGCGCACTCGAGTCTTGCAGACCTCAGCACCCTCATACTCTCTCCCGCCCGCATAACCTCCATCATACTCACTGACCCCGACATCCTCACCCTCACTCGTACATGCCCCCGTCTCCACATTCTTGACTTGGGGTCGCAAAATACTCCCGTGTCCTTGCATGATTTGAACGTCCTTGTCAGGCGCTGTCACGAGTTGTGCGAGGTCGCGCTCCGCGTAGATGCGCGAGTCGGTTCGCTCGGAGATAATAAGTATGCAGATGACGATGACGATGACCAAGGAGGTCTCCGACCTGACAGGTTCTTGATCAAACTGGATGTCGGGGACTCGCCTGTCGCGTACGTAGCTTCATTGTGCTCGTCGCGAGAATTGAGGCAGTTTATGCTAATCTCGCGGTTCCTGCATGCGATGGCGCCAAGGCTTAAGAGCGTCAAGGATGAGGTGTGGACCCATCCGCTTAATAATCCATGGCGGGTGGTTACTGCAATCGCAAAAACATAGCGCACGAGTCTCAAACTACACACTCGTGTTATGTAACAGCAGGCAGGACCGACCTTTTTGCCTCCTGCTCAGCATCATACTGCAAGATCATGGCAAGAATTTATGAGCTTTGCGCATCTAAGAATGAGAGTCGCCGATGGCAATCAAACGCTGAAGAGACGGATCCCGTGAAACCTGCTGTCTCGCTTGGATGAGTGCCGCCAAAGTTGGAGTGGAAGAGAAGATATAAATGATGGTTGTTCGTCTCGTAGGGTCCCGCTGCATGTAGAGGAAGCAACGTGAACTCAGCGGTAGGACGCCACCCGATGCGGTAGTCAGGGTTAACTCACTCCCAGCGAACTTAACCTATAGGACCAGCGATGCAACCCCAACGTTTCGCAAGGCACCAGCGATCTCCACAACTATAGCAGCTAGCATTTACAATGATGACTGGACCGTCTTCTGCCGCCTTTGGAGGTCAGAGAACAGCAGAGGAAGGATAAATCGGAAATATTCATATGGGCTGCGGATAAAGAAGATGGCATCGTCCATACCATGGTCAGGTGCTGAATTTATGTAGACTTGTCCTCAGTGGATACATCTAGCGCATTATGAAGGCCGAAGGTGAGTTGCCTGAACTCTTGCGCCAAGACTCCACCAGCGTCACCTGACGCAGACAGTTCATCGAGGGTGTGTAGAAGCGTTCCAATGGCAATGCATCCAGAATACTGCACGGCCTTGCTTCACAAGTTCCACAGCAGTGGTCAAATCACCATGCGGACATCGCACGAGAAGCATCCATAGCAAGGGATGAAGTTGCCTCCCTGCTGATGCAGGAATGTCAAGGTGGCCTGACATGCGATCTCCTAGATCATGAAGGTCGTCCCGCCGCTGGAATCTGGCTCGAAGGTTGTCAGCCAGGTTGGTGTCTTGTGCACGGGGCAGTACTACACGAACGACGCCGTTGACTGATGCGGAGCTAACGGCCGGCGGCATCCGACTCCAAATAAGGAGTTTAAGCGTCGGTAATCAGTGTGATAACTTGCTCAGATCCCACCCAAGTGAACGTGAACTTTTAGAAATGAGCAACCCTATCGATAATCACGTACAGTACGGAACTTCATATCATTGTTTAACGGTATTTTCACTGATTAGGCTATGTAGTGATCCATTCTCACCGGGGTCAGCGGTATCTAGGCTAGGACGCGATTTATCCTCACTTCGCATCTGCCCTGATTCCTTTGTTACAAAATATTCCTTGACTACACCCGCGTCTCTTCTTACCATCTTCCCCATTTCTTGAGTATGCACTTCGTTCGCTTCTTTTCGTATATTGCTTCTTGTCTTTCTGTTGCGCGTGCGTTCAGTGTAACTGTTGGGACACCCACTCAATGCGATCCTCTCAACATTTCATGGACTGGTAAGCACATGTCTAGTACATTTTATACGCTCTCGCTGAAACTTGTCGGGCTTGTCAGGTGGGCAAGCACCATTTGAGATACTCTTGACTCCCGTTCGTTAGCGCTATCGTCTCAAGCGCATCGATTGCGCGCTGATCTTTGTGCTTTCCAGTCTTGGGCAACGTATCAGAATTATTCTGTACCGTCATCAGCCTTCAGCAATGGCCAGGGCTCTTATTCAATACCGCAATTGTCGTTATCGACGGGAACATCGTTTCTACTCACTATGTCTGACGCCACCGGATTTGGTTCGGGTGGGACCACAAACGTGTCATTTGTTGGCAATCCGGTTGCAAATAACAACTGCAACACTACAGTTTTGTCAACTCCTTACATGTGGGAGTTGTCGCCACTCCCGCTGCTGCAATGCAGGTAAGTTTGGATCGCCTACTTTTTGCAACACTGACCTACCACTACTGCAGTCAATTTACTGTTGCGACTGGTAGTGGTGCAGTCCTGCCTGTCACTATTGTGGTCAGATCATCGGCAATTCTATCAAAACAATCTACTTATCTTGCCACAGCAACTTATTCCTGGCGGACAACCAGTCGTATTCAACTCGAATAGTTACACTTTTACCTCGGTTGTAGACGTTAACGCAGGAACGAACCTCCTGTATTTTGTCAGCGACTCCCAGGGCAGACAAGGTGGTGTTTCTGGGTTCGAGCAAGTCTCAGGGTCGAGTAATTCCTCGTGCCTAAGCGCCAACTCGCCGTCAACCACTGCAGGCATGTCGGCCACGTCCACGGCTTCACCGACATCTAGCTCAAGTCCAACAAGTAGTTCGTCAAGCAACAATGTTGCTCTTATCGCAGGCGCTGCGGGAGGCGGCGGCAGCGGGGGTCCTTATTGTATTGGTCGTCCTCGGCGTATGCTTGTGGCGTAAACGGAGAGCGTCTCGCTCTCCGGACGTTCAGTCTTCTATAACAAGCTATCCATATGGTAACTTCGCAGTTGGCGCCCCTCCCTCATCATTCAACCAGACACAACATTCGCCCAAGAGCTCCAACACAAACTCTCCTGTCTACGGGGATGCTCCAAGTTCGACTATGTCATCCGCTTACAACCGAATGTCTGAACCAATGTCACAACATTACCCATTGCAATACCCTGTTGGCTACCCTCCACCTATTCAACCTGGCAGCCAATCATCCCCTCTTAATACGTCTACCGGAAACTTCACAGTCAGCGATCGTCCCAATCAGACACTGCATTCACGCCAGCGCTCAAACGCAGACTTTGCTGTTTATGGAGACGCTCGAATATTAGATATGACACCCGTCGAACATATGGTTGCGGTGGCTCGACCAGCACCGCCATTACCACAGAAGACAAATCCTGCCTATCTTACTCCACCCGTCCAGCCCGGATCCCAATCAATCTCTACCTCCGCCGGCAACGTTGCCGTTAGCAACCCTCCCACACCCATCAATCAGACACAAATGTTCCGTCAGAGCCCTGACGCAGACAGCTTAGTTGTGTACGGAGCATCTGGAAGTCAATCTATGGTGTCAGCCAGCGCGCAAACAGCCTACCAACCTCCTATTCGAATCATAGTGCATACCGACGCTAATGATGTTATGCCAGGCGACAATGGTTTAATTGAACTTCCGCCGCAATATTCAGACCATTGGGGAGTCCGTGCCTCGTACTCTGAGTCTGCGTCATGACCTACGTTCCCACACTCTTGAGTCTTCGAACATGGGTATGCCAGTAGCGCGTTCGTTTGCACATGATTTTGTTTCGTTTGATTTCAATCATGAAGTACATGGGCATCGTGCTCCTACTTTGAATTGGGACAAGTGAAGCTCTGTGACGTGTTCTTTTCGAGCTCATAATGATATGTACTTAGTGAAGGACTAGGTCTCATTTTCAAGATATGATGCGTAGGATTGAATCTGCTAGAGGAGAGAGAAATACCAAAACTACATTCCATAGTACTATAAAATGTCATAAGACAGAGACAACATTGTAGGATAGATCTGGCGGCTTCAGGCTGGTTGGTTACTGGGAGTCTGAGATGTCACCGGTAGACTCGTGACCAGTGCGATGGAGCTCGATGGTCTTATCCACGTTGGAGCAGGGGCTGGCGGACTAAGTCTGGAGCAGAGCTGACAAGTGGTGATGATGATAGATGCTAGCTACGAACATGGTGAAACCTGGTCTACGTGCTGGCTAAGCTGTGGAAAGGGCCCTTGGTGCGTAGTAGCTCCTGCCCTTGGGACCCCTGGTCCAACGTCAGACAGGACACCACGATGTTTGAACATATCGAGAAGGCTGAGAGCACGGTTGTGGAGAGACAGGTGTCAACCAGCATGAGTAGTAGGGGAACAGAGGGCCAGCGCAGTTCAATGAGGCTCAACGGACTCATCCACTGGCAGGTCTGACAGGTCGCCTCGCTGCTGGAATCTGTCTCCAAGGCTGCCAGACGATGTGTGGGTGAACAATATGCAATTACACGAGGACGGTTATGCCACGAACGTGGCAGCGAGCAGACATGAGTGGAATGATGTGGTGAGGCCTGAGGCCAAGGCCCCGCATACGTTTATATGTCCATGGGTGATAACTGCTAGTCTGATTGCGCACCTAAACTTGAGAGGCCTGCGGTTAACATTCATGGGGGAGATGTGACAACTTCGAACTTGGCTCGGAGCAGACAGCAAAACCGGTCGATATTGTTGTCATGTCTTGACTGAAGATACGCCGTTGCATGCACATTTCAACTTCAACTTGAAGCTCTATCACCTGCTCGGGCGCCGCCGAGTCAGCGTCCGATTTTCCGGCGTATGTAAAGAAGAATTGAGATGTTCCGTTGAATTCCTCCCAGAACACCTGTTACTGTTTTGGCCGACATAAGTACGGTGAGACTTCTGAGTTTGATCAAAGTCCAATTGAAAGTCTCGTCGATCATCGACATCAACGACAGATTTACCGTATTGTGAGAACAACCATGTGGAAATTCACTGATGACGTACACGGTGTAACTTACACCCTTTCTTCGACTCACTTCGGCTCGTTGTGAGATACGAGCCTACACCAGCAACGACCGTCATCGTATCATCTGATTCACCGCCGAATTTTGGCCCATCAGTGCTGCTGTCACTCGAGGTATGCATGGTTGGAGTCTATGTCATATGAGTAGGAACTGACAAACTTCCTGTGCCTCCGGAATTCAGTTCATCCGGGCTGTAACATTCTCCCGCAACGCGTAGCATAGCGGACCGCGACAAACAGCTTCGCGTGCGATAAGTTGCAGCAATGCGACTCAAAATATTCGGGGATACTAGCAACATGACCCTGCCTCAAGACTCGGAGCGCGGTATAAATGCACTTGGGAGCGCTAAGAAGGGGAAAGCAACACTTGAGGCAGTGGATCCCAAGTTGCTGCAGTCAGACATGCTACCCATCAGTAGTCCTTCATCGTTTAGGCTCCCCAAACGTCGTGGACTGTCATGGGTCCTTTTTGTAACTTTCTCGGTTCTGTGCGTTCTGGTGTTACCAGTTAGGCACTCGAACATCTTCTCCCCGGCGTCTCATCTTGATTTCTCGGGGTTAGAACCAGCAGTAGATATGCTGGCAGGTATGGGCTTCACTGGAAACGGACGTACGAATGATGTCCTGTGGGATAAGTATAGTTTAATTATAAAAGGGCAGCGCGTTTTCATCCAGTGAGTACTCGATGAACACCCAAATCACATTTGATACATTTACGTTGTGCTCTCAGTTCAGGAGAGTTTCACACATTTCGACTGCCTGTACCTGGACTATGGCTTGATATCCTGCAGAAAGTGAAGGCTGCTGGATTTAACGCCATCAGTGTTTATTCCCACATGGCTCTGATCAATCCCTCTCCTGGCGTTGTCGACTTCAACGATTACCGCGCTTTGGAACCCCTTTACGAGGCTGCGAAACAGACTGGCATATGGATTGTTTTCCGTCCAGGTATGATCCTTTGTATTTTGAAGGGGTTAATGCTAATGAGGATCAGGGCCGTATATCAATGCGGAGACGACTGCAGGAGGTATTGCACACTGGGTAACATCAGAAGTTGCAGGCGAACTGCGGACGAACGCGACGGACTGGCACGCAGCTTGGCAGGACTACCTGCAAGGTGTCATTACTGAAACTGTTCCTTACCAAGTGACCCAAGGTGGACCGGTAATAGGCAAGCCGACCTTGATCATTTTCTACATCAACTTGTCTGATAGTCGCTTCATTCTCAGCAATCCAAATCGGTCAGTGGTTCTCACATTTAGCGTGCCCATATGATTGAATTGGACTTAATTGCGACATAAAGACAATGAATACCCCCAAGAACCAGCCACGCATGCAGAATACTTTCGCGAGCTGGAAACTGTTTATTGGAACTCTAGTATCGTTGTCCCGTTGACCACTAACGACCCGGGAGAAGATCAGGCGTGGATCAATGGAACGGTGAGCTGAATGATTTCCAGATGACTGTTATATTGAGTTCCACGACGTGTAGGGTGCCGTGGATATCTACGGGCAAGTTCATTCATGAGACGCTTGGGCTCGTGTTGACACGATTATTGTCCTCAAGTTTGGATTCCTACCCACAAAGGTTTGACTGTTCCCACCCAGATGTCTGGAACCCGGTTGTCACGAACTATTATAGCCATCATGAGTGTATGTGATTTATACTGGTACCTCTTAGTTCTGATACTAAGTCAGCATTCAGCTGTTAACCCTGGCCAACCTTGGTATTTCCCAGAGTTCCAGGGTGGTGCTTTCGATGCTTGGGGTCCAACGGCACCAGGTGAACTATTAGTCTACGCCTTGGTTACTCCTTCACATAAACTTCCTGTCAGGTTACGGTCAGTGCCGGATACTCACGGGAGCCAATTTCGAGAATGTTTTCAACCTCAATCTTTTGGCGTCCAACGCAAAACTAATAAACTACTACATGCTATACGGGCAAGCCTTTCATTCTTGTACTTGGTGTGAAGTTTAACACGCTTACAGAGGAACTTCATGGGGTGCTCTTCCTTTCCCCGGTGTATACAGTGAGGTTCTATCCCTCTAACAGTGAAACTGCTAGCTCATTGACTCACAGCTTCATACGATTATGGGAGTGCCATTGCAGAGAACAGGGAGCTGACTGTCAAATATCCAGAACTTAAGCGTCAGGGTCTCTTCTTGCGAAGCTCCCCAGATTTCTATAAGACAGACTGGGTTGGAAACAGTACTGGCGGCATGGTTTCCGTCTCCAATCCAGCTGCCTTTGTAACTCTGTTAAGGAACCCCGACTCGGCGGCGTCGTTCTACATCGCAAGACAAGAGAATTCCACAACAACGTGAGTTCATTATACTGTCACGTTGACCCGGGTGTTTACAATTCCGTTAGGGATGTAACCACTTTCAAGCTGAATGTCACTACTTCTGCTGGTAACTTTGAGGTCCCCCGTTTCGTATCCGGCATCACACTCGGGGGCAGACAATCAAAAATTATTGTCACCGATTATTCATTTGGCTCGTCATCGAAGGTTCTCTATTCCACAGCGCAGGTTCTTTTTGCTGGCCAGATTGGTGGGAGAGATGTACTGTTTCTCTACGGCGACCCTACATCTGAGTCAGAGGCTGCTCTGACGTTGAATGGTACACCTCGTATACAAGGGACAGGAGTCTCTTTGGTATCCTCTAATGGCGTCACTTCCGTCACTTTCCTTCCGGGAATTCAAGGACTCATCACGATTTGGGATTCCAGCGAGCAGCTTGTCCTCTATAGTGATGCCGACACCGCTGGAACTTTTTGGTCGCCCGAAATCTCTGCCAATGATTCCGTCGAGTTTGCCAACTATTGGCAGTTTGGCACGAATTCCTCCATCCTGGTTGGAGGTCCTTATTTAGTTCGCAACGCTACAATCACTGGATCGACGCTCGCCCTTCGTGGCGACTTAAATGACAGCGTTCGACTTACAGTCATCGCGCCAGATGATGTGAAGACCGTTACGTGGAACGGAATTCCTATCTCAGCTGATGTTGCTGCGGTCTCAAATTTGACCACCCAAGGAGGCTTTGTTGCACAACTAAAGCCCTCATCCACAGTGCTTGGCTTTGCTCCACCTGCGCTTACAAACTGGAGATATGCAGACAGTTTGCCAGAAATCCGCAGTGGATTCTCTGATGCCAACTGGACTCTTGCTAACCATACCACCACGAACATACCCTTCAAGCCTTACTACGGCGACGGGAGGGTTCTCTACGGCTGTGACTATGGATAGTCAGTCATCGGCTGATCTGCGTCCTTTACTATAGCTCATTGACTAACAGCTGCGAGAACATCGTGCTTTGGCGTGGGCACTTCAATGTCACGGAAAACACACAATCTGTCAATTTCTCCATCAATGGCGGCGAAGGTGGGTCTAAAGGATTAAAAGATGTCTGAATGCTGATTACGTCAATTAGCTTTCGCTGCCACTGTCTGGGTGAACGACGTGTTCTTGAACACATCCTACGGAAAGTAAATCATCAATCGATACGATCTGAGGGTGTTGCTGACCTCAGCTACATAGCTCCTACAAACAACCGAAATATTCTGGAAGAAACGGATGATGAGTTCCACTTCCCTCCAGGATCTTTACTTTACGGGCGAGAGAACGTCATTACTATCCTTCAGGCGGGTCCTCATGTTCTAGGACGTCGTTGCCACTGATGACAGATCTAGGATAATATGGGCCTCAATCAGTCGGGTCGTAAGCCACACGTTGAACTCAGACCGAGGCGATTCTGATGTTGATGACGATTTTAGCTGTTATTGATGAAGAGAAATCCCCTCGTGGTGTCCGTGGCTTCATGCTCAATACCGGAGAGTTCGGTGAATGGAAAGTTCAGGGTAAAATTGGCGGATACACCAAGTGTGTTTTCCTTTTTCTAGCACGACCACCTCGTCGGCTCATGACGACACAGTTATCTCGATAAGGTGCGCGGGGGTGCTGAATGAAGGAGGTCTCTACGGTGAACGCATGGGCTGGCACTTACCTGGGTTTGATACCTCTTCTTGGGCGCTGAGAGACCTCTCTGACGGTCTGCCCAACGCTACTGCCGGTGTTGGGTTCTTTGTTACGACGTTCAACTTAAGCATCCCAGATGGATTTGATGTTCCAATGTCCTTCACGTTTGATGACACCTTTCAGCCGTATCGGTCTCAGTTATACGTCAATGGATGGATGATGGGTAAGAGGGTGTCCAACCTTGGGTACGCCTGCTTCAATTTGTCATACGAACCAGACTGATAGCAAGGTACAGACCCCAGTATCAGTTCCCTGTCCAGCAAGGTATTCTGGACTACAATGGCATAAAGTACGACCCTTGATGTGACCGTGATATGATTACTGACTTCCGTATAGTACTGTTGCTGTCGCGCTGTGGGCTATGGAATCCGAAAGCTGTCACTCCAACTTTGCAGCTCACCATTGAAGGCGTTTACGAAGGTGGTGTCGGCGGTATTGAGACTAATAACCCTCCTTGGTCGCCTGAAGGACGGTCATAAGTCTGGAACCCTCGGATAAAACGTTACACTTTTATATTTACGATGTATCTTTTGTCGGTAAGACTAGCAATCTAGGCAAGAAATGAGGTCGTGCAGGTGCTTAGTCAACGTCGTCCACTCGTTCAAATACTCCGTGCTGACATGCACACCAAACTTGTTTTTTTTTCTTTCACTGCCAGGAACTTCGGACAAAAGGACTCGGAGTAGAGATACATAAAACTTTGAATACATAACAGGGTGCCTCTTGCTCTACTGGTCAAAATTACAAGAGGGTAAGCTAGGGTAAGTTGGATGGAGTGCACTATCTAAAATAATCGATGGCGGGTGGTGTCAAGTACTTTGTTGAAAATGGTGTCAGACGAAGAAGATAATTGATGTTGTCTTTCGGGGTTGTCTTACTTAACGTCCACCCATCTGGACTATCAACAAGAACAGTTGGACAATCTCCAATTTAAAATGTATCGTGAGTACGTATTATGCCGACACTGGCAGGACATGGATCGCTGACTGCAATCGCAAAAATATAGCGCACGAGTCTCAAACTACAAACTCATATGCATAAATTCGATCTAGAAAGAGATCATGACTTTCCGAGTCGTAAAGTCACTGCATGAACTAGTAGGAGCGGCGCGAACTCAAGCGCTAGGACACCAGATGCGTAAACCGCAGAAAATAAAATTCCCGAGTACTTCAAATACATGGTCAAAGATACTATCATAGCCCAGATCATGCGTAAGACGCCGAAGATCTTGTTTGATTCGATTTGATGATTAGAAGAGCCAGCATTATCTGTAAAAGACAAAGTGTGGATGACAATTCGGAGACCTCAGCTTGTGTAATAGCAAGCAGGACCGACATTTTTACCTCCTGCTCAGCATCATATTGCAAGATCAAGGGAAGAATTTATGGGCTTTGCGCATCTAAGAATGAGACTCGCCGATGGCAATGAAACGCTGAACAGATGGATCCCGTGAAACCTGCTGTCTCGCTTGGATCACAAGTTGAGTGGAAGAGAAGATGTAAAAGGGAGATAAATCATGATTGTTCGGCTCGCAGGGTCCCGCTGCGTGTGGAGGAAGCAGCGTGAACTCATCGGTAAGACACCACTAGATGTGGGAGTCAGGGTTAACTCACTCCCCGAGAGCTTGAACTATAGGACCAACGATGCAACCCCAAAGTTTCGCAAGGCACCAACGATCTTCACAACTATAGCGGCTAGCATTTACAATGATGACTGGCCGCCTTTTGGATGTCAGAGAACAGCAGGAAGGAGAAATCGGAAATATTCATATGGGCTGCGGATAAAGGAGATGGCATCATCCATAGTACGACCAGGTGCTGAATTTGTGGAGACTTGTCCTGAGCGGATACATTTAACACATTACGAAGGTGAGGTGCCTGAACTCTTGCGCCAAGACTCCACCAGTGTCACCTGACGCAGGAAGTTCATCGAGGGGTGTGTGGAAGCGTGCCAATGGAAATGTGTCCAGAATACTACACGGCCTTGCTTCACAAGTTCCACAGCAGTCGTTGAATCACCATGCGGACATTGCACGAGAAGCGTCCATAGCAAGGGATGAAGTTGCCTATGCGGTCTCCCAGATCAGGAAGGTCATCCCGCCGCTGGAATCTGGCTGGAAGGTTGTCAGCAAGGTTGGTGAAAGACGTGTATCGACCAGGATGACCAGGAGTGCAAAGCGCTAGTGTGCACGCTGCTCGGGGCACATTGATCACGCGATCACGAACGGCCAGGCTGATAGCCGGAACTGAATACAAAATCGCCAGCTAACGGCCGGCGTACGGTTTCCAAATAAGGAATTGTAAGCGTCCGAGTCGGTAATCAGTGTGGTAACTTGCTCAGATGCCAAGTGAACGCGAACTTTGAAAAATGAGCAGTCCTATCAGATATAATCATGCACATCACGAACAGTACGGAACTTCATATCATTGTTTAATGGTATTTTCACTGATTAGGCTATGTAGTAATCCATTCTCACTGGGGTCAGCGGTATCTAGGACGCAATTTCCCCTCACCTCGAGTCTGTCCTGATTCCTTTGTTTCAAAATATTCCTTGACTACACCTGCGTCTCTTCTCACCATCTTCCTCATTTCTTCAGTATGCACTTCGTTCGTGTATTGCTTCTTGTCTTTCTGTTGCGCGTGCGTTCAGTGTAACTGTTGGGACACCCACTCAATGCGATCCTCTCAACATTTCATGGACTGGTAAGCACATATCTAGTACATTTTATACGCTCCTGCTGAACTTTGTCGGGCTTGTCAGGTGGGCAAGCACCATTTGAGATACTCTTAACTCGTTCGTTAGCGCCATCGTCTCAAGTCCATCGATTGCGCGCTAATCTTTGTGCTTTCAAGTCTTGGGCAACGTGTAAGAATTATACTGTACGGCCATCAGCCTTCAGCAATGGCCAGGGCTCTTATTCAATATCGCAATTGACATTATCGACGGGAACATCGTTTCTACTCACTATGTCTGACGCCACCGGATTTGGTTCGGGTGGGACCACAAACGTGTCATTTGTTGGCAATCCGGTTGCAAATAACAACTGCAACACTACAGTTTTGTCAACTCCTTACATGTGGGAGTTGTCGCCACTCCCGCTGCTGCAATGCAGGTAAGTTTGGATCGCCTACTTTTTGCAACACTGACCTACCACTACTGCAGTCAATTTACTGTTGCGACTGGTAGTGGTGCAGTCCTGCCCATTACTATTGTGGTCAGATCATCGCCAATTCTATCAAACAATCTACTTATCTTGCCACAGCAACTTATTCCTGGCGGACAACCAGTCATATTCAATTCGAATAGCTACACTTTTACCTCGGTTGTAGACGTTAACGCAGGAACGAACCTCCTGTATTTTGTCAGCGACTCCCAGGGCAGACAAGGTGGTGTCTCTGGGTTCGAGCAAGTCTCAGGGTCGAGTAATTCCTCGTGCGCAAGCACGAACTCGCCGTCATCCACTGCAGGTATATCTGCCACAGCCACGTCTGCGTCCACGGCCACGGGTTCACCAACAGCTAGTTCAAGCAGTCCAAGTCCAACAAGTAGTTCGTCAAGCAGCAATGTTGCTCTTATCGCAGGCGCTGCGGGCGGCGGCGGGGTCCTTATTGTATTGGCCATCCTCGGCGTATGCTTGTGGCGTAAACGGAGAGCGTCTCGCTCTCCGGACGTTCAGTCTTCTATAACAAGCTATCCGCGTGATAACTTCGCAGTTGGCACCCCTTCCTCATCATTGAATCAGACACAACATTCGCGCAGAGCTCCAACGCAGACTCTCCTGTCTATGGGGATGCTCGAAGTTCGACTATATCATCCGCTTACAACCGAATGTCTGAACCAATGTCACCAAATTACCCATTGCAATCCCCTTCCCCTTTAAAGGTTCTGTATCATCCGCTTACAACCGAATGTCTGAACCAATGTCACCAAATTACCCATTGCAATCCCCTTCCCCTTTAAAGGTTCTGTATCATGCACTATGATAGATATCGTAAAACTGCATGCTCTTACGATATCCATCAAAATGCATGACATTTTCCAGAGGAAACACGGAACATTCCGAGAGACCGCCTTTTCTTTTTTTAATCCCTGACCGTCGGACCACCACCTGCAATTGGCGCTCTTCCCGTGGGTATTTGTTTTTTTATGACGAACTCATTATTATCTTTGGGGAGGCAGGTAGCAAGATGACCACGAGCACTAAGCTTAGGCGCATACAACGCGTCCCGTTGTTTTAAAAAATATTCTGCCGATATCTCTACATAGGCGTACAGGTAGGTGCAAAACACAAGGCTAGTATACTCATCAGCCCCTACTCCATCCCGCTAGACGTTGCGGTCAATTTGAGACGCAAGAGCTGTTTGTTTAACTGATGCCAATCAATCGTAAGTCAATTTCTTTCGGCTGAACTAAACGACCTACCAGCTCCAGTGCAATTTTGCGATCCTACATTTATCATGACGCACTGGCCAAACGTATTGCCGGTTAATACTATGCTTTCACGACCATGCTCCGCGGGCTCTGCCCGCGTCGCTGGCGGAGGCTCCAAAGGCATAGGCTCTGCAGTAGTGGTGACATGTTCTAACTTGGTCGCGGCTTTTATATTGTGAGGTGAGTCTTGTCAATCAATTAGACATACGAAGAACTCACTGGAACCGTTGCAGTGACTTGAAAATATATTGATGGTTCCCCCCTCCGCAATACAGTTGTTTTGTATGATTACGATACAGTTGTTTGGTGGTTTCGGGGATGACTGTTCGACACTCGGCAGCGGAGTACCGTCAGTCAACTCATGGCGGGAAGGTGGTCTCGGAGTGGCACTAGCATCTTGCAATGGGACGATGGCAAGAGGCAGATAAAACTTTGTTGAAGCGCAGGATGAGTGTGATCCAGTGGAAGCATCCATTGTAGAGATGGGGGTGCTGGTATAAGTAAGATGAAGTGCGTCTTTTAAACAGTCTATGATGACTCCTTTAAGTAATAAGTACTGAACACACGGTACCCGTTATCTTCAAACACCGCATGTGGTTTTGATCTCTGCACAGTGCAGAAGACAGAATGACAGACATCGGGAAACCGGCGAGAAGAAGGTTTTTATAGATTTAATGGCAAATTCACTTGGAATGATTGTTGTGATATGCGCCTGGCGCCGTTAGAAGGTTTTTATAGATATAAATGGCAAATTCACTTGGAAGTTGGAAGGATTGTTATGTGATATGCGCCTAGGCCTGGCGCCGTTTCGGAATTTCGATCATATTAATAAGAGACGGAGCATGGATGTGTAACAACACAGCATGTCGCAGCAGACGGAAAGAGCTGTCGGAAAGAGACAGAACCCAACAACACAGCATGACGTGGTGGATGGGCGCCATCGCCGGAGGGATCTCGTGCTTATAGATGTTGTAGAAATGAAATGAGTTCGGCAGGGAATTGCGAACGAAATGAGATGGAAACGAGACGTGTTAGTAGGTAACACGAAGGGAGATGGGACTAGGACTAGAGACGAAGACTTTTCGAGAGGCTTTTCGGTCGTTCTTGGAACGGGGATTTCACTGTAGGATTCGCTGTAGGCATGAGTGTACATGGGCAGTATATATACGTTTTCGAGTACTTGACTAGGCCGGAACGAGCATAAGGAGCATATGGCGAGGCGAAAATACTTCGGTGAAGAAAGGGTATCGTGAAATCTGAGCACAAGGTGAGATAACGAAAGAGAATGAAAATGAGAAGTAAGAGAACGTATCCACGTAACTCGGATGCGGAGAGTTGCGCTCTTCGCATCAATAAGTCACGTGGGCAACTTCGACCGCGTGGTTTGAGCGTCTTTATTTTGAAGCTTGGTCGGCGTGTAGAGAATAGTGTGTGGTGGCATCGCATCATCTGATTCACCGCTGTGTTTTGGCCCATCAGTGCTGCTGTCACTCGAGGTATGCATGGTTGGAGTCTATGTCATATGACTTGGAACTGACAAACCTCCTGCGCGAATTCAGTTCATCTGGGCTGTAGCATTCTCCTATAACGCGTAGCACAGCAGACCGCGACAAACAGCTTCGCGTGCGATAAGTTGCAGCAATGCGACTCAAAACATCCGGGGATACTAGCAACATGACCCTCCCTCAAGACTCGGAGTGCAGTAGAGATGCACTTGGAAGCACTAAGAAGGGGAAAGCAACACTTGAGGTAGTGGATCCCAAGCTGCTGCAGTCAGACATGCTACCCCTCAGCAATCCTGCATCGGTTAGGCTCCCAAAACGTCATGGGCCCTTTTTGTAATTCTCTCGGTTCTGTGCGTTCTGGTGTTACCAGTTAGGCGCTTGAACATCTTCTCCCCGGCGTCTCATCTTGATTTCTCGGGGTTAGAACCAGTAGTAGATATGCTGGCAGGTATGGGCTTCACTGGAAACGGACGTACCAACGATGTCCTGTCGGATAAGTATAGTTTAATTATAAAAGGGCAGCGCGTTTTCATCCAGTGAGTACTCGATGAATACCCAAATCACATTTGATACATTTACGTTGTGCACTCAGTTCAGGAGAGTTTCACACATTTCGACTGCCTGTGCCCGTGATATGATTACTGACTTCCGTATAGTACTGTTGCTGTCGCGCTGTGGGCTATGGAACCGAAAGCCGTCGCTCCAACTTTGCAACTCACCATTGAAGGCGTTTACGAAGGTGGTGTCGGCGGTATTGAGACTAATAACCCTCCTTGGTCGCCTGAAGGACGGTCATAAGTCCGGAACCCTCGGACAAAACGTTACAATTTTATATTTACGATGTATCTTTTGTCGGTAAGACTAGCAATCTGAGCAAGAAATGAGGTCGTGCAGGTGCTTAGTCAACGTCGTTCACTCGTTCAAATACTCCATGCTGACATGCACACCAAACTTGTTTTTTTTTCTTTCACTGGCAGGAGCTTCGGACAAAAGGACTCGGAGTAGAGATACATAAAACTTTGAATACATAACAGGGTGCCTCTTGCTCTACGGTCAAAATTACAAGAGGGTAAGCTGGGGTAAGTTGGATGGAGTGCACTATCTAAAGAACCGTGAAACCAAGAAGACGATGATGTATTTGTAGTACGGAACTAGAGTAACAGATGAGCCCACTGCCTTCGAAGCTGCATAAGGGCAACTCCTGCAGCACTCTCCTTCGCAGACCCCTTGTCGCTGCCAGAACCCCGTCCGTATTCAATATCATCAACTAAGCACACCCAAAAATGTGAAAAAAAACTCAAGTCAAAAAATGAGCACATACTATAAATAACGAAAGTCCAAGTAGGATTATGATCAGTGCCATTTCTGACACTTTCCCATCGCAAGTGAGTAGCAGCACTTGTGCCATATCGTTGTTGCAAGAGGTTATTCAACCCCAGTCTGTTCTCTGCCATTGCAACACAAAACAGTCAGTCGTGACAAGGACAATATAGTTGCCCGAGATTATCACATACGTTCTGCGTTTGGCATTGTCAATATTTCGAAGAGGTCAAAGGAAGTCAGCAAAGAATGTTGGGAGGATCATTGTCATTCCCTCGACTTTTTTATACTAGAAAGCTGGCGACATGGCAGAGACGGGAGAGAGTGACATCCGGCAAGTAAATGGACCGAGATTGAGCGTCCGAAGAGGCCTGTAGACAAGCAATAGAAAATCGGAGCGCTGGAGGTTGAGCATAACTTACCTTCCTGTGTCATGCTATGTGTTGCTTCCTTAACCAAAAAGCCTGTAGGTAAAATAAAAGTCGTGAATAAGATAACCGAAGGTTAGTGTGTCGTTCACACTCTTACAAAATACAATATTAATTGTTGTCACAATATTGATATCCAGAACGGCGTCAATGAGTCGTCCACAGGAAGTGCCGCAGTGAGCACAGATCGGCAAGCTGTGGTGAATTTCATTCTGAACTAATCATATAGCAATAATCAGTTGGCCTCCGCCGCGTGCGCTGCGGCACATTTCATGTCTACGGTTACTGGCTTCCCGATGATAGCGAAACAGTGGTCAATCACGTAAATTCTCTGATGACACTGGAAGTCACGTTCTGCGGCAAGATGTTGTTCCTGTGGTAAATGCAATGCATGCCATGGTCTGGGAGGTTACAGGTCCATAGTCGAAGAAGTGTTGACAACTTGATACAATATTTGACACAATCCACAGTGTTGTTGGGAGAGCTGTTTGAGGTTGTTAGGATAACAAGCTGTTGGCAAATAAGGACATACAACGCCACAGTCATCCTGGAGAGTCAGAGCACTTCAAGTTGTTTCATAGTACTATCATATACAAGCTACAGTCCGATTGTTGCACAGCGCTGTACTGGTCCCCTACTGCACTAATATATTTTCTCATTACTTGAGCAACTTGCGCTTACAGTCAGAGACTTTGACCTGCCAGGATCAATTCTCACTCCAAGCATAGACATGCATGAACGAAGCTCCAGCTGACTCCTAGGCCAGATTTTATGCTTGCACAGGACCGCGATGCCTTGTTCTCAGGTGGTGGAATCCTGCGTTGTATTCAATCCAACCAGTAGAGGATAGCATTGGTGGCGGCAGACTGCTAGAACATGACATGCCCAGTAACCTAGATCTTCTGGGACAGTATATGCCGGATTGCCGGATCGGTTTCCTCGGACGGGTGTAATAAGTCGTCAATATCGGAGTGAGACGGTGAACTCATACTCATATGTGTAATCCCAAGGAGTATATAGGCCACATTCGCCAGTCAGATGCAGGCCTCGGGCTGGACTATTACTAGGTAGATCCAGTACTAGTTCTTGACGCATTTTTGCACACCACGTTTGAGAACTGTAGAGATGAACCTGTTCTAGCTATCAATTAAGCGGTCGAGCAGATGATAATAATAAGATAGTGTTACTTTGGAAGTTTCATGTAAGCAAGATTCAAAGTGGCGATGAGCCTGCGTGCGCTGGCATGGCTCTTTCCACCCACACTACTCCGTCAGGTAATTCTGCAGTCCTCGACCATTGACAGCGTTGCATGCTTCCAAAATACTGACCTGCTAAATAGGATTCCTGTTACCGTCGATCCACTCAGCACCCCCCTTCTTCACGTACGCATCCCGCCTCAAATCCTGACCGATATTTACATCCGCCAGACAGCGAGCAACCAAACCAAAACACTCAGGCACATCTCACTGAGCAATGGATACGCCTCATCCTGACATATGCGAGACACAAGCGCCTCTTCGTGCTGCGCGTTGAGGATGTAGAGGTCCCAGGCGGCGATTGGGATGAGATCCTTCGCAATGAGAGAATAAACCGTGCGTTTTATTTCAACCGTTTCTTTTATTTTTACGAAGACTTGTCATGACATATGTTTCAGGACGAATCCCACCGTCGTATCTCTCGTCGTTAATGGCTAGCATGGTCGCAAAGAACCTCGCCGTATACGAGCCATCTAAGCAGACCCGTGCGGTGCTGCTTTACTGGCGTCTTTCGGAAGAATGGGCTGATGTCCTCCATTCGTGGGTTAGTACCTCCTTTCATCGCAAGTCAAATGTTTTATTGTCGCATGCAGGCAACAGCGACCGGCCAGCTCAATACCATCCTCACTTTTTATGAGATCTCAGACCCTCCCATCCCGTCGCCTCTTTCTGGCATTCCCATACCACTCCTACGGCGGGCTATCACCATTCTCTCACGCTCCAATCGAGCACAAATTATCGGGGGTTGCTGATGGCGAAGGTGTGAGGTTCTTTACAGGATGATTTTTGGAACAAGGAATTGTAATCTGATTATGTATGTCGTTGTACTACTTATTCGCAATATATGGTCTACCGCAAGCAGGGTATGAACAAACAACAGTTATGATAGTACAAACGTTCATCTACATCGTAGTCCGAGCATCCTTGATGAACTCATGAATTTTTGTCAAATTTACGTCTTGACCCTAGTACCGCAACGCCCATCAAACGACCCATTGCATCCAGCTTTATTGGCAAGTCAGTCTTGGACTTGGATGCAGGGGCTCTTCTCAGCAGAGAACCTGGCATCTGCGTGGAAGACGAGAGCGGTCTTGCATCACCTCTTTCTTCAGTAGCCCTTCCCTTTCCCTTCGTCGGTTTGGAAGGTTGCAAGGAGATTTTTACTACCTTGGACGATCGCGCTCCCAAGACGGCGTCCTCCTCATTCTTCCGCTTATTCGTCTTAGCAACTTTGTTCTGCCCAGTGCCGTCCCTTTTGAGGTTCCAATCAGAAATGAAACTAACTGCTGGGCGGTACGGGCGATCTTCTGGAAGTGGTCGTTCGCGGTCGTCCACGCTTTCCGTTGCTCGCCTGTCCCGGAGCCATGCAACACCATGACTGGGCCCTGGCTGGTGTTCCTCCCATTCATCTTCATTCTCCTTGCTCGATTCATTTCCATAATCGCTGTCGACATCGTCAAGATTGTCTCCTCGAACCTCACACACATCGTCCAACCAGTCCTCGTCACCTGCACGCTCAAACCTGTCAGGGGCGTTTCTATCGACAACCAAGAGCGACTGTTCTTCTGGATTCTCTGCGATGTGTTGGATTTTTTGAAGACGCGCGTTCTCTTCCTTCAGAGCCTCGTACTTCCCTTTGTATTTGTCGTACTGCCAGTGTGAGGTAAATTAACAATACTTGCTAGAATGAATGCATGCTCACTGCCACTTTGTTTCTGTGCGCACGATGCTCGAATTCCCTTGTCCTCTCTGCTAACTCTTTCATTCCTTTGCTTAGTTCTTCTTTCTCCTTTCGTGCATCTCGCGCATCTCTTTGCGCCGTCTTGCATTTCTCCTTCCACATCTGCTCATCACTCTCAGCGACTTCGTACTTCTTTTGCAGCACGGCAAATGAACGCTCGGCTTTGCGGCGCTCATTCTCATGAGCTGTAGAGGTACTCTTGAGGTCTGCATGCTGCGCCTGGAGAAAGTCATAGTTCCTTTGCAGCTCCTGATGTTGATCGTCCAACTCATCACGCTCCTCGTTCGCGCTCACCAATTTCCGTTGCAGCCGTTCCAAATTCCGTTGCAGCCGTTCCAAACGTTTATTCAAGTGTTGTTGTTCCGCCGCATTTTCACGCGGCTTTCTTGCGGAGGCTAGAGGCGCGCTCCATGGTTGAATCCGGGTCATCGGAAAGCGTGATATCAATATCGACATCCGAATCTCCAATGGCGGATTGTGTGTTAAATTGTGTGAGCGATCGATGAGGATTTAAAAATATTTGAAACGCGTCCTTGCGCTGGACGCGCTTGCGACAAGTGGGACATTTGAAAGGCGGAGGTCCGGTTTGGAAAAGATTTTCGATGCATGTGTTGCAGAAGCCATGTCCTGGATACAATCAAGGGTCATATAAACGAGTTGGACATGTTCAAAATTTGCACGGATGACGAATTGACTCACCGCATTTGAATAATCGCACATCTTTCAGGGAAACACTATCCAGGTGGATAGAGCATTCTACCAACAGCTCATCTGGCATCTTCCCGAATTAGATGGTGACCTTTAAAGATTATGAGCGTGCATTTCCGCACACATATCAGGAGATCGACTACCGAACGGACTCCGTGTACAATGTACTAAGCTCAGGTAACAGTTTGGCGATTGTTGCGTTGATGTTAGTCGGCGTGAAGAAGTAAATAGTATTCAATTCTTTAGAGATGATGATGAGCCTGATAGTAGCATACGCATATGTTTACCACCTAGAATTTAGAATTATTGGCAGCCTGGGTAGAACGCGTCCTGGTGCAAGTCCGAGTCGAATGGCATTGGAGGTGTCACAGTCACGGTTAACGTGGCTGTTACTAACGCGTTACGCGTTTCGTTTTTTCTTCCACTGGCAGTCTCCTAACTTTGCTACGACCACATCCCAATTTCCAGCCCGTTACGGTGCGTAACAGTGTTACAATCTTCCGAGTACTCTTATTGATTCTACCACAAGCATCCATTCTAACTGGTGAGTTCGGGTCACTAGCTACGATAATATGTAGTACCACCATGCTAACAGCATCACAGAGCTAGATTACGAATCGACAATAGCAATTTGTGCCTCGGTCACGTTACAGCAGACATCATTTTACTTTCAACTGATGACGTTGAGATTCGGGTCTTCACGCTCTTTCTCTCCCTTACCTCTCCGTTCTTCGAGTCATTGTTCTCCCTTCCTCAGGGCCCTAATGGTGGTATATCCGACCAAGAAATTAAGGATGGCCTAGCAGTCATCCCCATATCCGAGGACGGCAAACTATAGACCTATTTCTCAGGTTTTGCTATCCATCAAACACTCACAAAGGATCCTCATGACAGCCTGACGGATGCCCTACCTGTGATCGCAATTGCGAGGAAGTGTGTGCTAGACCTAGTCGAAAAATGCATGCCGGGCTCTTATGGCTTCCAACATTTCTCCAGACAGAGCTGGTTCGCAATCGCCAGGCAAGCACGGCTCAAACCTGAAACTATCCTCGCTGCCAGAAGCACCTTACAAAAACCATTAATGCCCGCGTGGTTTGCATAAACCGATCTTATAATCGCATCCGACCTTCTTGCCTTTCTGAAATACCACAAAACTTGTAACAGTCATTAGCGCACAACTTGAGATGGACGACCAGACACTATGACCATCACAGTGATAGTCCCAGTGATATTTGGTTGGATGTATGATGCTCAAGGCACTCGAAGGTACTATAACTGCGGAATGGACACAGACCAGAGATTTTTGCCTTGGGACGCCACTCCAGTTGCTTGGTGGTCAAAGTTCATGCAGGTGGCATTCGAGTTGTTGAAGACACCTGTCCGGTCACACTGTGCGGATAGCAGCGGACGAGACGATTGACATGGTCAGAACTTCACGCTGTTCACTTTGCTTGGGCCAGGTGGGAGCGAACACGACGAAGTTTAGTGTGATTTTTACTCTGAAGTCGAAGATGCCATTGCTTCGGTGTGTCTTGCTCTAAATCACGAACTAATTATGATACCTCTCGATAGGTCGAGTTGATTGACTCAGTCCAGACTCTAAGAGTTGAATTCGAATTCCTGGGGGAACAAGCAAGCCAGGTATTGTACTTGCGTGTCTGTCACAATCCTTTCTCTTGTTTCATAATCATGGATTATTGATAGTGATATCAGTCGTGCCATCATCCGTCGTTGGCCCGATACCTTTTCGCTTAACTTTCTGCTTCTTGCTGACTAGACTCTGTCACTATGAATCCATGCTTTAGGTGCGCGAGTCTTGGCTATTTCGATCTAGCTGAATTGCCTAAATTTCGGAACCCAGTAATCTATGGTCTCAGACAAGCATCGAGACGTTCCGTAAAACCTACATAGCATCAACTTCACGAACCCACGCGTCTCTGCTAGCTATGTTCATGAATTTTTTGTTTCCAGGTTCAAAATTGAAAAAGACAGTACGTTTGACTTCCTTTTAAGACCTGACTACGGGAGACTAAGTTCACCACTTGCGTCGGAAGAACGTGCGACACGCCGACACCGTCCGTCCCCGCTTTTGATATTTGAAAAAAATGTTTTTCTCTTGGCAAGACTCTGTCGAGAGACATTCCGTATCGGCTTGCGATATCCCCTATTTTAAGTCAACAAGTTTTCAGTTCTGGCGCCGCAAGGCTCGAGGGACTTTTGAGTCGCCCTCTGCCGTCTACTAAGTCACGTATAAGTCATTACGTGACTGTTACTCGCTTCGTCATGGTCCACCTCAAGTCTACTTTGATGTATTGACATTCGACAAGATTAACCGGCCTAACCCGGCTGAAGCGGTGAAGGAATGTTCTTGTAGGTAAGTCATCTGTTGAACCCTGACTGTACTAGAAAAGTCCATGAGTTGCTGATCGAAGCCAGAAATAATAGCAAACCGCGCTAGATGCTCATAACATGGAGGGGGATTGAGCTATAGCCTCCTACATCTACAAAGTGGCTGTCTGCTCAGCGCTGTTGCACTAGACACTAGTCGGATTGTCACTTGCCACAGCCCCAGTTTCAATATCACGACACGGTTTATCCTCCTGCGTATCTCCTTTATAATCACCGTCACGTATCATCTCGTGCCGATATCTCGATTCGCAAGTACCCAGGTTGATTTGAACACCAACGTACAAAAAGGCCATGAGGTCAAAGAAGACACGTGTATGCAATGAATGCCGAATGCAGCGGTCTGCGCCCTAACAGGCAACCTGCCACCGCATGGCCAGTTCGATTATCTTATCTTTCTCAGAGCCTCTTCATCATCCCCAAGCACATTCACAAATTTCAAGTTTCAACTGGTGAGTTCAACTCACTTGCTACGATCGGTCATAAATATTCATGACGCCACAAAGATCATCATCGCCAATGGACTTGCCAGCGGATTTGCCAGTGGAAACCTGTGCTTCAGCCCCGTTCGATCACGCTAAAGCAGACGTTATCTTACGATCAGCTGATGGCGTGGAGTTTCGCGTTTTCATGCTCTTCCTCTCCCTTGCCTCTCCGTTCTTCGAAACATTGTTCAGCCTCCCTCAGGCATCCGATGGGGCATCCGATCAAGAGATGAAGGATGGCTTGGCAGTCATCGTCGTGTCTGAGGACAGCAAAACTCTAGATTCGTTTCTCAGGTTTTGCTATCCATCGACACTGGCGGAGGATCCTTCCCTTGACAACCTCACAGAGGTCCTCTCTGTGCTCGCAGCTGCGAGGAAGTATTCACTAGACCTGATCGAGAGAAAAGTATGTCAGGCTCTGGCGAATCCCAAGGTTCTTGAGACAGAACCCCTTCGCTGCTTCGCCATTGCGAGGAACGCACGGCTCAAGCATGAAACCATCACCGCTGCCAGACACAACTTACGGCAACCCTTAATTCCTGTGTTGTTTGCAGAAATCAACCTTATCACTGCATCTGACCTTCTTGCGCTGCTGACATATCACAAAAAATGCGCTATCGCTGTACAAGCTTTAATCAAGGATTTCAAATGGATGACAGATCATTATGGCAGTCTGGGTGGCTGCGGTTGGCTGTTCAATCGTCCTAATAACTCCCACTATGGCGGCAACCAGTACTGCTGCGGACAGGGTACTGACACAAGATTTTTTCCTTGGAATACGCCTCCACTTGCATGGTGGACAACATATATGCAAGAGGTATACGAGCTGTTACAGGATAGTCCGTCCGGCGATACTGTGAGGACGGCAGCGGACAGGACGATTCAAAAGGTCAGAAGCGCGAACTGTGCTTCTTGCTCTGGCCGGGTGAAAGAAGCCATGACGGAGTTTAGCAACTTGCTTGCTCTGAAAGTCGAAGAGGCTGTCGCTCCGGTATGTACCTTGCTATGCAACACGAACAGATCCTGAGAGCTCCCAACAGATCGAGCTAGAGATTGACTTCTGATTGTGACTATCCTCTTCCGTAAGGTCACTATACAGTACTGTGGTAAAAACACGATCTTAATGTCATCAGGCAGATCACGTCCATAAGCTTGTGCCAAAGTGTAGTATCCAGCCGCCCCAGTGTCCATAATCGTTCAGATCCAACAGTTGCAACTTGAAAAATTTGGGATATCTCTGCTTAAGAGTTACTTAGGGGGCTAGTGCTGACTGCTGCGTCTAGTTGTATACAAATACGTCTCAAAAATTACAAATATTCATTTTCTCCATAGTAACCTTCTTGTTCTAGCAAGACGAACGTACTGTGAATATATATAACGTACCCTCAGGGCATCGAGTTTCATCCACATCGTTCTTTTGTTGTCCTTCCACAATCCATTAATCATTATTTTGATCTCTCCATAGTCAAAGGTAAGTTTATCTTACTGCCCAGAAAGATCCTGCTTGACTATACTGTTCACACAAGTAAAGACAAATCCTCTCTGATGGTAGCCCCGCCATTTCTGCATGCCAAAGCAGATATCATCCTTCAATCATCCGATGGCGTCGATTTTCGCGTGATTACGCCCTTTCTGAATCTCGCCTCCTCGTCTTTTGGCTCCATCATCGAGCAAGCGGCACGATCAGATCAGATCGAAGGTGATCTGCCCATCGTGCTTGTGGAAGAAAACCACAGAGTCCTTGACATCTGGCTCAGATTCTGCTACCCTTCTACTCTTGCGGAGGATCCTCCTCTGCATGAACTTGAAGATATCATACCTGTCCTTGAGGCAGCTAGGAAATATTCTTTGAAACCGCTTGAGCACAAAGTTCGCCAAGCGCTTAAAAGCCGCATGGAGAAAGAGCCTTTGAGATGCTTTGCGCTTGCAATGCGTGCCCAGCTAAACATTGAAGCCACGCTGGCTGCAGAATATACTCTTCGCCAATCTCTCATTCCTGCGAGGTTTCCGGAAATCGACCTCATCACAGCAAAGGAGCTGCTCGCACTACTTACCTATCATCAGAGGTGCGGCATATCGGTACAATCCTTGGGCACGGATCTATCCTGGATTACCAGCGACTACCTCAGCTTCGGGTTGAATGCGATAGGATACCAATGGATCATTAGCGGCCCCTGTGGTTGCGAGTCCAGCAGTAGATTCTTGCTCAATGGTCAACGACCGTTGAAATGGTGGAGTGATTACATGGAAAAATGTCTGGTGTCCTTGTACGACAAGCCATGTGGCCACACGGTCCTAGTGGGAGTCAGTGATACAGTCCGGGCCGTTCGAGCTACTGGTTGCTCGCAGTGCTGTTCAAATATCCTGGTGAACATGACGGGATTTGCCGAGTTTTTCAGTAGGAAGGTTGATATGTTGACGGCAAAGGTGACTTGATAGCTTTATTCCTTTGTTAGCAGCGCATCAGGCTCATAATATTGACTTGAAAAGGTTGATCTCGACATGGAGTTACTCAAACCCTTCATTCCGGTTACCCTATCAACGAAGAAATGGGGGACAGGGGGCGGGAAGAAGAAGAAGAAAAAGTGAGGGAACTCCCAAAACTACTGTATATTGGCACACAGGTTGGCAAATAGTTCTATTCTAGTAGTAGTCCGACACTATTCTCGAGAACAGACTGCACATTCTAGAACACCACGGTGCCATCGACCAACTAATGTACTATGGCTCACTGTTGAATGTCGTGTCTCAGTGCCCGAACCAGATGATCAATGTGCACGTCGTTCTAAAACACCTGCTTCGAGACTAGGAAAATTATGCCGAGACGAGCCAGGTATCAACGACATGCCAGCACTGAATCTCTTGAACTCATGGTCACTGGTAACAATCCATGAAACCGGGGAATCAGTAAAGCAGGGGAAAAAAATGTAGGTCGATCATTATATCAGTGAGATCGAGAAAAAATACGATCATAAATTAGAAATCGGGAACTAACAATGTGCGGATCTGCGCGGATGGTGCCTAAAATTACAAGTAGCTGCGTTGTGATTGGTGGTGGCCAGTGGCCACCGGCGTGATCAACGGACACGCAGCAGGTGAACTTGAATAGCTTGGTACGAATCTACCGACAGGGAGGTGGCAGCAGCTGCGGTCATATATGTCATGGGGTTTCACCGGCGACAGCGTTTCATGGTGCGACGATTGACTCGAAGTTAATTTTGAGCTTCTTGCTGCTGTCCTTAGGTCTGAGCAACCTGGATTCTGCTCCTTTTACGTGGTGGGGCAACATATAAAGTCTACGACACAGATGAATATTGGAGGTGTGGCGAAGGGGTCTACCAAGAACTGCACATGGACGTGACCTCAGGGAAGTGAGAGTACTGCTGCAACGTCCGACGGACGTGCAGATGGCTGAGGGTGGGAATGACACGTGGTGAATAACTAAAGCGTGAAGGTCAAAAACACTTGTAGAGCCCGTCACGGTGAATTGAGAATTTGAGATAATAATGGCGACTCAGATTAATAGCGTCTAGCTAAAGTGTGTCGTGCCATGAAATGATCCGGTGCGCTCAGTTCATATGTTTTTTTCTGGGTTTGTTGTTTTTTTTAACAAAAAAACATAATATTTTGGTGACTAATATCGGAGGTTGAAAGAATACAAACACTCCGAGTCAGTGCAGCGGTGTCGAACTTGTTGAATCATTCAATAGAGGGAATCAAACATGTCGATTCTCACACCGATTCTGTTGTCGATTCTGTTGTCGATTTTTAGATGACAGAATCGGGTAGAATCGAGAATCGACAAGAATCGTTGAAGCGGCTCTGGAGCCGCTTCAACGATTCGTTTCATCATCGATTCATCACCATCGTGTTGCCATGTCCAATTTTGTAATTTCCATGTGAATTAAAATTGCGAAATATCCATTCAGAACATATCACAAAGAAATACACTGTCCCCTACACTATGACTCAAAGGGCCTACTGCTGTTATAACCCGCTAGCTGTAATATAGCGAAAGCAACAACCAAAAATGCACTTGCAAAGTCTAAGCCCGCTGATGCGAAAGCTAAGAACTTGAAGCAGCCCATCAAAACAGGCAAGAGATAATCAAAGGGTCGGGAAGATAGTGTGAGGGGCCCAGTTTGGGGAGATGACAGTGACACCATGAACATTGAGCCGCCTGATATCGAGTGCATGACCTATTATTCTGTTACTATTAGTATCCGACAATGCCCAACTACAGATGGACTGAAGAACTTGCTTTTCAGATGCTGACTGAGATCACTGAAGACAAAGACAAAGCACGTGCTATGAGCGAGAATCGTGCATGATTCAGAGGCGAAGCTGCGAGTAGAATCGGGGGGTGTTCAAAGTTGACGTCGATTCAGGTCAAAGAATCGAGCCGAAAATCGGACTCAGAATCGGTTGCGAGAATCGACATGTTTGATTCCCTCTAATATCCGACTTGACTCAGCCAACGTCTGATCCGGAGATGATTTTTTCCTTTGGATATCCAGAAGGATTCGAAACTTAGCGCCGATTGAATTGGACATGGCCCGGACTACTACGACAATTGATAGTGAAATGTAAACGAACGTCGCCGAGGTTCAACTCGATCAACGGATACTGTACATGATTTATTCCAAGACTATCGACAAAGACATAATCCAAAACGAAAACGAAGGAAACTCCGGCATTTTGGATTTTTATAAGAACATGGTTGATGACCGCGAGCGAAACCCAAATCTCTGACATACCAGACATGCGTAGCGACTGTAAACGCAGATCAATGAGATTATGACACGACTGAACGAAAAAAATTCGTACCATTTCGAAACGTTCAAAGCGATCCGAGCCAAGACCAATCCCCAAACACATTCGCTGAATCCTTCACCCAGTCCTCTATAAACGTAGTCTTTCCACGTTCTCGAGTCTTCCGCTCCAGCCACACGATCTTTTTGGCAGTGTCCGCCCCGTGTTCCTCACAAAGTTGCTTGAGGATGATGTGCCGACTCAATCCGGGATATCCGCTCATGACTTTGAGCATGTACTCCCCCATAGCATCAAGACCGGTATCACCAGTCTTCGTCATGACCATGCCGCGGTTGATCCGGAAGACCATTTTCGCTCCTGGATCATCGATCACAAAGCGAACTGCTTCACCGCTCGCAGTGAAGAGGAAGTAATCGACATTTCTGTCGGCTTCAAGCATCTCGGCTTGACGCTCCGCAGCAGGGGAACGTTTGCCCTTGCAGGGATTTACGCCAATGTCTCTGAGGCTCGTGAGACCCCGACCCTCCTTCTTGCCGAGGTTGCGAATCAGCTCGACTGCGGGATTGGAGTCGCCGAATGCCCAAAGGGAGTCTCCCTTGGTTCCCCTCAGACCCTTCGACACCGGCTTCTTGCCACAAGCCTGTTTGTGAAGAGACCAGTCTTGTTTCTGGCAGGCTCTAGCCAATGCAGCATCGTGAGTGAATTATCAATGCGGGATTAAAGGACTACTACGCACTGAGAACAATAATGTACCTCGAATTTGAGTTTTGTTTTGCAAACACTGCACACCATGAAGCGAACACCTTGACCGATGTCTTCCGGCGTCTTCGTGCAGTTTTCGCAGCGGATAAGAGGTTTATCCCTGAGAGTCGTTTTGACCCCTGCTAAAGATCGAGCGACGTATCCCTCGGTATTCTCCATGAGGTGCAGAACTCCTTTCATCCCCTCGCTACGATTGGTGATGTCACGTACGATCGACATCGCCGAGAACATAACAAAATGCCCTGTTTAATTGACTGTTAGACTTACACGATGTTCTGTAAGCGGGAATCACTCACCGATAAACTTATTCCTATCGATAGTCGCGACTTCGAACACAAGCTTTGTGCTTTCGGATATCTGTTTTCGAGGTGAAACATCCGAGGCCTGTCCCCACCATGGATTTGGCAGGTTCGACGCCTGTTCCCACCACGAGTTTGGTAGGAATGCTGGTTTAGTGGATGACTCGGTAATCTCCAAGACACGAGTGAGAAAGTCGACGAAGCCCTTCCCGCCCTGCGCTAGGAAGTTCGAAACTGTGACCTCTGGGCAAAGAGCACGACAATCTTGCCCCCAAAGCGTACGTGCTTCAGATGCCTCCTTCAGTCCTTCAAGGATGTGTCTCCTCTGCTCAGTAACGTTCAACAACAACCAGATGGTGTCAAAGTGACCTTCGTTAAACAGGCTACGCAGGATTTCAGCTACGTGATCTTGGACGCTGCGAAGATCCTGGTGGAGGAACTCGATGTCACTAGGAGTAAAGAAAGAATCATCTAGGAAATGACAGATCTCCTTGAGGACGTCTGCTGCAGTTGACGATGCGATCGCCGCCTCCCACTCCTTATTCCACTTGAGCGCGTCTTGCTTAACATCAGTGATGTTAAATTTCTTGGACAAGAGTGCAGGAAGATGTTTAGCTTTCTCTATAGCAGAGTCGTCCTTGATTGCCGATGCCATTGCTAGATGATGAGTGACCTGTTTGCCGCTCAGAGGGTATGGAAGATCAGGAATATCGACCAGACGCGTTTTAAAGCTAACGCCCCATGGTGATAATCGGATACTATCATATCGATAGTCAGGTGAATAATAGCTCCATGATCAATGATGAATCACGATAGTCCATAAAGAGAAAGGCCATCATCTTCCAGACGTAAAACCCGCGCTCTGTATGATGTAAAGTACTTACTTATCACCGAGTATATTCCACTTGAGCGCGTCTTGCTTAATATCAGTGATGTTGGACAAAAGAGAGAGAAGATCGTTGGGTTTTTCTCCAGCAGGCCATCGGTTGCAAGTGCCACCACTAGACGATGACTGAGTTGTTTTCTCGGGAAGTGTGTTTGTGAGACTCAGAGGGATCTAAACCAGATGCGTTGAAAGCGCTCATGATAACCGATACCGTCATATCGATAGTCAAATTGCAAGCATGGGCAGTTCATGATCAATGATGGTAGTCTATAAAGAGAAGGTCAGACGTAAAGCCTACGCTCTATACAGTTGCGGACAAGTAAACTCGCCAAATTTGGTAGAAGAGAAGATCACCAATTCGAAGCCTGACAGCTTACGGACAAGAAAACTCGCCAATTTTGGTAGTTGCTCTCGACCAATTCAAAAGCGTTCTTTACCGGACGAGAAAACTTGCCAGTTTAGGCAACCGAAGAAAAGGCCACCAATTCGAAGCCTGCGCCCTGTGTACTTATCATCACCACGAGGATCCATGAGGTCTCATGAGTCACGAACCTTCCCCTGAATGTTGATACAGCGGTCTTGTCAGTGACATGAACCAGACATCCTTTACGAGTCTGAATTCTACATGTGCGCAACATCATAACATCTATTCATCGCTGGATCGGATTCCACAGTAGAACCGACGATTGCATTGAAAGCGGGCTGGTCATATCTGCTAGTTAAAAACAAAGGGATTCTTGCACTCGCAGCAACAATACATGAAACTGGGAATGAGTAAAGCAGAAAACGTCAGTACAGAAATTGATCAACATAATAACAACATCGAGACAAAAAACCCGACCATATGGTAGAAGACATGAAAGAACAAAGCAAGGGTGATGTCTGGAATTAAAAATAGCTGCCTTTTGATTAGCGGTGGCCACTAGCACGGTCAACAGACGTGCAGCAGGCAAATAATACGACACGAATCCACCAAGGAGTGGATTTGGCGACAGCAGGTGTTGTGGCGGTGTGAGCTGCAGTTATAGGTGTCGTGGACATGTCGCCGCCGGAAGTGATTTCATGGCGCGATGATGATGCTACAGGTCGGTTTTGAACTTCTTGCTGTTCTTGGGTCTGAGTGACTACAATCTTGATCTTTTTGTTACGGGGTGGGGCAACATATAAAGTCTACAAGATACATGAGTGCCGGAGGAATAGCCAAGCAAGTGAAATACCCTTTTATCCTTGGCGGCCGCAACTTCCACGACAGGGGGTCGGCGGAAGGAACCTTGCCTAGAGCGCTGCCGAGGTTGTGTTGCATCGTGGTCGGTGGGAGAAGAGCGTTGGAAGAGCGAGGAGAGCCTATTGAGGGCCACGCGTGGATGTGACCCCAAGGAGGCGAGAGTACTGCTGCGACGACGTGCAGAGGGCTGGGTATGGGAATGACGCGTTGCGGAGTACTGAGAGCATGGAGGTCAGCACAAGAACCAACCAATTGATATGATAATAACTCACATGAACGCGCCCTTGCATGCCGTCAAAAAAGCCCTGTGGTTCATAGGCATCCTCGAACTGTCCCGTAGCATCGGCCTGAAGTGTCAAGTTTACGAGCATCGAAGATGTTGACAAACACGTCACATACCTCCAAAAACGACTTGTCTGCTACGTCCTACGAATTGGAGATTAGTACACTCTATTGTTAAAGAACCATGAGATGACGCATACTTTCGATTCATCTTTTGGTGGCTAAGAACGAACACTTTCAGTATTAGAGTGGGCGACGTATTCACACTTACATTGGACAATAGGTCATCAAGACCAATATCTTTTAAGATGGCATGGATGTCCCACACGTACGCATTGTAGTCATTGCAACCTGTTACTAGCAGCTTTCCATCAGCGGAAAGAGCTGCACAATACACGCCAGCCTCGTGGCGGAGGGGTTCACCGACAGGTAGATTCGTATCGAGATTCCACAAACGCACTGTTCGATCGCGTGAAGCACTTGCGAGGAGACGATTATTGTGAGACAAGGAGATGGCGAATACAGCATGGTGATGACGTTCGAGAATAGCGACCTGGCGGCATTGAACTGGGTCGAAATTGAATATCCTAATTGAGCCAACGTCTGATCCGGATATAAACTTCTTTCCATCCGACGTCCAAGTCATACTGTAAACTGGTCGACTGTGTTCGATTGTCGAGAGCAGCTTTCCTGTGTCAGCGTCCCAGATTTGCACTGCGTTCTTCTTGTATCCGCCGGTCGCGATCTGTTTGGAGTTGGGCGAGTAGCTCACAGCGTATACAAATCTGTGTGCCGTCTTGATTGGACCAAACATAGTAGTTTCGCCGGTCTCGACATCCCAGACCCTCGCAGTGCCGTCCTCTGATCCACTCACAACTCGCTCACCAGTCGGACTCCAGCTCACAGACCACACGCTCCTTGTGTGGCCCGTCCATTTTGCAATGACCTTCCCGGTCTCGGCGTTCCACAACCTAACTGACCCATCTCCGCTACCGCTTGCAACGATGTGACCTCTGGGAGACAATGCCATGGTGACCACCCCCACCCCATCTTCCTGATCTCGCCAGTCGTCGCCAATCTGTAAACCGCTCTCCAAATCCCACCGTCGGAGCGAGCCGTCGTTCGAACATGTGATGACTCGTTGTCCATCAGGTAGGTGCACAACACCTCGTACCCACTCGGTATGGTCTCGCAGCGTTTGGCGGGGCATTATCCCTTCCGTCTTTTGCGTCTCGCTGATGGGGGAAGAGGGTGGTATTACTAATGCCTCTGGTGTTTCGATGATGGGGGAAGAGGGCGTAATCTCTGACGTCTCTAGCATCTCACTGATGGGGGAAGAGGGCGCTATCCCCGACGTCTCTTGCATCTCAATTGTAGACATGGTCTATCCTTAGACGTATGGACTAAGGAAGATCGTGAACGAGTATGCGTAACGCGACAGCAGCTTTCTGGGATCTTAGGACGGTTAATCCTGCAGAAATGAATATTGCCAGTGGTTCTAACCCAGTGTCAACCCTTGTCAATAGAAGCGCAATAGAAGGAGCTCACGGGAAGCTTGTTAAGAGAAATTCGAACCTGAGGAGCAGGGGTTGCTCGCTATGGCGAGGCCCTATCTTTCACAAGGGCGTGTCAAGTCAAGTATCGTTGAATCATTGAGAAGGAAGCTGGGCAAGGGTTCATTTGAGCGTCTACTACCAAGGCGCATTTCGTACGTTATCTTCATGTTTACTCCACCGCTTGATGCTGCGCAGATGAGGCGATCAGAACAAGCGCTACGCACATCATCTTCCGAATCCTATGCTTATCATTTTAGGAACTTCCTTTTATGACGGTCGTAACATATGATGATAGGTGCCGCACTTCCGTTTCTCAAGGAGCTTCAGGCAATTCCGGGCACTCACCGTCTGAATACAGAGAACATATCGAAATATTTGTTGCGACAAATTCTGGTCGACGTTCGTAATTAAGAAGTTCCGTATATATGTCAGTGGCGTATGTATTGGAGCTCCTCGAACTTCTTTTCAGGGTGGTGCCGTGGCGGCATGCTGCAGCTACACAGAGCTACACATGCTGTGCAGGGAAACCATCACCTGATCGATTCGAACATCGATGCATCAATGTTCTGGTAAGCCTCGTTGAATCCTGAGGACTTCGATGTACCATCAGTGGACAAGTCCAATCCAGGCTACCCGCTGCCCTGCGGCATGCAAGGAACTGTCGAGGAATCAATTACAATAGTATATAGGTGGGTAGCTATCTGTAAGTTCACTCATCCGAACACTCGCATCTAGAGTTCATTTGAAGCAATCTCGAGTGAGCACGAATCCATGTCAAATCTCTGCTGATGGAATAAACGTCTTTTCGCAGTTTTCAACGATTATGTCGACCTGTGCATCATCGCCCTTTGACCACCCAAAAGCTGACATTATCCTGCGGTCCTTAGACCGGGTCGATTTCCGTATCTTCAAGCTTTTTCTCTCCCTCGCCTCTCCGTTCTTCGAGACTATGTTTGAACTCCCCCACCCAGCAGTCGGGACGAATGACGGTCTCTCTGTCATCCCCATGCAAGAAGACAGCAAAACACTAGACACTTTCCTCAGATTCTGCTACCCCTCCACATTGGCAGAAGATCCCTCGCTCGAGAACCTGAAAGACATTAAAGCTATCCTCGGGGCTGCGAGGAAGTATTCGCTGGACCTGATAGAGAGGAAGGTTTGTCAGGCTCTAGCTAGTCCCAAGGTTCTCGAGGCAGAGCCTCTTCGCTGCTTCGCAATCGCTCGGAACGCACGGCTCGAACACGAAACTATCACTGCTGCCAGATACACCCTACGACGGCCCTTGATTCCCGCATGGTTCGCAGAGATCGAATTGATCACCGCGTCTGACCTTCTCGCTTTGCTCACGTACCATAAGAAGTGCAGCATCGCAGTAGCACCATTGCTACTCAACTTTGATTGGGTGACGAGCCATTATGGTATTTCAAACCGTAATCACTGGCTGGTATCTGAGACTGTGGGAAAGAACTCCAGCCCCAGCTGCAAATGTGGGCGTACCAAAGCCAAATTCGGGTTGTGGGGAATGGCTCCGCTCTCTTGGTGGGACTACTTATATGGAGGAAACATTCGAATTATTGAGGGACACTCCTTCTGGCGCTATCGTGAAGTTGGAGGCAGAAAAGACGATACAGAAGGTCAGAAATGGGGGCTGTGCTATTTGCTCTGCCGGGGTCAAGGCGAATATGGAAGAGTTTAGCGACTTGCTCGCCCTCGAGGTCGAGAAGGCAACTGCTTCGGTGACGTAGTATTCTCTGTATAGGTTAGCAACACTTCTAAACCACTTCGTTGACAGATCGAACTACATATTGACTTCTGACCGTCACCCATCACTAAGCAGAAGATACCAGTTTAACCATTATCCCAACTTGATGTTACGTTTCTGAATTATTTTGGAGGGAAATCTAAACACCAGTGACCACAGTCAGTGGCATGACGGACTTAGTCAGAGTGCACGTAGTACAAAACATAAAGTCAGTAAGAAGTTACATAGGATTCAAGAGGAGATATCAAGGAGATGTAAGAAGTATACAAGTTATTCCAAGTTATTCGTCGTCACTCTGGTCCCCCAAAAAGGCTAGAATGCTCGCGCCCGCAGTTTTCTACGGAAAATCGTGATCCCGAAGACAATAATATAGGAAATGGTTCACGAACCTTTCTCTTGACTGGTGGATCCTCGTCCTCATCGTCACTTCCTGATCCTGATTGTTCATCCTGCGATACGCCCTTTTCTTTCCTCGTTTCTCGCCGGCGTTCCGCCTCTGCGAAATCTTGCACATCCCCTAATACAACTGTGACCATAAGCTTGGTCTTCAATGCGAGTCGTTCAGAGTACACACTAAGTTCCTGTGCGAGTCTCTCTCTTGCTTTAATGGTCTTCGCTTTCTCCAGAGTGAGACGACCCTGTCATCCCTAAGTCCTTGAGAATTTCCTTCAATCGTTTAATCTTGCTCATGACTGGTGTATCCAAATCTGCGAAATTCTTTCTTCCACATCTTGCGTACGCCACAAGCAACCTACTATAGCCTGAGCAAAAATCAAACCGCGTTTTCACATATGTTAAATAGAAGAGACACTACTACCTTGAGTTTGGAGACAGTCTCATCATCCTTAGACCCTGCTGTGTTGCTCTTCCGTGCCTTCTTGCGTTCTGTCAGGGGTTTCTTGTTTGAATCCTGTATATTGTCAGAAGCAGCATAGAACGCCAATGGGAGAGCCAGAAACCTTCTCCTGTTTCTTCCTTCTTTTCTTCGGGGGTTCATCGATGACTACTGACATGTCGGAATCATTCTCCTAGTTGCCTGTTAATTTTGTGAAACGTAGGTCACAAAGACGGGACATACAGGTTCGCTGTGGGGACGTGCATGTTTCAGGACAACAGGTTCCTGAGACTTTGAAGTGGAAGAACTCGCTCCGTGCTTGAACTCGTCGTCTAACTCATGTTTCGCATCTTGCTTGGTGGACGACTAGTGAAGAGAACAATTCACACAGAATACAGAAGTGAGAGCAATATGTTTAACCTTAGGTTTGGATAGAGGCTTCTCCTTTGAAGGTGATTTCTTAGGTGACGGTATTTCCTTCTTTAAAGACGTCACGACGGATTCGGATGGACACTTAGCATCAGCCTCGTCGCCAGAAGACTCGACAGTAGACTGTACGTAGTAAATAAAGAAGACCAGTCACAAGATAATAAAATTTCAACTCACCGCTGATTTATGTTCCTTCACAACGGTTCTGCTAGTCGACTTCCTGGTTTTTGATGCTTTCTGAGAGCGCTGTATGCCATTAGTGATGTAGGTATTTTGAAGGAATCGCTCATACTTTGTAGCTGGAGGTTTTCGCTTCATGCTCGTCGTCATCCTCACCCTCACTCTGCAGTTCTGATACAGCCTTATTTTTCGGAGGTTTAACCTGTTTCTCCCTAGCTGGAACTTCGTCTTCAGATATTTCGGACAATTCAGAGTCCACTACAGCCTAGAGATAACAGAAGGGGGTTTGAGTGGCTAGACATAAAGGAATGCCACATAAGCTCACAGAGGACTTGGGTACCTGCTTTCCTTTCTTGCTCTTCCCGGGCGACGCCTTGGGCTTAGAGGCGCCTTTGCGAGGTTTAACGAGCTCTTCATCTGCTGCTACCTTGCGTTTCTTTGAGGGTTTCGGCTGGCTCTTTTCACCATCTGCCTCATTCGGTGGCGTTGAAACATTGTCCTTCAGAAAGATGGCGTTAGCATTAGGAGAGCAGGTCAATACCCGGGTGCGAACTTTGCCTTACCAGATAGTCCACGACTGTTTTCTTGATAGACGTCTTGTACTCTTTTGCGTCCTAAAGTCCCAGGTGAGAGGTCAAGGCTTTCCTCCAGCCTCTCACGCACAATGCGTACAGTGAGCTTGCTACAGTGGGCATAAGTCGCAACAAAGTTACAGGACATGGGACCACATACCTTAATTTCCCTTCGGCACGAGCTTCTTCTAATAGCTTCGTAGTAGCTTGCTGTACTATTTCAGTACTAGGTATGGCCATGGCCCATTAGTGTTTCCAGTCCGCACTGCGCAAGAAGAGTGATGCTTCCGAGTCTTTGCGGATGAATGACATCGATTGTTCGTTGGTCCGTCGCGACATACAACGAATCACGTGGTGCCAACACGTGCACATGGACCGTGATCCGCGGACCGCGGTCGCCGGAGTAATACATGATCGTGCAAGTCTGCCCGCGCATAAAACTTCAAGAGAAAAAGTCATGTATGTGGGCACCTGAACAGATATATATCTAAGTAACTATAGCTTTGCTTTAGTCGACACTAGCGAAGCGCCGTGTTGCAGTATCTTCACTGCATCTGACACCATCGTATCCACAATCTGCTGAGCAGGGAGTACATCATTGATGAGTGCGGCCACTTTTCCTATTAAGAATGTTCTAGCCTGCAGTGACTTCTCTGGGTGTTGTTCAATGTCCCAAGTTGCAGGAATAATACCCTTGGATGTGAGTTCCTTAATCTCCGCCTGGCGATTGTTATTCCTGAAAGACACGTCGAAACAATGAAGCTAAACAATAACAAGGTGGAAACGTACCAGTCTTCGACGTAGGGCGTTCTCCTGACTCGGAGGGGTCTACCGGTGAAAATGAGAGTCGTAATGGCGTCCTCGTATCCTGCGGTTACGAGCGCATCTTTATGTGCCTTGGGCGCACTTGCTTCCGTAGATGCAACGAACCTGGTGCCTACCCAGACACCTTGTGCTCCCCACGCCAAATTTGCGGCCAGTCCGCGCCCGTCGTACACAGCACCAGCGCCGATGACATACACCGGCTTCTTCGTCAGCGGAGAAACATGTCCACGACATGCGTCTACGACCGCAGGGATAAGGACCGATGCGGGGACATCGCCTGTGTGACCGCCGCCTTCCCCGGCCTGAGCGCAAATTAAATCAACTCCCATCGCAAGCGCTTTCGGAACATGTTTGGGATGTCCGACCATCTAGGCACAGTGAGCATACCGCGCCCATAATATAAGAAGAAACTCACGTTCATGACCGGTATACCAGCGGCATGTAGCTTATCTACTACATGCTGTGGTGGCACACCGACAGCACAAACGAAAAGAGACGCTTTCTCCTCAATGATGATATCAACGAGCTCATTCAGTTTCCCGTTCTGGTAATCATACTGCAGCGGATTCAGCGCGGGAGAACTGACACGTAGCACCCGACTCACGTTTGTCTTCCGTGCATTCCCGCCGACCTGAGGGATAAGCAGGTCAACCCCAAATGGTGCATTTGGATCCTTCAAGTCCTTCTTAATGGCTTGAATCTGATGTGGCAGCGTTTGTGTTTGAGTGTCCATATAAGCTCAACTCTCGCAGCGAGACACACCTGCTGCCTGAGCACCTTTGGGGTATAACCGTGCCCACCAATAACACCAAGTCCACCTGCGTTCGTCACTTCGGCTGCCAGTTCTGGACCAGCCGCCACATTCATGCCTACAAAGTTATAAATTTCCCTGGAGGGCAACACTAGAATTATGACGCGGACCTGCTAGCAATATGGGATGTTTGATCCCAAAAAGCTCGGTGATTGGTGTAGAGATAACAGACATCGTTCGAGATGGTGGAGGAGAGAGATGAGGAATTTCAGAGGGAGACGACGTGAAACTTATTTGAATCAATAACAAGACCCGGCAAGCACCTCCGAGTCGGGTTATGCAATACGGTAATCATGTGCATGTAGTATTTCGGAAATGTCATGCCTCCGGTTATAAGTAGCCGAGATATCAGTCCGTGTCATTACTACCGCTTAAGAGAACGACTTGGGCGAGAACTAAATGCGGCACAGTAGAGGAGTGAAAATCATGCGCCATGTACAAATCATCGAATTGGTGGGTATATGACAGCAAGGCTAGAAGGTGTAAGATATGCAAAGTGTGAATGAGTGTGCATGATATACATGAGATGGGTGTCCATGTAAGTGAATAAGGCCCCCCGGACAGCCAGACGACGCAACGAAAGGAGATCTAGATCAGGGAGGCGGGCTTTCGGTGTTAGGTGGAGGGGATTTGGTACCAGACTGCATCAAGCGACGGAGACGAGCCAGCTCGCTCGCCAAAGTTCTGTTTAAACAAATTCCGTGAGACCAAGATGTGGGGCAAGAAAGAAACATTGCGTACTTCGCAGTCTCCACTGCCTCGTCACTTTCATGAGATTGAAGTTCAACCCGGGCCTTCAGCTTTATAATCTCCTCGCGGAACTCTTCTTCGACCTCTTTCCTGATTTTCTGGTCTTCGTTTTTGAGATCCTTCACGGAAGCTTGCTGACGCTGCGCCTCCTTCATCTCATCTGCGAGAAGCTTATATTTCTTGCCAACCGATTCGGCTTCTTTTTTCAGCTTGTCCTCGCGCTTCCGCATCTCTTCACGAAGTGCATCAGTATCATGTTTCCAACTCTCGGTCATGCTCTTGATACTATCGCGCAATGTAATGTACTCGCGTTCAGCCTTCTGAGAAAGGGCCGTTGATTCAGCAAGAGCAGATTCCATCTCGCGAAGGGACTTTTTGGAGGTCGCAGTCTCCGTTTTCAGCTGAGATTTTAAGGTCGCTGCCTCGGCTTCAGCTTTGCGGGCCCGTTCGAGAACCTGCAATAGGTCAGCAGGAGAAATTAAGACAAGGCAGACTAACCTCTTGCAACAACCTCTCCTTTCTTGCTACAACATTGTTAAGACCTTCATTTTCCAGCCTCAGGCGCTCTCGGCCTTCTTTCAAATCCTCGGTTTGTCGTGTCAACTGCGCAACAGTCCGCTGTGAGAGACGAAGCTGGGACTTGGTATTTTCCAAGGCGTTGCGAGCAGTTTACAACACCGGCCTGAAGATCTGCCAAAACTTTAGTTGTCCCCCCGGGTGTAAGAGAGATACGTCTATTGGGAGATGATGGAGCTTGTAGCGAAGAAGTAGAGGCATTCATATTGTCTGAGTTATTGCCAATATGAATGTCGATCGGCAACACTGCTGGCGGGGAGTTAAGAACTGGAGAGAGACCATCGTCGGCTAATGCACGGGCATTCCCTAATAGCATTGAGTCACCGCGTTCACAATGAGGGAAATCCTGGTCATAGGGGAGGGAAAGAAAGACTGACCTACGGAAGCTACAGGTATCCCTAAAACGATATGTTAGTATAACGAGGCAACAAAGGTGTGGGTGACATACGACTCAGTGTACGCGTTGGGCTAGACATCCGCTTAGTGTTCACTGAATGCATGGGACTGCCACCAAAATCCATGGGGATACCCTCGCGGATTCCATCGCGTTTCATTATTGGTGTCGCACTCTCTCTCCTCGGGAGCGGCAGATTTGACTCGCGACCAGCCAGGCCTTGCAAAACATCAAAACTGGAGCGACGTTGCATTTTCGGAGTCGAAAAGCTCGTGGTATATGATACAGGACAAGGGCTTATATCCAAGACATCCTCCGACGAGGGATGTGGAGAATGAGAGGGTGCCATAAAGCCAGGTGGTAACGGACGTGATCCACGCAAAATGATATTTTCCAGACTGTGCAACTGTGCCTGTTGATGTCGAATAGAATGCTTCAAGGTCGACATCTGATTACGAACAGCCACTATGAAATAGAACGAACCGAGATGCTTGAATGAAGTCTGAATTGAGAGAGTTGAAGGAGTAATACCTGTACCGTTCTTGGGTATTGAGGGGCTTGAAGCGCGTGCAGAACGCAAGGAGCCACGTGAAGAAGATCTTGAGACCGGACGGGAAGGAGAGTGTAAAGAATTAGACATGCACTGCAGGCAATATGGATATCAAAATGATCGTGATGGAGTCCTTGTCCACCAGAAATGATCAGAATTTAGTTGTTTCAATGATATAAGACACTGCTTTTAAAACAACGGGTCCAGGACTCCAGGAAGACCCCGTTGATGCTCTTGAGACGTAGCCAGAACTGTTGTAGCGGCCGTCGTTAGCGCTGGTAGTTGTCCCGAGCAGTCCTTAAGTGTTTATCTCTGTTGTGATGTTGCCAAGAAAGACGCGGTCACGTGGCTGTGGACGCGTTTGTCCAGTTTCTACTTGAGCTTGTTTCATGACAATGAATCTCTCTCAATCCAAGTTTCGTCCGTACTACTAACGTTTGACAGATTGCTCTAACATGGCCGAATGTGGAATCTGCTTAGAGGATATTAAGAAGCCTGTCTGCATTCCGTGTGGTCAGCCCTATTCCGATTCAGACTTCTGCATATGATGACCTGTTCACGCTATCTAGGTCACGTTCACTGTGAAAAATGCCTACGCGCCCATATAAATTCCGGAAATGATGCTTTGAAATCATCGTGCCCATCGTGTCGAAGCATATTCCATATTGGTATGTTTCATGTTGCCTGAGGAATTCCTTGCTCAGACTATCATGTAGCTATGCCTGATCTATCTTTTGTCCCCAAAAAATACCATGACTTCATGGCTCCCAGCGTACGCAAGTTATACTTAGACATTGCTTCTCCTGCTCCGTTGCTTGCTGAGATCGAGAAACACAAAACACGCGTCGCCGAATTGAGTAGAGATCGGGATGCTCTGATGGAGAGATGCGAGGCATTCATGGCAGCTTCTAGTCAGCATGCCGCAAGTGAGAAGAACGCTCGTTTGGAAGCCAAGGCTGCTCGGGAAGCCACCAACCGGCTGCAGGTGAAGTATGATGCTTTGGAAAGAGAATTCCTGGACCGGTACGGCTTCTACAAATGCACTTGCATCCTATCACTGACTCGCACTAGTTCAATTCTATCCCAGACATCTCTCGACGGGCGAAAACGCAAAGGCAGGGAGAGCATCGATAGCTCGCGCATTTCCTTCCGTCAAGAAGAACATCCTTCCGTTGTCCTCAAGCCAGATGTGAAGCTCGAAGAGCCCCCCGATGTACTCGAATCTGCACCTTTACGCCTGAAGCGTGCACTTCCCAGGTCAAGCGTGGCTTCATCATCGCAGCACGAACGATCTCATGATCCTCTTCCTCGGTTTGTTAAGCGTCAGCGGCGGGCGAGACATTCAGACATTGGGCCGGGATTACAGATTCAGATGCTTGAACAGTGCGAAGGTTGTGAGGACTGTCCCGGATTCTACAGCCAGTGAAATCATCCAGACAAGACCACACGCATCATATGTCCTCTCACTTCTCTGTACGCTGATGCACATGTATTGATATTTTTTGCAAATTTCCTTGCCACTTAATTGGGTTGTCCCACACAATGGCATTAATATTTATTATTGGGTGCGTGGACAAGAGACTTACATAATATTGCCAGCCTTTGTATCGACCACACGGTGAGTTATTACATAATGTGAACTATAATGCTTCAAGCTTTACGTGGCGTTGATAAGGAGTCTGCTATCGCGCTGCATGAACGTGTAAACCATGGAGATTGACCTTGAATATGAAGATAAATACTTCCGAATAGTTCACTCATGCATCCAGTGGACTCGGACCCAGAGATCCGTGACTAGTACTGCTGCCATCCATTTTTTCCTCGCCTGAGAAAAAACACTTACTCTTGGCGACCTTTTTTTGTCCATCGAGACTCGATGTACGACAACACATATTGTCCTGTCGCTGCATCCCTGAAGTCGCGAATGCCCCGCACTCCCACCATTCTTGCCACCGTTTTAGACGACACGTCAATGAAGATGTGACCAGTGACTCCAATATGTATACACATCGGATATAGGCTGCGGTATCGTATAGAAGGAATTATCTATAAAGGGCTCTCTAGGGAAGGATATCGTCCCACTGGCCACGGGAGCAACTGTCCTGATATATTAATATCAATATTGTTCCTCGGCTTAGATCTTATCGTTTATCTATCAAAGGAAAAAACTCTACGGGAACAGGACCCGGCTTTGCACCCCACCCTCCGCATCACGTGCCATTGTACGCTTCTTGACTGGAGTCCCGGCAAACCAGGCGTCCCGAGATAACCTCATGATTCATACCTAGCTAGTAGGCTGGCTGACGGAAATGTCAGCCAGCTGTGGGCGCATTCCCGTGACACATATTCAATATATCGTAGCGGTAGGTGATAGATTATGATGCGGCCGAATGATCGAAACCGCACGGCGTCCCCAAGCACCCGACGACGACGACAATCTGCGGTCTTCTGCAACTTCTCAGATATTGCTATTCATGGATTATTAATATATATATAGTAAACGATGTGGCAGTTGCTCGCGGTGCTCGCGGACTGGATATGTATATGAACGTTATGCTTCGGAGCAGATTTATCTACAAATCAGTAAGTGAAATTTGCAAAACAATAGTTGTGCCACGTCTTGACTATTAATGTTGATTTCTTTCGAGGACTCGCGAGTCGCAGGGAGGCAATTAGAGTCAGGCACTCTGGCCGGGGTCCCGCAGCCTGAGTCAGGGTTATGCTCCTCGGATCAGGCCACTTGCTGAGAAGTGGGTAGATCAGATAAGATGGTCAAGACTTGTGTTAGAAATTATGTGCCTGATGGCGCGGTTTATGGGAACAGAACCTCGTGGAATTGGGATACAGCCACGCCAAGAGCCAATTTTCCATGTCATCTTTGACGGATTGGCTCGACGTTGACAAAGTACTACAGGGAGGAGAAGGAGACGCGAGTACATGTATAGTGCATAAGTACGCCGAGTATATTCTTTGCCTTTCACTACATACTTTTATGTTGCGAACAAATGTATGTAAACAGCTATTTAATTTCCCCCGAATACATCTCCGATATAGATCTAGATCTGGGGACAAAGAAGGACAAGAAGATCCTTCGGACATCCAGACAACAAAAAGGCGTTTCTTGCACGCTATGTATAGGAATACATATGAACTATAATCCGTCGGACCAACCTCTTGCTGTATCAACCTCCCATTCTGCCAGTGTGCCAAGAAGGGGGAAATAAAATATACCCTCGGACGCGATATACATAGCCATGATGAGAATGAAGTAATGAAGGCCTTTTGGAAGCGAACCTGGCCCGTGAGGCGAGGAGCAACGCAAGGCTGTTACCAAATTCATTGGTCCACTTCTACTCGGCCCATCAGACTACTTATAAGATTACGGATTGCATTTTTGACATGTTCCCTCGCCTGCCTATTAACTAGTCCCCACAATGCCCAGCGAAGCCAAAGCGCCATTCAACAATGCAAATGCAGATATTATCTTGTGCTCTTCAGACAATGTCTACTTCCGCGTCTTCCGCTGCATGCTCGCACTTGCCTCTCCATTCTTCGAGGGGATGTTCGACCTTCCTCAACAAAGAAGGAACCGCTCTAACGGCGAGATGTTCGACGGCCTAGACGTAATCCAGGTTTCGGAGAACAGCAGGACACTCGACATGCTACTGAGATTTTGTTATCCGGCAGCGGTAAAAGATCCCGGTTTGGAGGACATGAATGATGTGGAGGAGGTCCTAGAGGCTGCAATGAAATACGGAATGGAAGATGTTGAAGAGAGGGTGAGGAAAGCCATGGTTGCCCCTTCCCTCCTAGACAGCAACCCCGTACACATCCTTGCGATTGCGTGTCGGTTTGGTCTTAAACCAGAAGCCAGGACTGCGGCAAGATATTCGCTTCATCACACAGCCCCAACACACGATACCCTTTCTGCAGCACGCCTCCCTAATAACGTCACTCAGGGTCTTGTCGCATATCGCTTAAAGTGCAGCCAAGCCGCCAGAACGCTTTGCGACAATCTGGACTGGCTGGAACAATCCCAGACCCACAGTTTCTACGAGTGGTGGACAAACTGCTGTCCATGTAACTCGAAGGCAGACGTCAGGTACCTGACGCATGGAACTTATCCACGGGAGTGGTGGGCAGACTACATGGATGAGACATCCATTGCCTTGGAAGAGTCTCCTTCTGGTGCAGCATTGACGAAAAATTTGGCAAAAGCTGTTGGAAGGGCAAATAGTTGTCCCTCATGTCGACGGCGGGCGCAAGACCAGATGGCTCATTTCACCGAGACTTTTGCTCGGGAATTGGACAGAGTTATTGCCGAGGTGCGCAAAAGGCTAAATTGCGGTGGCACTAAGGATCTAAACTTGCCTCTGCAGATCACGTTAGATATCGTTATTTGATGGAGGGTAGGCACGACTACCTGGGCTGTGCACTTGCACGTCAAAAATAAGTGGGGACTGCTAGGTTTGGCTGTTTTGTTCTATCCGGGCCGTCACAGTTGAACCAACTTAGGATTACACTGTTATCAAGGACTTACTAGTAGAGCCAACATCTGCCGGTCGGATAGGAGTATAAGTACTTCTGGTGAGTTAACTTATGATAGATATTTAGACTGTAGAGAACTTTCCATCTAATGACAGAAGACAACCACTTGCTGTGTATTGTTTGGTATCGTGGATCATCGCACAACTTTTGCGCTTTACCCGGAAAACCCATGTGCAACACTTCAATCTGATAATCTGGAAGCAAGTCGATGCCATCGAGCTGAGTGGGCGGTGAGAGAGCAGGTGAATTGTTTTGAATAGTTAGGGAGCAAGTCGAGATTAAATCTAAGTTTAGAATGTCCCAAGGCAATCCCAAAGGGGAACTTCTTTCAAGTTGTTCCCAGCCGTCCACATCAGTGTCGTCTCAGGCTGGAGACTGGGTGTTGGAAATGCTTCACAGGAGTCACTACAGGAAAGTCGTAACCCAGCTCTCATCAGAACCCTCCCACAATGGACACATGCACAGCTTTGCACAAGTACACCAGCATCGAAGACGAACCACCAGTCGACGCCGGGGCCCCCTTTGACAGAGGGGATATCATATTGCGCACTGCGGACAATGTTGATTTCCACTTTCACAAGTTATTGCTGTCCCTGGCATCATCTTTCTTTTCAAATATGTTCTCTTTACCTCAGCCGGGCTCTCTCGATGATGCCGCGGACCGGACAAAACACGGTCTCCCCATTATACCAGTGACGGAGAAGAGCGTCGTTTTGCGGAAGCTATTGAGCTTTTGTTCTCCAGTCTATGATACGGACGTACCCGTTCTCGAGAACTTAGACATTGTCATGTCCGTCCTCGATGCCGCCGATAAATACGACATGAAACGAGTCGGTATATTCATCGTTAGAATGATAACGGCTCCTAGGTTTCTAGAGAAAGAGCCTATGCGAGTCTTTGCTATCGCATGTCGCTACCGCTCGGAGCCAGAGACTCTCGTGGCGGCGAGATATATGCTGCGTTTTGCAGTGTGGGAGCCTGCATATGTTTCTGAATTGGACTTCATTTCTGGTTCGGACTTCCAGCGGTTGGTCAAGTACCACGCAAGTTGCGGTCAAGCTATGACCCAGCTTACCCGTCTTTGGTCTACGTATCCCCTACCATCGCTTGACTGCAAGTTCTGTCGCAAGAAGGGAGTCTCTCGCTTATCCCTCAAGGAATACCAGGATAGCGTCATAGAGGCACTCCGAATTCGACCATCTGTGGAAAGCCTCCTTAGTCCCGAGTGGATTGACAGTATGGTGAAGAGGGCTGGAAGTTGTATTGGATGTAGAGAGAGAGCGCCGAGGATGTTTGCTGAATATGCAAAGGAGCTTGTCTTCCCAATAATGGCAATTATCCTGGAGGTGAGTTCTTTTGCGATTGACTGACTGAGTGTGATTTAACTCCTCTCAGATTCGCCTGGACATCGATTTTCGCCGATGATATCTATCTCACCATGTACTAGAGTCAGGTCACAAATAGTTCTATGCTTATCGCACGTTCCTAGGTGCATTGCACTGGGCAGGTCCCCTTTTCATATTTGCCTTCCATGCAGGACGATTTTGGAATACACCCGGATTGATGGGATTGAGATATCATCAGTACTGATTTGCAGCCGTGAGCCAATGTCTTTATCTCTATCCTGTTCCGTCGTTCAAGTTGTGCACCTTTCCTGATTCTAAACAGTGCACGCACCCCAGGCGGGGTCCAGGTGCCCACGATCAGCGCGCTTCCAATTCGTTGCTTGACGACGCTCCTCTTGCGACGAAACTTGAACGTACACTATCCTTGTTGTGCTTCCAAACTATGTCACTGGCGGAATGGACCATTGAACAACTGCAGCTACTCTCGCACGATAACAATGGGAATGTCATACTACGATTCTCCGAGGACTGATAGCGTCCATTTCTGTACCCCTCCACGTTCTGGTCACATGCAAGTCCTCGATTTTAGGATTACATCCGACACCCCTGTCCCTGGGGTATGGGTACGGCTCACTCATTCCGAAAGTAGATGGTCCCAAAGTAACTTATAACACATACACAAGATTGCTTCTTGTGAGAAAGAAACAGTAGGTTCAAGTTGTTCCATCAATTCCACGTACGCATTGACAACCAACTCAAGTCGTCTGACAAATACCGCTGAAGACATTCTCTTCTCTCTATCGGTAGTGACACCCGCATATGTTTGGATACTGCCTGTCGTTCTTCTGCATTACTCCAAAAATAATTACTTTCGCACTCTTTTAAGAATTTTTCTGTGCTTGGATAACTAAACACGACCGAGTATCTTGTTCACCTACGACACAAGACAGGTAGGCTGTCCGCGCTGTAAACCCGCTGATGGACAGTTCAGATGGCTACAATGATCATTGTGGGAAGCTTTTGATCCATATTGTAACAAAATGACTGTCTCGTCATAAGTCTTCCATTAATTTCGTTAGGTGCCACGCCGTCACCGAAGACAATGCGTTATGTACTAGTGGTGGTTGATTAGTTCACTGACAGATCCCAAAGCCACGGTGGTTAGAAGAAAATGTCTAGTGTTGAGCGCTGAGCTGCGGTTCCTTGCATCAGGTTCACTAGGACTCCAGGAGTAAGCGTGTTAACTTGTTCACGCGTTCTCAGCAGCACGTGATGAAACGCGGTCACGTGGTATGTGGCCGCTCTGGATCAAGTTGTCGTAATCAGACGGTAACAACATCAACCTTTCGGTAAGTCGTTATCGCGTGCATGAGAACTGACGAAATTCTGAGCATCCAAAGGAATCCGCAACATCATTCAACATGGCGATGCTTGAGACACCGTCTCGAATATGGCGCAGAATCCAAGCTGCAGACGAAGGAGAGCCACCTTCTCTTCCGTCATTACCTGCCTTCGATGATTCTGGTGCACAAGACTCAGACTTCAGACCATAATTCAACCGACGATGGCCTTGATATCTTGCCGGTGCATTCTACACCCGCCCCTCTCTCAGCGCACACGGTGACCTCAACTATCAGGCTACAATCAAGTACTTCCAGCACAGCACGCTTTGCAAGCTCTCTCGCATCACGCTCTGTTTCAGCAAAATCTTCCTCTGCATCTAGAACGTATCCATACCCTCGGAGCCCGGTACAAAGTTTCGAAGCGAGTGCCATAACCTCACTTCCCCATGAGAGCGACGAGAATACAGAACCAGAAGACTCGCCTCTCGCAGATAGTAGGCGCAGTATTCCAGAGTCTCATTTACCGCCAGAAGAGAATGAAATGGACGACATGTCTTTGGAGGACGCACTACAGTCCGTCAGTCGCTCCAGCTCCCCGTTTTCTCCCGAAATCCCTCTGGACAATCCTACGCCAAGGAAGAAATACGATTACTCGATGTCGTTACGTTCTGAACCTCAGGTGAATGCTTTGCTGCTTACTTCTCACTCTAATTGGGCTCAACGTGTCCCAGCGATCGCCATTTGACAAATATCGTAATGTTGCGCTACGAAAACCGCTCGCGCGGACGAGAACGCCGTCACTTTCCCGGACAACGCCCTCTCCTGTCTCATCACCTCCAAACTCCACACCTCGCAGCAACAGATCCATTCCATTACCTATAGAAACACCGTCACCGACTCCTGGTGTATACGTTCCCTTACCTCGTTCGAGAACCGCCTCTCCAGCTGTCATTTCACTTCCAAGCGTCGTGATACAGCCTCCAGAGGATGAGAGCAATGATGAACAAGAGCTTTCCCCAGACCATTCCCAGGACACACCACAGGAAAGTGACCTTGAACCAGGGCGGGAGGACACTGCCACGCAATCGGATCGCGAGCCCACATTCTCATCTGCATCGTCTGATCCAAGCAATCAATTTAACAACGACCGAACCATAGGTGCGCATTCAACAGCGTTTCTATCACCCGCTAGATCAGTGTTGGATTTCACACCCGTTCCGCGGTTTCGTACGCAGTTCAACATCCCACCTGCATACAACGAACTAGGTACAGACGCAGGCGGAGAGCCTCTCACACCTCATACCCGCAGACGGTCATTTCTTCTTTCAGTTATCAACTCCACTGCCCGGCCACGCATAAAGTTTACCCCTCACCCCCACAACCGGCTTGGTGCCCTCCCTGTGTCCCAGAGCTCAAGCGGGAGCAGCGAAAGCGCATCGGGTGTCGGCGCAACTCCCGCGGGTCACATGCGCACCGTATTTGCTGGTATCACTCCTCGGCCTGGACGGGGGCGGGGCCGCATGTCGCACCCTCTTGCGCAAGCGCATGTTCCAGACAGTGCATCTTCTGCAGGCGACAGTGAGCATCTCGCGTCCCCCTCTGACAATGAGCTCCGCGGTCCGTCGGCCTCCTTCATCTCCAATGCGTCCTCACATGATCTCACCACACACCCACGCGCCAACACCTCGTACGACCCTGCGCTGGGCACAGGCCAGCGCGGGGGTGGCACGCTTCGACGCGCCGAAGCTGAATCATTACCTTCACACACTGAACTCGAAGCTGCAGGAAGAGAACAAGGCACTCGTCGACCGGTTGAGGAAGTACGAGGAGGTGAAAGATGCTGATCAGCGACGGCTCAGTTTGGAGAGTATGGGCGGAAATGCACGAAGGATTAGTACAGGGAGTGCACTGGGCGATGTTGAGGAGGCAGGGGAAGAAGGGTGGGCAGAGGAGAAGAAAGATTTGGAGGAGCTCATCGAGAACCTGGAGGCTCAGCTCGACAAGCTTGCAGGGGCGAAGGAGAGTGTGGACCAGGACCTTGAGACTGAACGGCACGAGCGTGCACGGGATAGGGAACGTTGGCGAGAGCGCATGCATGAGGTCGAGAGTGGTGTTGCAGAGATCGTGGGCGACTTGGAACAGAAAGTCGTAGAGAGCGAGAAAGCCCTGGAAGAGGTGACGAAGGAAGCGGAGCATATTCGTGAGCGACTTCAAAGCGAGCGTGACCTTGCGCTGGAGAGGGCTGTACAGGCAGAGATGGTAATGGAGAACGGGAAAGAGCTTGGAGGCGCATTGAAGGAGGCCAACACCCGGATCAGCGTCCTTACAGCCGACCTGCAGAGTGCGACCGCGCAAATCAAGGATCTGGAGGATGAAATCATGACGAGCGACCGTCGTGTTGACGGGCTTGAGAAGGAGCTCAAGAAGGAGCGGCTCTCCGCCAAGCTAGCTAACGATGATCTTCACAGCCAGTTGAGCGAGATGGGGGCTGAAATCATTCGCTCTAGTGCTCGGGCATCTGAACTCGAAAAGGACCTCAAAGCTGAAGAAGCCGCGGCAGAACGTCTACAGCATGAGCTAGAAGCAAAGGCAGAGGAGCTCGCAGAAGCACAACAGCTTATTGCAGATTCTGGCAATGATATCAACGAGGAAGTTCGCGAACTGAAGACCTATACTGCCGAGCTCGAAGAGGCTGTCACAGCGACGACTGAACGCATCCAAGACCTCGAAGAGCAGCTCACTTCCGCTCAAGACCACTTTAACCAGTTGGAGGCCGCAGAACAAGAGGCTAACGATCGTGCCGAAGCACTGGAAAAGGAAAAAGAAAGCGCATCACTGCTGGTCAACCAAATGGAGGACGCTCTTGAAGCCGCGGAGCAGAAGATGCGAACCGACCAAGAAGTTGTCGCAGATCTCAAGGCCAAGATTTCCACCCTCGAAAGAGAAAGAGAGCGCGAGAGGGAGATGTCTCGGCTTTTGAAAGGACAACATTCAGACGAGAGCAATGCTGAACTTGAGAACGTACTCGAGGCAGAGTTGGAACAGGCACACAAAGAGATCGCGAAACTCACTGAACTCCTTCAACACTCTCCTGCGCGGAAAGCTATCGACGCTGCTAAGGATCAGAGGATCGAGATTCTGGAGAAGGACAAAGAGCAGCTCCAGGCACGTATCAAGGCCCTCCGATCGACCAGCTTCGAGACGGCAACTCCAAACAAGGTAGTCAACCTCAGTGGCATCTCACCCATTCATCGACATGTATTATCGATGTCTGTTAGGGCTCCGAAGACACCTGGAGGTCCTCTAAAAGATGTAAGCTGATATTTTAATGTCCGAGGATTCCTTGCTGATGGAAACTGAATAGCTTTCCTGGCTGAACAATACCACTGGCGATGCCTCAGTGTCCCCGCTATTAAACGAAATCGCTCGTCTTCAGACTGAACTCGACCGTGCCAATGATAGTATCGACCAAAAGCTCGACGAGCTGGAAGATGCTGGGCTGGGAGTCGTATCGCTCACGAGAGACCTTGAGCTTGCCCGATCCAAGATTTCTCAAATGGAAAACGAGATGGGAAGGTTAGAGAGACGTGAGGAGCGCAGACTTCACCGACTCCAAAGGCTCCGTTGTCAGAAATGCATGGTCAAGGTGGACACATCAACATTTCAACGATTTTACGACGCCGATGAAAGGTGCGATTCATAGCGCGTCCTTAGCGTGATATCCTGACACAATATTTCTAAGCTCCTTGGATGTGTCGCATAGTGGCCTCCCCTCCAACCCCCCGACACCTCCGACGAAGACCAGCGAAGCTCTTAGATTGGACCTTCATGCAGTTAACAGGGAACTGGACACGATGAAACAGCGATGGGAGGAAGAAAAGCGCCACCTTCTAGGAGAAAGGGCCGTCCTTCAAGATGCTGCGAACCGGATGAACATGGAAATACGAAGCGCAAAGGACGAAGCGAAGAAAGCCACTGAAGCTAGCCGACGATCGAGAGCTGATACTCGGGAGGTCGAGAGGGCGAAGGCTGTCATTGCTGACCTCGAGGCTGAGTTGCAGGCCGAGAGGACGCGTCTCAGACAGATGTCCACAGGAGCAGGACCGCGTCCAGCGTGAGAAGAGTGTTGTGGCTCGTCAACTACAACGAACTGAGGCGGTACGTCCTTTGAATATCGTCAGAAACATTTTAACCTGAAAGTTATCAGGATATCGATGATGTTAAGAGACAGCTGCAGAAAGCCAAGCGCGAAAATAATGAACTAGAGACTGAGTTGCGAAGTGCGTACCGTGCCATCCCTAAATCATCACTCCTGATTGACAAGTATAGCCAATGCAACCATCGAGCAGCAAGCTCGTCACCTCGAATGCAAAGTCAAAGAAAATGCAGAGACAATCGATCAGCTACGGGAAGAGCGGTCTCTTCTTGCAAAGGACCACAAGGAACTTCAACGACAGTTCACTGAAGTATCAGAAGTGAGTGTTTCTCCTTGTAATAACATTGCATTGCACCGACACTTGAACAGCGAGTCAACAAGCTTCGCAATGACTATGCAAAATCACAATCATCGCACGACAAACGCCGTCATCAACTTGACTCGCATCTCGGTGAAATTGAAGACCTCAGGCGTGCGCTCTCCAATCAAGCCGACGAACTACAACGTAGCGAGGAGGAGAAAAACCGCATGGCGATCGAGAAGACCGATGTTGCACGCACTGTTGCAGCCCTTGAATCCGACCTTAGACGCGTCAAGCGAGATGCCGAGGCGTTTGGACGTGATCTCAAAACTCTGCGAACAGAGAAAGAGAAGCTGCAGGCCAAACATAGAGATGAACTGGCGAAAGCTGAACGAGCCAAGAAGCAGGCCCAAAGCCAGATGCGTCTCCTGAACGAGCAACTCGGCAGCCAGCATACCAAGTTAAAGATGGCCCAGGAGAAGCTCAAGATCAAGGACCATGGATTTGCTACGTGGGTGATGACGTACTTTCGTACTGCATCTCGATGCTGACCAAGAGATTAGTGATGGCTACCAGCTTGTCGAGCTGAAAAGACAGCACAAGGAAGAGTGCAAGGGCCTTGTCGTTCAGATTCGGTACCTCAAGGCGAAGTTTACCCGCGAGTCTACCTTGCGAGATGATCTCGTATACCAGAAACATTATCTTCTTGTTCTCCTCTCGAACTTTGAGGCGAGGTACGGGCATTTTCTGCATCATTATGCTGTACGTTTATCTTGTTCGACAGCGAGAAGCGCATACTGGCCTGCATATCCCGGATAGGATATCCCAAACCAAAAAACCCAGCAGTGACTGTGAAGAAGCCACGCTCAATAAAAAGCGTTGTACTGAGTGTCATATTTATACGGCGTGTGAGGTAGGTGCCTAGTCACTAATCCCCAGTTTCCGTCTCGATTGATGTCTTTTCAGACAAGTTAGTGAGGCTTGGCGAGAAGCAGGCTCAAACAAACAAGCGATTTATAGTGCGCTACAAGAAGTCCGTCGTCGAAGAACCATTCCGGCTACCTCGTAGCCCCTCACTTCGCGATGTCTTCCCGTTTGGCCAGACCATTGTTATCATAGTTGTTGTATCATTAGTTCGGTATTCTAAATCAAGATCTTGTACGCCCTGCACTAGGCGTTGGTAGTGCGGAAACCTGAATCGCGCGTTATGAAGGCGGAGGCTGCTTGCGTGTTTCCGATACTATTCGCACGGCATCCTTGGAAAACACGTAGGACAACCCACTCCAAACCGTTGTCACGGCCACCAAAATTCTGAGCATGTTAGGGTAAGAAACAGCATGAATATATGACCGACTTACTGCATTTCGGGTACAAACAGGTTATATTGTGTGGGCAGGATGGGAGTGACGGTTGTAGCACACATTAACGCAAGTTGAGCAAAGGTATTGTACTGTAAATGAAAACTCAGCAGATCACAAAATGAGATGCAAAGAATCCTACCTTGCTGATTGTGGTGGGCCGTACTTCAGCAGATGGTATAGAAAAGTCCCAATATCGAGCAAAGGTTTTCTGGAAAAATTAGTGAACGCATGCTAAAAAATTCGCCTGACACGTACTGGTGCGGGGAGTGAGGTATAACGGATGTAAAAGGCGGAAAGACTCAGCAACACATCGCGCCCGATAATTATTGAGGCCAGCGAGACTAGAGATGGCGTGAGCTGAATAAAAATGGGTCGCTATTAAGTTTGCTTACCAGGAAGCAATCCCTTCACAGCCAATGTCACCGTGAGGGTGGTCATGAGAGTTTTGTCCGCAGCAGGGTCAAGAATGGTCCCGAGAACTGAGTGCATGCTGAAGCGTCTCGCCAGGTAGCCATCGGCCTTTAGTTAAAGCTCAACTTCTGATCAACCTAACCATTCGTGGGGTACCCACTAAGTCTGATAACCCAGCATAGACCAACAATCCGGTCGCGAGGAAGAAATCGTCATGCAGTATGGACCAACCGAGGACGGGGCACGAAAGTATCCGAGAAACTGTCAACAAATTTGGTATGGTGTATATATTCTCGCGCAAAGGTGGTGTTGCAACAGAGTCTTTAGTGTTGTCGGTCTTCCTGTCAGACAATCTGACACAAGAGGTAGAGAGGGCCCTGGTAACTGCGGTGAAGGCATTTCTGTGTCTGGCTTTGAGCTGGAATGTACCAGAATATTGGATAATTGGACGGCGTGAGGCGAAAGCGAGGCTGCGGAGAGGACGCGCGAGAAAGTTGCAGTGCAAGGTTGAGTACATCACTCTGGAGAAGGCAAAATTGGGGAGAAAACCAAAATGGAAATCGCGGTCCAGCTGGGACAGGGGCTGATTAGTACTCGAGTCTACTACCACTTGTGCTACCACGTCGCTTTTGGCCTAACTGGTCTTCTTTCTCAATGCACGCAGTGTTGTTAGGTCATATACATAACTTGTTCAATTCCACAGTCGTCACACTGTCGCCAACTTACTACAGTACAGTATCTAACACAACGCCAGCTCTGATGGTACACGGCACTATAGTAGCAGCAACACGACAGCGAGTACTTTAATCATAAGCCTCCAATTTCACCTACAGAATTCAGTTGAGTGTTGAATCAGTAATGAATCAAGTAGCAGGAAGAGCTCACAGTCGCGACCACCTTCTTGACTCGTGCGATATATGAGGCGCGGAATCTGTCCATATGCTCGACGATAGTGGGTCGGCAATAGGTGCACTCAGTCGCTTTGGTAATAGCGCGATTATAAGGTGCCATTTCCCATAAGGTTGACTCGCAAGGTCTTGCCAACAAGTCCTTCCCACTCGAAACCAGATAGTCATGGAACCACGGGGCGACCTTCACATTTCCAAAGTCTGTTTGGAGCATCACAAACCCCGTGCCACTTCTGCAACTGCATTCTCTCCACATCTGCATGTGTCTATATGAAAACCCTAGCCAGGAAAGGGAGCTCCCGACTGTTCGAGCAGCGGTGCCGCATTTATAATGGTATTCGAGGAGTCTGTGGTGATCCAAAGCGGTGATGTCCCGCATACCATTAAACATATTGCTGGGTCGTCCTAGATCCTTGATCTCAAGGGTCCGGGTAGCGGCTGTCTGCGCATGATGCGGCCATCCGAATCGACAAGAGAGAGCGTATAGCTCGAGAAAGTGATTTGGTAAAAACTGTGCCATCGCGAGGTCCCCTGCACGGCTGAGGGCCGCTTGCATGTCATACTTGCTAGCTGCTTTCATCACAACCTTTGCATCATCCAAGCTGCCGAAGGTTGTGGTGGCGGCAGGATAGCAAAGTAGAAGAAGGGACTCGAGGGTCGTGCTACTCTCAGTCACAGTAATGACGGGTACGGACGATACATATGACTGTGGTTCGCTCTGCGGTAGCGCAAACATGTCTTTGAATACGGGTGACATGAGCGAAAGAATGAGCTTGAAGACATGGAAATCGACACCATCGGCCGAACGGAGGATGATATCACAATTATGATCATCGAATGGTGCTTGAGCTTGGGCGATGGCGATTTCGTTAGCGTCTGCCATGACTGACAATAGAAACAAGGCACGAACGAATCACGTACGTAGCTGCTTCGTGGCAGAAGTTCTACAATCCGATTACAGCAGTTTTGTATTTTAAATAGTCTTGCAAGGATCAGCCTGAGAAAGAGAACCAGCTTCAAGTTGTATCCTACACTCTCAGACAGCGAGTTGATTACTAAGAAGTCACCAATTTCACCTGCAGAAGGGTGAGCTTTGAGTCGATAATCAGTTAGCAGGGAAAGCTCACAGTTGCAACAACCTTTTTAACTCGTGCAATATACACAGCACGGAATTTTTCCATACTCCCGACAACCGTACTGCGGCAAACGTCGCACTCAGCCGCTTTGGTAATAGCGAGACTGTAAGCTGCCGACTCCCGAATGGTCGACTCGCAAGGTCTTTCACACAACTCCTTCCCACTCGAAACCAGATATTCATCGAACCACTTGGTGATCTTCACTTTTCCAAAGTCTGCAACATGGAGCACCCTAAGACCCGCATAACTTCTACAAGGGCATTCCCTCGAAGTGTGGGACCACATTGGCATATTTTTGAATAAAATAGGTGGCTCCAGCCAGGAAAGAGAGTTTCCGACTGCTTGTGCAGCGACGCCGCATGCATGATGGTATATGAGGAGTCTGTGGTAATCCAAAGCGGTGATATCCCGCATACTTTCAAACTCGGTGCTGGGACGTCCTAGATTTTTTATCTCAAGAGCCTGTGTAGCAGCTGTCTGCGCATGATGCTGCCATCCGAGTCGACAAGAGAGAGCGTATAGCTCGAGAAAGTGAGTTGGTAAAAACTGGGACATCGCGAGATCTGCTGCACGGCTGAGGATCGCTTGCATGTCGTACTTCTTGGCTGCCTCCATCACAGCCTTTGCATCATCCAAGTTGTGAAAGGTTGGTGTGGCAGTAGGATAGCAGAATCGAAGAAGGGATTCGAGGGTTGCGCTGCTCTCAGTTACAGGAATGACAGATACAGACGATACTCCCGACTGTAAACCGTTTTGAGGTAGCGTGAACATGTCTTTGAACACAGGAGACATAAGCGAAAGAATGACTTTAAAAGTATGGAAGTCGACACGGTCAACAGTTGAGCGGAGGACGATATCGCCATCAGGATTGTCGAATGGTGCTTCAGCGGTGGTTCTTGGTTCCTCAATATCTGACATGGTGACTGGATGAATGGCCCAGACTCGGACAAGGTCGCGCTCTGTGATGGGCTAGATGACAGCTAGAAGTCGATACCTTTGACTGTATCTGAGGACTAGTACGAAGGCAGTACTCGGCCGGATGCTGGCCGCCCTGGGCAAAAGGAAGGAGAAACCAAAATGGCAATCGCTGCGCATCAGGACAGGGGTCAATTTATCTACATGAATTATAATGCGCAAATAATACAAGCGGTACATGATTCTACAACGCCAGAATCAGCATACAGCTAGTACAGCAGCGTTAACACGACAAGTAATTTACTAATCAGCATCTGCCAATTTCACCTACAGAAGGTGAGCATTGAATTGGTGAATCGATCAAATCAGCATACAGCTAGTACACGCAGCGTTAACACGACAAGTAATTTACTAATCAGCATCTGCCAATTTCACCTACAGAAGGTGAGCATTGAATTGGTGAATCGATCAGCAATGAAAGCTCACTTTCGCAACCGCCTGTTTTACTTGTTCGATATAGACAGCCCGGAACCCGTCTATACCTCGACGAGCTTGTATTTGCAATCATGGCAACTAGTGCCTTCAATTGCTTTGATGATAGTGTGGATGTAAGATGCCGACTCCAATAATGTCGACTCACAAGGTCTTATCAACAACTCTTTCCCACTCTTATCAGATATTCATCAAACCATTTCGGTTTCCATATGCATTTGCCATATAAACGGCGGCAATCGGCACACCTTAACTTATGATGATGATCGCCTGAAGAGATAGATTTCGCAGCCTCTTGAGCAGCGACACCACATTCCTGATGGTATGCAAGGAGCCTGTGGTAATCGAACGCGGTGATGTCCCGCATCCCATTAAACACTTGGCTGGGTCGTCCTAGATCTTTGATCTCGAGTGTCCGGGTAGCTGCGATCTGAGCACGATCCTGCCACCCTAATTGACAAAACAGAGCGTATAGCTCGAGGACGCGATCGGGTAGAAACTGAGCAATAACAAGGTCTACTGTGCGGCTGAGGACCACTTGCATATCATACTTCCTGGCCGCTTCCATCACAGCCACAGCATGAGAGAAGCTGCTGAAGGCTTTTGAGGTTGCGGCAGGATAGTAGAGTAGAAGAAGGGATTGGAGGGTTGCGCTGCTCTCAGCTACGGGAATGACAGGTACAGATGATACTCCTGACTTCAAACCGTTTTGAGGTAGCGTGAACATGTCTTTGATCACGGGAGACATGAGCGAAAGAATGTCTTTAGAAGTATGGAAGTCGACACTGTCAACAGTTGAGCGGAGGATGATATCGCCATCAGGATTGTCGAATGGTGCTTCAGCGGTGGTTGTTGGTTCCTCAGTGTCCGAATTTGACATGGTGACTAAGTGGATACCGAAGACAAGGTCGTGCGGGCAGACTCCTATATGTACCCATTGCCATGGCGGGAGCCCCTAACATCCGACAGGAGAGACTAAATTCAACCAAGCACAACGATTTGAAACTTTCGGCCAATTGACGAAATTTACAAGTGATGCGTTAATCTTTTTGGCGATTGTACTGCATCTTAAACAAGCCGCAAAAATCAGTGCATAATCATCATGCTTTAGGAGGATCTGCACCGTTGCAATACTAGTACTATGCTTGATGCTCTTGATCAGATGCAGGTGGACAACGACCCTGAGGCCGACGACACCGAGAGCGACAAATTGGATGAAATTGACATACATAGCTACTGCAGCAAAAATCCCAGAAGGGCTTCTGTTGATGTTCGCTGTCTCCGCACAAATACTTGGTCTCTCTGCATGCTTGCCTTACTTTGCTCGTCCATAGTGCCTACCAGGTGTCCGCCCATCTTTCGACGTCATTGGCCATGCATTTCAGATCCATACTAACTCGCTTTCTATCATAGCCTACTGGGTGTCCCTGCCACTCAACAATCATACGGTATCGTACACTCTACAGCCTGGGTGACAACACGACAGCATTGCGGGGATTTGTTTAAGAAGTTGCCAATTCCACCTACAGAAGCGGGGTGAGCTTGGAATAGGCAATGAATTAGTTAGCGGAGAAAGCTCACATTTGCAACCACCTTTTGAACTTGTGCGATATACAAAGCACGGAATCTATCCATACTCTCAACGACCGTATTGCGGCAAACGTTGCACTCAGTCGCTTTAGCAATAGTGCGATTGTAAGCGGTCAACTCCCTTATGGTCGACTCGCAAGGTCTTTCACACAACTCCTTCCCACTCGAAACCAGATATTCACTGAACCACTGCGTGATCTTCAGTTTTCCAAAGTCTGCAACTTGGAGCGTCGTAAGATCCGCACGATTTCTGCAAGAGCATTCCTTCGAGGTGTGGGACCACATTGGCATATCTTTGGATGAAATAGTTGGCTTCAGCCAGGAAAGAGAGTTTCCGACTGCTTTGGCAGCGACGCCGCATGCATGATGGTATATGAGGAGCCTGTGGTGATCCAAAGCGGTGATATCCCGCATACTTTCAAACTCGGTGCTGGGACGTCCTAGATTTTTTATCTCAAGAGCCTGTGTAGCAGCTGTCTGCGCATGATGCTGCCATCCGAGTCGACAAGAGAGAGCGTATAGCTCGAGAAAGTGAGTTGGTAAAAACTGGGACATCGCGAGATCTGCTGCACGGCTGAGGACCGCTTGCATGTCGTACTTCTTGGCTGCCTCAATCACAGCCTTTGCATTATCCAAGCTGTGGAAGGTTGGGGTTGCGGCAGGATAGCAGAGTAGAAGGAGGGTTTCGAGGGTTGTGCTGCTCTCAGCTACAGGAATGACAGGTACAGACGATATGCCCGACTGCAAACCATCTTGAGGTAGCGTGAACATGTCTTTGAACACGGGAGACATGAGGGAAAGAATGACTATGAAAGTATGGAAGTCGACATGATCAACAGTTGAATGGAGGATGATATCGCCATTGGGATTATCGAATGGTGCTTTAGCGGTGGTTGTTGGTTCCTCAATATCTGACATGGTGACTGGGTGGGTAGCGAAGACAAGGTCGTATGCTAGTATGTGATGGATTAGGTAGTTAGAAGTCAATACCTTTGGCTGTATTTAAGCGTTGCAGAGCAGTCGACACGAGCTAATTTTCTTTAGGGTTGATCCCGTTTGGTTACAGCGTGGTGTTTTGTATTTTAAATAGACCACATACATCTAGCTAGAATGGGATATCTAGCTCCAGCAAGGATCAGCGCACACCAAAAAAGAGCCCTAGTCCAACGTACTTACAGTATCAATCGCCTTCTCAATCTCCACAGCAAAGTATTTCCCAACACCCTGAGATTTAGGAATGCAGCCGGTCGACATGTGAGGCAGCCAGATGCTGCTTCCAGACGTTCTGCAATCAAGGATGGATCTGCGACGACCTTGCCAACTGGCCAGCCTAGGGCCTTACGTAAGGTTGGACAAACTTTGAAGGAGAGACCGATTTGGGAATTGCTGTGCGCACTGCGAGCTGATGACACCAAGAGCGACAAATTGGATGAGGTTGACGTAGCTGCTGCACCCGATAACCACGTCATATAATTACATAAGGATCCTCACACCTCCGATAATTGTAAAGCGGTGAAAATTTAGGCGAGGCATTTCGCGCATATACTCAGGTTTGCAATTGATCAAGCAATACGGTTCTCGACAAATACTTTGTTTCTCTCTGCACGCTTACCTTTCTTTGCTCCTCCATAGCGTCTAGTACCAGGTATCCGCTCAGCGCTCATCGATGCATCCTTCGACGTGACTGACCATGCATACATATCGATGTTCACATCCACACACTGGCTAACTTGCTTTCCATCATAGCCTACTAGGTGTCCCAACAACCACTCGGTAATCATACAGTATGGCCGCCCTACACTCTACAGCTTGGGTAGCAACACGACAGCATTGCAGTGAGTTGTTTAAAAGTTGCCAATTCCACCTACAGAAGTGGGGTGAGCTTTGAATAGGCAATAAACTAGTTAACTCACAGTTGCGACCACCTTTATAACTTGTATGATGTACAAAGCACGGAATCTATCCATATCTTTGATAACCTCGCTTCGGCAATCATTGCACTTCGTCGCTTCGACCATGGCTTGATTGTAATATTTCGACTCCATTATGGTCGACTCGCAAGGTCTTGCCAACAACTCCTTCCCACTCGAAACCAAGTACTCTTCAAACTATGGAACGATTTTCAACTCGCCAACGTTTCCAATCTGGAGCGTCTTAGCACTGCCCGTGAGTCTGCATTTGCATATCCACATTTGCAATTGCATTTCTCCAGATGACGGCGGTAGCCAGGAAAGAGAGTCTCCAACTTTTTGAGCGACAATGCCGCATTGATAATGGTATACGAGGAGCCTGTGGTAATCCGCACCAGTGATGTCCTGCAAACCATTAAACCCATTGCTGGGTCGCCCGAGATCCTTGATCTCAAGAGCACGGGTAGCAGCGGTCTGAGCATGATGCTGCCATCCGAATCGACAAGAAAGAGCGTAAAGGTCGAGGAAATGATCTGTCAGGAATTGAGCGATGATGAGGTCTCCTGCACGGCTGAGGGCTGGTTGCATATCATACTTCTTGGCTGCCTCCAAGACAGCCTTTGCATCATCCAAACTGTCGAACGTTGGGGTTGCGGCAGGGTAGCAAAGTAAGGATCTGAGAGTCGTGCTGCTCTCAGCAACAGCTATGATGGGTATAGATGTTTCATCCGACTGCGATTCGCTATGTGGTGACATGAACTTGTCTTTGAATATGGGTGACATGAGCGAAAGAACAAGCTTGTAAACATGAAAGTTTACACCATTGGTTGATTGTAGGATGTTATCACAGTTTTGGTCGTCGAATGGTGCTTCGGCAGTGGTGATTTCCTCAGTGTTTGACATCGCTGACGACGGAAACCACTTGAAGGTCTCACACTGGGGGGCTAGATAGGCAGGAGTCAATCTTCTCGACTGTATTTAAGCTCTGCAGAGAAGTCAACTAGTCGACACGAATAGGTTTGCTTCGGGGAGTGATCGATGATCCCCGGAGAAGGTAGCATTCTGAAACAGTTCGAATACAACGCGGCGCCTGTACTTCAGATAAACCATGGATTTTTTAACCAGAATTGGATGTCTAGCTCCACCTTAGGACAGCAAGGAGATCAGTGCACACAAAAAAAGCCAGTCCAACGTACTTACAGTATCAATCGCCCTGTCAATCTCCACAGCAAAGTGTTCCCCAACAAACACGCTGACTCAGAAATCTAGGAATGCAGCCAGTCGACATGTGAGGCAGCCAGATGCTGCTTCCAGACGTTCTGCAATCAAGAATGGATTGACGACGAGCTTGCCGAGTCCCGACTGGTCACGACTGCAGCCTAAGGCAAGGTTGGATTGTCGGAAAGGTAAAATTCGAAGGAGAGGTCAAATTGGGAATGGCTGTGCATCGGGACAGGGGCTAAATTTAGTGCGCGGGAGCAGCGTAGCAGGTATTATCTTTTTCAGTCTTCTAAGTCAATTCTAAATTCTAAGTTCACAGATCTCAACATATGGTCACAATATTGAGCTGGGTCATATCCATCACGACAACTTGTTTTCCATCTCAGCCGATGTTATCCAAGAGCCGCTCTAGTATATTAGTAGTACGGTACCAACATGGTGGTAGAGTCCTATAATGCCAGCTCCAAGGACATACAACTAATACACCAAAATTGATACGACAAGTAGTTTACTGATCAGCATCCGCCAATTTCACCTACAGAAGGTGAGCATCGAACCAGTGAATCAATCAAGGAAAGCTCACTTTCGCAACCGCCTCTTTTACTCGCGCGATATATAAAGCACGGAACGCGCCTATACCTTCGACGAGCTTGTATTTGCAATCATAGCAACTAGTGTCTCCAAATGCTTTGATGGTAGCGTGGATGTAAGATGCCGACTCCCATAACGTCGACTCGCAAGGTCTCATCAACAACTCCTTCCCACTCTTGTCCAGATATTCATTGAACCATGACAGATTCTTAGTAAAACAGGCGCATGTGTCACACACCAACTCAAAAATATGATTGCCTGAAAAGGGAGATTTCCCAACATCTTGAGCAGCGACACCACATTCCTGATGGTATGCAAGGAGCCTGTGGTAATCGAACGCGGTGATGTTCCGCATCCCATTAAACACATGACTGGGTCGTCCTAGATCTTTGATCTCGAGCGCCTGGGTAGCTGCGATCTGAGCATAATCCTGCCATCCTAATTGACAGAACAGAGCGTATAGCTCGAGGACGCGATCGGGTAGAAATTGAGCAATAATAAGGTCTACTGTGCGGTTGAGGACCACTTGCATGTCATACTTCTTGGCCGCTTTCATCACAGCTACAGCATGAGAGAAGCTGCTGAAGGCTTTTGGGGTTGCGGCGGGATAGTAGAATATAAGAAGGGATTCGAGGGTTGCGCTGCTCTCAGCTACAGGAATGATAGGTACAGACGATTCTCCCGACTTCAAACCGTTTTGAGGTAGCGTGAACATGTCTTTGATCACGGGAGACATGAGCGAAAGAATAAATTTGAAAGTATGGAAGTCGACACGGTCAGTGGTTGAACGGAGGATGATGTCGCCGTCAGGATTGTCAAACGGTGCTATAGCAGTGGCTGTTGGTTCCTCAGCATCTGACATGGTGAGTGAGTGGGTGGCGAAGACAAGGTCGTGCATGTGATAGGCTGGGTAGCTAGAAGTCAATACCTTTGGCTGTATTTAAGTGTTGCAAAGCAGTCGACACGGGCCTGTTTTCTTTGGGGTTGATCCCAGATGTAGGGGATGTGGTATTAAAACAGCGTGGTTGCAGCGTGGTGTTTGTATTTCAAATAGACCACATACATCTAGCTAGAATGGGATATCTAGCTCCACCTTAGGACGGCAAAAATCAGCGCACACAAAACAAGAACCAGTCCAACGTACTTACAGTATCAATCGCCCTATCAATCTCCACAGCAAAGTGTTCTCCAACAAACACGCTGAGATCTAGGAATGCAGCCGGTCGACATGTGACGCAGCCAGATGCTGCTTCCAGACATTCCGCAATCAAGAATGGATCTGCGACGACCTTGCCACAAGGGCGCTCACGAAGAACATTCCTGGCACGCTCCATAAACTCAATGAACCATGCATTGACTTCGTATATCTTCCCATCAGAAAGAGGCCACGACAGGGGGTGATGAACGCAGTCATCGCATTGGAACCATACCCAGCGTGATGCGAAGCTGGGAAACCAGGAGAAGTCAGCTGTAAGCGAGCATGTAGCAATACTGCATTTTCGGTGGTACTGGAGGAGGCGATGGTAGACGGAGGCGGGGATGTGTTCCAGCTCTTCGATGTAGGGAGTGAAGAAGGGCTGGCGGACTGTATACTTCGCAGCTATACGAGCTTCATCCTCCAAACCATAACGGTATGCGATAGCGAATACGCGCAGCGGCTGATCGTCTAGGAACGCTTGCTGTACAAGCGAGCCCTTGACTTTGTTCATCAACCCCTTCATCCCGAACTTTCTCATCATCTCAAAGACGGCCTGCACATCGTTTAGGCTACTAAGTACAGGATTGGAGAAGGGGTAGCAATATTGCAGCACCCTCTCAGTTGTCTGAGCGTCTTCTTCGAGTTTGATGATGGCGTGATCACCGTCGAGTGTAAGGACGAGTCCTTCAAACGGCGGACATGGAGAGGACGACCCTGACAACAGAAGACGCTTTAAAAGCGGAGATGCAACGGCGAGGAAGATCTTGTGGACAGCAAACTTTGCGTCGTCCGAAGTATGAATGATCAAATCTGCATCTGTGGCATCAAAAGGAGCGCGGAACGAGGAAACTTCGACAGAAAGAGGCGCAGCCCCCACGAATTGGGACATGGAGAAGTTTCTGGAACAGAGTGATCAGAGGGAAATGTAGATAGTAAATCAGACAGGAGAAGATATACCCTTCGTGGTGTGACTCGCGGATATGGCATGGTTTGCACGCCTGATCTTCATGGAGGATCTATTGAGAGTGTAACACTGCTTCACATTATTTGATACGAGTACTTGAGCGAGTCACATGAAAATTGTACAAGTTCACAATCGCCCAGAAGTTGCATTGGCCAATGATCAAAAGGCAAACTGCCGCATGTCGTGGAGCTTTGTTGGGAGCGTGGTAACCGATGAAATTTGAAATACGGTAGGCGACAGTTGGACTGTAGGTTTGATTGAGTTTCCATTAATTCAGCATGGTTCGGTTGAACTGATAAGGTCTCTAAGCAAATCTGCAGCCTGGCAGGCCTCTGGGGCCTGTGCAATGGGGCAACTTGGCGCTCGTCCTAGTAACACTGGAAGTTCCAAAGTTCAAGTAAGTAACTCTTACATAAATACACCTTGCAATTTCCATGATATACGTGGAATTTTGTCATTTTATTTCACCGTAGCTGAGAGCTCAGAGGATGGTTAGAGGCCTGACAATGACAGAGGAGACGAAAAGAGAAAAGCGGCTCGCAGGAACATCCTTTTTCTCTCCCAACGCCGCATGACTGGATATTTCTTTGCAACACTTAGACTTGCCTACCAACTGCCAGCCATCAATTTCGAGTCAGCGTCAAAACGCACGTGAACAAGGCTGACTCGGATATCAGGGATAGTCATGCCTAGACAAAGCTCTTCGCGACCAGATGGAAGCGCTATTCCTCCAACCTCTGCGGGAGCTTAGGTTCAGACTGCGCGAGTGTCCGCTTTTGACACTCGTTGTTGATACCCTTGATGAATGCACACCAGAATTCCTCGATCAATCCACATTCGACTCCCTCTATGAAGACAAATTCGAAAGCGAGCTTGCCGAACTCATCTGGGATCCCGCTTGCCCAATCTCTTCACAATCCTGATATGCCTGTGACTGATATTAATATTCTAATCACCAGTCTGATGAAGTCGTCTATCCTTACTTGGAGCATTCATTCAAAAAGCTGTGAATTCGCTGCTCCACTTTCCTGCACCGGCAGTCAACGAAGGGTAAACTTGAGTAGCTGACGATCCGAGCTGGCAGGTGTTTCATCGTGGTGTCTACAATGCTGAATTTATCGATTGACACAATGGTCCCCGTGACCAGCTTTAGCTCATGCTCGAGCTAACGAGCAAATTACTACCAGGAACGGAAGTGTACAAGTGATATGACCGTGACTGCAGTTTCCTTCAAGTACGATGTCTCATATCTGCGGTCTTGCTTCACTATTTTATGTGAAGGCAAAAAACTTGCAGAAGTGCGTGTTTGTTCACAATGGTTTCCCAGACTCGTGTTAACCTGACCTGCACATTCAGTACCATTTCTTTGAAGCTCTGGTGACATCTCAGTACTCAGTAACGAACCAGTCTGAAGCTGGCAGATCTGTGTAACATGCACTCACTGTCTTGTCATCGCACATTGATTGCTTGCTGTCACATTTTACAGTACCACGGAAAGTAGTTTTGTATTTTTCTCTCCTTCAACAGATTCAGATCATCTGCCGCATATATAAATAAGACCGTATTTCTTGGTCCTTCGCTAAGTACATGTTTTTATGATCATAAGACCATCGAAAAGAACATGTCATGGAGATTCACTTGTCCCAATTGAAAGTAGGAGTAAGATGCCCTTGTACTGCATTACTGAAGACAAGACACTCTGATTAAATAAAACGAACACGTTACAGGCATACCTATGTCCGAAGACTCAAGAACATGGGAACGTAGATCATGACACAGACTCAATTACAAGGCATGAACTCCCCGATGCTCTGAATACTGCGGCGGAAGTTCAACTAAACCATTGACGTCTGGTACAACATCATCAGCGTCGGTATGCACAATGATTTGAGTAGGAGGTTGGTAGATTGGTTGACCGGCCGCCGTCGCGGCTGTTTGCGCGCTAGCCGGCGCCATAGACTGACTACCAGATGCTCCATACACAGCTAAGTTGTCTGTGTTAGGGCCCTGACGGGAATTTTGTGTCTGATTGAAAGGTTTGGGAAGGTCCCTAGCCGTCAAGTCGGCGGCAGGCGCATTAACAGGGTTTGGTTGGGATTCATATTGAATAGGTGGACCAACGTAGCTAACAGGACCTGTCTCCCGTGGTAATGGCAATGGCGTTTCAGTGATGGTATTCATTCGTCTGTCAACAGATGGCATAGTAGCCGAACTTCGAGCGTCTCCATACGCAGCAAAGTCTGCGTTTGAGCTTTGACGTGAATGCAGTGTGGGACGGTCGCTAGCTGCAAAGTTCCCGGTAGACGTACTAAGAGGGGGCGATTGGCTGCCGGGTTGAACGGGAAGGTAGCCAACAGGGTATTGTAATGGATAATTCGGTGACATTGGTTGAGACATTTGGTTGTAAGCGGATGACATGGTCGAACTTTGAGAGTCCGTGTTGGAGTGCTGGCGCGAATGTTGTGTCCGGTTGAATGATGAGGCAGGGGTGCCAACTGCGAAGTTGCTCGTGGACGAATTGGTCAAGTCTGATTGAGTTGTCAGGCTGGGTTGAATGGGTTGGGTATGGTAGCTGAGGGGATTTGTATTGTGAGGGAAAGGGGATTGTGGCGGAACGTCACTATAAGAGCTGGCTTCGTATTTTGGATCTGTGTGCTGCATTCGACGTGGATGACTTTGTGTAGAAGACTGAACGTCCGGAGAGGGAGACGCTCTCCGTTTACGCCACAAGCACACGCCGAGGATGACCGATGCAATAAGGACAGCCCCACCGCCACCGCCCGCTGCGCCTGCAATAAGAGCAACATTGCTGCTTGATGAACTACTTGTTGGACTTGGACTGCTTGAACTGCTTGAACTGCTTGAACTAAATGTCGGTGAAACCGTGGACGTGGCCGATATGCCTGCAGTGGACGGGGCCGATATGCCTGCAGTGGATGACGGCGAGTTGGCGCTCAGGCACGAGGAATTACTCGACCCTGATACCTGCTCGATCCCAGAGACACCACCTTGCGTGCCTGTAGAGTCGGTGACAAAATACATGAGGTCCGTCCCTGCGTTAACCTCTATGGCGAAGGTAAAAGAGCTATCCACGGAAATAAATTCCACTAGTTGTCCGCCAGGAATAAGTTGCTGTAGCAAGATAAGTAGATTGTTCTGATAGAATTGAAGATGATCTGACCACAATAGTAATGGGCAGGACTGGACTACTATCAATGGTCGAAATGGTCAATTGACTGCAGTAGTAGTAGGTCAGTGCCACACAAGTAGGCGAACCAAACTTACCTGCATTGAATCAGTGGGGGTGGCGGCGAAAACGTAAACTCGAAAAGAGGTGACGCAGCTGCAGTGTTGCAGTTGATATTTGTAATCTGATTTCCAACAATTAGTTGATTTGTCGTCCCACCCGAACCAAATCCGGTGGCGTCAGACATAGTGAGTAGAAACGATGTGTTCGTCGACAACGGCAATGGAGATATTGAATAAGAGCCTTTGCCATTGGTGAAGGTCGATGATGGTACAGAATAATTCCAATACATTTGATAAGACTGGAAAGCACAAAGATTAGCGCGCAATCGATGCGCTTGAGACGATAGTGCCAACGAACGGGAGTTAAGAGTATCTCAAATGGTGCTTGCCCACCTGACGGCCCCGATGAAGTTCAGCGGGAGCGCATAAAATGTACTAGTCATGTACTTACCAGTCCATGAAACAGTGAGAGGGTCGCACTGAGTGGGAGTCCCAACAGTCACACTGAACGTGGCACGCGCAACAGAGAGACAAGGAGCAATATACGCAAAGAAGCGAACGAAGTGCATACTCAAGGAATGAGGAAGAGACGCAGGTGCAGTCAAGGGATATCTTGAAAAAGGGAATCGGGGCAAACTCAAGGTGAGGGGAACTTGCGTCCTAGATAACGCTGACCCGGTGAGAATCGATCAATACATTATAGCCCAATCAACGAAATACTCCTGGACAATATCACAAACCTGCCGCAAGGCTGTTCGTGATCATTGACATTGACACTACGCCGACATCGGATTCTTCCATTCGCAAGTTTACTTGAGCCCCGAAAAATAACTTTCGATGCTTGAAACACGGTAGCAAGAACGAGGACTGGAGTCGTGCCCTACGCATTTCATAGAATAAGTAGAAAGAGGTAGATGGATGACTGACGTACTCATAAACCCAGGTATTTAGTGCTGTAATTCAAGTGTCGTCGGATAGTCGATGGCCAAATATAACATGCTTTTGATTGACGCGCGACACCGCATTCCGACGTCGTGGCCAGCCAAGAGTGGCTATACATGAAGGATATGGCAATGGTGTGTAGATCACCGTGCCGGTGCCAGGGGTATCTATTGGGGTATGAGGAATGCATGCACCAATTCAATCGGTCTATTCAAGGAGTGTGCGGTACCAGGAGGTTCACGGAGTTCCACACACCCCTACCCCTGCGTAACTTAGTAAGAGCATTTTCCCTCGGATCGGTACCTAGTTCAGGCCTCAGGCACCGCCTAAACACTGTTAGACGCTTGTCCAAAAGACTCCCACGTTAGTGGGAAGAGGACGGATCCAAATCCCAAGGCACCTATACGGGTCTGGGAGTATATGGGTGACCGTGCTGAACAATAACGAAAATCAATGTTTTGCATAGAAAGTAGCGTAGTTGTCACACAAGTGAGGGACCAGGCATTTTACTGATGAGCTCCGAGGGGATAATCCTGCCTAGACAAAGCTCTTCGCGACCAGATGGAAGCGCTATTTCTCCAACCTCTACGCCGGGGAGCTTAGATTCAGACTGCGCGAGTGTCCGCTTTTGACATTCGTTGTTGATACCCTTGATGAATGCACACCAGTCAATCCACATCCGACTCCCTCTATGAAGACAAATTCGAAAGCGAACTTGCCGAACTCAGATCTGGGATCCCACTTGCCCAATATCTTCATAATCCTGATATGCCCGTGACTCATATTAATATTCTGATCATCAGTCGCTCGGATGCTATATCTGTGAAGCCATACAGAACGAGAATGCGCGCCTGTGGCTGTGCAAGCTATCTTTGGAAAGGGTGAGCCACCATCTCGCTAGATTGCCCAGATGTTAACGGAGTCGTCCATCTTTATTCGAGCATTCCTTCAGAAAGCTGTGAAGTCGCTGTTCCACTTTCCTGCACCGGCAGCCAACTAAGGATAAACTCGAGTAGCTGACGATCCGAACTGGCAGATGTTTCATCGTGGTGTCTACAATGCTGAATTTATCGATTGTAATTTGACACAATGATTCCTGTGACCAGCTTTAGCTCGAGCTCGAGCTAACGAGCAAATTGCTACCAGGAACGGAAGTGTACAAGTGATACGACCGTACCCTCCCCACATGCGCTGACCCCAAGTGGGCATACATGTATTTGTTTGTTGTCGCTGCCCTTGCGGACCCGCTGCCAAACTCACAAATCTCGACTTCTTGGCCTTGGTGAGGGCAGGGATGCAGAGACAGCATTGGCGCATTTATAGGTCTGTCATGAATATTCCTACTAACAGCAGTCTCCCCGTGAATACCTACTACTGTTCCGTTCGTGACTATGTTTCTAGCCCCTCTGACTGCAGCTTCCCTCAAGTACAATGTCTCACATCTGCGGTCTTCCCTCACTATAAACTTGCAAAGGTATGTGTTTGTTCACAATGATTTCCCAGACTCGTAACCTGACCTGCACATTCAGTACCATTTCTTTGAAGCTCCGGTGACATCCGAGTCTCAGCACACAGTAATCAGTCCGAGTCTAAAGCTGCCAGATCTATTTAACGTGTCACACTCACTGTTTTGTCATCGCACATTGATTTCTTGCTGTCACATTTTACAGTACCACGGAATGTAGTTTTGTAGCTTTCTCTCCTCCAGCAGATTCAGATCCTATACCGCATATATTAGAAATGAGACCGTATTTTCTGGTCCGTACATGTTTTTATAATCATAAGACGCTCGAAAAGAACATATCACGGAGGTTCACTTGTCCCAATTCAGAGTAGGAGCAAGATGGCCTCGTACTTCATTATTGAAGACAAGACACTCAAATTAAATTAAATCAACACGCTACAGGCATACCTATGTCCGAAGACTCTAGAACATGGGAACATAGGTCATGACGCAGATTCAGATTACAAGGCATGAACTCCCCGATGCTCTGAATACTGCGGCGGAAGTTCAACGACGGCTGGTACAACATCATCAGCGTCGGTATGCACAATGATTTGAGTAGGAAGTTGGTAGGTTGTTTGACCGGCCGCCGTTGCGGCCGTTTGCGCGCTAGCCGACGCCATAAATTGGCTGTCAGATGCTCCGTACACAGCTAAGTTGTCTGTGTCAGGGCCCTGACGAGAATTTTGTTTCTGATTGAAGGGTGTGGGAGGGTTGTTAACTGCACCCTTTCCGGCAGAGGTAGAGACTGATTGGGATCCGGGCTGAACGGGTGGAGCAAGATAGACAAGGTTTGTCTTCTGTGGTAATGGCGATGCTGGTCGAGCCCCTGCAGCCACATGCTCGACGGGTGCCATATCTGACATTCGAGCGTCTCCATAGACAGTCAAGTCTGTGTTAGAGCTCTTGTGCGAAGGCTGTGTCTGATTGAAGGCTGTGGGAAGGTCCCTAGCCGCCAAGTCTGCGGCAGCCGCATTAATAGGGTTTGGTTGGGACCCAGGTTGAATTGGAGGACCAAGGTAGCTGACAGGACCTGTCTCCCATGGTAATGGTAATGGCGTTTCAGTGATGGTACTCATTCGTCTGTCAACAGATGACATAGCAGCAGAACTTCGAGGGTCTCCATACACAGCAAAGTTCTGCGTTTGGGCTCTGGTGTGAATGTAGTGTCTGATTGAACGGTGTACGGACGATCGCTGAATGTGAAGTTTCCGGTAGACGTATTAAGAGGGAGTGATTGGCTGCCGGGTCGAACAGGTGGAGGGTAGCCAGCAGGGTATTGTACTGGGTAATTCGGTGACATTGGTTGAGACATTTGGTTGTAAGCGGATGACATGGCCGAACTTCGAGCATCCCCGTAAACAGGAAAGTCTGTGTTAGAGCTCTGGCGCGAATGTTGTGTCTGGTTGAATGACGAGGGAGGGGTGCCAACTGCGAAGTTGCCCGTGGACGAATTGGTCAATTCTGATTGAGTTGTCAGGCTGGGTTGAATGGGTTGGGTATGGTAGCTGAGGGGATTTGTCTTGTGAGGGAAAGGGGATTGTGGTAGAACGTCACTATAAGAGCTGGCTTCGTATTTTGGATCTGTGTGCTGCATTCGACGTGGATGGCTTTGTATAGAAGATTGAATGTCCGGAGAGCGAGACGCTCTCCGTTTACGCCACAAGCACATGCCGAGTATGACCAATGCAATAAGGACTGCCCCACCGCCACCGCCCGCTGCGCCTGCGATAACAGCAACGTTGCTGTGTGATGAATTATTTGATGGACTACCTGATGGACTGCTTGATGGACTGCTTGAACTAGATGTCAATGAAGCCGTGATCGTGGCCGACATGCCTGCAGTGGATGACGGCGAGTTGGCGCTTAGGCACGAGGAATCACTCGACCCTGAGACCTGCTCGATCCCAGAGACACCACCTTGTGTGCCCTGAGAGTCGGTGACAAAATACATGAGGTCCGTCCCCGCGTTAACGTCTACCACGAAGTTAAAAGGGCTATTCACGGCATTAAACACGACTGGTTGTCCGTCAGGAATAAGTTGCTGGGGCAAGATAAGTAGATTGTTTTGATAAAATTGGAGATGATCTGACCACAACGGTAATGGGCGGGACTACAGAACCAGTGGTCGAAATGGTCAATGGACTGCAGTAGTGGTAGGTCAGTGCCACAAAAGTAGGCGAACCAAACTTACCTGCATTGCGTCAGTGATGTTGACGAAAACGAAAACGTGAAAGGAGGTGTCTGAGGTGTAGTGTTGCAGTTGTTATTTGTAGTCGGATTCCCAACAGTTAATTCGTTTGTCGTCCCACCCGTACCAAATCCGGTGGCGTCAGACATAGTGAGTAGAAACGATGTTCCCGTTGACAACGATAATTGCGATATTGAATAAGAGCCTTTGCCATTGCTGAAGGCTGATGGTGGTACAGAATAATTCTGATACTCTCCAAGAGACTGGAAAGCACAAAGATTAGCGTGTGATCGATGCGCTTGAGACGATAGCGCCAACGAACGGGAGTTAAGATTATCTCAAATGGTGCTTGGCCACCTGATAAAGTTCAGCGGGAGCGTATAAAATGTACTATATGTGCTCACCAGTCCATGAAATGGCGAGAGGATCGCATTGAGTGGGAGTCCCAACAGTCACACTGAACGTGGCACGCGCAACAGAGAGACAAGGAGCAATATACGCAAAGAAGCGAACGAAGTGCATACTCAAGAAATGAGGAAGATGGTAAGAAGAGACGCAGGTGTAGTCAAGGGATATCTTGAAAAAGGGAATCAGGGCAGACTCAAGGTGAGGGGAACTTGCGTCCTAGATAACGCTGACCCGGTGAGAATCGATCAACATATTATAGCCCAATTGATGAAATACTGTTGAACAATGACACGAACCTGCCGCAAGGCTGTTCGTGATCATCGGATACTACGCCTCCATCAGATTCTTCCACTCACAAGTTTCCTTGAGCCCCGAAAAAAACCAACTTTGGATGTTTGAAACACGGTAGCAAGAACGAGGACCTGAGCCGTGCCCTATGCATTTCATAGAATAAGCAGAAAGAGGTAGATGGATGACTGACGTACTCATAAACCCAGGTAATTAGTGCTGTAATTCAAGTGTCGCTGGGTAATCGATAGCCAAATATAACATGCTTTTGATTGACGCCCGACGCCGAATCCTCGGCTCTGACATTCTGTATTCCGATGTCGTCTCTAAGCTGGTGTGGCTCTGAATGGATACACAAAGGATGTGGCAATGGTGTGTAGATCATCACGCTGCAAACGCCGGCGCCAAGGGTGGTCGATTGGGGTGGGGGACGACATGGGGAGGAATGCATCCAAGAGGACACCCTGTGGAAGCATGCGGCACCGACTTGGATTCAAACAATCTATTCAAGTGTGCGCTGTTATCACTCCGCCACCATTCGGCTAAGCCGCGGCGAAAACTAGGTACCAGCGGTGTCCGGGGCCCGACTCCCACGTTAGTGGGAAGAGGGTTTTCTCGACGCCCCAGGCACCTGTACCCTGAGAGTGTATGGGTGACAGCAGGTGACAGCGCTGAACAATAACGGAAATCAATGTCACTGCAAAAAAACATGTAATGCTTCAAAAAATAGTAAGGTAAGGGACCAGGCGTTTTACTGATGGGCTCATCCCATGGATACATTACTGTGATAGCTGAAAGCACCCAGGTCATTCACCCCATGAATATATCCTATTTTCTCAGTCATTACAATATATAAGATGTATCATTATGACGGTATAGACTGCGAGAAGTCTCCCATAATGCCCATGTAAAGTTCCAGGGCCACTCCTGTTCGACTACCAATAAGTATATGATGTTACATTCCCACAGCGCTCGAGTTTCACTTCATCCACCCTACTTTTTCAACTTTGGTCGCGGTGTGCACTCTCACAAGACACCCCAGCACGCCGGGTTAATGGGACGTCAGAGTCCATCTCATGCTGCTCGATCATCGGCGGCGAAGTCCAACACACACAATCTGCGAACGTCGTACTGACATACACGCAGTGATCTTGGGCATGCGTGTCCCAAATGCTGATAATAAGACGGGGCGCGAGAATAAATGGCATTGTATCACTGAAAAGCTCTGAGAGATCCATTGCCGGGGTCTACGAATGTACATGTTAGTTGATATCTGTATAATCTTGGGGGTATCATAGCATACCGGAATATGAGCCCATAATATCACCATCAAGACTTGGTTTGTCAAATTTCTAAGCGAGAATCGATCAACACTTTCAGAACCCATTAGACGAGGAGGAACCTACAGGATAAAGTACATGGTATGATATCGGACAATCATTACCATATAGGCATTAGGCCTCATTTTGTATTCCCTTCGTTCTTTGAAATGTCTCGCGAGGGTGGCAGCGGCGAGAACAACTAGAAAGAGATCATAGCATACAATGGGGATGGATGTATAGATCGCAACCATAGGCCCAATGTTGAAGGAAAATGTGCAGTACTTGTTGCTCGGAGTTTCCAATTCTTTGACTGTGCAACGAGATGACATCAGCTCGCGGCCAATCTGATCTGAGCAAAAATTCACCTGAGAATGCGTGAGGTCGACTGTACAAATAGATATCCGTCCCTATCAAGACGCCGACGATAGGCAAGAATGACCCTACTAGAACATAAAGTAGGAGCTTGGATTGGTTGCATAGTGCGTAAAGGCGCCAGATGAGAATGGCTGCGGATGAAAAATCGGTGCGCACAATGAGTTGCCGATAGCATGACTTACCTTCCGCAAAGCAAAAATATACAGACGTGCCCCATTCTAGTATAACAAGAATGTCGTAGCCTATTACGTGATGAGGGAATCGCAGTTTAGTTTGAAGCGTGAATTATACTTGCAGCTGAATGAGAGAGGTTAATAACAGTTGGGACTTGGCTTTGAAACAAATTTAGTGAAACGTACGGCTTAAACACGGATCAACTTAGAACACTCTGGAGTGCATCGATGTACTCACTGATTCAGGTATATAAAACATTCCTCCCCCTAATGCTAGTCAGCGAAGGACGGCTCCAACGACATAATGTTACATACAGCAGCCCCAAATTCTAGTGCCGGTGTTAACGTGCAATGTCAAGGACACAAGTCACCACGACGTACATTGCAAGGGAAAGACCAAGATATCGAACCTAGCATAGCAAGAAATAATCCATAGACCACAAAACAGTGTGACAGGGCGAACTTACAACAAGATATAGGCATGACATCACTGACCACGGTCTTTTCTGAAGATTCGGTCAATCCTCGGGCTGTTATCATTGCACAAATAGTATGGGGTTGAATACTGACCCAGACATACTTAATCTGCGCCGATAATAACCATGAGTACTCGACTTACAGCAAGAAAGTTCTTTATCACCTCCTTGTCCAAAAGAAGCACTGGATAATCTTTTGCTCAGCAGCAGTGCATGCAAGGTTCACGAAGGCTACTGACGGTACTCATAGGACATCACGGTAAAGAGCGCCACTGGAACTGATATTCAGCATGATGGTTAATTTACAAACCAGTTAAAGGAGCTGACGAACCAGATATACTATCGTTCCACCGGAGACCAGCGATAGCTTCTTGTTCCGACTCGGACATGACAATGATTCACATATAATGGGAATTTGAGATGAATAACAGATAAGTTGGAATGACTTATAAGTTGATGGCGCGTAATTTTCCTTGTCTTGGGATTATCCTGTGAGGACTGCGGTTTTCATTCATGTTCAGACGTCATGTCGCTATCATTGATGCTGTTCTCATTAGTTTGTTATCAAACGAATGATTATCACACCTAATTTAGAATCGCAACTTGCCGCTCGCGCGCACCGCCGCACCACACCGAAACACATCATACATTCAAACGCTCATTTTCGACAAGTACTGTTCCCATGCACAAAGTAATTGACATAGCAAACTTACTTTTCGAACTCATCAACTATGCGCTTCTCGGTCATGCCTTTGAGAAGCTGAATTTAAAGAACGTGTCGAGCGTGTTGCAGCACGGATGTGGTGCAGCAGTAGCACTGGGACCTGGGTTTGCAACACTCTCCAGCCAACCACAGCTGACTGGCGCTCATCAAGAACACGATCATCAATTTTTATGGCATAATTTGAAGGCTTCCTGTGGTTACGATAAGGACGACGCCCGGGTTTTCGTCTATTTCATTTCTGTTTGTACTAGGTGCTGTCTTCACCGCACATCAATCATGGAAGGCTGTGCCAGATTGATGCATCCACATCTCATCAACCGCATGCTGCAAATTGAGCTTGATGCGTCTTGTGTCAGATTCCGCACTTAGCATTTAATATTTACTGGCATCCTTATGATACGATGGGCCGATAACCGAGGTGGAGGGTAAGAAGGTGTGCATATATGTTTAGGACGTGGGTTATTCATCGAAATGTTTATGCAGGTAAGTGATCTGTCTACTTCTCCCTTGTTCTACATATCCAACGTTTCTGTCATGTCGATATAAGCTCCTCCCGTTGAATAATCTCCGAGGTCCTGTTATGCTCGGGGAGACTGCCAATGCTTATCAAGAGCATCGAGACAGCAAGCTTTTTTCGGAGGCTCGCATCATGCCTGGGCCTTTTTTAGACCAAGTTTTGCATCGCTTTTCATCGAGGGGTGCGCATTGGCAGCTGTATGGCATGGGTGAGTTAGTCTCTCAACTCGTCCTATTCTGATGACGTGCCAACAGCCTTTGGTCCTTCTTATACAATCAAGAGTCCTAGGATGTGAACGTTGCTGAGGCTCGTCAATCAAGTTTTACATCAGCCTGTACGATCTGAAGAACAACACATCATGCTTCATGCGGTCGTATCAGCACACCCTCATGTCCTTTATTAGCGCTGTTTGGATCTAGTGATGACATTGTATCTTCACTGTATGTCACTCAACCAGGCTATCTCTGGCTGTGCAAACTGATGCCCTGTCAGCACCTCACCAACTCCACGATACAGGTCGAAGATTTTGCACTCACCGTTGTTGACAACCTTATGATACGAAAGCCCGATAACCGAGGCAGAGAGCGAGAAAGTGCGCATGAAGCGACAGATGGCCCGACGAGGACGTGCAGGGATGGTAGACATTGAGATATGTGCTCGTACACGGGTAAAGCGTGAGTTATCTGTTTTGCTTCGTGTGGATTTCTTTGTGACGGTGGAACGGGCACAGACTGCAAGGGAACCCAAGGCCAGACCTCTATGGCGGGAGGCTGCGGCTCTATCTATCAAGGACCGACTACGACACGCCGCAGGACTACCGACTGGACTGCTCCTGCACCAGGACCCCTGGCACTCCCGACCTGATCTGTAGGATTGGCTTTTTTACCCCTTTGCCCTTCGCCTCGAATTCGCACCTTTAATGAATAAATTAGCATTGTGAAAATTGCCTTGCTTGACAAAACTCAATATAGCTAAGCCCTTTCTTTGCGACGTCGTGATCCTGATCTGCCCGTGACCCACATTCTGATTACGAGTCACTCGGAGGTTCATATCTGTGAAGCCTTACAGAACGAGGGTGTGCAAGATATCTTTGGGAAGGGTGCTACAGTCACTATCTCGCTGGATGGTGCAGATATTGACGAAGTCATCTATCTTTATTAGAGCATTCCTTTAGAAAGCTGTGAGTCCCCGTTCCACTTTAGCGCTCTGGCAGCCAACTAAGGGTATTGGCGATCCGAGCTGGCAGACGTTTCATCGCGGTGTCTACAATGATGAAGTTTATCGATGATCGACGCAATGATCCCTGTGACCAGCTTTAGCTCATGCTCGAGCTAACGAGCACATTGCTACCAGGAACCGTGACGGAAGTGTACATCCCCACATGTGCTGATCCCAAGCATACATGCATTTGTCTGTTGTCGCCGCTCTTGTGGATCCTCTGCCAATTTTACAAATCTTTATACCTGGTGGTGGCAGGGACGCAGAAACGGCATTGGCGCAGTTATGGTCTGTCATGGATATTCCTACTGACAGCAGTCTCCCCATGAATCTACTACTCTTCCGTTCGTAAGTATGTTTTCAACCCCCTCTAACTGCAGCCTCCCTCAAGTACAATGTCTCACATCTAGCGGTCTTGCCTCACTGTTTCATGTGAAGGACGAGAAACTTGCAAAGGTGTGTGTTGTTCACAATGGTTTCCCTAGACTCAGTGTTAACCTGACCTGCACGTTCAGTACCATTCCTTTGAAGCTCCGGTGACATCTCAGTACTCAGTAACCAACCAGTCTGAAGTTGCCAGATCTGTTTAACATGCCACACTCACTGTCTTGTCATCGCACGCTGTTTTCTTACTGTCACATTTTACTGTCCCATGGAAAGTAGGTTTGTTTGTTTTTTCTCCTCCAGCAGATTCATATCCTACGCTTCACATATACATGTTAGAAATGAGACCGTATCAAATTAGTAGTCATTCACTAAGTACAAATGTCATTATGGTCATGAGTCGCTCGAAAAAAACAGGTCACAGAAGCCCACCTTTCCCAACTAAAAGTAGGAGCACGATGCCTTTGTACTTCATTTATGAAGACAAGACTCTCCAACGAAATAAAACGAATGCGCTACATGCATACCCATGTCCGAAGACTCAAGAACGTGGGAACATAGTTCATGATGCAGACTCAGGCACGGACTCCCCGATGATCTGAGTACTGCGGCGGAAGCTCAACTAAACCATTGTCGTCTGGCACAACATCATCGGCGTCGGTATGCACAATGATTCGAGTAGGAAGTTGGTAGGCTGTTTGACCTGGCCCCCGTTGCGGCTGTTTGCGCGCCAACCAACGCCACAGGTTGACCTCCAGATGCTCCGTACACAGCTGAACTGTCTGCGTTAGGGCTCTGACGGGAATTTTGTGTCTGATTGAAGGGTGTGGAAGGGTTACTAAGTGCGACTTTGACAGCAGAGGTAGAAATTGATTGGGATCCAGGTTGAACAGGCGGTGTAATGTAGACAGGGACTGTCTTGCGTGGTAATGGCGATGCTGATCGAGCCCCCGCAGCCATATGCTCGACGGGCGTCATATCTGATATCCGGGCGTCTCCATAAACAGCAAAGTTTGTGTTAGAGCTAGGCTGTGTCTGATTGAAGGCTGTGGGAAGAAGGTCCCTGGCCGTCAAGTCGGCGGCAGGCGCATCAACAAGGTTTGGTTGGGATCCAGATTGAATGGGTAGACCAAGGTGGCTAACAGGATTTGTCTCCCATGCTTCAGCAACGGTAGTCATTCGTCTGTCAACAGATGACATAGCAGCCGAACTTCGAGCGTCTCCATACGCAGCAGAGTCTGCGTTAGAGCTTTGACGTGAATGCAGTGTGGGACGGTCGTTAGCTGCAAAGTTCCCGGTAGACGTACTAAGAGGGGGTGATTGGCTGCCGGGTCGAACGGGAAGGTAGCCAGCAGGGTATTGTGCTGGGTAATCTGCTGACATTGGTTGAGACAATGCAGCCATTCGGTTGTAAGCGGACGACATGGTCGAACTTCGAGCATCCCCGTAGACAGCAGAGTCTGCGTTGGAGCTCTGGCGCGAATGCTGTATCTGGTTGAATGATGAGGGAGGGGCGCCAGCCACGAAATTGCTCATGGACGAATTGGTCAAGTCTGATTGAGTTCCTAGGCTGGGTTGAATGGATCGTGTATGGTAGCTGAGGGGGTTTGTCTGGTATGGGAAAGTGAATGGTGACGGAATGTCACTATAAGGGCTGGCTTCGTATTTTGGATCTGTACGCTGCAGATGGCTTGTTGTCGGAGACTGAACATCCAGGGAGCGAGACGCTCTCCGTTTACGCCACAGGCACATGCCGAAGATGACCAATGCAATAAGGACCGCCCCTCCACCACCCACCGCGCCTGCGATAACAGCAACATTGCTTTGTGATGGACTACCTGATGAACTGCTTGATGGGCTGCTTGAACTAGATGTCGGTGAAGCCGTGGACGTGGCCGATATGCCTGCAGTGGATGATGGCGAGTTGGCGCTCAGGCACGAGGAATTACTCGACCCTAAGACCTGCTCGAACCCAGAGACACCACCTTGTCTGCCCTCGGAGTCGGTGACAAAATACACGAGGTTCGTTCCCTGGTGAACGTCTACAACCGAGGTAAAAGTGTCGCTATTCGAATTGAATACGACTGGTTGTCCGCCAGGAATAAGTTGCTGTGGCAAGATAAGTAGATTATTTTGATAGAATTGGTGATGATCTGACCACAATAGTAATGGGCAGGACTGCACCACTATCTGCCACAAAGGTAAACTGACTGCAGTAGTGGTAGGTCAGTGTCACAAGAAGTAGGTAAACCAAACTTACCTGCATTGCGTCAGCGGGAGTGGCGACAGCTGGAACGTGTAAGGAGGTGACAAAACTGCAGTGCTGCAGTTGTTATTTGCAACCGTATTCCCCACAATTAATTGGTTTGTCGTCCCACCCGAAGCAAATCCGGTGGCATCAGACATAGTGAGTAGAAACGATGTTCCCGTCGACAACAACAATTGCGATATTGAATAAGAGCCTTTGCCATTGCTAAAGGCTGATGCCGGTACAGAATAATTTTGATACGGTTCCAAGGACTGGAAAACACAAAGATTAGCGCGCGACCGATATGCTTGAGACGATAGCGCCAACGAACGGGAGTTAAGAGTATCTCAAATGGTGCTTGCCCACCTGACAATCCCAATAAAGTTCAGCGGGAGTATATAAAATGTACTAGATATGCGCTTACCAGTCCATGAAATGTTGAGAGGATCGCATTGAGTGGGAGTCCCAACAGTCACACTGAACGCACGCACAACAGAAAAACAAGAAGCAATATACGTCCAGAAGCGAACGAAGTGCATACTCAAGAAATGAGAAAGATGGCAAGAAGGGATGCAGATGTAGTCAAGGGATAGACTCGAGGTGAGGGGAAATTGCGTCCTAGATAACGCTGACCCCAGTCAGAAAATTAATCACTAATCAGTGAAATGCCGTTAGACAATGACATGAACCTTCCGCAAGGCTGTTCGTGATTGACGCTCAGGCTGCACCGCTTTCGGATTCCCCCACTCACAAGTTTCCTTAAGCCCCCAAAAAACGACTTTCGATGTCTGAAACACGGTAACAAGAATGAGGGCTTGAGTCGTGCCCTATGCATTCCATAGAATAAAAAGAGGTCACACAGAAAGAGCAGATTGGTGACCGTGACGTACTTATGAACCCAGGTACTTATTGCCGTAATGAGTGTCGCTGGGCGGTCGATGGCCAAATATAACATGGTTGTGATTGACACGTGACATTCCGCGTTCCTATGTCGTCTCAACGCTGGCCAGCCAAGAGTGGTTCTGAGTGGATGCTCAAAGGATGTGACAGTGGTGTGCAGATCACCGTGCCGCAAACGCCAGCATCAGCGGTAGTATATTGTGGTGGGCTCGACTCATCAGAGAGGAATGCATCGAGGACACCCTGCGGAGGCAGCCACCAATTCAAATGGGTTTCCTGCCAAGCCATCGATTTTCGGCATGGGTTATGGCATTGGGAAGGCTGTGTTAATGTGAGTGCCGAGCGAGAAACGGTGCGGTGCTAAGAGCCTCTCTCATCCCAACAGCTAAACTTTTTCAAGGAGCCGTTGCCGTGGACAAACAAACGCCAAGCGTTATTCTGACTGTGGACGGCATGGGGACATAGAGTCGGTATTATGAAACCAAAGTGAAGATATAAAGAACGAACAAAAACCATTCGAGCTCTGATGAGCAATAAGCCACAAGATTCAGACAAGAATGTGGTGGCAGACTTCCCCATACCGCAACCTTTGAAAACTCCTCGCATCCACCTCCATAGACGAATGCTTCGCCTTCATCAACGCAACTCGGGGCGCCAAGGACCACAGAGCCGCTTCAGAGAAGGGGCTCGTCGTATCCAGAACGTCCTTCTCACTCAGGCCCGCGAGCTCCGGTGACGAGGGCGGTGTAGTATGCAACGTGATGTACGAGTGTTCACAGAAATCACAAAACTGGGTAGTCGACATAGAGGTTTCTTGGGCCAAAGGAGATGGAGATGAATTGAGGGCCGTCTGTGGCGACTTGCAAGACCAGTAGATCGACTGATCACTAGGAGATGATCTCGTCAAAATGGGCGTAAGAGGATTCTCCTCAATATTGGCAGACTACGCCTATGGAGTGAGCACAGTTCACACGACTCACTAAAGGTGTACCAACCTTGAGCGCTTTTGCAACAGTCAGTCCCCCACGCCGGCCAATAGCCTGTGGAGATAGGTGTTGAGGGCTCTTGGGGGATACGGGGATAGCTGCGACTTGCTTCGGCCAGCGGTCATGGAGTACCTGGAGTAGCCGTGGAATGACAATACACCGTGGCTGGCGGAGAAACCGACTGTCCTTATCAGGTCGTTTGAGATAACCGCGGATGTACAGTTCTTCTCTGACAACTTCACTTGCTAAGGGTGCGAGATTGGGGACGTGGATGCTACGTCAATATACGTAAGCATGAGAGAAAACAACGCAGAACAGAGAGATACAGACTACTCGTCCGCAGTGACGAAGGTGTCGTCCGCATCTGTCGTTGCCAACGAACTAACAGAATGGATGATTATGATAGTCTCCGGGGCATCAGACAGAAAGTTGTACGACGGTTGGACACAGTTCGGCGGGGGGAATCCAGGTTTCCTGCACGCAATTGTGCAGATTTTCGTGAGGTATCGCATCGCAGTCTCGCCAGGTCGGTAGTTCGAGTTCATAGCCTCCTGCTTACATTGGCGGGCCACCTGGGGTAAGGAAAAGACCTCAGATGTTCCAAGAGTCAAGTCGGACAGCGAAATACAAGCTGGCGGGGCACCATTCGCAGAGAGGGATCCGTGCTTCCCAAACGAAATAGTGCAGAATGATCTGATCTTTGTGAGGAATCGCATCGCATTCGTGCCAAGTTGATAGTTCGAGTTCACAGCTTCCTTCTGCTTGCGTTGATGGGCCACCTGGCGTAAGGTTAAGAGCTCCGTTGTCACAAGAGTTGGATTAGACAGCGAGATGCAAAGGTGATTGCGAATGATTGGAAGGTGGTCAATATTGATAAGATCGCTGGGTGGATAGTAAGTGTCCGAAGGCATTCTCGCCGTGTATAACTTAAGATAGATGAAAGACAGGCGAGGGCGGTTGTGGAAGTACGCTTCACAGTGGCGGGTATGGTAGAAATATAGTTTTGACTTGAGCAGGAAGTACAGCTGAGGAGGTAAGTAGCATAACGATCGGCTGACCTGATTGTCCTCGGACATGGAGGCTGACTGGAGATTTGCACCACAGATTATCGACCTAGATCGGTCAACCTTGCATTGGTCACACTTCCTACATCACTGCTTCGTTCAATGAGACTGTGCGCCTGTGCAGCATCAAGTTACACGAGCAGATAGAACCATCAGGATCTTCGGGACCACAGTCAAAATCCACACAGTGGTGCATTGGTTGGTACAGGGTTCGGTTGCGGGTTTGGACAGTCGCCATGGATTGACGATAGTGGCCCAAGGGTAGGGATTTATTAAGGACGTTCAAGGTTGGGGCCGTCGGGCGTGTCCGCAGTGCGCACACACTACTACTATCAATTGACCCCCTAGCCCATGCACCCCCCACTAAAAACGGTAACCTTAGATAGTCGGACGTGCACAGCGCCGTTAAGCTTGTTGAGAATTGACTGCTAAACTTAAGCAGTCCTAAACCCTCTGCTCAACGTAACCCTTTCCGCACATATGGTGTGTACAGGAAGTTGATTTTTTCTCATATATCATATATCACGTGAACATTCGATTTTGAATTGACCAAGTACTTGTACGCGACATGTCTAAACAAAGCATTCTACTATGGGCAAGGTGTAGGACGACGAGGTTTAGGAATGCTGCATTAGCAGACAATTCGCGATAAGTACTAGAACTGTAACTACTGTTCGGCGCTACACGCCGCAAAGTTAGGTTACCATTTTCAATGGGGGTGCATGGGCGGTGGGCGTGTGTGCCCAACTTTGGACGGGCGACTTGAAGAGTCAGAGATATGACCACATGAGAATCTTGATATGGTTAGCACTACCAGCAATTCATATCAGTTTCATGTCGCGTCATAAGCCCTGCTTTCGAAACGTGTCTACATCCTGTTTAGTCTATTCTCCAATCGACAACGTTCGGAAGCCGACCGTAAGTGGGAACTCATTATGATAACAAGACCACTGGAGTACGGCACGAGAGACACTTACAGAGGCATAAGGACTCGGATGAGAAATTGAATAATGAGCGCAGCTTGTGCGTTCTGAGATCTGAGAGCCGGATAAGCGATAATATAAGCGATGTATGGTGCCATGGGCCGGGCGCACTGCATATTATCACAGCCTGCAGGGAAACTCGTTCGGTAATCCGTGACCTGTACGTAACGTGCTCATCGCTTCCGGTCTGAGGCCGGCCCATCGGAATTGCAAATCACAGCGAGGCATGTCTCAGAGGAGAGTACTAGTGTCGTATCATTCAGTGGTTGCTTTTGTGAAAATCATACGTTATAGAAGAATGAATGAGATATTATAGCAAGTCTCACCGTACTTGTCTGCGTCAACCGTCACCTTGAATCAGTCCTCAAGAGATGATAAATACCATGACAAAGTGCCAGCTCAAGCCTCGACTTTCGACAGCGCTTGGAAAGTACTCGGAGCAGAAGAGGAAGGTGATCGCCGCCAGCAGGGTTTTTTTTGTGAAACACGCCATATAGTGAATCGTACCATAAAATTTCCAAAGAAGATCAATTGAACGTTATATTATTTTCGGTCATGCAACCCGGCTATTATGATTATGACTATATAACCTCTTCCCCTTACCTTCATATCCACAACCCATTTCTTGTCCTTTCAATCCAATACTACACAAATGGCCATTCCTCCTGCTTCCTCAGTCTCCTCCGAGCAGCAAATCCCTCGTCCAAAGGATGTCGGTATCCTTGCGGTGGAGGTCTACTTCCCCCAAAGGGTAATATTTCTATCAGTTTTATGATACATGGCAATCATATCTCATCTTACGTCATTTCAGTGCATATCTGAGGCTGACCTCGAGGTCTTTGATGGTGTCCCAGCAGGAAAGTACACCATTGGTCTCGGCCAGGAGTACATGGCTTGCTGCGATGACCGGGAAGACATTAACTCCTTTGCTCTCAATGGTATGCATCACCCTGTCACTGCATGCGTTGTCATTCATGTCTTGTTCCTCCCAGCTGTTGCCGGTCTTCTTGAGCGTTATGACATCGACCCCAAGTCCATTGGTCGCATTGACGTCGGAACTGAAACTATCATCGATAAATCAAAGTCTGTGAAGACTACCCTCATGGACCTCTTCTCCGAATCTGGTAACTTCGACATCGAAGGTATCGATTCCAAGAACGCATGCTATGGTTCCACTGCTGCGCTCTTCAACGCAGTTAACTGGGTCGAATCCACCTCGTGGGACGGCCGCAATGCTATTGTTGTCGGCGGTGACATTGCTATTTACGCTGAAGGTGCCGCACGCCCAGCCGGTGGTGCTGGTGCTGTTGCCCTTCTCATTGGTCCCAACGCACCTGTCGTCGTTGAACGTACGTCCATTCCATTCAATTTCGGACGTCATGGCTCGTTTCCATGATGCTCCTGCAGTGGTGGTCACAAATCTGATATTCCATTTCTGAACTTACAGCGATACACGGCAATCACATGACAAACACATACGATTTCTACAAGCCCCGATTGGACTCGGAGTACCCCGAGGTCGACGGGCCTGTCTCAGTCACCACCTACACTTCCGCACTGGATGCTGCGTACTCGCGCTTCCGTGAAAAGACCGCCAAAGCTAAGAAGGCTCAGTTCAACGGTTACGCGAATGCCAAGGAATCCCTGACCTCCTTCTCCATCGATGACATCGACTACGCTGTCTTCCACAGCCCATACGGCAAGCAGGTTCAAAAGGGTCTCGGTCGTCTTTTCTACAACGACTTCCTCGCAAACCCCTCCTCATCCTATTTCGCCAATGTCGCTAACCCTGAATCGGTCCTCGCAACCTCATACACCGCTTCCCTCACCGACAAGAACCTCGAGAAAACCTTCATTGGTGTCTCGAAGGCAACATACGCCAAGAAAGTTGAGCCTGGCATGGCCTGCTCGAAACGCTTGGGCAACATGTACACGGGTTCGCTTTACGGCTGCCTTGCCTCTGTCTTGTCTTCTGTTACACCTTCCGAGCTTCTGGGCAAGCGTTTGAGCATGTTCGCGTTCGGTTCTGGTTGCGCTGCCAGCTTCTTCACTCTCCGTGTCAAGGGTGATACGTCAGAGATCCGGGAGAAGATGGATTTACTTGCTCGTTTGGCAAGCATGAAGCTCGTGCCTTGTCAGGAGTACGTTGATGCCCTCACAGTAAGTACAGCATTTGTTCGTGTCGATGCGAGTTAGCTGACGCCCCGCTCCAAGCTTCGCGAGAAAAACCACAATGCAGTGAACTACACGCCAGAAGGTTCCATCGAGAACATATGGCCTGGCACATTCTATCTCGAGAGCGTAGACAGCAAGTTCCGTCGCAAATACGCACGTGCACCCAAGGCATGAGCGACAGCACACTTGGTGTCATCATCTCATGGTCTTGCTTCATGATATCTGTTTCATGATATCCGTTTCGGTTATGACTTGCATTGCATTTAGACGTATATACCTCATCGACGCGCCAGTAGTATCATGATGAAAATGTTGTATATTTAAAGATGTTGAATTACTACGGCGATAATACAATTCATGCGCATAGAGGACAACTCTGAAATCAATATTAATATAGATCGAAAGTGACATCCCCCTCAGTTTCTAAGAAGGGGATTCGAAAGGCTTCTCCAGGTTCATAGGTTTGCCAAATATGTGTGTTTATCACTCAGTTGGCGAAGACGGATCGTTCCATGAAAGCGACGCGTAATTCTGCCCAAGCCATGCCAAAGGATCTGTTCAAGCACCAAGATTAGGGCGAGGGGCCTCTGTGAATCGTGCGCGTGAGTTTGTGACGAACTTGAATGATTACATAATGCAACACATACAAACAACGCGTCAACAAACCCCTTTAATCACATCAGTTACCACTAACTTAAACCACCACCACGTCGAGCAGAAAGTCCACAAGAACCATTAATACCCTTCCGTCGCAGATCGAACTCGAGAGTATGCTCTAATTGACAATTCTGGGTCTTTGAGGCTGAACTCAATTGTAAGGGACTCGAGCCAAAGCGAAAAACGACGTTCATCATGATCGCCCTGACCACAAATCTCGCAAAATCCCTAAGCCGAAGGGTCAGGCGGGACGAGCTCCCCCACAGGGGTACAGGGTACAAGAGGCGATGGGTTTGACTGGCGACGATGGCCGTTACAACAAATTTCGAGCGCGTCCTGTCATTCTACCCTGACTATATGCTACTGAATACCACGCGAACAGGCTATAGCTCCTATCTCTGCTACCAAATATCTCGACCTTACTAAAACGATTCGCGCACAAGATCAAACTGTTGTTGATTACCTACTCGAGTTGGAGATATACTTGTTCTTCTATTCAAAGGAATCTAGAATCTAGAATATTAACACGCCTCAACTCAGTTGCAGATTAAACATCCGTTTCTCCAACGATTTGAAAATGTGTGGCCTATGCGAGATATGATTGGCCAGTTTCTTCGGCATCACAATGCTTATTCCAAGCATCGTCCTGTCATCCAGACGTCAGGCAGAGGTGACGATGACAGTGATGACTTGACTGATAGTGACGACAGCGAAGACGGAGATGATACGGAAGACGAAGATGACACGGAAGACGAAGAAGAAAATGACGGCGATGAAGTAGGTTGCAATTATTCTTACCGTGCAATCCAGTGTGCTAATATTCTATTTTAGTATGATCAGATGGGTCTAGGCCAACTCACCAAATTTCCTAGCAAGCCTAGCAATCACCCCTCAACCAGCGACGCAACGATAGGCACTCGGGTAAGTTCCTGGCCTTTTTTATAGCATTGTCACTCAGCTACATGCCTACTGTTGGCAGAAGTCCAAAAGCAGTCCCGACACTATCGGTAAAGTCCCACAGCATGTCAACAAGAGAAAGCAACCAGCTGTTTGCTTCTTTCGTACTTCTTCTCGTCAGTACCCACATTGATTTCTGTCAGGTTGAAGATCCGGAAGAAGAGTCTCAATTTGTGCTCTCCAAGAAACGTCGTATTGAGGTGCATCTCACTTCTGGTCACAGCTTGCTAGCAAACCAATTTCCTTCAGACCGAAAACTCGGAAGACGAGCCCCCGGTGTCCACTTCAACACTATATACTCTCACTATAACCCTAACCAGTCAGAGCTATTGAAAGGCCGAGAGTCGAAAATCGGATTCACCAACAAGGTAGATTCATGTTAGTTATGCGTACTCAATCATTACGACCTCCGCCTGTCTTGTAGAAGCACACGACACCGGCGAGCACACGAGCCTCGAGGAAACGGACGTGACAACTTCCAACGAGAACAAGGATTCTTTCGGTCTACTTGCACGAACAGTACCAGACAGACTTGCACGGACGCTAGACTTGCGACGGACACTTGTACGCACTCAAATGTAAATTATTCAAGAACGATGCGAAAGGTTACGATGGTATTCAGAAGTTACTAGACGCGTTCACTTAACACTTGCACACACTTGAATGCAATGTTATGCATTCGAGAACGATATGAACTGTTGTGATCGATGGTATTCAGAAGTAGACAGTCGGTTATGAGCTGTACTGTATTCAATTGTCCTATCACTGAACCTCTTGCGCAGTTGATGCAGTGGAGGTGTCATTTACTATCGAAGGCAGCATAATGTCGCTGGACACTCGTCTTATCAAGTTCATTGGCCACACCGTCCAGTGTACCCACTGAAGTGGTCGGTTTCTTTTACACACAAGATAGTACATAGACACACAAAAAACTCGGCCCTGAACTATTTACTTTTGTGTATTACAGAACTTGCTAGGACCCAGGACCAAGAACCAAGGGCTTCAACCACTTCACACTATATCTTTTCCCTCGTCCTGGCAAGAATCATAGCAGTCCATTTCGTGGTCCTCGGATGTAGGTGGCAAGGTCCAACATATGCAATCTTCGAATGCCGTGCTGACCTGTGCGCAATGGTCATTGGCATGTGAATCCCAGATGCTGATAATCAAACGGGGCGCAACAATAAATGGCGCGCTATTGATGAACCCCTCCGAGAGACTCGTCACTGCCGGCTATTTGTGTACTTGTTAGAGCTGATTTCTATAGAATAACAACATCACAATACCGGAAGGTTGGCCCATAATATCGCCAATAAAATTTGGTTTGTCAAGTTCCTAGCGGATTTTGTGAATAACAGAAAACTAATTAGACGAGGGCGAACTCACAGGAGAAAGTATATGATATGACATCGAACGATCAGAACGACATATGTGTTAGGCTTTATTTGTATTTCTTTTCGTTCTCTAAGGTGTCTCACGAGGACGACAACGGCGAGAATAACTAAGATGGTATCGAAGCATACGATCGGGATGGAAGCATAGATCGCAGGCATAGGCCCAATGTTGAAGGAAGACGTGCAGTAATTGACGTTTGGAGTTACTATTTCTTGCACTATACAACGAGAGGTCAGCTTGCACGCAAATCGATCCAGGTAGAAATTCACCCGAAAACGCTACGGGTCGACTATATAAGTATATATCCATCCCTATCGAGATCGCGACGATGATTGAGAACAACCCTATTAGCACATATAGTAAGGACCTCGATTGGTGTAGAGCGTGTAGGCGCCAGATGAGAATGACTGCGGGTGAAAAATTGGTACGCACAATGACACCCAAGAATGTATGACTTACCTTCCGCCAACCAAAAATAAACTGAAAAGCCCCATTCCAATAGAACGGCAAGAATGTAGCCTGTTTCGATTGCGTGGTAAGCGAATGCAGTTCATGTTGAAGACAGTATACTTGCAGCTAAATAAGAAGTCAGTGATGAGGCTTAGCTGTTAAGTGAACTTCTGACGTACGACTGGATCTGGGTCAACCCGGAATCCTCAAAAAAACAGAAAGCATCGACACACTCACCCGTTCGGGAATGTACATTAGACCTCCCCCTAGTGCTAGTCAGCAAATGATGGCTCAGTTGGCACAGCGTCACATACAGCAGGCACAAAGCCTAGGGTCAGAGTCAATCTACGATGTAGCAACTGAAGGACACAACCACCGCGACGTACATTGCAAGGAAAATACCAAAATATCGGACCTGGCATAGCAACAGAATAAAAAATCACGAAGCACTCTGACAAGATGAAACTTACAGCGAGGTAGAGACACGTCATCAGTGACCACTTTCTTGTCTGGACATACAATCAGGGTCCGGAGCTTGATATCATTAGGGGTTGAACACCCACCCAAACAAACTTGATCTACAAAAATTTGAGCATGAGTTCTCAACCAAAGAAAACAAGCTTGTCGTTACCTCTTTATCGAAGTGAAGTACTAGATCATCTTGTGCTCAGTGGCAGTGCAATGTTCGTGAAAGCTACGGACTGTACTCATAGGATATCAACCCAAAGATCATTACTGGAAAAACGATGAAGTTCAGCATGATGCTTCGTTCACAAACAAGTCAGTCGACAAACTTGCTATATTGTTGTTCCATCGGAGAGCATAGGCAACTTCTTCATCCGACTCGGACATGGGAATGTGCAGATCAATTGATGAATTTGAGGTATGAACGCGATGTGCCGTTGATCACTGACGTAGAAACTTATAAACCACGTAGTTTCGTTATCTTGCCAGGGTCGGTGGTCGAAAGAGAATTGTACGACATGTTACGAGTTTGCGTCACCACACTTGTCAGTGTCACGACGTTCTCAACAGTTAGCTACCAATAGAAGGATCAAAGATATCAACACTCACACGACTGACAATGCTCAGGTGCTTATCTAGCCCTACATAGACTGGAAACCATGAGATAAAGTCCCACCACCATCTGAAACTTTACATGGAAACCTCAGACTGAGCACTTGCAGGCTGATAATAGTTTGACGCCCATATGGCAAACCGATCTCTTGGATAAACATGGTTGTGATACGAGTGGAAACGGTGAGGACAGCGGCCATCAGCGAAAAACACTATTTTGACCATCCCGAGCCGTATTTGGAGATATAATGCGGCACCCGACCAGCTGAGCGTTTCCCGTGCTACACACTAGGTACCAACTAGGTATACGTACCAGTAGTTGATACGTCGCGTACCTGGTCTTGGAAAGTAAATTTAGTCATGGCAGTCCCTTCGTCGGAGTCAGCCACAAAGCTCAGCGTTATCGAGGCGTGGCTCGAACACAAATATCTGCATGAATAAGGAATGTGCCATGATAGATGTTGATTCCCACAAAAGTCAAGTTCCGTAGAAAGAATGAGCAGTACTGGTCAGATGCAGACCATCGGTCACAGATCTACAGATTGGTCGATCATGTGGATGATCGCCGCAGTATGTTATGATAATCCAGACTGAAAAACCCATGACAAAAATCTCCTACGCAACGATGATCATCCAAGTGTCGGCAATCAGAGATTTGGCGTCCCAAAAGTCATATTGACGGGTGACGTAGCAAGCAAATTCACAGCCGTTGCAAGTGGTTGTGTTGAACCAACAAGCAGATCAAGAATCTCACCCATTCCTATGTAGAGATACAGTTATGTTATGTGGACGGGAATGGCAGTTATCGGTGGGAATTACTCACCAGCATCTGTAATCAAGATGGACAGGAGACTCCCCGCCTGCTACCAGTCAGATCTAGTCGGGAACCAAACACGCCGTATGGAGGAGTATTCCCATGTAATGTACCTAGAACATTTAAAAATCAGCACAAGTCGTTAATTGCCATAAGCTACGTCCGCCGAAATATAAACATAGAACACTCATGAGGGACCAAAGTTGCCTGTACATCGAACCACTTATTTTATGCTGTTGTTCTTGTGATACGGAATTCTGCCCACCAAAACCAGTTCGAACTATAAATCATTCTTAGTAAGAGGGCTACTCCGGCAATGACACCTACCTCTTGATTGACGACCGAGTGTCAGTGCCGGAGAATAGTACATCAATAATTCTTCGACCAGTACTGCCCTAATCATGTATGACTGCAAGTAAACAGAGGATGCAACTATGAAACCAGAGGCAATCCCAGAGTAAGACATTGCGAACGTCATCAGGCTGACTGCGAACCGTTGCCTGCGAAATAGCTGAAAAGAATGATGTAATCAATTAGCGGAAACCAACTGGTATCATTAATTTTAAGACTAAGATCATATTCAAGGGATACTAAGCAGGAGACTAAGTCAAGTTGGTAGAGTATCATAACGATAGTGTTCGTGCTATACATACCGGAATATACAGCGCCTCCAACTTTGTTCATCGTTGAAATGGATATGATGCGAAACAATAACCATTGATGACCTTGATCGACGCCGAAGTAAGTTTATCGTATGAAATAAAGTAGAAAGAAGACCGAGCAAAGTCGTCGACTGAATCAAAGTGGGCGTGGGTGGTAGAGCAGTATTGCGTGTAGAAGATGCAGGCACCGAGTTTCTAAAAGTTGTGAACATCATGGGTTATTCCAATGCATATGCCGTAGTCAAGAGGTTCTCGTCAGTTCAGGAGTCAGCAAGATCGTGTAGTCATGCTATATAGGTGTGAATCATGGACCATCAGGTGCGCTCCCCACCTCGCCCGCTGGGGGCCTTTGGAAGCGTACCGGCTCATCCAAGGTCTGCCAAGTTACTAGCAAGACACGAGAGAACTCAAAAACATGAAACATAAAACAGATCGAAACGCACCAAATAGACAAGTAATTCACCTCTATGATATAGCTATTCACCATGAAAATTGAATTAACGCACCTCTGAGGTCCTCAGCATCCATCGCTTCATACACACCACGTCGACATTTCAGTTGTGGTGTTGCAAGAGGGCAAAGTGTAAATATGATGATGTAAACACAAAGTCACCGCACAAAGATCTATTATGTAATTGACAATAACAGACGATCGATGCTGGCCCCACGTACTACAGCTCGCGGCAAGTACCGCTCTCGACACTTGGTCAGTTCTGTGGTTTCAAGAAGTTTCAAAACTTCACCTGTGTTCATGATTTCCAGTAAAGCCAGACGGGCGTGACAAACTTCTTATTACATGTCACACTAATGGCCACTCCTGCCTCTTGAAGCCGTCGATGCGCTTGCACACACTGGAGACGATCATCGTCGGCATCATAAGTAGATGCGGGCTTCGTGCAATGCCCGCACCAAGCGCACCAAGGTTAGGTTTGGATAACAAATTTGTTTTCCCCACAGCTGATTGTGTTGACACCTTGGATTCATCCTCTCAATATACCGTTTTACGCTCTCATGCGGGCGGCCGCAGTGAACATATCTATGCACCCCATCAGTCCTGGGCAACCGTATCTAGACCTCAAAATCAACCCAAACGCCGACGTGTCACAAGTCCCAATCTTCTCACCCCTCTCGGACATTGCGCATTGCAGTATGGTTCGTTGCGGTGGTGAATCAACGTTTTTGGTTGACACCTGGTGAACGGCGCTAATCACGTCAAAACACGTCCCTAGGTTGACACCCGGCGAACGGCATTAAACACGTCAAAACATGTCCCTGGTTGAGTGCTAGTCTTGATAACTTGAGAACTTCAAGCTTGCACGCACATCCACGATCTTCGGCAACTAGTGCGTTCAATTTACCAGCCACAATCTGCCATACTGATGAATCTCACCACACAGCCAGACCAAATCACTGTAATCACAAATGAAAACTTGTGCTTCAACCCCATTTGATCACGCTAAGGCTGACATTATTTTGCGATCAGCGGATGGTGTCGAGTTTCGAGTCTTCACACTCTTCCTCTCCCTTACATCTCCGCTCTTCGAGACGTTGTTGTGCCTCCCTCGGACAGCTGGTGGAGCCACTGGCACCGATCAAGAGATGAAGGATGGTCTAGCTGTCATTGCAGTGTCTGAGGACGGCAAAACTCTGGACTCATTTCTTAGGTTTTGCTATCCATCAACGCTGGCGGAGGATCCTTCTCTCGAGAACCTAACAGATGCCTTGCCTGTTCTTGCAGCTGCGAGGAAGTATTCACTAGACCTGATTGAGAGAAAAGTATGTCAGACCCTGGTGAATCCCAAAGTTCTCGAGACAGAGCCCCTTCGCTGCTTTGCCATTTCCAGGAATGCACGACTTAAACATGAAACCATCATTGCCGCCAGACACACCTTGCGCCATCCCTTAATTCCAGCGAGGTGTGCAGAGATCGACCTTATCACCGCACCCGACCTTCTTGCGCTGCTAACATACCACAAAAAATGCAGTATCGCCGTACAATTCATATCACGGGACCTCAGCTGGATGGCACATCATTATCGCAATCACAATGGCTGTAAATGGCTATTTTGTCCAGAGAACTGTCGCTGCGGACGGGGTGACGACAGACGATTCTTTCTATGGGGTGAGGGTACAATTACATGGTGGATGACATATATGCAGGAGGTATCCGAGTTGTTGAATGATTGCCCATCCGGCGACACTGTGAGGGGTGCAGCGGACAGGACGGTCGAAAAGGTCAGAGCTGCAAACTGTACCGCCTGCTCTGGCCAGGTGAAGGAAAATATGGCAGAGTTCAGCAGCTTGTTTGCTCAGAAAGTTGAAGAGACAGTTAAATATGTATGTATATACCTTACTCTGTATCACGGATACAATTCTAATTTTCCAATAGATTTATCTGGAGATGGACTTTTGATTATCCTCATCCACAAAGGGCACGCGCATTGCAGTATGGTTCTTTGCGGTGGCAGTAGTGAGTCATCTGTCTGTTACGGTTAGACCTTTTCCTTTCGTTTTTTATTGTTCTATTGTATGGTGATCGCAGGTCGATCCCAGTAATAAGACCTTTTTCGCTCCATGGTGAACCTGACGGAACAGTGAGAATTATTGGGACAGCAAGCCCTCAGGCTCACGCCGATGCCTGGTAGCCTCTCGAGAACGGCATTAATATTGAAACAGCTTCCAGAAATCAGGAGCCTTTTGTGGGCGTTCAAATGCTCCATACGTGTAGTCTCCTCGAGGCTCGAGCTGGCCTACCACGCTTGTTTCTTCTAACCGACCGCATGCAGGGAAAGCTTCGCCACTCTCGCGGACAGATGTAGTGAGTATCATGCACTGATTCCTGTCAGTCTCGTCCGACCAACTGCACTCCTAGTATGTAATATTATCGGTCACCTTATTGGTTCAATACAACGACTGCAACAGTTGTGAGTTTTTTGTTGTTGTTGTTGAGTTCTCCGATCAGTACTAACTGTGATTTTCAAGTACCGTTTTTGAGATCATTCAATTCTTGACATCCTACTTCGTGAAGTTCGTGTTTGACGTGCTGAGCGGTGAGCTACTCACCTGTGGTTCCTTCAGTAATATTTATCGTTGACTAACTGAAACGTCATGTAAGTCATCACCATCACTCGGTTACACGCCATGTATCAACAATCCAGAAAGATCTATCTCGTTGTAATCTTCTTGGCTGTCACGATCTGTTGTGGAGCTCTTCTTGGCAAAATGATCCAGAGGGTATGCTTTAATTATGGACCAAACATTCAAAGTGCACCCGACTCATGGGAGGAGCTCGTCCTCGCTGGCACTTATCAGTGCACTTATCACAACTCTGAAGCAGATGCCCAACTTCTCATTGGCGAGAGCTAGGTACTCGTCCCTGTTTTAGAGCTCCTTATCTTGTGTCCGAGTCTGGCAGTTTGGACTGTTATAAAACATTTCCGGGAATTGCGACAGGATGGATCGTCCGGGACTGGTATACAGTGCTCGCAATTCAAATGTGTTTTTTCTGCTGAAGTTCTGCCCATCCTAGCTTCGTTGCTGTTTCTTGCTTCAACCTCGGTTTGTTGTCTCCAATCTCGGTACGTCAATTTGCTCATCGTTTCTGTAGGACTCGTCTTCTGTCGGAGCTCGAATCTATCTTGGCGCTTTTCACATTCTCGTACTTCGGAAACGTTTGTGCTGGGACCACGCATTATGCTTGGCATTCGAGGATATCACGCAAAGCCCGTGGCCGACACCGGCGAAGCACTGGAATGGTTACTCTCATTTTCCAGGAGCATGCACGCACGTCAACTGGCAGTGGCAGTGATGCTTAGCATGAGAAAATATCTAAGTGATCAACACCGGTCAATATTTGTCGGGTACTTTGGAGGGAACACGAGAAGGTCGTTTGGGTATCTTATCGATCGTGGTACTGATTTGGTGTTTCGACGACACGAGAAGAATAGGTTTGGGTGAACTAATATCATGTCACATGCATTACCATCCACACTGCTTGCACGAAGGTCACTGGCGGGAATAGTGGAAGTGCCCACGTGAAGGCCAAGAGTCGCGGGCGCTGATGTGATCCTCAATCCCGGCCATACCTTCTGCAACAGTGGGTTCTCAGCCACTGAGCCATTTGTCCCGCAGGAAAAATCTGTCTGATGCGGCCTGCAGACGTGTACATCACGTGACTTTTGGTTGACGCCCAGCCACAGCCGCGAAGGGCGCTAAACACGTCAAAACACGTCCCTAGTTGAGTCTGGAAAGCTTGACAACTTCAAGCTTGCACGCACATCCACGATTTTCGGTAACTGGTGCGTTCAATTTACTAGCTACAATCTGCCATACTAATGAATCTCACCACACAGCCAGACCAAATCACTGAAATCACAAATTGAAACTTGTGCTTCAACCCCATTCAATCACGCTAAGGCAGACATTATTTTGCGATCAGCTGATGGTGTTGAGTTTCGAGTTTTCACACTTTTCCTCTCCCTTGCATCTCCGTTCTTCGAGACGTTGTTCGGCCTCCCTCAGGCATCTGATGGGGCCACCGATCAAGAGATGAAGGATGGTCTAGCTGTCATTGCAGTGTCTGAGGACAGCAAAACTCTGGACTCATTTCTTAGGTTTTGCTATCCATCGACGCTGGCGGAGGATCCTTTTCTCGAGAACCTAACAGATGCCCTGTCTATTCTCGCAGCTGCGAGGAAGTATTCACTAGACCTGATCGAGAGAAAAGTATGTCAGGCCCTGGTGAACCCCAAAGTTCTCGAGACAGAGCCCCTTCGCTGTTTTGCCATCTCCAGGAATGCACGACTTAAACATGAAACCATCACCGCCGCCAGACACACCTTGCGCCAGCCCTTAATTCCAGCGTGGTGTGCAGAGATCGACCTTATCACCGCATCCGACCTGCTTGCGCTGCTAACATACCACAAAAAATGCAGTATCGCCGTACAAACCTTATGGGACTTCAACTGGATTAAAAATCATTCTCGCAGTCAGAGTGGCTGCAAATGGCTATTTTATTCAGGGAACTGTCGCTGCGGACAGAATGACGACAGACGATTCTTTCTATGGAATGGGGGGTACAGTTATATGGTGGACAACATATATGCAGGAGGTATTCGAGTTGTTGAAGGATAGCCCATCTGGCGACACTGTGAGGACTGCAGCGGACAGGACAGTCGAAATGGTCAGGGCTTCAAATTGTACCGCCTGCTCTGGCCAGGTGAAGGAAAATATGGCAGAGTTCAGCAACCTGCTCGCTCAGAAAGTTGAAGAGATAGTCGACAAGGTATGCATATACTTTGCTGCTCTGTATCACGGACACAATTCTGATTGCTTAATAGATTGAACTGGAGATGGACTTTTGATTATCCTCATCCTGGGTAAGGCAATATACATCACTACGACGAAACTCTTTCTGACGTCATCGGACAGCACGTCTAGATGCGCTAGGAGTAGTATTTGTGTCCATTGTCCATTGACTCCCAGCAGTTGACTGAATCGAATTGCAGGATGGGTATTTCTACTGAGGAGGAATAACTCCCAGTTCCTACGATTTCTTTCTCCTCGCCTTCCAGAAACATTGAATATTATTGATACCGTTATTTTGTGGACATAATCTCGTACGTAACTTAATGTTTGTGGCGAAGACTTTCGCCCATTCAGCAGTTTTTACCAAGTCATTCCGACTTAACAAATGTCAATCACATCGTCCTTTTTGTCGTTTATCCAGAATCCATCCCTTGTTTCTCTCCGTAGTCACAAGTATGTTCTACTTGGCGCCCCGAAATATATTGCCTGCTATACTATACCTCACGGCTGAGTCGTCACCCCCACAAGTCGTCACGACCTAAATATTTCACTCAATTCTTAGTTCCACACACAATTTACAACTTAAATCGATGTTTCTATCATGTACCTTTCATTGCGAGGTTGAACGATCAATTTTTGTTGAGAAATGGTGAAGTTCATTGAAAGCCGTCAAAATCACGCTGGTGACAGCCAGCCGAGCGCTGCCGTAGCGGAGTTCTAAACCAATACTACCACTGGCTATGACGACTTGTCAGTGAGCCGACGACTCGGACATGGCTCAATGAAATAGCTGCCCAAAAGGCAAATCACGAGAGTCGCTGGCCAGACTGCCAGTGATCCCACAGGCGGCCTATGTATATGAGCGGCGGACTGTTTGGCAATGGGAGAACGCACGCGAGAAACACCGCGTCAACCACTGACAACCCGACTGCCGTCAGCGCCGCACCCGTCGAAAGTGAAACTCCACCTGTTCCAGCACTGCCTGCCAATAGCTCTCATTGTTCTTCTTGCGAACATCCGAATGGTTCTTACTTAAATAGTCCTGATCTATGCTATGAAATACCTTATTGTAATCCTCCTGTACATCCAACTCACAGCAATGTTTGTACTAGCATCTCGGCAATTTTCTACATTACACCAGCATCAAGTTCATTTGCCTCATCATCACGGACCACATAGTTCTCATTCTCATGTAGCATACCCTGCACCATACAGCCATTATAATGACAGCCGCGCCCCATACTATATTCCACATCACACCAACCAATCATAATCATAATTTTTGACCTGTAACTCGACCGCGAATTTCTTAGGCATTGCCGAGCGGACTCTGAAAGCAGCAGCAGTGAGCTGCTGTGACAAAAGTGTGACCTGACGACTTGTGGGGGTGACGACTCAGCCGTGAGGCATAGTATCACTTGTGTAAGAACACATTCCATGTGCGCATGGTCACGGTGGCTTGTGTTCACACGATGTTGATTCCTGTTGCAGGATCACAAATGTCTTATACTGTCGTTCGGGAGTCAGTGACTCGAGGCATAGCATCCCGGCCAAAGTTCGTAGTAAATCAGCGACGACTAAACTGGATGTTAGCACATGTTAACTACGACAAGCGCGAGATGGAGATTGTAGACGGATTCAACATGACCGAAGTTCAACTTGACTAACGGATACTATACACTTCTTCGAAGACAATCGGCAAAGACAAAACCAGAAGACATAGGATCAAGTGGAGCTTTTATAGAGAAGAAAATGGTTGGCGGCCGCGAGTGAAAACCTAATCTCTGACATACAAAACACGCGCATAGACTGTAAACGCAGATCAATGAATTGCACATGGCTCGACAAGAAAGAAATGCGTACCACTTCGAGATGTTCATAACAATGCGAGCCAGGAGAAATTCCCAAATACTTTCGACCAATCCTTCAAAAAAAACTCTATGAACGTGCCCGTTCCCCGTTCTTGAGACTGCCGCTCCAACTGTACGATATCTTCGGTAATGCCGTCTCCGTATTCCGCGCAGAGTTGCTTCAGGATGATATCCCGACTCAGTCCAGGATATTTGCTCATGAGTCTGAGCATATACTCCCCTAGAGCACTAGCACTCGCAGTATCAGTTGGCTGCATCATTGCCACACCGCGATTGGTCCGGAAGATCATTTTCGCGCCTCGATCGTCGATCACAAAGCGAACTCGTTCGCCGCTCGCAGTGAAAAGGAAGTAATCGGCATCTTTGTCGGCTTCAAGCATCACGGCTTGACGCTCCGCAGCGGGAGAACGTTTGCCCTTGCAGGGATTCACTCCAATGTCTCTGAGAGTGAACCTCTCTGGGAGATTACGTAGAAGGTTGGCGACGGGATCCGACTCACTGAATGCCCAAAGGGAGTCTCCCTTTGTTCCGCTCAGACCCCGTGTTACTTTCTTTTTGCCGCAAGACTTTTTGTGAACGGACCAGTGATCTTTCTGGCAGGATCTGGCGAATACAACATCATGAGATGATTATGAAAAAGACGGGATTATAAGACTACGCACTGAGAACAATAATGTACCTCGAATTTGAGTTTTGTCTTGCAAACACTGCACACCATGAAGCGAACACCTTGTCCGATGTCTTCTGGCGTCTTCGTGCAATTTTCGCAGCGGATAAGAGGTTTATCCCTGAGGGTCGTTTTGACATGGGCTAAAGATTGAGCGACATATCCCTCGGTATTCTCCATGATGTGCAGAACTCCTTTCATCCCCTCGCTACGATCGGTGATGTCACGTACGATCGACAACGCCGAGGACAGAACAAAATGCCCTATTCATCGACTGTTAAGACTCGCATGATGTTATATGAGCGGGAAACACTTGCCGATAAACTTATTCCTCTGGATAGTTGCGACTTCGAACAAAAGCTTCGTGCTTTGGGATGTCTCTTTTCGAGGTGAAACATCCGAGGCCTGTCCCCACCATGGATTTGGCAGGTTCGACGCCTGTTCCCACCATGAGTTTGGTAGGAATGCTGGTTTAGTGGACGACTCGGTAATCTCCAAGACACGGGTGAGAAAGTCGACAAAGCCCTTCCCGCCCTGCGTTAGGAAATTCGAAACTGTGACCTCTGGGCAAAATGCACGACAATCTTGCCCCCAAAACGTAGGTGCTTCAGATGCCCCCTTCAGGCCTTCAAGGATATGTCTCCTCTGCTCAGCGACATTCAACAGCAACCAGATAGTGTCAAAATGACCTTTGTTGAACAGGCTACGCAGGATTTCGGCTACGTGACCTTGGATGCCGCGAAGATCCCGGTGTAAGAACTCGATGTTATCAGGAGTAAAGAAAGAATCATCTAGGAAATGAGAGATCTCCTTGAGGACGTCTGCTGCAGTTGACGATGCGATCGCCGCCTCCCACTCCTCATTCCACTTGAGCGCGTCTTGGTTAACATCAGTGATGTTAAATTTCTTGGACAAGAGTGGAGGGAGAAGATCAGCGTGGTCCTTGATTTCCAATGCCATCGCTAGACGATAACTTGTTTGCCGCTCGGAGAGTATGGAAGATCAGGAATATGGACCAGACGCGTTTTAAAGCCAACGCCCCATGATGATAATCGGATGCCATCATATCGATGGTCGAGTGAATAATAGCTCCATGATCAATGATGAATCACGATAGTCTATAAAGAGAAGGGCCGTCATCTTCCAGACGTAAAACCCGCGCTCTGTATGATGTAAAGTATTTACTTATCACCGAGTATATTCCACTTGAGCACGTCTTGCTTAATATCAGTGATGTTGAGAGTTTCTTGGACAAAAGAGGGAGAAGATCGTTAGGTTTTTCTCCAGTAGAGTGGCCTTCGGTTGCAGGTGCCACCACTAGACGATGACTGAGTTGTTTGCTCGGGCTGAGCATATGTGAGATCAGGAATCTAGACCAGACACGTTGAAAGCGTTCTGGAATATCATGATAATAGGATACCGTCATATCGACAGTCAAATTGCGAGTATGGGCAGTGGAAGGTAGTTCATGATCAATAATGGTAGTCCATAAAGAGAAGATTCATCAGCTTCGAGACGTAAAGCCTGTGCTCTATACAGTTGCGGACAAGCAAACTCACCAATTTTGGGAGTTGCTCTCGAAAGAGAAGGCCACCAATTCGAAGCCTGACAGCGTTCTTCACCGTTGCGGATAAGAAAACTCGTCAATTTTGGCAGCCGAAGAGAAGATCACCACTTTGAAGCCTGCGCCCTGTGTGCATGAGGGTAAACAACTTACTTATCATCACCACGAGGCTCCATGCGGTCTCATGAGTCATGAACCTTCCCCTGAATGTTGATACAGCGGCCTTGTCACAACATGAACCAGACATCCTTCCTAAGCCTGAATTCTACATGTGCGTAACATCATATCTATTCATTGCTGGATTCGGACTCCTCGGTAGAACAGACGATTGCACTGAAAGCGAGCGAGTCACACCTGCTAATTAAAAACAAAGGGATCCTCGCACTCACGGCAACAATACATGAAACTAGGAAAAGAGTGAAGCAGAAAACGTCAACGATCAACATAATAGCGACACCGAGAAAAACTCGACCATATGGTAGAAGACATGAAAGAACAATGCAAGGATGGTGTCTGGAATTATAAGCAGCTGCCTTTTGATTAGCGGTGGCCACTCGCACGGTCAACAGACGTGCAGCAGGCAAATAACACGATACCAACGAGTGGATTTGGCGACGGCAGGTGTTGTCACAGTGATGGGGTCTGAGTCAGCTGCAGTTACACTATGGGTGTCATGGACATTTCACCGGTGGCAGTAGTTTCAGGGCGCAATGATGATGCTACAGGTCGGGTTTGAACTTCTTGCTGTCCTTGGGTCTGAGTGACTTCAATCTTGCTTTTTTTGTTAAGGGTAAGGCGACATATACAAGATACATCAGTCCCGGAGGAATAGCTAAGCAAGTAAAATACCCTTTTTTCCTTAGCGGCCGCAAGTTCAACGACAGGGGGTCTCTGGGAGAAACCTTGCCTAGAGCGTTGCTAAAGTTGTGTTGCATCGTGGTCGATGGGAGGCCCGAAAGAGTTGGTAGAGCGAGGAGAAACGGGCTGGCATACATGGACGTGACCCCGAGGAGACGAGAGTACCGCTGTAACGACGTGCAGGCTGGGAATGGCGCGCCGAGATCGACCAGCCTGGTTTCGCCGCTTGTAGCGGCTTGTTGTCATTTTCCCCGTAGATCATGCTGTGACTCAGTCCATTCCTCATGTTTTCGGTCTAGACCTTTGGTGCTGACGTAATCGGTTCCGATTAAGACAACCGTCACAACTTGAACTAGTACCCTCACATACCACACCCTTATGATATTACAACTCGGTGGCCGAGGCAGAAAGAGAGCGAGCAGGCGCATACAATGCGACCGATCCCTAAATCAAGGACTTGGGAGGGAGGGTGAGGAAGACGACGCACTGGATTGAGTGTGAATGATTGACAGCCTGCCAGTGTATGATGCCATGGCCCTGCAGGTGAGTTATTTATTTGTGGGATTTAGATTTACTTATTTCCAATCTTTTTTGACGGCGTGCCAATAGAACGTGATCATCTCGACGACAGACTGGCTTGCATAGCATGGCGGGAGGCTGCTGGTGCTCATTGATAATACATTGATCAATGTTTCACAGAACTTCTGAGCCGGTAACTACAATTTGATGAAAACAAAGTTGGACTTCCTGTAGCGCGAATCTTCTCGTCTCAGCTTGCAATGTCTCTCATTCTAAATTTAAATGTGGCGTCATATATTCACCAGGCATCATATATCAACCACGGACTATGGATCACGAAGTATCTGGCTGTACGCATCACCATTCATGCATCAGCTGCACTAGTATCATGTCGGCTTTTGCATCGGATTCTATGCTTACCACTTTTCAGTATCCTTTGTTTTTTTGACATTATTATCGTACTGAGATAGCCTGCTGATCGAGGCAGAGAGCAAGGTGATGCACATGAGGAAACAGATGTCGCAGACTGTGATGATCGAGGAGATTATACGTTGAGAGGTGTGGTTGGAGGAGGGTGTTGACACCCCAGGCAGAACTGGTGAGTTCTCCGTTTTCTTTGTTGCAAACTTTCCTAGATTTTATGTCTGGCTGTTTTCAGACTACGGTATTCGATGTCACATCACACATAGGCTTGTGTTGCTACTTGACTTTACTACTGATCAGTGATATCATGGAACTCCCGAACTGACGCATATGTAACTAGGAAGTCGTCTGAAGAATGGAAATAAGTTGCCGAAATAACGAACAGTTCTTTGATCATGTACAGTGTTTAAGCATCCCACGTGTGTACTAACTAAATACTTCATCGTCTCAAGACCAGCATCTACGATTCAATCGGGGACCACTGGATTGACTTCCCATCTCTACATGCCTTCAAAATATTTACTTTGATCAATCATGGCAGGAACGGCCAAACAGCATTCGATGGTGGTATATATCTAGCACAAATGCCATCATGGCATCCACCAAGTTCGCCTCTTGCTCGCACCCATCCTCTAACGATATGACCTTGGTTTCAAATTCTCCTAGTTGGTGGCCGTTCATCAATTCGTACCGTATTTACAGCTATTTCGCGGGTTCGTGCAGTAGGATGACGATGGTGCTGCCTCAATCTAACCTTGCCTGTGGTTTTGCAGTTGCTGCCTCTGTTGGAATGATATATGATTGGGGTGAGCATGATTAATTTAGAGAACTACGATATCTCTAAAGTGTTTCAAGCACTTACATTCGGACAAGAGGTACGTTGATGTCGTTGCCAGAGTAGCCAACTCGCTGAGAATGGTTTGATAGTTTGAACTGGTCTGGGTGAGCAGAGTCCCACGTCAGAAGAACAAAATTAATTTGCAACAGAAGCAACGCTGGTCCCTTATGACCGTTCTGTATCTGAGTGTATTTAGCTCGTGTTATAATTGTGGTTGGCAAACTGTACTGATGCTCAAAATATCCTAGGCGCGCTATCTTGGAATATCATATGCTGTGTATGTTTGAACGCTAAGAGGCAATTGGCGTTGTGCTAATTGGTCATCTCTTCACAATTAGGATCACCATACTGTGTATGTCTCCTCACATGCACCGCGTTTGTTTCTTCTGACCGACGGCATACAGTCAGTGTTCCGACAATCCCGGTGACAGATGCAGTGAGTATTCTGCACCAATGTATCATATCCAAATTAACTGTGTTCTCATGCAGGGGTGAGTGAGACATGACCGACTTGTTGGTTCAATAATGACTGCCGCAGATGTGAGTTTCTTTGCAGTGGTGATTCTCCGAGGCTGATCACTAAGTTAATTTTATCAGGCCTTATTATGTATCTCGTGCTAAATTGGACGAATGTCGTCGTAACTGCAATACTAGGCGGTGAGCTACGCGGCCACAATGCCTTTGCTGGACTGACACATCATGCAAGTCATCATGGTCACACGATTATATGCTATGTATCAGCGATCTAGGAATGTACTAATATTTCTCACCATCGCCTTCCTGGCTGTCAACATCTTCGATGTAGCGATCTTTGCAACAACAATGTGGCATATTTCCTCTGGTAAGCTTTAATTATGGATGAAAGACTTGTGCGCATCAGGATTATTGATGAATACTAGAGGAGCTCATTCTCTCCGGCAACTATCAGTGCACTGCTGGCTCTGAGGGAGGTGCCGTACTTCTAGTTTCCGTGGCTTGGATAATCACGACTGTATGGGAGGTCCTTGCACTGTGCCTCGCAGTCTGGATTGCTGTAAAACACTTACGTGAACTCCGGCGACACTCGGCAGGAGGGATTATCGGGGACTCTTTCACCGTGTTGATAAAATCTCATGCAGTTTACTTTGCGAGGTGAGCTCATAATGTGAATGGATTCTGGTTTTCCGACTGAAGTTCCGCACGTCCTATGCAGTCTTGTTGCCGTTTCTTGCTTCAACCTCGGTGCTTTGTCTCCAGCAATCTCGGTATGCCGATCTGTCACTGAATGCTCCATGTGACCACGGCTCATCATTTCTATAGGACACATCATCCTTGGAGACTCAGATTTATATTGGCTCTTCTCAAATTTTCGTGGTCGTGCAGTCATTTGTGCTGGGACCGCGCCTAATCCTCAGCGTTCGAGAACATCACGCTAAGCGCGTGGCCGACAACGACGCAGCAATCGGGATGACTTCAGTCGCTTTCCAGGAGCGCGTGCATTTATCGACTAGCAGCAGTGTGTAACACAGGAAATGTTCGATGTGATGAACATACCGCAGGAAGTGGGAGAATTCGTTTGATTCCAAGTTTCGTTGTAGTACTAGTATATAATATATAACTTATTTGGTGTTTGTGAACGCAGGGCGACTCGGAAGGGCTTCAGCCAAGGCACGGATTCGATTACGAGGAAGGCGCGACAAATGCAAGTTCCTTCAGTCGAAAGGTCGGTCCTGCGGCATAAAGAGGCAACATCGACATGTGCGTTGAGTCACTGTTGAGTCGACATCGTCTGATAGTCTTCGTGGCTTGTTCGTAGCTATGTAGCACGCTGAACTCGCCAAAGAATTTTTCTTTTCGCACATATATATATTCTACGTCTGATTCCTTTACGTGGAGGACCAATGAATTTTAGATTCCATCAGGTGTTACCTTGGATTCACTCGTACATCCGTGGCAATCGATTGTAGTCGGATTGTCTCAGACGGCATTCGGTTTCTCCGCTTCAATAACTTGTACAAAGCACTACGTTGTTCTTCCGCTATTACTCTAATTGTCCCAGAATTCGATTGCTAGATAGTATCGTGCGTAATTGACTTAATGAAGCAAAGGATACAATGGACATAACGCTACTATATACTTGATGACGACCAAACTGCAGATGAAATATAGCGTCATGTCATGACTTTGTGTCATTTTGGGCTTTCTTTGTTGCCAGCTCCTTTTGAAGCCAAGCAGAAACCTCTCTGGCCGCCTCCCGGGGCCTACTCTTCTGCGACATCAAATAACCTTGCAGAACAGCCATCGACACCTCACGTTCCGGAATAGCTGACGCAAACTGTGCAGCAAGCGCAGAAAGCTGATCGCTCGAGAGCTTTGGTGCATGTCCACGGTGGCGCGTGCCTGTGTACGTGGGAGCTGCGCGCTCAGATTTCTCAGAACAGGCTGGAGGAGATGAGGGAGGGGAGTCGGCGGTATCGTCTGGGGCGCCAAGATCAATTAGGTTAGTGGAACCTCCGTCACGTATGGAGCCAGTAGGATGCGACTGAGCAGGATTCGATTTCGGTTCTTGGTCGTCATATGCGGGGGTCTTGGGGGAGGATGGAAGGTAGAAACGTTTGAACAACTCGTCTGCCTGATATCTGCTCGCAAGCTTAAATTCAACATGAAGGTCCATACGTCCAGGACGACATAGAGCAGGGTCAAGGGACGAATACTTGTTCGTCGTAGCGAACAGTATCCGCCCCTCTTGTGCACCAATGCCATCCAATGCATTGAGTAGACCGCTGAGCGAAACCCTGCTAGTAGTGTGAGTGGGCGTCCTCGGAGAGCTGGGGATGAGCTCGGCAGTTTGGCTGGGTGGTGTGGGAGCGTCCTCCCGCGAAAGACTGTTATGGAGAGCAGCGTCAATGTCTTCCATGAGAGCAATGCATCTCTCAGGCAAATCTGAAATGAGTTCTGAAAGTCCAGTGTCGTCAAGGCCGCTGCGGGAGAGGGAGATGATGAAGACATCAAGTTCTAGTTCGCCCGCGATGCTATGAATCAGAGACGTTTTCCCTGAGCCAGGTGCACCATACTGCAATGGCAATTTGATGAGCATCATAAAAGAGCTCTTCAGACGAAAGCATCCTACCAGCAAGTAACCACGACGGAAAGGAATTCCTAGAAGTGGGTTCAATCGAATATCGACAGCTTCACGCCAAGCCTAAAGTAACACACCTCGTTCAGCATACCACCCTTTACTGGCAAGGAAATCTTGCGCGTCCTCGACGACAAGTTCCCGGATTCCAGGATCTAGGATAATAGAATCCAGAGGTCGCTTGCGTCTTGTAGCAAGTTCTCTCCAGGAATTCGAGCTGCGATGCATTAATAAGGGGGGATATCAAATTTTTGTAAGACTCACGAATCAGAAACATAGACAGTAATGGAGCTGCCTTGCGCATCCTGATAGGCCTTTTTGGCGTCTTGTAGGATAGTGTTCAGAATGTCATGATTGCGCGTGAAGATGCTGTTTAGCAGCAGATAAAACAGACGATTCAACCGATTTTTGGAAAAAGGTTACCTGATATTCAATGAGTCCCTGTGGTTCGGGCCCCAACCAGGTATTGGCTCCGAGACACGGGTGATCCGCATCCATCTGTATTTGTACCATAGGGTATAAGACCCAGAGAGTGCTGGCAGGTAAGAGACTTTGGGCATCCCGGATGAATCAGGCTCTCCTTCGGAATTGGGGACGTTCCCCGAAAACCTTTCGCCAGTGCTGATATTTACGTTGCGCACATTCTCTGTAGACCAACAGAAAATATTTAAGATAATATGACAATGGTTGATCGGAGGGCTTACTCCAGGATGGTTGCTTCGATAGCCAGATCATCATCCATTCTATCAAGATAACAGCCACATATTATTGAGTACCGTGTAATCAACCAATGGACACTCACTGTAACTGTCATCGTGATCCTCAAATGATGCGCTGAGAAAGAAAGAATCGATCGTGGATGACCAGACTGTGGCAAGGAGGCGCCGGCAGGTCTCAAAGAAGCTACCAATGATCAAAAGCTTCGCCCAGTCTCTCAGAGCAGAGATCGAAAGAAAGAATGAGATTAATGGGCCAAATCCATTCAAGGGAGCAGGTTCCGTCAAATGCGGTGAGGTTCCATTGGTAATCACGGAAGCGTTTAGACTTGAAGTGTTCGACGCTGCAAGCTGCAGAAGCTGCTCCGACGAGGTCTGGTATGGACGCCAGCTTGGACTAAGATTCGGGAACGCGGATATGATCCTTGGAATACAGACACATTTTATATCAACCTTGTGGGCGCCGGACCCGCGCTTGATGCATTTGAGTCACGATGAGTGGATGACTCGAGCGTGGGCGGGTGTCAATTGAATAGCGCGCAAAGTCCACATTGACATGGAATCAAGATTGCCGAGGCTACGAGTAGTGGGCTTGAGCGTGCCTTGGCGAACACGTTCTTGATAGCCATATGATAAGTGATGCACAAGATCAATCGATTGAATATTTTTTCCGTGACGAGCGCTGAGTGGACTTGTAGCGGAGCTAATTTTAGCGCCCTTGAGCGTTTTCCGGTCGTTTGATCCGCCACAGCAACTCTCGCAACACGTTGAGTCGGGCCATTCGAGTCTCCGCCACTGCTTATACACAACAAGAGCTGAACAAATTTATCTGACTCCTCGGTATCTTCACTAGGCCTCACACTACGGTCATGACAGACCTAGCCGCCGAACGCGTCTCCCTGGACCTGACGCATGTAATCTGTGCGTTAAAAGAAGCCCACGTTCCTTTGCCCTCGCCAGCTTACAGGTCCAGATGATGCCTCTTCAGATACTTCGTTTGTACTTGCACTGCTGACGCTGAGTCCAATCCTTCTGATGGTGCGAGCTCAACGGGACACCGCAGCTTCGCGAGCGCTAACACACCCACAACAGCCTGCGTATGCGGTACTCGCGGTACATACCCGCGAATTCACTATCATCAACATGTGGGCAGGACAACTCCTTTCAGAGGGTTTAAATCTGGTGCTAAAGCACATTTTTAAACAGGAGCGTCCAGTTGGTATGTCTTCATTTCCCAAACCATTCCCACATAAGCTGTGTCTAAGCCCAAGTGACCCTTGAAATATTTATGATCAGATAGCCAGCTTCATCTTAATGGTTACGGCTTTCCCTCATCGCACAGCCAGTTCATGGGCTATTTTTCTTCATTCCTGATCTGTCACATGTATTTTCGACACCGATTTGTGTCCTCAGGATCCGTCGTGCTTGATCAGCTTTTTCCGAATAGTTGTCTACCTTGGACTAGCTGCGTGGTGTGCCATCGTTGCCTATTCAAGGTATGATCCCAGTGGCGATTGTTGAAACAGTGGACTCAGTGGCGCTCAACGTTCTGTTAGATTCGTCTTGCTGTACCATACGCCTCATCAAGTTAAATGGGGCCTGGGGATTGGTATGGTACTGGGTGTTTCACATTATGTGTGTACCGAATTACTCCCAACTAAATTCCCGGATTCTGTGTTTGGACGAATTCGATCTGCCATCGTAAATCACCCGGTAAGCGTGTGGCTACGGCTAAGGGATGGCTGGGGTGTCTGGGAGGATGGTGGGAGAGAAGCTGAGTGGAAGCAATGGAGAATTGAATGGCTGAAGCAGCATGCACATCTGGCAGGGAAAAAGACGACATGAGTTTCACTGCTAATACCTTGTATTTTATCTATTAGATATATGATCGCACACCATATCTTCTTGGATTTTGCCTACCCCAATGCATGTCAGATTTAGGATGGATTGTGCACACCACAACCTGCCCAAGGTAAATGATTTCTCATAAGCAAAATAAAGATTTCCTCGTGCAGGCCTCGACTCAGTTCACTGAAGGAATGACTCATTATATCTGGTCTGTCTAGTAGTACAGGAGATCAACCATCTCGGGTAGTTTGTTATCAACCTTTGTTTGACTTTACGTACCGTACACTGCCTTCCACATGACTCAACTCAAACGTACACGCTCCCTTCACTAATAGCCTAGTCTGCATATATAAAGGCTTCTAGCCAGCATCAGTAGATCTTCTGCACTCACTCCGAGGATGACATACCAACTCCATCCGCTCGAGATTAATCCTAAAACTGGAGAACCATTCCTCCGGCTTGCAGCACCACACCAGAACATCATTCTCACCCCACCTCGACAGGGAGATCAATCTGTGCTCATACAGCATCTGAACGATCCCGCTATCTACGGATGGATGCAAGCACTCCCAATCCCGTATCTACCGGAACATGCGGACTTTTGGATCCAGTTTGTAAAAGAGGAATCAGATGCTACTTTGGAATCTCTACGGAAGAGCGCGGAGGATTTTCCTAATGGCCCGCTTCAATTTGTGGGTGGGAACCCTGTGGGGCATCTTAGGGAAGTCAAAGAGGATGGGACGGATGTTCTTATAGGAGATGTGAATTTCAGAAGAAGCGCATTCGAGGAGGTACTAGATGAAGTAGAACGGAAGCGAGTGCAGGAAGATAATGCAAAGAAGCAAGCAGGGGACCCGACGATTCAGTATACTATTGGAGGTACGCTGGTTCTCTGGGCCTATGACGATTGGTGTCTCAATGCTGATGAGTTTATCATTTGCGATAGACTGGCTTGCTGCGAGCCACCATGGAAGGGGCATTATGACTGCAGCAGTCGGTCTCTTGATGACCGCGTGGGGAATCCCTAGAATGGGAATTCGCCATGTTGTAGTGCACACTTTTGCTGAGAATATTGGTAGTAGCCGAGTTTTTGAGAAGAACGGGTTCGTGAACAGGGGGCAGTTCGACTACGGGAAGATAGTTAGAGGAGAGAAGAAGATATTGACTCTTCTTGAGTGGAAACAAGCTTAGTACTTATATGAGAACGTGACGCGACTGTTTTATAAGTGATCACGTGCGATCAAACTCGGTTAGATAAGATGGGCTGTCTGAAAATTCAGTTGTTTGTTTTGGACGACGATGATCACAAACTCTCCTTAAGCTGCATCTCATCTGAATTCCCTGGCTTGATACATTTCATATTTATGCGGCGCTGTGTCACAAAGGCGTATATTTTTCTCCATCGATCAATGTCAACCTCCTCCCTTCCACCTTCACCCATCCCTCTTCTAACATCTGTCGCATCTTACAGACGATGGCGGCAGAAAGCCTTCGATGAGGGTAAATCTGTGGGCTTCGTGCCGACCATGGGAGCTCTTCACGACGGGCATTTGTCTCTTGGTGAGCACATCCCACACACACTTTTTTTTGAAGTCTATAAATACCTCCTTACTAATCTCGAACCATTCGATTCAGTCCAAAGGTCATTAGCCGAAAATGAGCTGACAGTTCTTTCCATCTTTGTGAACCCAGCCCAGTTCGCTCCGCATGAAGACCTTGCCACGTACCCTCGCACCTTACCAGGAGATTTGGAACTCCTTACAGCACAGCAGGTTACTGTGGGCGAGGCCGTGAGGAAAGCCTCTGCTGTATTTCTTCCCTCGGTCCAAGACATGTATCCATCGGGTATAAGCCAAGATGTTTCAGCACAAAAGGGAGCATTCGTCGAGATGAAGGGATACGGACATCAGATGGAAGGCACAAGCAGGCCAACATTCTTCCGAGGCGTGGTGACAGTTGTAACCAAGTTATTCAATGCGGTCCAGGTGAGATGGCCTCTCCACAAGATGCAGCTTAGCTTGACGATGACTGTAGCCCACGAATGCGTATTTTGGCCAGAAAGATATCCAGCAAGCCTTACTTCTTCGGAGACTCTGCAAGGATCTGCTTTTCCCACACCCCGAAGCTGACCACGTCCATATTGTCGCCACGACCCGTGACCCGAACGACGGCCTAGCTTTATCGTCCAGAAATGCGTATCTCTCTGCGAATGAGCGAAAATTTGCACCCGCGCTTTACAAGGCCCTTCAATACGCCGAGTCCGCGTGGTCGAATGGCGAATCCAAGGACCGATGCATTTCAAAAGCTGTCGCTGTCATCGACGAAGTAAAAGTACAGGCTGCTATAGACGGTGTGGATATGCGGCTGGATTATATAGAGATGAATGATTCGGAGACATTCGACGTTTTGGACGCGTCTTCGAACCATCAGTTGGCAGGAGATATACCTGTGATTCTGAGCGGTGCGCTATGGGTTGGGAAGACCAGGTTGATTGACAATATCGTAGTTGGTGACCTCAAACGTATAATAAGATAGCTCGCAAATAGATGCCAAGGCAAGATTATTAAATGCTGAAGCGCATCCAGAGTCAGGCTACTGTCCAATCCATTCGAGTTACCAAGTCACTTGTCTTCTTCACCTCCAAACCTTCCGCGATCGCCAACCACCGTGACGATGGCACATTCAAAAGTGATGCTAACGAACGGCACTTTACCATCCGCTCGACTCGACCGACTTTGTGCAGCACACCCATTCACTCAGCAGGTATAGTATTGTCTTTGTACTTTTTTGAAGCGAAGTGCTTGACACTTCCTCAGCTTGACATCGTGTTCCCTGCTTCCGATGAACTCGAGAAGGCGCTTACATCCCTGAAGCCCACATACTGTAAAAGACGTTGTACGCTATCGGAGTTCCTTGATTTTGCCTCCAAGAGTCCAGGCGGGTAAGGAGAGTCTGAATCGTGCCTTGAAGAAATACTGAGATGGTTCTGTTTTCTGTTCGAACAGGAATATAACTGCACTGCCATCCACTTCCGAGTGCGTCGATACATGGTGTATCGACCCTAGAAGCGTCCTCACCCTCTGCGTCTCAAAGTCATTGTACGAGCAACTCGGGTTGATTGGGAAGAGACTCCCTTTCAAAGGGTGTCCTGAGCAGTACGGTATGTCACTCAGGATTCCAGTTCATGCACGAAAAAGAAGTGATCGAGACCTAGCGCAGTGATACGCATACCGGTTATGCAAGAGACCGTATCTGTTGCTGTACGTGCGAAGCAAAAGGCAGCTCTAAAACTCTGGGACGAGCTTCGGGAGAACGGGCCCGGGAAATGGGAAGTTTTGTATTGTCAAGCAGGTATGTGTGTAAGATGGAGATCGTGTGTTCTCAACCAGCTCATTCTGGTGTTATTTGAGGTGTACACCCAGTGATCTCCGAATCGCACGAGGGGGTGATCGTTCAGCCTCGAATCTGTCGTTCGACCGATATACATGTCCCAGTCCCGGCACTTGCTCCCTTTCCAGATGAAAGCACAGAGGATTGGGATGAATATATCGGTGACCTTTTTGAATGGGTGGGCATGGCTTGCTTAGGAGCTCAAAGGTTCGAGTCTAAGCGTTACTTTTTTTCAAACTTGTCCTACGATACGATAGACTCAAAGCGAATGACCGTGTCAATCCTTACGTTGCTGTCTATGAAGTTCCCGCTCCTTCATATATTGGCGACGTGACACAGATAAGATGGGCGGCTTTCCTTCAGCAATCGTTCATAAAAGATGCTCTGGACATGGTGACGTCAGACATTTTGAAGCTCGATGATGTTAGAGAATTGATGATTTGCTGCGTAGGTCGCATTTGGCATCTGCAACCGATAACCACGCGTTCGTTGCAATGACGAGACACGGTTGTTGCACATCACCTGTTGGCGCCATCCCGTTGTCCTCGGCTCCTGATACTTCTTTCGATACGGCCCGAGATCCACCTCTCCGAGTACCGGCCATCAATGCGGAGGACAGCGGCTGTTTCATCCTTGGTCCAGGTCAAAATGGAAATTTTGTGCTTGCAGAGAGTATTGGACATTGGGATGCTAGATGGGGCTGATCTCATTACAAATTGTAGGTAGCCGAATTCATACAGATGTTTGATCGCAATACATGATATGAACGATGTTGCAAGCGGATGAATCGAGAGCATCAGGTCTAATCTATACGAATCCGCTAAACAACGACTATAAAAAGCACACGATAGTAGAGCAAATGACGCGGGTCATTTACGGCCATTGTAATAGTGCATAAGTAATGGATTAGCTGAGTGTATGAAGCAGGATAAAGATTACGTGGATTGTGCACGCTGGAATGCCTTGAAAGTCAAAATGAAGGAAAGGAAGAGGTTATGAATGAGGGGATTGGGACGGTGTATTGATTTACAAGTTAAGCCACGACGTCTCGGACACGAACGAGTGCGGGGGAAATATGAGCATGAGACATGCGTGCATTATTGTTAGGGAGAGGACTTGTTCCTGCTGGCGAATATGTCTGGTGATGAGACGCCCAAGAGTAAATACGCGGTGAGACTGTGGGGGGCGGTGACGGGGAAAACCGAGAAAAGGATGTGTAGCGTGGCGGCGGTGTCGAGGATAGATGCTGGTGGTAGAACGAGGAGAAAGATAACCCTTCACCAGATGAAGAGTGCTGGGAGTGTGTACCCGGAACAGGGATGGGTGCACTGGGGGTTGGAAGGGGGAAGTTCACCTCGAGATTCATGATGTGTATGATTGAAAGATATTGTGTGGCTGCGTGGAAGGTACTGGTTGTGGATGTGCGTCTAATGGTGCCATGATATCCCGCGAAGAATCGATCTCTACTGATTCGTGCGACACTGGCGGGTCACTCTGGACTTCGCCATGGATGTCATGAGCTGCGAGATGAACTCGGACGGGTGTTTCCGGCTCTGTTGTCTGCCTTTGGTAGGCCTGAGCAATGTACTGGGCTAGGCTATCACCCCCGACAGCCATTGGACTGTCACGTTCGAGATGACTACCCTCGCCGGTGAGGTCTAGTCTGATAACCACGGTCTCTCTGTCTTCCTCCGTCTCTTCTTCATCTTCCGAGTGTTCTACAGGCACGTGGTCAATGAAGGCCTCGTAAACTGCCTGGTCATTTTCAAAAAACTCGTCAGAGTCTGGATCAAAAGCATTGATATATGACCATTTTTGGTATGGGAGAGGAGTCTCTGGCTCTCTGATGATAGGCTCTGTCTGGAAAGCCTTGGAGTAAAGAGGGCGACCCATTTTTGATAATAAAACAAGTAGAGATATATAAAATTTGAGGGAGAGAGGGTATACACGGAGGATGATGCGGGAGTAAGTCCAACTTGAAGAAGACGCGTAAAAAGCACGCGCTGCATCCGTTCTGGGCTTTAATTATAAGGTCGTCATGGCCCTGTACAGAGTTTAGGGCAGGTGCGGACTTTGACGGTAGCTATGTACTCCCGACCGTCCGACGTCAAGTTCCCATCGGAATCGTTCTCTTCAAGAAACTCTGATTGTATTCGATGATCAGTTATAGCCCTCTTCTTTTTTGAATAGCTCCTTTTACTTTCGGCACACCGTAATGAAGCTTTGAAGTTCTGGAAAGCGGCCATGCAGTCTGATGCCGAATGTTCCATGACTACATAGTAGTATGTATGTCGTGCAGTACCACTTCAGATCCCGTGGTTCATGCTCGTACTTCACATGACCGGCACCTTCGAACGACCGAACCTCCGAGGCTCCGAGTCCGTCTCGTCGCAGCTTGACAGGTGGGCGTCAGTTTTCATTCCTATCGCGGGTAAATCCGAGCTTTCTGATCGCGTTTCAGCAGCTTCTCGAATTGTGGAAGTCCCTTCCGAGGCTCGACTTCGAGTATGTAAGTCTTCAAAATTACTCTTCCATGCGCCGTCAGATAGGCTATCATCTTTGTCATCTCCGACCAATCGACCATATAGATGCTCGGGATTTATACGGCATCCCCGCTCGGTGCAGGCTTATTGGTAAAGATATTATTGGAGCACGGAACACGTCGATTTTGAGGGATTTAATTGTCTTCTACTTGGTAGGAACGATTTTTTCTATTCGGTTTGCCTCAGATCATGGGTGACTGACTTCTATTCGGTGGCTGATCACGGGGTTGCGGCATCCGTCTGTCAAACCAAGTAAGACCAGCCATATTAATCCTAGCCCGTCCTGCGAGATAGTCTAACGCCGGAGGATTCTGGAAGGACAGGCGCAGAACCCAATTGGTACTTATTGGGATGTACAGCCACAAATCATCAGACCCCTATCATACTATGGGCGTATCTTGCCACTGATCTAGTGTCCTAGATAGTACTAGATAGTTAGCCATGTTGTAGATTGGAAATGGTGAGTTGTTGCATCAATCTAGTGCTAGCTTGTGGCTTGTGTTACAAGTTTACAGTAGACGGGCCAATCATTGTTTGTACACATCGCTTAATCTATCAGAATTTCTGAGAAAACACATGCATTGCAGACACAGTCTGGACTATGGACTGCGGGAATACTACTGCAAGTGCGACAATGATGGTAACAACATGGCAATAGCGAGGACGACGCGGACATGACGACGGCAGTAATGATAACCGTATCCTGTAAGATGGATCCGGAGCTGTGTCACGACTAATTTGGACTTCTTGATCGGCGTCAAGTAGGCTAGGTGGGTGGGCGCTGACTTGCAGTCTCGCCGCCATCAATACCAAGCGCGAACTTGAAAGGAGCACGAGGTGAAGAAGGAAAGTGAGGCAGAGCCGGTGGAGTGCGTACGAGATGGAGATGGAATAGGTGGTACAAGTCGGCTCTTGGGAGTAAAATCTGGAGGGGGTGACGTGGAATGGCTGCGACAAGGATAATCTTCGTCTTCGACTCCCTTCATGTGTTTGATGGTGCTCCTACGCGAAAGGAGAGTATACTTTGTGGTTCGTGCTAGGCTTGTTGGATTGTGCAAAGTAAAGGCTATACATTGTAAACGAAAAGCTAAATAACTCTAGTTTCTTTAGCCATTTTCACGATCACACAAGATTTTCAATTTTGTCCTTATAGATGGATGTAGCTCCGCCACTCGTAGGTTTTCACTGGGCATCAAACATTAACGTATCGTTACATCCAGTCATAAATCACGTCGTAAGTTACATTGAGGAAAGGGGAAAAAATCCAAACCGTTTACAGACCACAGTTTTCACAGAGTGTATCTGTACCCACTCCATTCGTCTCCCTTTTCTCTCTTCGCATCTTCAACACTTGCGAACCGACCGTTGACTTCAAAGCCTCCCTCACGTCCCTCGATGACTTCATCTCGCTCCCCGCGGTCCCGGCGAGCGTTCTCCCGTTTTAAGAGGAACCTGAACACGACCGTAGCGATGAGACCAGTTCCGATGTACATCAGCACGAGTCCATGGCCTAATGGGTACCAAGGCGTCTGGGTTGCACGGTAGACATTGGAACTGACGGCGCCTTGCAAGTTGCCCCTTAGTTGATGTCAGTCGTGGATCACGCGCATCCCAAAAATAACTCACCAGCTGATAACCATCGCAAGAGCGACACTACGCTTGTATGTTCCCTCCGAGTTGTTGGACATCCAGGCACTATCCCCGATCGGTCAGAAGGGAAAAAATTATTGGTGGATCACACTTACACCGTGTTTGCTGCGGAATCGGGTGCAATCAGCATTAATGCTACGGAAACAATAGAAAGAGCGCCACTCACGAATGCAAGGGTAAATACCGCTACATTGTAATTCGTCAGGCATGGATCAACTGTGTCGTAGAACTGACTTACCAAGCAGATAAAAATACCGCAAAGTATGACAATGCGGCGTTGCGAGAGGCAATCAAGATAATGTATCCCACAGCAGCTGTCAATGTCCCAGATAGCGTGAGTGACATTATCACTAAAAGGGCATACCATGCAAACTTACCGATGGAAAGCAGAATGCTAGACACAAAAACATGATGGTAAGAGTGGAGCCGCGGTGTAGCGAATGGTAAACGCACAAGTTATACATCCCACGGTTGCCATACCGGTCAGCAAGGAAGCCGACGAGGCAAGTAGATATGCAAGCGAGCGCATAAACAGGGACGGTTAGTAGATTCGCTTTAGTTGCAGAATATCCTGGGGACAATCAGTCGGTGAAATGAATGTCACATCTCAGAGTATGAGAGCATACCGAGCTGTTTCGCGGGAGTTAGCACATGCGATTCACAAAGACGTAACGTAAAACCATAGACTTACTTGGCTAATGATACTCGGCAAGAACAATGCGAATGCATACAAAGGCATGTCAACTCCGGCATAGACAATCACTAAGACAGTTTGTTAGCGGACGTAATTTGCGGATCAGGTGAACTTGCTGGCAAGGTAGGTTTTCCATTCGGTCAGTGCCTTTCTGATGTGTCGCCACTGCATCTTCTCTCCGGCAGCACTAAATTGGGCGTCACCCTGCAGGCGACGAATAACAACTGTCCGCTCGGCCTCAGAAAGGAATGTTGCGGTGTCCGGGAAGTCAACGATAATCCAGTATGAGACAGCACCTGCCGCGATGGTAACAAGGCCCTCGATGATAAAGATCCACGCCCAGGCAGGCTTTCCACCAATCCCATTCATCTTGGCTATGCCGACCTGCACAACACAAAAAAAAATTAGTAGACCGCTTGCTGGCTGTGATTGACACATACAGCGAGAAGGCCACCGAATGCGCCGGAAATAGTCGCAGCCGAGAAGAATATGGCAGCGCGGATACCAAATTCTGAACGCTTATACCAGCTGTACACCCACCGTGTTACATATCAGGAAACGCTTTCGCATCCAGAACGCTAGTCGTACGTACCATGAGAGATAGTAGGTGACTCCAGGAAAGAGTCCTGCCTCGAAGGCACCAAGCATCCATCTCATAACTAATTTGAGGGAAATTTTAGTTGTATCCGAAAATCACTAGGCGATGTACCAACCTAGTAGGCCGCTGTAGTTGTGTACTAGGCCTTGCACCGTCTGTAGAGGACACATGATTAGTGTGATCGGATCTAGAGAATAGTGTTAAGAATGCACACCATCATAATACCCCAAAGAACCATGAGCAGCGAAAGCCATACAGATGGTTTTAGACGCTTCAAGACGATGTTGGAGGGTACCTGGTAGAAGGTCAACTTGCGTCCATTAATCCCAAGTTCACACTCACCTCGAATAGTGCGTAGGATATGAAGAAAACCGTCAGGCATATCAAATACTGAGTGTCAGTTATTTTTAAATCTGCCTCCATGTCGTACAGCTACGAAGGTATCAGATCCCATGGAAGTGATGCTACAGTCGATGCATGCTCACCTTTGCATTTCCAATACTCGTTCTGTCGAGGAAGCAAAGTAAATACAGAAAAGATAACCATGGTACAGTCCGCATATCAACTTTTCGCATTAAAGCGCGCTCGTCGATACCCGAAACGTCGACATGAGGGTTATAGAGCCCGCCTTCGGGAGCGGCCTTTCCATCCTCGACATGGACCACATCACCTTTCTCCGAGATGCTGGGTGAAGAAGACAATGTCATGGTATATGGTATATGATGTCTTCAGACGATGGGTGGGGTGGCAGTAAGGAAAGGACCTCAATTTGAAAGGAACGGACTTGATGCAGCCTATATAGGCATCATGTTTTCTCCATGATGGAAATCGTAATGGCGCATTTACCCCACGGTCACTACCCGGTCACTCTGGGTCTCCCCTGATCTGTCAGCCCAGACTCCTGGAACATATGAAGATGTCCGATCCGGTAAGTCTGAAATCATTGATCCAGTAAGCGGGTCGCGGCTCATATCTGTCAATAGGCCAATCACGGTCCTTGTTTCAGTACGATCATCCTGGGGAATGTGCGACCATATTTCCAGAGTAGTCGTTTGCAACCGTTGCCATTGGCTTGCATTCTGTCGAGGCTCCCAGAGTTCATGTTCATAACCGACTGCACGCGTGACGCGTGTGATGAGTTCTAATATTATATAATCTTTTTGGGAAAAGCTGCCGACCTTACTAGTTGTGGCTTGGATATGAAGACATCGTTAGACATTGATATTTGCGCTCTCTATAGAATCAAAAATGACATGGTGACCAACGTCCCAGGTAGGCTGATATAGATTGATCTGGAAATCTCACTGCTAGCTAGTAAGTACAAGTCAGATTTGCCTTTCCATTCGATGTAAATATTACTTGAGTGCGACAGCTCAAGAGATGACTCAGACATTAATATTATTGACATGGATATCGTACAGGCGTGTCGACCAGGGCATGTCGTGTGATCGAGACACTGATATCTAAAATTTTCAACAGTGGGGATGTCCCCCAGTCTCAATTCACAGGTGAAATTTCCGATCATTTTGCCATATTAAAAATTGAATCGCTTATGCATATGACACACCCCGACAACTGCTTGTCGCTAGACTGGTGACCAGCCTAGCTTGGCGCAGCGAAACCACGTACTCCGAGGTACTCTTGCAATTGCTGAGGATGTGACAGAAAAAGCCTGTCGTAGGTTCCTGTGCCTAGGTTATAACCCGGATCAAACAACTCTAGAACTGTAAATCCCCAAAAGGAAATCGTTTCGTTGAGTACTGGGGAACCACCATATGTACAGTTACAAATCCTAGCCTTGGCGCGTAAACTCCATCGTCCTAAATTTGACCTTGAGAACTAGAAATGCACACTTACACACGCTCACCGCTGGCATAACTGGATAACTGCAGACTCTGTTCATTTCGATGTAAAGGGAAGACACCAATGTAATCTCGTACTGCTAGTTCTCTTAGAATATGCTTAAGTAGAAGGGAATATCAAGGGCTCACACGTGTCGCAAGGATGGTATTCCAAAACGCGCAGAAAACTTGGAAACCGATGTGAATATCAAGTACGTGTCAAATAAGCGGACAACGTGTTAGAAAGCACGCACAGAACCCTACAGAACCTGGAAAACATGTCGAGACCAAGAAGGGATCATGTGCGCTTGACTCAACGTTTGAGGCACGCATGGTCACTGCTGTCAATTTTTTGGCGAGCCAAGGCCAGCATGGCTTCGAGTAGCACCCCCGTACCCTTGGTACAGACTCGAGGGACGGAATGGAGCTCCGTGCCCAGCGACACTAACCTGTCAACTATCGTCATGCCAGGTGCCTATATCATACTGATGTCAAATCTTCGACGGATGAAACTCGTACTCACCAGCACTGAGACACAACACCCTCGGCGGACTTTTTTGAAATGTCTGTAAAATCTGACTTGCGGAGACTGAAGTTTTGGTTCGAATATGAGTATGGGGTCAAGAGATATTGCACTGTCAGCCCCTTCGATCGAGTCTCGGTTATGAAGAACAGCTGGTGACAGTCAGTCTCCCCTACTCCAACCACGGGAAGGAAGACAGGCGCGAATGAGATTACAGATGAAAGAAAAAATTATTATCATTGGAAATAAGATAAATCGCATATACAAGCACACCCAAGCCTTTCTAGTGATGAAACTCAAGAAAGAGAACGGATGTGGATGACAGATGCACCGGCCACAGTAGTGTTGGCTGTGTTAGCCCAGATTTCTCGCACTGACAATCGGACTCTAGCACCCGAAGCGAGATATTAATCTCGCACAAACCGATCGCTAATTGCGGGGAAACGCTCTTGATATATGTTTTCCCGCGCCGTAAGATCCAATCGCAACCCCTCTCGTCTAGTTCCCAGTAGGGAGCTTTTGTGACATCTTGTCATTGTCAAAGCCCCCGCTCATCATAGACTCGTCTTCTGAAGCCGTTCATGATCCTCCAGCCATATCCAAGAGCCCTTCTATGCTCTTACCCAAATCCCCTCCGTTGGCCTCCAGTACCCACTCGCGAACCTCTGGGTCCACTCCTGGAAAGATCTGGGCTAGAGTAGCACGAGCAGCAGCGCTCGCTTGTGCATGCGCACGATCGATTTCTGCTTCAACAGCAGTAAGGTCGAGCGAGGGAGTGGGCGTACGAGATATATGTTGGCCTACAGAAGGTGGTTGAAGGTGCTGTGGAATAGCGTTGGGGGGAGGCAATGGTTGGGCAGGACCAAGCGCAAGTGCTGGCTGTACATATGGCCCTCCAGAACCAGGTCTACTTGGGGTTTCGTCGGCTCCGTACAATTGTCCCGTGAACGTGGGTGGTGTTGGGACGGGCGACGTACGGCGGACGCGGGGCTTATAAGGTGTTTGCATGGGCGCCTGAAGTCCCTCACTGCCTGCCGGTGTGTGTGGAGCACCACCAACAAACTGAGCGACCTGGTCAGGATGTGACCAATGTCTCTCTCTCTCTTCTCTACCAAGCTCAAAGGGCGCGAACGGTCCGGGAAGGTAGCCCATCCTCTCATCTAGTGCTTCGCTAAATATACGACTGATGGCACCGAGAGGTTTAGATACCACATCCCCGGTTTTCTGCAATAACTTCCGAGCATCCTCACCAATCTGTGATATTCTGGGCTGATGATGGAACAGCGAGAGCGAGCGGTTGTGCAGATTCTTCTCCTGCATGTGGAGATGGACGCGGGGGTTGATTCGGGGTTTGTGAGCCTTGGGATATAGTTGGTGAAGAAGGAAGTGACGGAGGGAGTGTTTGGATTGCTGCTTCTACATTTCTGTCAAGAGGAGTAAGTATGAATCACGAACTGAATGCAGGTTGTAAAAACCTTTCAAATTCTTCCTGTGATATACTAGAGAGGGAGGTATGATCCATACTTTCAATGAATTGTACAGCACCCATCTGAGAAGCAAGAATTAGCACAAGTGATCGACAAAGTAGTCATAGACTGACGAGGCTTGAAAGATAGTAACCCGCCTCGCTTTGTAGTTTCTCAGGATTTCGAAAGCGATTTATAAACCTTTGGAAGATTTTATTAACTGCGTTGGGTTTGCACGGTGGAAAAAACTTGTACATACTCGACATTCGAAAGCAAATGCTCAGGGTTCGCCTTCAAGACCACGTAAATCAGTATCGGCACAAAAGAATCTGCACCTTCGTCCTTGCGTAAATGTCGTATTAAACCTAGATGACATCCGAAAAATGTGAGCGTGCCGCTGAGATGGGAAGTGAAAATGCCAACCAAAGATAATCTTGCAACAATTCAGAATGCAGATGAGTTTATCCCGTGGAGCCTTGTAATGATTCACTTTGCAAAGTTCTGCCACCATTTAGAATCTGACGAACTGGTAAGGAAGACGAACACGACATACCCTGTTGAGCAAATTCTAAAAATCCACTGTTGTTTCCATTTCCATCGTTATCGTCGGATTCGAGTTCAAGTATATCAAGATGTCGGGGTCGTACCCAGCTGAACAACGCAATCCGTTGAGATAGCACGCGATCGCGTTCGAGGTCATCAGCTGTGACTGGTCGGGGTGGAGTAAGGAGAGGAAGACAAGGCGTGTACGTGTATTCATAAAGCCTGTTCATCACCAGTTTCTCCATTCCTTCCATCGCATTGTCAAATTCTTCCTCCGTCGCATTTCTCCAAATGTCTGTTTCCCGCATTTTCGTGGCAATGAACTGATAAAAATTTAACGTCGTCTTAATTTCGAATACAATTGAAGGCACATACGCTCAGGAAATCATTGATTATCTTGATCTGGTCGTTGACGGTAAACGTCCGTTTCGTAAAGTTGCTAAGAAACCTGTAGAGCAAAGGACGCCGAAATGAGCTTCTATACTATACAGTGTCACTAGACGCACGATCGCACGTATTTGCCAAGTGGTTCCGCACCCCTAGACTTCATCTGATCGAGGAACTTCTGGAAGTTGAAAGAAGGATCTTTATCTTTGCGTGGAGACTCTGACCCAGATGGCGATGCAATAGCTGGAGTCGCGGACCGGGTATCCGGTGCGCTTTGGGTCTTCAAGGCAGAGAAATCAAACGGAAGAGGGATCTGCTTTGAAAGAGGTGATGGCGCAGTAGACTGAGACTGTTGCTGCGCAAATGAGGACATGGTTGTAGGCGAGGGAGTGGCAATGGGTCTGGCCGCATCCATTGACAAGGGCCGAGGGCGCGCTCTATTAGTCACGCTAGGAATGGAGAGGGTCCGAGCTATTGCAGCGAGTGAGGGGAAGCCAGATGAGGCAGAAGTTGATGGTTGTGGTGCGGGTGAACCAGATCTGGAAGAAGGACCATCGCGTTGAATATCCTTCGAGGCAGACCTGGAGTGTGCTCGACTACTCGAACGCGATGGAATTCGGGGAGGTGGTGGATGCCCTTCTGAGCTAGCCCATGCCTGGTGTGCACTCAGCTCGTCCTCGTTTGCAAAAGGATCGAACTGGGTCAAAACGTCCTTGCTAACACGCACTTGATGATCGAGAGTGTCATTGTTTAAGTCTGCTGGTGCAGCGAAAACAGATGGTGCAGGGGCGTTAATCGCCGTTGGATCTGGGGTATGCGCGCGCTTCAATTCAAGCTTCGACTGCTCCTCTGACCATGGATTCTGGGCTTCAGTAATAGATGGGATGGCAGGAGTCTGTAAACCAGTAGGAGGGCATGAATCAAGAGATATGTGGACGGAATCAAAGTCGGACGTTAATGTTGAGTTTTCCTGAGCGTCGAGCATATCGTGCTGCTGCTGGATGGCTTGCCTGATGGAAACAACGTTGAAGTTAAGGGTGGAGTGCTCGTAAGTAAAGATACTTAGAGCCAATACGGCATAAAGCACAGCACTACACTATCCATAAAAGTCAACTTTAAAGTGCCGCAGCCGACAGTGTCCAAATAGACTCAAGCTTGGTTGGCCGAATTTGCGCAAGTCACTACTCACGTACAACGACCGACTGACAGACGACCTCAAGCTTCAAGCTCAAGGTTGTCACGTATTGGCTTGTACTTACTAGCCCTGGACCTCACATATTCTCTTACTAAGTGCCTCCTAGGCTCCCACGCCTCTTTAAACAAACCGCCACCACCAAGGGCGCAAAACGCTGGTTGTGGGCAACAAAGCCCTAGGCGGGGCATCTCGGATCTCTGTGGGCACCTTCTCAATCATATTCGACATGTGTTGCGAGCCTATGGAGCGGATGAGCTATTCATACCTGCTCGATTCGCACTCTATCATAGCCACGAGATTTCTTGAGGCAGCGACCACACGTCCGTCAGTTTGGGTTTCCCCTTATGATAATGGCGAGCTTCGAGGAAACTCGCTCCACAATTCCGAGGTGAAACCCAGAGTTTCAGCCTCTGAGCGCGGTTTTACACAACTTGCAGCACTAGTAGTCTTGCATCGTAAGTTCTTATTCCATGCAACTTCGAGTCGTCAAGTCACTTCGAACCTTGAATATTCAACAGTTCAGAAACACTTCACTCATGGCATCCATGGCTTACGCTCAGTGTAAGCCGCAACTTTGCTGGTTTTAACTCGCTAGTCCGTCCGCAAAATTAAGCCGCAGATATCAGTCACCTCCTTGCTGACGCGGCAACACGACCCAGTCAACAACCCTAACGCACGTGTCAGACTCATATTTAAATTAGCGGTCTTTTTTGGACGGTCCGCTAGTTTTAAAATGAGATTGACTGATCGACATCACAACATTCTAGAGTACATGTGAGTCCTAATACACTCCATTCTGTGGGTTTGAGACATGGGGTTATGATGATTTTAATGGTCCCGATCACCGGTTTAGGTTCTCATCGACGTCCTCACACATCTTTCCTTACCTTTCCTTCTCTATGCAGGCTGAGTCCTGATCAGTCTTTCGTCGACGTCCTCCGTGCATCATTCCTTCTGTTTCCTCCCCTCTCCAAGCAGCCCCACTCCCGATCATTACAGTTTTTCGTCGATTTCTCCGCATGGTCCTGCGTTTCCTTCCCCATACAGCCCCAGTCCCGATCATTACAGTTTTTTTGTCGATTGCTCCACATATTATTATTTTTTACATTTCCTTCCCCAGATCCAATCAATACAGTTTTTCATCGATTCCTCCACACGCACCTCCTTCTTGCCCTTTCCTTCTTTTCATTCCCCATACCGCTCCAGTCCCGATCAGCACAGTCATTCACCGACGTCCTCCACGTGTTCTTCCTTCCATTCCTATTTCCTTACCCATCAGTCCCGATCATTTCTTTGTCGACGCAGCGACGTCCTTCAACGTTCTCCATATGTCTGTCCTCCCCTTTGCTTCCTCATACGGCCTTGACCTTTAACTCCGCACCCAACCTCCACTTCGCTGATCGCCGACGATGCCACGACGACACCAACACCACTCGCTACCCACTTGTAGGCGCCTGCATGTACATTTGATCTCGACCTTCAAGGGTGTTGACTGATCAGAACAAACCAGAAGTAGAAAGTTTCCTAATCGGGTGTACTAATCTCAGTTGATATATCCGCTTCTTTTGTCTACTTACCGCCTCTTACCACCTCGTTCCTGAGAAAACAACTTTCGACAAGTGACTCCATGGCCATGGTGCTTTTGTACCTTTTGCAGGGTACCCGTGTATGTATGTAGGTGTGTTTTGGAAATGCATTTGTAAGACTTCTCTTCGATAGCGTCCCGTACACGGAAGTTTAATTATTCCCTTGACAGTGCATCCTTCTTATGTTTTCAAGCACTTCAGGAGAGTGGTCACTTATTGTAATGGCGTTGATAAGCAGCAGATGGGAAAACCCTGCAGGCAGGCACGACAATATTCAAAAACAAAAGCGCGCAGGGTCCTATCTGTTTCTATATGTCTGTCGCAAGCAAGCAAAAGACACGCATGTTACGGCCAGTGACAGTCGATCATTGGAAGCGGAATTATTCGCCAAATGTCCACTGGGATTCAACCACTCGATGGGGCAAGATGGGGCGGCGAAAGTAATTGTACGGGTACCAGGTTGACCGTTGTACCCGTCATTGGATAACGATAAGTCGCGACCTGTCGCTGTGGTGATCTGACTGCTGTTATCGCGGAACAAGAGAGGCGGACCGGAACAAGCAGTAACCGGATCCGTAAGTTAGAATAATTGTTTAAGTCATAGTGTGTTAGAATCCTGTTGGTCCGCTGTAACGATTATTGATGTGGTCCTGTGTTGGCGGGGCGGACAAATTAGTTTGGATGACGAGATCCGGGGGAGTCACGCAAGAATGCCTAACATAAGTCGGTTGCTGTATGTACTTTGTGCCAATCAGACCAAGTGGCTATGGGATGAGTCAGTACTTGGCATGCAGCGTGGCAGAGCAGATTGCCTAAGTTTGACTTCAGAATTTCAAAACAATGGCTACTAATTGTTGGGAAAGACCCAGGGATTAGGCGCCCATGGGATATATTTATCTTAGTTGGATTTATGTGGCCGCGTCTGGCTGAAAGACGTGCCGTCGCGCGTTAACGTTTGACGGTCACCAGTCAGAGCTCACGCCACCTGGCAGGTCATGGTGATAAGCTATGTGATCAGATGATACTTGGCATGGGAGACTTGAAAGGACCCAGTGGCACCAACTGAATAGTGGGGCTCCAGCAAGCAGTGTAACGTACGTAAAGTGCGGAGAAGTTTCGGTCAAGAATTAGTCCGGGCTCCAAACTGCAAAGTTGCTGCAAAGATGAACTTCCTCATTTGCGTGCTGGCAAAGTTCCGCTAATGGGGGCGGATGCGCCCACGGTCAACGGGCATAGCGACGGTCAAAGTTTGCATGTGAGTACGGGCGGATCATGGTACACAGCGCAGTACGTTTTCACAGACCCCGGCACACTCCCGTAAGCCGTTGGCGCTGCGGAGGCGATTATGTGCATGGAAATCGGAAGCGGGTAATGAAACACGACTACTAGGCCAGAGAAAGGGAAGCGGTATACCCTAGTTCGGGGAATGATGCACCGCACTAATATTACAGATATGGCTTGCACTTGGGGTGGACTGCGGTGCCAGCAGAATGACTGAGGATAGCAAGAATGATGAGCAGCTGGGACGAAAGGAATATTAATGCGGGGTAATGCGGGGCAATATTATTTCTTTGAATATTTGTTGTATTTTTATTATATTTTTATTGAAGCGGACCGAGTCGTGTGAAAAGAATCGGGTAAATCGGAACGAGAGACCCCGAAAGATGATACGAATTGAGAACTAAAAAAAAAGAGTTTGTCGTGTGGCATTCGTCTGCCTGGCTGGACCAGATCTTTCTCTTGCCCTCCATCCATGCAATTGCAAGAAATGGCTGTATTTCATCTTTAAAGAAGGCGTAAGCCGCCAACTTTGTAGCTCTCTAGCATTTAGTTGTGCTAGTTAAGTTCTAGCTATTCCCAGCAGCTCCTTTCCCCCGCTCCTCCTCCTTTCCCATCCTTTTTTAATCTAAATTTCCGCCATCCCAAATCCGAACTCGGCTCATCGTCGTCAAGCTTGTTCTCAACCAGCTTCTTGCTTCTCAAATGTAAGTCACATACTTGACTTGTTCACTATATACCGTCATCTTTCAACCAACGCGACATCCCATCCTGACCCTATTCGTTAGTGCACACGAAAGGTTTGCCATATTATGGCCAACTATACGACCGTCTTACTCGGCTCTGTAAACACCGTTCCTGATGATACCGCTGTATCGGACCTTCCCCGTGGTCAAGTCGATTATCTTTCCCATGAGTGGCGAGAAGAAGATGTATGGCGTTCATGGCGGAGCATGACTCGTCTAAAGAACGAAATCACAAATGGAATGAGGTTGGAGAACGCTTCCTGGCGCACGTGGTGGAAACAACGCAACAAGCTTAGCACTGTTAGCCCCGAGACCCTTAATTGGTGAGTTCAACGCCCTTTTTGAATTCCATACGCCCCTTCCTTGCTCGCATGGTTCAATTCGACCAGTCCCTTTTTCATTTATGATCGTCATGCACGAGCCCCGCAATTTTGCGGAGCCCTGCTGCCATGTGTTCAATAATCATCTAACGTTTTCTCTTGAACTAATCGTTGTGTTAACGTCATATCGTATTTCTTTTTCAAACCCTTTTGGTACACTTTTACCCAACGTCATACCTTTTACTTCATTTCGAACACACCCTGACAAATTTTACAGGCTGAAAGATTCTGATGTTACGTGGCTATATGGTCCTCTTCACACGGCAGATTACCCCGCCCCCGCCCCCAGCCCCAAACCATCAGCCAACACTGCCGCCGCTCTCGATCTCCCCATGCTTTCGTCATCCCCGCCCACTACAAAGCCAATTCTAAAGCACCGTTCTATTATGGAGCTTCTTACTTCCGACCTACCTTCTTCTCCCAAGTTTAGCCCACCTGAATCGGAAGAGGATGAAATACTTCATATTCATTCGGATCACGAAGCTCCGAAGCATTTGACGGGGCCTGGTGTCGGAGGAATAACAAAGAGGCCACCTCTCACGCACACTAAGAGCGATACGCATATCTCCCGCTGGGGCCTCAAACGTGATTGTAGGCGGGATTCACCTCCGCGGATCATTGCATCTGGAACTCCTGTTATCACGACTGAGATGGCCCCCGCCTCCAGGCAGGGGTCACCAGATGCTGCGATTGTGCCTGGCCAGAAGCGGAAACATATCAGCTTCAACACATTCGTGGAACAATGCATCGCGATCGAGAAGCCAAAGAAGAAGCGCACAGTTTGGAATGTGGAATATACCAATTCCAAGACAGTGGGTTCGAACGATTATAGTCAAGGCTATAGTTTTGAGGATGATGGGTCAGTCTTCGGTTGTTCCCTTATGGATGTATACTTATGGTTCGCCGATCAATCTTTCTTGACAGGTATGATGAGGACTCCGAAGATGGGATCATCGACGAAACTGACGAGCTTCTTTTTGGAGATGAAGACGAACGCCCCAGCTCACCGTCACATCTTCATGCATCTTATCCTCGGAGTACTCCTTCCCATCCTCGGCCTTCCCCACCGCCACAGAATACTTCCCCTGTATCCTCTTCCACATCGGAGGAAGAAGATGAAGATGAAGTCCTCGAGATGCGCGTTAGGCATGCTAACGCCGGGGGCATGCTACCTTCCAGATCATCCTCGCACTCTTCCTCGTCGACCTCCTCTTCCTCGCGGTCCCGTCCACCCAAAGCTCGCTCCGCATCATATACGCATCACACGAACGGTACTTCGGTCCATCATAGGCGAACAATTACCGGCGCCCTCATGCGCACGCCCAGTTCAGATAAGGAGCTTGTCACTATCGCGCTCATTGCACCAACCATCTTGAAGACTCGAACGGAAGAGGATGAGCACTATCCCTATGCCCATTCTCATGGTTACCCTCATCCACCATCAAGTGGCAAGTGGTATGCCTACGGTGCGCAGGACTCACCCGTGGAGCTTGTCTACGTACCCCCAAGCTATATTTGTGCGGACATTGACGGTGTAGACGGCGACGGGGTGGTCGACGACATGATGGCCGAGCGATATCATAAGAGCTTGAAGCCAGCGCAGTTTTTCGATGGCCCTCTCGTCGCGTCTCCCAGTCCGGATGAGGATGTGCCAATGAAGGAGGTTGATACTCGCACATACTTTGAGCAGCATGAACGAGTTGAGCCTGAGGCTGACGGCCCAGAGAGCGGGCTCCGCTACTCCCATGGTGGCGCAAGAAACATTCCTATTGTGCGGAATTTGGGACGACCTGAAGTCGTCGTGAGCTCTGAGGATACCTCTGGAGAACGCTTATCGCGTTCCGACTCGAGATCTCGTTCTAGATCGAGGTCTCACTCCAGGTCTCGCACACCATCGCCTTCGTTGGCATCCATACAGGCGCCGCCCCAAAGTACAGCAGTCCCTGTACCCAGGTCTAGCTCGTTCTCGTCCCCATCTGGATTACTTCAGCCACCTGACGTGCCTCGTGGCCGGTCTGCGTCGTCATCGACATTGTCCTCACAGGCCGAGGGGCAGCAGGCACGAGGACGGAGTGTCACACGGACGTCTTCGTTCTCAGATCGTGATAGTGAGAGTATGGAAAGACTTGGGAGCCTCAGCCCTGACGGTGGATTTGGACTGGCAATCGGAATTGGCAGTGCTTACATAGGTGGACGAGAACGGGACGCGCGCAGCGATCGTCAAAGGGAGGGAGTCGTACGCGTTGTGGAGCGAGGTCGGGATCGTGTTGGGCGCCGAACAGATTCGAATTCGGGGTCAGGTTCAAGTTTGAGCCCGGAAGATCCACGGGTACCTACTGTGGTTACAGCTTCACTACCAGAACCACCGAAGAAGAAGTTCACGTCTGCGTCATCCTCGTCTTCTGATTCTTCAACGATATCAGCTGTTTCTGTGTCGACTGTGCGCCCGCCACCTCAGCTTGTGTTGAACACGGGACCTAGTACGCAGACTGGTCTGATGCAAGCTGCTTCTGCTTCTGCCACCTCTGTATCATCCTCGTCTACGGTCATACCCCCTGCACCTAATCAAGCGCAGACAATCAAAGAGGAGCAAGAGTGCATCTCGCGACAACCTACGCCTGCCAACTCACCTATCCTGGCAATGCGCCCGGGCTTTCCCTCCCCGAAATCCTATTCCGCAGCGAATTCGTCACGGCATGACCGTAAACCGTCGGCTGGTACGTCGAGTAGTCCTACAAGGGACGACGATCGACAGCAGGGTGGACTCGTTGGGCGCGCTGTCGAGATTATGGCCTTCCTAAATTCCTTCTGGCATAGTGGGGCACAAGCGAGTGCCTCGCCATGATTCTCGTTTCGAAGTCTAGAACCCCCGGTCATCAATGCGCCACCGCGAGCACAACATGTCATGATAACACCATGGCAATCCCCTCCATCTCCCCGACTTTGACGCTTAATCACACCATTTACTTATCACCGCTATTTTGGAACTATTTCGTCTTCGCTGGGTCACATCGTACATCGCCCATGGTCTTCGCTTCTATCTTGGCTCTCTGTTGTGTTCTTCACCGGTACATATTATATATCACCCCTTGGACTTAGACCTCCAACCATATAACGGGCTTCCGTATTTCCTTTTCTCCGCATATTACTGGTACCCCTGTCTATAAGATTAATGGCTAGCTAGCTACTCGTTGCACTTACTCGTACTGACTACTTTTGGCTTGTACATAGGATGTATGCTGTATCGTTGACACGCTGTGGTCGCGTCCTTGCAGATGCTTTGTCTATTACATGCGTGGTTGTATGATCCATGGTGTTCATAGAACAGTTTTGTGCTTAATGATGATAACGCATGCACAACCGAGGATGGGGTGATGTCAGTGCGTTGTGAAGTATGTGCTTCCCACAAATTGTTTCCTTTGGTCTATTTGTATCGCACTCTCGATAGATCAAGTGCTATTACGATTCCAACCATGCCCGTGCCACGTAGTATAATCCAGCAGATCAAGCAGGTCATCCCTCCTCTGAACGGTACTTTGCATAAAGGACAATCAGGTAACGACCATTCCTACTCTGCAGCGAATGTACATGACCTCTACCCTACTCAGGCAGAGTTGGTGTCCTCGGAGGAGCTTTGGAGTGAGCATTATCATCGGGATGATCCCATGGTTGTGGGGGTTGACTGTTCTGCAGTTACACTGGCGCACCATTCTTCGCAGCAATATCTGCATTACGACTGGTATATTCCAGTGTATCAACGTTTTCACAAGTGTATATTAAGCTCTCATATGCAGGGAGCAGACCTTTCGCATGTCATCTGCTCGCCCACAGCTGCTCAAGCTATCAAGTCCTACTCCCCAGACCTGATCGTGCATCCCATTCTTTCTGAAGAAGCGTGAGTCCGTTCACGTACTTCGTAGTTTCATCTGACCATCGCAGATCATACGCAAAAGTGGAGGGTGAACTCAAGTCCCTACTTTCCCGACTGCATGTCCTTGTTATGGGACCAGGACTAGGTCGCGAGGAATATATGCAGACCTATGCTCGTCTGGCGCTGTCTATCGCTCGCGAACAGGCTATGTTTGTCGTCCTCGATGCTGATGCTCTGTATATGGTTGGGAAGGAACTTTCTCTCGTCAAGGGATACTGCCGTGCGGTGCTCACTCCTAATGTAGTCGAGTTCAAACGCCTGAGTGAATCGGCGGGCGTTTCACCAGATGTACCGACAAAGGAACGCGCCGGCGAGGTTTCTAAACTACTTGGAGGTGTCGTGGTGCTGGAGAAAGGTCCTACTGATTTAATCGCGAGCGATACTACGGGTGAAGCTGCTAGTCTTGAGGCGAGTAAGCTGGATGAGGGCGATGAGGAGCGGCAACGCGTGAGGGAGGTAGTTGAGGTGGATGTGGAGGGCGGGTTGAAGCGGTGTGGTGGCCAGGGCGATGTTCTTAGCGGAACGGTCGGGGCGATGCTTGCGTGGGGGAAGTGTTACGAGGACGGTGCCTTTGGGTGAGTCTTGGCTTGGCGCTGAGATGTGGCTGATGCCCATTGGTGGATAGTGATGGGAGTATTCCTACTTCTCGTCTCCCGCTTCTGGCGGCGGTTGGTGGAAGTATGGTTACTCGAACTAGCAGTCGAATGGCGTTTGGGCTGCAGGGAAGAGGTCTTGTCACACAAGATATGCTTCCGCTGCTTGGCAAATCTTTCTCAGAGGTCTTTGGAGAAGACCTGTGGGCTGGAGATAAAGACAGGCTCTAGGTTTAAAGACAAGGGAGGATAGAAGACACCTGCATGTACAATAGAAGAAGTTCCACTCTACATACACTTTGTTTGGGAAGAGGAACACTTTTCGCGGGCTCTGACGTGATTAATGTGACAGGAAGAGGGGGAATGATGGACAAGTCTTCCCGAGATTGGGCGGGACCTGCGGGGGCAGCCGAGGAGGGTAGGAGGAGCCTAACCCCGAGGCACGAAAAGACATGACTGACTTATCACAAAGAAGCAACAGATCATGAACCATTCTGGAAAGTTGGCGAGCACTTGACATGCGGTTACAGACTACTAGAAACAACAATTGAGTATCAATATTTTTGAGAGGTGCGGTAGAATGCAACCACGGCGAACTATCGTCGTAGCACGGGGCGATGCAGCCCTCGTTCCTCGATATTTTCATGAATCATTACGTGCTTTCAGGCCCAGGGTCGGAATTTAAATGCACGTGATGAAAATCACATATCATGTGCTCGATGATAAAAGAAGACAAGTGCGTCAGTTTTGAGGTCAACTCTCCACTCACATCAATGGGCTATCAAGTCAAGGAGATTTCAACCAAGCCGTTCGACGGGCAGAAGCCTGGTACATCAGGACTCAGAAAGAGGTATTTACTAGGCCGATCACGCTGATAAGCCATACTAATTTGCATTCCAAAGGGTGAAGGTGTTCCAGCAGGAGGTACGCGATAGTCTCCCGCGATAATCCTGAGAGATGATAGATTTCCCTCTTTTGTTATCAGCATTACACAGAGAACTTCATCCAAGCTATATTCGATTCTATCAAGGCGAATGGTGCGACGCTCGTCATTGGAGGCGATGGTCGTTACTTCTCCCCCGAGACCGTTCAGACTATCCTGAAGATCGGATCTGCAAACGGGGTGAAGAAGTTGATCATCGGGAAAGATTCTATTCTTTCTACACCCGCTGCATCGAATGTAATCCGCAAATACAAGGCGGATGGTGGTATCCTGCTCACCGCGAGCCACAACCCCGGAGGCCCCAACAACGACTTCGGAATCAAGTACAACGTCTCTAACGGTGGACCCGCACCTGAAAATGTAACTAACAAGATATATGAGATCACGAAGACTATCCAAAAGTACAAGGTTATCGAGGCTGATCCTGTACGTTCATATACACCCATTCATCGGAATGACCTTCATCGGTGATCAGGTCGACCTTTCCGTAATAGGCAAGACGAGTTATGGACCAACTGAAGTCCAGATCATCGACTCAGTAGCAGATTATGTCGAACTCCTTCAAGGTATCTTCGACTTCCAGCTCATCAAAGACTTCCTTCAGAACAACGCCGGGTCCTTCCGTATTTTATTCGATGGATTACATGGTGTTACAGGCCCTTACGCACGCGCGATATTAGTGGACACCCTCGGGCTCCCTGAAGCCTCTATTCAGAACTGTGTCGCACTCCCGGACTTTGGCGGTGGTCACCCCGATCCCAATCTCACGTACGCACACTCACTCGTCGAGGTTGTCGAGGCGAAAAACATTCAGTTCGGCGCGGCGAGTGACGGCGATGGCGATAGAAACATGATCTACGGTAAGGGCGCGTTTGTCACTCCCAGCGATTCAGTCGCCATTATCGCGGACTGGGCGCATGTTATTCCATACTTCAAGAAGGGAGGCGTGAAGGGCCTTGCGAGGAGTATGCCGACCAGCAAAGCGATCGATCTGGTTGCCCAGAAGAAGGGCCTGGAATATTTCGAGGTTCCTACTGGTATGTCGATGGTGCTAAGATAGCGCCATACGGTGCTCACAGCCATTGAATAAAGGATGGAAATTCTTCGGTAACCTCATGGATGCTGGACGTCTTTCCATCTGCGGTGAAGAGTCTTTCGGAACAGGTTCAGACCACATTCGTGAGAAGGATGGTATCTGGGCAATCATGGGTCAGTCTCGGTCTCACTCACATTTACAAATACTCACCGCCAGCCAGCTTGGTTGAACATTATTGCTGCTGCCAATAAGGAGTCGCCAAATGAACTTATCGGCATCAAGGAACTGCTGAAGAAGCATTACGCTGTTTACGGACGATCATTCTTCAGTCGATATGACTACGAAGAGGTTTCCTCCGAAGGTGCCAACAAGCTTGTTGCACTGTTGGATGGCGCAATCACTTCATCATCGCTTGCAAACAAGACTTACAAGTCGAAGAGCACCAATCAGGACTTTACCATCGTATCTGTCACGAACTTCAGTTACACAGACCCGATCGATGGGAGTGTGAGCAAGAACCAAGGACAAGTTGTGCTGTTCGATGATGGGTCACGAGTGGTATTCAGGTTGAGTGGTACTGGCAGTGCTGGTGCGACTGTTAGGTTGTATGTGGAGAGGTATGTTGGGCCGGAGGCCGGCGAGAAAGTGTTAGCAGGTGACACTGCCGAGGGCTTGAAGGGCCTCATTGAGGTTGCCTTGGAAATCAGCAACTTGAAGGAGTTCCTTGGTAGGGACGAGCCTACCGTCATTACGGTGAGTACATCTGCCGAAGGTGATTTTAGTTGCTGACAACTTGATCTGCAGTAATAAATCAAATGTCGCATCTCTGAACGCAGATAAATTGATTCTTGTAGATATCTTGTACCACCAGTGTATATCAATAGTCTCTTCCATTGGATTAGAAGTGGCTCGTATACCCGCAGGGCCGCATACCAATAAGTATTCGAGAGATAGACAGAAAATGACCCCGTGGACAGACGGCCCACGAGATAATGAATGTAATCCTCCAAGGTTCGAACTGCCCACGTGTGACATTGATGTGTGCCGTAGCAGGATCACGTCCCGAATGCAACCCGAATGTATCATATTTCGCCGCAATGTTCGTGCTAATGAATACATGCCAGCTAAACGCGGCGAAGCGCACCGCGCGCGATGATTACCTGTAGCAACATCGCACTGGTGTAAGCCTATCGGAGCGAACAATTTCAACTTGGTTCACTCACCGAACAGGTCTCGTTACTCATTTGATGGTGTCTTGCACAATCAAGTCCATAGCTGCCCTTCTCCCTGTGGGTCCAGAGACCCCAATAAGTTTGTTTAGTTTTGCCAAGTATTCGTCAGGCCTTGGACAACCAAACCGAAATGTTGTTGCAGCACCATCGATTCACCAGCGCAGCCCAATCACTGTTATTATAAATGGAAACCACTCTCGTCATCTGTGATGGATATGATTTTGGTGTCGTGATGTGTTTGATCCTCGATTCTAGAGCCTGGACCATTCGGCTTCTTCTGATCGTTGGCAAGGCCCAGGGCAGCAAAATCGAGGGCCGCGCTGAAGAGAGCCCTAAGATCCAGAGAAAGCTTGGAGTCGTATTCCTTGCCCTATACTACTTATGGTCGTGAAGAGCTCCTATGAGAAGGTCGTCGAGATGTGTGACAAAGAAAAGGGTTGTCAGAAGCGCAGGCCAGCCCTTCTGAATCATAGAACGCACAGCAATAAGGTGGGAGTGCTACGAAGCAATGTGATCATGTTGTTTATGAAAAGTGGACAATTGGGAAGAAACCCAGTCTGAATACTTTCCATGTCTACGCCTTGGATGCACCGTCACGCGGTGGCATCGCGCGGCAGTCTATGACATCAAGAAGGCTGGAAAAAGGTTGCCACTGGCCACAAGCTTAGGATGTGCCGCTGTGGGACCGATTGCAAGGCGCAAATTAACGATTCCTTCACAAGTTGGGACCAAGCTTCTACTTATGTAAGATATGTGACACTCACACTAGTCAGCCAATGAAAATCGTTTATCGTTCACTGTATCATTTTTTCCTAGTGCTCAAATTTCTTGGGTACAGTCCTGGGGTTTGGACTGATGGTCAGGTGCACAATACGACAGTCACAACATCGTTGTCTTCGGCGTTCGCCCAAGTTTGCTCTTTGATGCTCGCTACCGTTCTTGACAGTCGAGTCGTGTAACAAGTTAACTTCGATACAATTATAGCACGGCAGACAAAGTGGAGGAGTATTGAGCGGGATTGAGCGGCCCTGTGGAGCTGTCAACCTTGCCATCAATCTTTATTCTAGATTCCAGCAACGGAGCGTCCCGTCTGACCTCGATGTGGCCATCGAGCTCCAACAAGCTGCACTACTCTTCACTCCCCCCGGTCATTTTGATCGAGTTATGTATCTCAACAATCTTGCCCTCAGCCTTCAAGACAGATTCCAGCAGTGAGGCGTCCCGTCTGATCTCGATGAGGCCATCGAATTCCAACAGGGTGTAGTACTACTTCTCAGTCCCCCTCGGTCATCATCTTCGATCCGCGTCTCTCAACAGTCTGCCCTCAGCTTTCAAGATAGATTCTAGCAGCAGGGTGTCCTGACTAAGATGAGTTCCATCGGGTCGCAGTACTCATCTGTCCCCCCGGTCCGGTGATTTTGATAAACCCATGTCTCTCAACAATTTCGCCAGCAGCCTTCATATCAGATTTTAGCACTAGGGACTCCCGTCTGACCTCGATGAGGTCGTTGAGCTCCAACGAGCTACCCATCCCGTTCTGGTCATGGTGAGTCTGGCCGCCTCTTTCATGTACCCCACACCCGCAGTGATGCATCAACACCTTCGCTTGCAGCCTCTTTCGTGCATCCCGCGCCCGCTGTCACCGGTCACCATGTGAGTCACTTTGATCAAATTTTGATGCGTCAATGATCAGCGTCTTTGTTGATCGATAATACTGCCGTCCCGTCCCATTTTATCCGCCCTACTATCCATATGTCGCTACCCAGTTCCATTGCAATAGTATACTACAGTATATGCAATTAAATCAATAACCCATCTCATTCGTGCCGCATCCACTCTTTAAGTCTAATAGGTGTAGTAAGCCTGATGTAATGAACCTCCGACCGAATTCAGCCAAGCGGCTGACAGGGTAACAACCGGAACCCAGACACCCATACCAGCCGGAGAGTCTGCGACAAACTTTCCCCCAGAGTGTCTATTTTCCGGACGTTATAAGTCGCCCACCACGTCAAAGCTCAACGAGGAGTAGGCTCGACTCTGTTCAATTGAGTAGATCACGAAAATTTCAAGGTATTTGGGCGTCTCTTGGGCGGCCTTAGCACCTCTGGCGCTGAGAACCCTGACAAATGGTTTGAAGTCAGACGGCTATATAAGTTAGCGCTCTGTACCTCAGAAGGTGTATGGGGGCCGTGTGCGTGTGCGTGTCCCCGTCATACGATGGTGTCCCAACTTTAGGCGTTGCTACTGACCGCCATGATGAAATTTCGATTCCTTGCTCATATTCTCAGAGCATTTCAAAAATGGCTTTTACGACTTGCTCGCCATTCTGGGAGTTCATTATCTGTTTTCTTGTCTTCACTCCGTCTATTTGCTCCTTGTCGTTCAAAGCCCGGAGTTAGGAGATCGACCACCCAACCTCGTCTTTCCCGGGGAGCTCTCCCGCGACCCCTCGAAATGGACATCGTAGAAGATGATACATATACTTGTTGCAGTCTTTTGCCTCCTGGTGAAATACAGGAAGTTGCAAGAGAGCCTCTATCTCCTTCAGATTTACCTTACGGAACAATTTCTCGACCATCTCTACCCTCGCGGCATATAGTACGAGAGAATACGTCGATGTCTTTACCTGAGACAACGATAGGATATCCAGGTGCCGCTGGGACAAACAGACATAGCTCTAGGTCAAGTTTGATCCTGAGTATGGGAGAGAGCCCGGCGAGATACGCCACATACACGAAAGGGGTTCGTTCTCGCCGGGTCACAATTTACAACTCCATCGCAGATCTCCACCGTAGATCTACAGACCCTGTTGCTGTTCCGTTGGATTTGTCTAGCCAGGCAGCACCAGTATCCGATCCGGTTATAGGTGGTCATTACATTACTTCGCCTTGCAGCGACGAGCAATCGGATCCAGAGCAACGAGGCCCAGAGATCGGCATGGTCTATGACAGCCCGCTCATGGGCCTCCTGGTTGCAGAGGAAGTCGGGCGATATGAAAGATATACACCAAGGTCAACAACGACTATCTCCTGCATTGACTGTACTGCAGAGCTGAAATTGTTAAAAGGAGTTCTTTACCGTCCCAAATCATTGTTCCTGCCATGACAGTGAAATTTCCCCTGCACGAGTAAGCTATATTTTCATCATTTGTTGCATCACCTGAAATATTTTAAGCATGGCTGTACCCCCAGGATGGACTACACTTGTGCATCCGCAAGGTTCTCGCTACTTTGTGAATGCAGAAAGAGTGTGTCAACTTCATGTGTTATTGATGTTCTGAGTCACAGCTACAATAAACAGCGAACATTCACACAAATGAATATTTGCGACGAAAAAATATACAGTGACATAAAACACTTCATGGATTACTTGCTGCGTTCACTCCGTGATGAAAGTGAGGGTCTGGAGCTTGACATGGCGCAGGTGGACCTTGTGATCGAGCCGAAGGTTTCCACCGATACCAACACAGTGGTTTGTTGCTATTATTTCGCCAACCACCGTGATAGATGCCTCTTCTGGTTGGATGAGTACAGCACCGAGGATATTCTCTCAGAATGCAATGGCGTCGAGAACCTTTCACACATACGTGCGTAGTCAATGGTTCTCAGTGTTTCTGGATTTGATGATTTGTCTTGGTTTTCGAACTCAGGGCTTGCCATCCAAGCACAATATTGGTGCGTTGTGCTAGGTTGTAGATTGTTGTAGTAAAGTGACATACCCCATAGGAAACATTGTGATTACTTCCCTTACTTGGTCCCAATTACACAAAATCTTGTTGATGAGGTGAAGGATATGCTGATATATGCCGAATGTGGTTAGTACTATCTTACACCTGGTAAACGTGATGTAATTGTGAGGTTGCGATCAACAGACCACCTAACCTCTCGTCACTCTACCGCGCCATTCGATGTCATCGAAATCAGAGACTATATATCTATCATAGATATGATCAAGGGTGCGTTCCGTTGATACACTTTCATGTGATCCCTTTTGAATCCCGTGTGCTCATACTATTTCCCAAAGTCCATCCCCCTGCGGACGAGAGCACGCAGCGATGTCACGCTGCCATTGTCATTGGTAATGCATCATTGAACTCAATCTCATCTTGATGCTGACTATTCTTTAAGGCCGAATCATGTATGCATTCAGTCAGTGCTCTATCATTGGTCTTTTTAGTTGTCGTTTATCGAGATTTTTCAAGGTCGCAATCACTTTATCAACTCTCACGGGGAGAACTGTGTGAGATTGGCCTTTGAACAAACAGTCCATCCATACGCACCATCGTTGTTGATAGTTATTATTGCACCCCTTTTGTTTTTGGACCCTATGGCTCTAGTCCGAGAACTGCACACAATATTTGTTGACAATATGCCTTCCTCAGACCGGTGGAATACATTCAACTTAAACCTGAATGGGCAGCTTCAGGACTCTACTCTTCTGGTAAATCTGCCTGTTCATTGTCGTGCCGCACGTGCAACTGATGTCGAACCAGGCCACTGTCTTACTCAATGCCAATGTTGGGTTTCTCTCTATCGGCAGCGTTGATGCGGGTGGTAGATCCCCATGTTCAGGTGGCAAGCTACATGTCTCTTGTTTCAAGCTTGGGAAGTATGATTCTTGGTTTGTTGCTTGTTTCGCATAATCGAACCATGGGCCAATTGGGCACAGTCCTTCAAACGGTTGGTAACTACAAATAATGATCACAATGATTCTCACGACAAATTATTCAGGAAGTTTTTCTATCAGGACTTGGCGAGAAAGAACGCAGACTGGAAAGGCTGGCCATAATTTACAGCCTTCCGAAGACGTTGCTCATGTGGGGGTAAGTCTCATCTTAATATACTAGATGGATGCCCTCATTCAAATGTGCTAGTATGGTCTTCTTCTTTGCGGCATTCTCCATCCATTGGTGGAGCCCCGGAGATCAAACTACCAGAGCCGTTGTTGGTTCTGTGATAATGGTCGCACTTGTAACGATCTTGTACGGTATCATTCGAGCCAAGTTCGGAGGAGATCGCTGGTGGCGACCGCTGGTACTGCCACTCGCAAGAATCGGCGTGGGACTATCAACTTGTCTGGCTGACGCTATGGAGCAAGTCATGATGTCCACCGGGATGAGAAAATCTCTCATTGTCCAAGATCCTCTATCACACACTGAAGGTATCATTCTGGCTCCACCCAGTTTTCCTGCATGCCACTTTCAAACAAACGCTGAGGCAGACATTTCAGGGTGCAGCACCTCCCATCCAACTACTCCACCTGATTCACTACCCAGCCCAGACGATCATGAACACCATCCCAACTCTTCTACCCCCCCAACCCGGTCATCCCAACCCACTACTTCTGTGGATTTACCTGCACAACCACATGATGGCATTCCCGCGCTTCCACCATCAGATCCACATACCAGCCCAGGCGAATTGTCAGGCGTTGGCTCGTTGCGGCAGATTCGGGATATCCAGCTTGTATTCCGATCTACTGCAGAGGTTCGCTATGAACCTGATGCTGCACCCTCAGGCGTGCCTGGCCCTTCTTGTACAGAAGGAAGGGAGGTTGCGAACTACACCGCCAATGTGGTCGAGGAGCCAGAGGGATTAGAACCTTCACCAAGCTAGTCTGGTCTGAGCACAATTCTGCCTCCTAGAAGCGCTACTGATGATTATTTTCCATCATATACCAGCGGCTCCGGAGTGGGCGTGTCGTGAAAAGACAAAAAGGGTTTAGCTCCGCTGTCCTCTTGAGCAAGCGAAGGGCAATTGTATAAGCGGACAAAAAGATAAAATCACCACAAGCATTTCAAGCTTGTCTAGAAACCCAGGGGTCATGGTGATGCACTCGACAACGATGATCATAACAAAGTTCGACCGTAGCTGCTAGCAGTCCAGCTGGAGAATTCAAAATGTTTCTACAGATGTGGCCGCGCAATTACATGGAACATATCGCCGACAATATCTACGTGCAAGTGACCACTTCTAAGATGGCATGCACGACTGAAGCAGGGTCGATCTGAGCTTCTTGAGTAAGGTCACCCTGGAGCAACAGGTGAAAGACTGTCAGTTTCGAACCGCCTATAAATAGATAAAATGAGACATCGGAAAAGAAAAATACAAAGATAGAGCGTACCGATCATTCCACCAGGCGATGTAGCGAATGCCTAGGGAACGAACCGCTGTTTCTGCCTCGCGAGTAAAGACGTCAGGGGAAAACATCTACGAGAGCTGAGTGCCCTGATGACCTCATAAACACGCTGTCAGCGAGGCTATCTCCATAGACAACCAGAATGACCTTCATGCATGTCAGTCGTAGCGCAATACCTTTACAAGTGATGCAGACTTACATTGGACTGGGCGACGGCTGACAACCTTTCCGTTCAGTGTCCCTCTGAAGACTATGTTGACCTCAAAGTCGTTGCGTTTCAAGAGCGTTGACCATTGTGGTAGGCTCTTAAACTGCTTGTGGCATCTTGTCGAGATATGTAAGTGACTAGTACCGTGAAGGCTTTGTGCGTGGTGGTTTACATGCAAGAACTTGGCGATATTCTGCGTATTTGGCTCCCACCATTCCTTTGACGCATCCAGGCCAACAAGCGGGAGAACGAACGGAGGCACATTGTGTGCCGAATGTGCAGTTGCACCAAAATCGGTAAGTCGACCAGCTTCTCGAAACGAAAGGCATTTCCATGAGCACATAAATTTCCCAATCTTCTTTATACATCAACCCGAGTAATGGAAAAGCGGCCTTGAGAAGATACTACTATCCGAACGTTGACGTCTAATGATGGGTCCATCGAGGTCGGGTTGGATTCCTTTGTGAGTAGGAAGAACGGACGTCGTAGCGGACGGAAAGGGCCTAGAGACGTTGACGTGCTCAGGGAGCGGTTGGAATGTACACGTGCGACACTCACAATCCTCCATATGAACCAAGTATGTCTCTGGCTTGCTCCGACAGCATGTCCTATTCTCCTGGAAGCGGAGCTTCGTGCAAGTTATCAGCAGCAGATGCAATGGAGCTCAACGATAGGAGAATCCGTCACAATGAAAACTGTGCCATTGCACATTATTATCCTACAGGGGTTGCGATAGGCAATATTGTCAGTCATACGTTCATAGGCAGTTGCAACGCACCTACCAGCGACGTGTTTCACTATTCGGGTTTCATGCGTGTCTTTGCCCCAGTGCATGAAGCCATCATTTAAACTGATGTTTTCGAAGATAGCTTGTTTCTGCGCCTCAACTACACAATCGGTCTTCAGCCATATATTTCCTTCCGAGGCATCTTCCTTCTCCTCTTGCTGCTTATGAACACTGGATGTGTCTCCCGTCAGACACCAAGTCCCCATATATTTCCATGTCAAGATTACCGTCAGCGGTGGGATTTGAGGATATGCCAGGCAGGTTAGGATCAAGTTGGCAAAGAAGTCACAAATCACATCGAAGTTGTAAAGACTAAAAAATCATGACGGAGAACAGAACGAGTGTAATATTCCGTCGACTGAGAGAGTAAAGCCGAGCCATTTCAGCTCAGACCTGTGTAGAAATCAGAGCCGTCCTGTCGAACGAGTGCAGAGATAGTGACTGCAATATCATGATGTAGTGTAAATTCAACAAGTACAAACAAACATATCGTCTGACATCAATGGTCATGTCGGTACCAGAGATTAATCGATTACATCTGAAACACAACCGGATGCATACGATACTATTGCGAGAAGCTCGAATATAATAAGTATTAAGGTAAGTTGTACAGAAATCTACGTCTCCTGGCTGGCGTTACTTATGTCGAGAAATTTACGGTGGCGCTCAGCTCGGTAAGCCGGCGTTTGATCGTGCATATACACTGGCAGTTTCAACTGTCGGACGGCCTTCCTTTGGCACCACGGTGATAGAGCGTTAGCCTCTAGAGCCTCAGGTGAACTCTTGGAACTGGGCCAGTGGACCATAGCCAGTTTGGTTTCAGCACTAATGCCATTTTTGACTCATTATGTACAGCATTTACCACAACACGTCAAACCTACCGAAATGGCAGCTGACCGCTGTCCCGGAATATAAAGGGTTGTTGGTTGTATTGAGGATAGGATAAAATTGGTCGGGACCGAGTTAGATTGGTGACCAGCCCGTCTATGACCTAACTCGGTCCCGACCAATTTCGACGGTTTGCCTCATAGACGGACTGGTCACGAGTCTAGTTAGGTCGCTGAAGGCGTCAATGGGGGCAAGGCGGATTGTAAACAAGGTTCGTGAACGTCATTAATTTCAGAATTTGATGTTTATTGATAAGATCTCATACGCATGGATAACGTTACGCACTAACTACTATTAGGCATCAACTTACTACTGTTGCAATCCTTTGGACCACCGCTTTCCTCTCGTTTGCCTCGTGTCGTACAATTAACGATCAACGTCGACTGTCAACGTTTATTCGACTCCCACTGAGCGTGGGTGTCGTGAATCGACCAACCACGATATGGCCAAACCACCAACCTTGCATTGAATTTCCTCCCCTATGTTTTAATTACTGTTTCAATCAACCCCTATGCCCTCTTTCTGTAAGTTGTTTCTCCCGTTTAAGTTACCGCCCTGGTTAATGGTGACCGTTACTGGCACTTGAGTTTCAACTTGTGTATTGGCTAATCGTCTTCCATCCATCCAGTGACTGGACTTTTGTCGTTGGCTTGGATCCCACTGGTGGAAATGTCATCTACGTCAATCGGACACACAGTCTAAGGGACTTGCATATGTCAACGTCTGCGACAACTCGTTTATCCTTGCAGTTGATTCAACCAGCACCGTCGCTGCCAGCGGTATGCGCGCCTCGTGTGTAAAGACCGTGTTCGTTGTATCTACGAGCCTGATTACAGTTGCAGCATCCGCATCATGTCTAGGCAGAGCGACAACGACGGTTTCTTTGTCTTTGACGCCTCCTACATGCCTGTAGGTTGCTCTACGTGGCCTAGTTTCTGGACCGTTGGCCCAAACTGGCCCATGGAGGGTCAATCGACATTGTCGAGGGTGTGAATAATCAGGACACGAACAGATGACGCTTCATAGCGGCACAAACCAAACTTGCACCAACGAAAAGACAAATAGTGCCTACCAGTTCACAGGTCAGATCATGGGGACCAACTGTTACAGTACCACACACGGGGACTCAGGCTGCAGCATCGAGGACATGAACACAAGGTTCGTATCGTACTATTTATCTCTTTCTTATGCGCCAATCTGGACCAAATGCTTCTGCGCGATAGTTCTTTTGTGTTTGGTTTCAGCGAATGATATCTTTGCACTTCTTTGGGACAACTCCTCTGGCATGTCCATGTGGCACATCACTCCGGCTGACATCCCTGCGAATCTCATAGCCCAAACGCTCAAGCCCTTCCACATGGGGCACTTCAGCCTGATTCCGATCTTCACGAACCTGCGACATCACGACCGACTTCTATGATCATAAGATGATCATCGACACTACTATCTGCGGCAATTGGGCAGGTTCTCATGCTTACGCCCGAACTGTATGCCCAGGAACGTGTTCAGATATGGTCGCCAATGCTACTAACTATGCTGGTAAGTTTGACAGGATGCCGGATCATTTCACACTCTCGGTGTTCCGTTGTACATGAGGTGGGTCATCCGTCGTCTACCAGTATCATTCGCCTCAATCCTTCATTGTCAGCATCTATAAGCATGTTCAGCATCCTGTTGACAATGAAACAGACTGATTTGTTGTACACTGTTAGGATCTTAATGACCGCTTTATTATGTTAAGATGTCCAAGAAGCATACGAATTATGGTAAGTAGTTCACCGCCATTCGAAAACTAGGGTTCAATGTTCACACATGGCAAAGACTACACTACTATGGACATAGAGATTGAGCAGACTTGGATAAGCCGGCTCGCTTGAGAAGAATCCAGCAGGGTTAGATCGCCACTGATTAAGTCTAATGTTAATCACAGTGGAGTTAAGCGTCCAGTCGACCATAGTGCGCCTTCTCAGCTCATTGAGGTACTGGATATGCAATGGTCAACTGGTCATCCTTGAATCGACTTCTGAGGGATTCTCTTTGCTATGGACGGCTCACACGTGTTTACACCAGATCTGAAGTAGCCTTCTCACAACTGCAGTGTGCCAACGTCTCTCTGCACGTTTGGTGCGTACCTTCCCCACAAGTGTAAAATCGATGCAGAATTTCCGCGCGTGCACTGGCAGAGTACATTCTTTGGAGAGCAATTTCCGACCCCGTGTGAATATGGACCATGTGTTACATAAATGCTTCCAAATCTCTAAGTACCAAAATTGGATTGGGAAGTCTAATACTGAGCTTAAATCAGTCTTCAAGCACACTTCATTTATCCGGTGCATGTCGCTTTTGTGACTTCTGGTTTACACCATTTCCATTCCACTGCATGTTTTGAAGCTGCAAACGTTGACAAGAGAAATTGACTAACCAGTCCTGGAATACAACGAATGATGGTTGGATTGAGGACAAAAGGCCTGTTTAGCGTGATTGGCGCCCCGATATTATAAGGTCGCCGAGTGTGGCCGAGGTGATTCCAAGGTAATGCGGTGTGGCGGCTCGCAGCAACGAGGTTCGTGAAGCCGTTACTTTCTGATGTTTTAAACCCCTTGAACGTTTCATCAGCGTTTCTTTATTCCACTTTCCACATCCTTCTCTTTAAATTTCTCTATTGCTTCAATCTTTTCGTTTAATCCTTTGGACGACTGCTTGCCCTTACTTTCTTTTGCCTTACGATGCACACACTCTCTAAGCTCTTTCTAGCTGCTCTCTCATTGACCACCCTGGTTGGTGCTCACCAGTCACGCGCCCATTCGCGTCACCGCCGTACTGCTGTCCGTAGACAGTCTACCAACAAAACCTACACCATTCAGGACTTTTATCAGGGGGAGGATTTCTTCAAGTACGTACCACTTATCATATATGCAGTTTCAATGCGGAACTCGGTTAATTATCCATCTAGTAATTGGGACTTTTTCACTGGTTCGGACCCCACCAGTGGCAATGTCAACTACCAAAGCCAATCGGCCGCACAGTCTAAGGGACTTGCATATGTCAATGATTGTGATAATTCGACGGTTCTTGCAGTTGATTCAACCAGCACCGTTGCTGCCGGCGGCAATCGTGACTCGTGCGTAATGCCCTTGTTCATTATGAGTTATGAGTATTCATCACGAATACAGTGTTCGTATCACATCTCAGAATAGCTACAACGGCGGTCTCTTTGTCATTGACGCCTCGAACATGCCTGTCGGCTGTTCTACGTGGCCCAGTTTCTGGACCGTTGGTCCAAATTGGCCCTCGGCGGGTGAAATCGACATTGTCGAGGGCGTGAATAACCAGGCGACAAACCAGATGACGCTTCATAGTGGCACGGGCCAAGGTTGTACTATCGGAAAGTCAAATAGTAGTACCGATCAGTTTACCGGCCAAGTCCTCGGGACCAACTGTTACAGCACCGAGAATGCGGACTCAGGCTGCGGCGTTGAGGACACAGACACAAGGTTTGCTCGCATTTCTTTCTTATGCGTCAGCTGGGACCTAATATGTCCTTGTGGCAGGTCTTTTGGATACGGCTTCAACAATGCGGAGGGTGGTGTCTTTGCACTCCTTTGGGACAACTCCTCTGGCATGTCGATGTGGCACTTCGCTCGTGCTGACATCCCTGGATGATCTCACGGCCCAAGCACCCACGCCTTCCACTTGGGGCACTCCGTCTGGTTTCTGGTCTGCAGACACCTGTGACATAACAGACAACTTCTACGACCACCAGATGGTCATTGACACTACTATCTGTGGCAACTGGGCAGGTGGTGCCTACTCCAGTTCTGGATGCCCAGGAACGTGCTCAGATATGGTCGCCAATGCTACTAACTATGTCGGTAAGTTTTCTCATATTTATTTATGTCGCACCGCTCAGTGTTCTTTGATACTGTTGTAGATGCCAAGTGGATTATCAACTATGTCGCTGTCTACCAATGAACGTCCCCCTTAAACCTTCATTATTTGCATTGCATTGCATCATACCCATATCATACCCCTGCTTTCATCACAGCACATCATCATTTACGTCTTTTATTCTTTGTTTTATTAGCAGGATCACTGTCTGCATATGCTGCGCTGGTCGCTTTCTTATTTGTTGCACATTTCGAGGAATCGGTCATACAACATCCATCGACGACTTACGAATAATTAGACACAGCCACTCGGAATACATCGCTATGCCTGAGGCTTGCATGTTGTATGAATCATGTACATGTTCTGAAACTTCTGCTGTGGGAGACTATTGGCGAGATTATTTCAAATCCCGACCCACAATTGTCATATCACCTAACTCTAGAGTCTCAGAGAGTTGCAAAGACCAGCTATTTCCTTCTGCCATCGTACAAGCAAATAAGTGCACTTGATTGATCTGTCTCTATCAATCATCCTCTCGGCAACATAGCCATTGCTATGTACTTGCTCGTACATACCGTGAGCACTGAAACTCGAAGGAGGTTCAAGTGACCCAGTCTCAGCATTGGCCGGCTGGTTTATCCTCTCGTCAACCTGAACGTAACCGACAACGTTGCAACCTGCTTGTTTCAGGTTGCACGTTCCATGGGAAGTTTTTCAGATCTATGTGAGAACGAGAAGAAGAATCCCCATTTCTTCATCCCTGCGCGTAGCGGGCGCCGGGCGACGAACAAACGTTGCAGTCTTAATCTCAAATTAAATTCTGTTTACGCTATTCAACTCCAAAGGTCAGTGGTTCACAGTCATGGGACTCCTCAAATACCATGCACTGATATTCTCAGTTTGTCGACGTTTCTATTCCACCTGTGCTCTCGTCCGTACCGTAGTGTCATGTACCGCTCGACTACTTTCAACGCTGTCGAAACCTTGGCTATCATTATCCTCAGTCGTTGTACTGAATCGTTCACCAGTACTTGGGATGTACACCCCACTCCTTCGTATTTTTTTGGTCCACTGGGATATCTGGTACCCTCGTCGATTTGATCATCGACCACAATTCGGAAGGAGGATCATGATGAGGCATAAATCTGCCATGCGCCTTTTCAACGTTAATTTTCAGACCCGAATATCAGAGTTCGAGAGAAGTAATTCATAACTGCCGCCTACACATACAACCTGCCACCTGGAGATACTTCTTTACACGCGGCAAACACACGGACTTGTGGGAGATGCTGTACCTCTGCATGGAGGCAACCGTGGATTGCGCGTGACACACCGCCGCAGTTAGCAACCTCGTCTGATTGGATCGTGATATCCAACCAGCAGCGACATCGAGTGCCTGTCATATGTCGGAGTGGCGTAGACGGTAGCTCTGAGAGGCTAGCTCAAACCTGGGTTCAAACTTTTGCAGGTGGAACTTCGATTTAGCCATCAGCAGGGTTAATGTTGCAACTGCAGATTTTGTATCCATGATGTACAGCGAAGTTATGGGTATGGACAGGTTGCAGCAGGAGACGATGCCAATATACATAGGCAGTACTAGTAAACGAGCAGGGTCAGGAATGTGGCATAGTAGCGAAAAAGTAGGTTTCGTTCGTGATTAATCTTGCGGCGAACTTTTTTGAAGTCTCGTACGATGTTACACATACCTATACTTAGCAACCGAGCCCCCTGTGACGCATGAACACATGGCGGTTACAGTGGGGTAAATTAACAACTTCGCAAGTTACCCGACCACGGCCCTGTGACGCGTTACGGTTGCCTCCAGACACATACTGGTCGAGTCTCGCCGACTCTCCCACAGCGACCTTCTGAAGAATGCTATGTAGCCTTCTGTCCGGCCGCTCAATGATATTGGCAGTTGTCGTCGTTACGATTGTCACGTACGTTTACTGGAAGTTCGGTTCCATCCAAGCCTCTAGATTTTACTGCTGTTGGCAGAAACGGCGGCTGACGTTCTCAACCGGTTTGATGCTACATGTCAGAATAGGCTGTGATATAATGTACGTCTCAACAATTCATACATCAAACGACTAAAAACATGAGTTAGAAACCACATCATACGACGCTCGAACGCCGGGTACAGTAGACGGCGGTCGCAGTGCGATCTTTGGAGGTTAACTTTGTTCCAAGTGAATTTCATAATATTCGCGTCTAGGCCTACTTAGTACCTCTTACTAGTGCTCCATCTCAACCCTGATCGACCCGCCCTAAAACCGTCTAATTTGGCACCGCGGTGATAATGCCCAATAGCGCTTGAGTCTCGAGGACTAAGTAAACTCTTTCAGCCAGCATTTTAGTCGTGAATCTTTTGACTCCTGTTGTTTACAGTGCTGCAATTACAATCTATGAAACTGCAAACATCGACAAGGAGAGATGACCTATCAATTTCCGGGATACAAGGAGTGGTTGGATTAAGGACAAGGCGCTGATATTAATCAGCTCCGCGATCATGATATGATAAGATACCGAACTTCGGTGAGCGACGCGAACACGAAGAAACGACTATTGATCTTCCTTCGATTGGTCTGCTTAGGGGGAGGCTAGCCGAAACGAGGTGATGGAATGCAACCTTCATGAAGGTGAACGTCATTTCTTATGTTACAAGCGCAATAAAACCCCGTGGCCAATGTTGTTAGCAACGTTGCATTAACTACCCCCCTCCTGTTTCACTGCTGTTTCATTGATCCAGACGACTGCCAAGCTTTCCTCATTTGCACTGTGTGTGATGCATTCTTTCTATAAACTCTTTCTAGCGACTCTCTTGCCGACCACCCTGGTTGGTGCTCACTTATCTTCACGTTCTTGCCCTATCATTGGTACACAGTCAACTGCCACAACCTACTCGATCCAAGACTTTTACCAGGGGGAAAGTTTCTTCAAGCACGTGCCATTTATACAGTTTTAACTTGTAACTCGGCTAATGGTGTTCTATCTACCTAGTGACTGGGACTTCTACACTGGCTCAGACCCCACTGGTGGAAATGTCATCTACCAAAACAAGTCAGCCGCAGAGTCTAAGAGACTTGCGTATGTCGACTATTCCGACTACTCGACGGTCCTTGCAGTTGATTCAACCAGTACTGTCGCTGCCGGCGGCGATCGCGACTCGTGTGTAACAACCATCTTCACTATAATCTATGCACTAAGCCATAGCCACAGTGTTCGTATCACGTCTCAAAACAGCTACACTGGCGGTCTCTTTGTCATGGACGCCTCCAAAATGCCCGTCGGCTGTTCTACGTGGCCTAGTTTCTGGACTGTTGGACCAAACTGGCCATATGGGGGTGAAATCGACATCGTCGAGGGTATCAATGACCAGACGAAAAATCAGATGACGCTTCATAGTGGCACAAGCAACGCTTGCACCATAGATACGGATGACTCCGATGAGTATACAGGCTCTGTCATCTCGAGCAACTGTTACAGCACCGAGACCTCGGACTCAGGCTGCAGTATCAAGGATAGTAGCACAACGTCTGTATCTCTTTTTCTGTGCGTTAATTTCAACCTAACGGTCCCTGAGGTAGGTCTTTCGCGTATGGCTTCAACGATGCAGGGGGCGGTGTTTTTGCGCTTTTGTGGGACAATTCCACTGGCATGTCAATGTGGCACTTCGCTCGGGATGACATCCCTGATGACCTCACGGCCCAAGCACCCAGACCTTCCACTTGGGGCACTCCGTCTGGTTTCTGGTCTGCAGAAACCTGTGACATAACAGACAACTTCTACGACCACCAGATGGTTATTGACACTACTATCTGTGGCAACTGGGCAGGTGGTGCCTACTCCAGTTCTGGATGCCCAGGAACGTGCTCAGATATGGTTGCCAATGCTTCCAACTACGTCGGTAAGTTTTCACTTGATGCTGAATCGCTCCGCATTGCTCAGTGTTCCGTTGCAGATGCTAAGTGGGTCATCAACTACGTCGCCGTCTATCAGTAAACGTTCGCCTCAACCATTTATTTGTTTTTTACTCTCTGTTGGGGAAGGACCCTATGTTGGACATTGCAAAATACCCGAGTTTGTGCTACTATAATTCGTCCTTTTTGAATGCGTGAAGTGCGTGAAACCCTCGGGGTCGAAGAAACTAAAGCTTGATAAAGCGTGAATACCTGACTTGTGCCTGACGTGTTGATATGATTGGTTCGTCAACCCCTTCTGTTGCTCTGATCAATGCCAATCAAACTGAACAGCTGCCCTTTAAGGCTCGACTACCTTCAATGCTGTCAATACATTGCCCTCTCGCCGGTCACCTTGAGTTGTTGCCCAGATTCATGCCAGAACGAATCTGGACTTGCTTACACTTGGATCTGCCCAGGTGAGAGATTTCTTGGCTGCAGAAATAACAAATGCTTGTGCGTGAGGAATGATTATAGAGCCACAGTTAACCCCTCTCACCGCAAATATGCGTTGTGGGGATTCTTTGAGGGTCAGCCGTACTGGCCAGCTCATTACCACCTGAATATGCATTCCTAACGTCCATGTCATGCACGTTCTCCGCGTTGATTTGCTGACTCTTGGAGCTCGAGGGAGAGGAATGCATTATGAGCTGGCGCCTGCACACGATGTTCTCGGGGGATATTCGCACGCTGCGACTGTGAAAGATGATCGAGTCTCCCATTACGATTGTCACGTACGTTTAATTTGCTGTTCGGGTCCTTCTAAAGTCCCGAGATTAAATCATTGTTACTACTGCCGCTCTGCCAACCAGTATGGTGCTTCGGCCAGGCAGATCGACGGCAAGGCGTTACACGGAAGAATCTGTGCGGCGATCATGTGAGTCTCGGCAGTTCGGATATCAATCACTGAAGGGCGAGTTAGGAATATATCGTACGACCGTGACACCCGGAATGTACCATACAATGGCCCAGGTAGTGGGTTACTATTTGAATTCAACGTTCAACAGGAATTTCCAGAACAGCGACGACTTACCTAACCTTTGACTTCCTGACCCAGTTGCATCAGTAGCGTAGTCAGCCAATTAAAACCGTTTATCGTTTATTGAACACAGCCCGGACTTAAGGGAAGTACAAAACCGTCCAACTTAAGCCTTTGTCGCCGCAGGGATAGAGCCCTGCAGAGTTCGAGCCTCAAGGGCTAAGTTCTTTTGGCCAGCACTTCAGTTTCAGCTATACATGTTTTGACCCCTGTTGTTTACGGGGTCGCCGTTGCAGGCTATGAAGTTGCATTGACAAAGATAGACGAGGGAAAGCCAAGCAACTCTACCAGTTGAAACACATGGCGTCAATCTTTTATTTCCCCCTACTTTGCTACTCCACAGCGTCATTTGTATCAATCGTCTTTGTTTTCTTTTCTTTGACAGTATCGTCACTCGTGCTCTGGTTGTATATGACAGGCTCTCATTTGGTGGGCATTTGGAGGAATTTGGAGGACTTCGTGATCCGCCTGTACAACTTACGACTGATCCATTATTAGACTCAATCACCCAAAATACATTGGACCTAATGTGGGAGGGGACTACCATGATCGATTTGAAATTGTGCCAGACCAGTGCTGATAAGCAACTTACGTAAGGCTCTAACCTCTGTGCGATCGAAAAGGGTATATGTTCACACACGCCTTTTGTTAATTGACCACATCCTGCAGACCGATGGATTCCCAGCAGCAGCTGCCGCCAGTCCCGATATCCGACATCATCACGACAGCGTGGCCAAGAAGAGCAGTCAAGGTTTGTGCTTAACGTTCACGCTCCCTTTTAATGTTAGCTTATCAAGAACATCGCTAGGCATGTGCTAGTTGCAGGTAAATCATCTCGTGATTGATAGGCATCCCTCGTGTCCTAATATTCTTCCCCTGCAGACGCGACAAAATACGCTGCGATGGTCAAAAGTAGGCTTGCCTCTATTCTGATTTACTTCCATTTAATTTATGAATTGATGTCCCCGTGATCCACCAGGCCGTGTGGAGGCTGCGTCAAGAAAGGTTACACTATTGAGCAATGTGTTGCTGGGTGCGAGAACTGTCGAAAAGCTCGCGCGCGGTGTGAAGGCGGAAAGCCTTGCCTCAGATGCCGAGAGGATCAGGTGGAGTGCACCGAAGGTCATCACCACCCGGTATTGCGTGCAGAACCTCCTCCCGTCTTAGTTCTCCGCGGGCCACATCGCTCAAAACCCGATCGTGCAAAATTGGCTTGCCAGAACTGTCGTCGGGATAATAAGAAGGTAAGTTTGTTTTGTGGTTGTGGATGCGATTTTGACCTGCCCTGCGTCCGTCTAGTGTGATGATCAGCGACCTTGCTCTCGATGCATTGCACGGGGGGAAGAGTGTGTTCATGTGGGAAAAGGACCTAAACTTGTTAAGCTTCGTTGTGAGGGTTGCAGGCAAGACAATAAGAAATGCGAGGATGCACGTCCGTGTAGGCAATGCGTTGAATGTGGCAAGGAGTGTATTAGTGTTCAGAGGAAGGGCAGAGGTCATGGTACCCGAGTCAAAGCGGTCAGTTTTTGTTTGGAGTAAGTATACTCCTTCTGACGCTATCTTTTCAGGCGTGTGTATATTGCAGGTAAGTTATCAACTACGATCTAGAACATCACTTCAACAACCACACAGACGCGATAAGGTAAGGTGTGAAGGCGTGAGGTGGGTGACTCTGATGCCGCTGGTATGCACATTGGTTGACGACCGTTAGACCATGCGTACACTGTGTGCGTAAGGGGTACCAATGTATTGATCGCATCTGTCAAATCTGCACTCAGCAAGGCGTTAGTGGCGGATGTCCACATCTCGGTGAAGGATCGGACAGTGATGGTACGCAAACCATCCAATAGAACGTTACTTCGTATTTCATAATCACTATCTTCAGTGATCGCGATGGGGAGTATGCAACCTCCCCACCCAATGCCAATTCAAGTTCAACAGTCCTCCATGATGATGGCACCACTGCCGTTCCCAACCCAAGTCTATGGTCCCATACCATATCATTTGCTGGCGCAATCAAATCATGAAATTGGATCGTTACACGTACCTGCGCTACCTCGTCCTGTTGGATCTTTTTATCCTATAGTCGACTCGCCTATCAATGGCCCTCAACCCAACATTTCGTCAGAACGGTACGACCCATTACTTACGGGACCAAGTGACTTTTCGAAGTCAGGCGGGTGAATAAATACACTGTAAATTTTGGACTTTGCTTGGAGCAGGATGGTTGTAATTTTAGCCTCGCTTTTCAAAGCGATTCCTAGAATATTGTACTGTAGTGCTGTGAGCTTTAATGCCTTCCACTCACTTCTCTGGGGCAAACTTCGGACTCGGAATTCATTCTTATCGAAGGCATTGCAGCTAAATACGTGATTCCCTTGTTGATAAATTTATTTGTACATGCTTGGCACCGAATCTTTGAGTGGTACTACCACCAAGTTGGAGTTCATTGTCCTCGTCCCTGATATTTCTGTTTCTTTTTCAGCTGACCTGATACATTCTTTTACCATGAGCAATACCCTGAATTCATCCCCGGAGAGGTTATTTTTCAAACATAGGCATTTCATACGTTTCACGCTGACATAGCACTTAGACGAAAGGTTGGATCATCCAAGATCAAATACGCCGGCAAGGCCAAGGTCAGCGCGTTATTTCACGCGACACCACGTGAATAGTTATCTGAAAAGCCTTCCCAGAAGAAGAGAAGTGTTCCAAACATTGCAGAGTACGCCATAAAATATACTGGACGCGTTAAATGACCTTACGTTTCGGCAGAGACACGTCAGGTGAAGAATCAGAGACGCATCAAGGTATCGGAACTAGTGACCCCCAAGAAACATCCGTAAGTTGCTTTCTCAAAGCTGGGTTTGTTAATCAATGAAGGATTAGCTGCCTGGACCGAAAGCTGCCCCAAAAATAGTCGAGGTTCTGTGAGTCCAGAATTTAAACTTGTGCATCTATGATTCATGACTGTCTGTATGTGCTATCTAGTCTCCCTGGACCTTCACCATCACCATCCCCCCGCAATTCTCAGGAAAGTCAGGTACTTTCTGCAAAGCCTGTCAGCAAAGCCAGGGGATCCCGTAGTCGCACTTCATCAGTGGTATCCTTGAATCGTTCCATCCGTCATGAGAGCCCCTCTGTCCTTTCCGTTCGAGCGAAGTCATTAGACAAGAGTTCCCCCGCCTCCAAAGTTAAGTACGTATTCGGGTTCCTTGGCGCTTAATGGTCACTCACCACACTGGATGACCAGGTGCCCTGACACCCCCGACGACGATGCAGATGAGACCTCGTCAATTGCAGAATCATCTGCCGGAGGTCGAATACGCCGGTCTGAATCCGAGCGTATTCAGTATTTCAAAGACCAGTCACAATGTGATGATATGGAGCCGCACCGAGTTCATTGTGCTCGATGCGACAAATGGATCAACCTTGGCAAGAGACAGACGTACGCTGTTCGGCCTTGGGAGATCCATCGACGGAAATGTGACCCACGGTCCCCTGTTTCGAAGAAGTTAGTACATTTCACACTGAAAATCAAAACCCACTTATCCTGTGAACAGGAGTCATCCAAGTGAGACCGAAGTGGAAAAACCCGAAGGAGCAGTTTCGGTATTAGAATTGAGTCAGGAGATTACCAAACAGCCTTCACCTCAGTCGGCTCGGCAGAGTGACGCCGAAAGGAAAGCTTTACTGGAAGAGGATCCTCGTGCTCAAGAGGTCAAACCGCACGAAGTTCTTTGTCGATCCTGCCAGAAATGGATCAAGTTGTCGATCGATCATGCCTACATTCTTGGAAATTGGCACGCACATCAACAACGGTGTTCGGGTGTCGTGTGAGTGATCATTTTTCTGAATTTTACCACAATTTTACCAACAAGCGATTTAATCAGACCCAGCAGCCGAGTGGCTACCGCAGAGAGAAAATATAGTCTACTGACTGACCCTCAAGCGAAGTCGTCTTCCGCTCGGCACGTCGAGTGTGCCTTTTGCAGGATGAATGTCGAGCTGGACGGTGTCGCTCAGTATGATTTGACCAAGTGGCACGAACACAAAGCAAAGTGTTCTTCGTGAGTGAATATTATTTTACCAGCATTCTTATAAGTAACAGTGGCAGTAGTCATCCCGTCCAACCCACTCCAAAGGCTCCTAGTTCGCGTCTTTCGCGCGTTTTCCCTCCACCATCTGGCCAGACTGTCACTCAAACGCCTATAAGCGAGGCACACAAACACCTTACGTCCTCGAGTTCAGCGTCTATAGACGCTACAGCCATCAATGACAATTCCCCATATCGCACTGGGGAGAAACGTGCCCGGGACGAAGAAGACGCTGGAGACGTCCGTCCTGTGAATCGTCCGAGAACTGTAGCCTACCAAGCGCCCGAGAATGAGGCGCCGGGTCCGTGGGGTTGGTTTATGCAGCCTTTTAAAGCTTTCGTGCGTGGTTTCCGTGAAGGTTTAGGTACTCCATCTACGTAAATGTTGGCACTAGTGTGTTATGTGAAGTTATGTCGACTGTATTATACCCTGCTCTATCTATTGTGCTTTGTTTTCTTTATAATGCCATTCAACTATTCCCCTGGATGCTTGACGGTAAATGCAAACACGCGCGAACGAGCATGCAAGTCGACGGAAATTTCCGAAATGTGTCCCCGCCTCCACTTTCTTCCCGTGACTTTCGCTCTTACGCCTGACTGTCGCGCATATACAACTGAACCGTTGAGATATAGAGGTCTTTGTATTGGTGCGTAAGGTGTACGCAGCTCTTCACTTCTTCGGCGTACCCTTTCAATTTCCCCCCTCCACGGAATTGGACTACAAGTCAGTGGCCACTACCCCGTCCAGACCGATAAAGCTCATTCAACACTCCGGAAAATTGGACATTCATACCCGCTGAAAATACGTTCCTCCCCCCCACTGCAGTGTCTCATCCCCCCGTCATAAAAGTCATGTGGGTATTTATCTTTAACAGATGTCATTGCTGCTCATTCTATTCGTGCCACTTCCGCAGGGGGTCACCAAAGAAAGATTCTAGTTTAAAAGGCATCAATGAGTGAGCGTCTCTGTCATCTTCGATCATTTAGATATTCATCTAGTTGTTTTGAGCAGCGGAGACGCACCTCGCCGAACCGTAGGCGAAGTTGCAAGAGAGAAAAGGCTACGTGATGACCCGATGGCAGAAGTTCTTGGCCCACTTTTTGTCACCTGCAAACGCTGTGGAAATCGTATAAAACTATCCCCGAAGAGTCTGTATGATCCCTTCCATTGGCTGAAACACCGCGAACGTTGTTTGAGGAAACCAGTCGGAGGTGCCCGCGCCACTAGTCGTCCTTCGAAGGAAACAGTGAGTCGCTTTGATAGCCCGATTTTATTTGGTGGAATTCATGTGATTTGTTAGACCACGGTTGAGAAAAATTCCCCTGCTTCATCGTCTAACACAGATGTCGACAATCTCACACCACCACCTCCTTTGACTCCCAATGACGATCGACGGGGAGTTCCTGTCGTTTTCAAAGAAAGCTCGTCTTCGCCTATCCCGGAGGAGGTGGTCGTCGACACCTCGACGAAAGTTATTGTACGTGAATTTTTTTTTGTTACACGGGGGAAGATCTAAACACAAGTCCTTCAGGACTTGCCTCTTGTAGATCATGGGCACTGGCAGTCTTGGTCGTGGTCTGATTTGAGACCTCCAGCCTGGCTGATAGATACCAATCCCATGCATGAAGACGACGGCGATGATGACGAGCCTCCTCGAGTAACCATAATAGAGCGCGGCTCAACTCCGACTCTCTCTCTCCATCCGGGCACACAACCTCAAGACCACTCCTAAGATCATATACCGTTGTTGTATTGCATCTATATCTGTCATAAGTGTTCTCATTCTTGCTCTGTTGTCTCCATTTGCATCGCCGGTACTTTACCATACGCATATAACTAGCTACCACATTTGCCCATACCAGCATACCAGGGTAGCCAGCATTAATCTACGCATTCTATGATCTTCACTACTATTATTATGGATAGCATTTCTTCTTATCCAAGTCTAAGTATTTCTTGATATGATTTCGTGGTCTTCTGCGGGTGGCTGGTGAATGCCGCTCTGGAGAAGATGAACTATCGCAGAATCTTGACTTGCTCGGGAACCCCTAGATAATTATCAGTATATATATTTTCTGGTACACGACTATCTCACAGGATGGCTCGCACTACATCTCGCAACACCAGGGAACTCGATATCTCGAGTTTCTCCACACCTGGAAAGTCCGTCAGCCCTCGTTGGCCCTACATTCAGCAACATGACTGGTTTTCGCAGCTCTAATGCGCGCTTTACCAGCCTTGGTGCACAATGTCATCAGTGTCATAGTTACTTCACGATAATCGGAAATTACAAGCACCTGAATGCGGAATACGTCGCCAGTGTGGTGCCGAGGACGAAAACCCTTTCAGACTGTTCAACATTATGAAGCCTGCGTTGGGATCACTACTCCGACATTGGGTAAACAAAAAACGACCCACTTACGAGCGGTCCTTGATCCGACTTGGTATCGATTCACCAAAGAATATCACCTCTGGTTTGTACTACTTGCATCAGAGACCCAGGAGACATGGCAATAACGCTGCCTCTTACAAAAGAGCTCTGTTGACTTTCCAACGTACATTGCGGACATTCTGGGACCACGAAATCGGCATAAGAAACGCCTTCCAACTCCACCTTCGAGAATCATCAATCATCAAAATTGGTCTGCGAACGACGGACGAACATCACCATCAGGATTCGTGCGTGGTTTTTGCCCGGTCTTCTCTAAATTGTCGACGAATACCTTCCATTGCGGATTAGAAGCAGAAAGCCAATTTTGGAACGTGTTTCTAGGGACTACGTGACCGCGCTTGCAGTGTACTCGCTGCAAGCAAGACGATTGGTTTATTGTTCGCGAAAATACCAGAAAGCGAATGCATCTAAAACGGCCCAGAAACGTACATGGAGGGTCCCGTGCAGTTCAAGTATTTGCTTTTGGATATGGTCTGGCTCCCAAAGATGTGCAATCGCCTTGTGGTGTAACCCGTCTACATTTTGCGTCACGAGGCGAGGTATGTATGATGCGTATTGGAGTGCAGCAATTGCATAATGGCTGGTATTAGGCAGAGTGTCCCGGACAGGGGGGTAGCCCAAGTATGACCGAAGCCTACAAAACATCAACCTGGCGGACTGACTACATCATTTGATCTCATACCAATACCGCTGCCTGTTGGGTGGTCAGTTCAGAAGCTATGTAACATGACGGGGTTTAATTAACTTGCCTGAAAGCAAAACCCTTTTCACTCTGGTCAGTTAGTTCGTGATACTAAGGCCCTCGTCAATGAGAAAGGGTTCTGTGCCTGAAGCAAAGTGCGCACAAGAATTGGTCTATGTCATAATCAGACAGAAACAATTAGTGTAGTTCCTGGCTTCGCATGACGAACTCACTGATAATTGGGGTTCATATATCTGCCGTCTTTTCCCCGATATGCTCTGATTCCCGAAGCAACACTAACACCTGCGCCGGTAAGTAGCGTCACTTTTCCTGGCGCAAGGAAGTCTGCGATACGTTCAACCGCCGCAGCTGGTGAAATTGTTCGTTTTGGTGCTCCAAGGCCGGTGATAATGGTTGGTACTGAAACACGCATGATGTCAGTTGTTCAAGTTGGTCTCTTGCGGGAATCCGAAGTAACCGGATGAGATATACAAGAATATACAACTTGTCTCTTGATTACCACAATGAATCCTGCTCGACCACCTCCTGCTGTGCTGCAGACGCCAGGATTTGCCCATTACTCTGTGGCATGGTCCCCTTTTCACAATTCTCGCATCGCACTTGCTTCAGCTGCTAATTTCGGTCTTGTGGGTAATGGTCGCTTGCACATGGTATCGCTGATCCCAGGAGTTGGTGGCTCATCTGCGGTGAAACTTGATAAACAGTCTGTCTGTCGACTCGACTAATAAGCCGGTGCTTATCTTTCTATCAAGATACGAGACCCAGGACGGCATATACGACGTTGCATGGTCGGAGATTCACGAGAATCAACTGGTTACAGGCTCGGGAGATGGAACGCTGAAGCTGTGGGACGTATTGCTAAATGTATGCCGATATCAACTCATTTTCAGATCTGAGTGAATCAACATCGTTTTTCGTGCCTAGGACTTTCCAATACGCTCTTGGCATGAGCACAGTCGTGAAGTTTTCTCCGTCGATTGGTCGAATATCAAGAAAGACACATTCGTGTCCTCCTCATGGGATGGAAATGTCAAACTGGTAGATATATTGAATTTCTCGCACTGAATTCAACTTAGAGAGAATATTTGTAGTGGACGCCAGAAGTGCCTCGTTCAGTGACAACACTGCATGCGCACCTGTCATGTGTGTACCAGGCTCTATTCTCTCCTCATCAACCAGATATCCTCGCTACATGTTCAACGGATGGAACCATGAAAATATTCGATCTTCGTTCCCCCGCTTATGCCACTGGCCCCGCCACAAATTCCTTCACGCACCCCTTGTCTGCTGCAGTCTTGACCGTCCCTGCATCTGGCACTGAGTTGCTCACCCTTGATTGGAATAAGTATCGACCTTTTGTGCTGGCGACCGCTGGCGTTGACAAGATGGTGAAGGTGTGGGATTGTCGGATGATTCAGAGCAACCCGAGCGCTCAGGCAATTGGTGGCGTCTGCGAGATCCAGCTTCCAGGTCATGAATATGCAGTACGAAAGGTCCAATGGAGTCCTCACCGCCCAGACATTTTGGCTACAGCCAGCTATGACATGACATGTAGGATGTACGTGAATTTCTGCAACAGGTCGTGCATATCTAAGTGGTATGGATTTATGCAGATGGTCGTCCAACCCATCCGTAGGGGGATCCAATCTCCTTCAGGTCCATGATCCTCATACGGAGTTTGCGGCTGGTTGTAGTTGGTCCCTCTATGATGAAGGGTTGATTGCAAGCTGTGGATGGGACGGTAAACTATTTGTATTCCGTGCTTAAATGAGCATTGTCACTTCTATGTTATGCCTTCGTGCTGTTGTGACTGCACGCAGAATTTTCTGCGGGAGACGGTGGGACAATTTCTATTGCGATGCACTGAAAAGCTTCGTGGTGTTTTTGACATCCTTTAAAACTCACGCTCACCTAGGGCTTGTTATGCGTCAACTGATTTGTCGACACATGTCCCAAGTGCTCTCCTCAGCGTATGGTTGACGAGTCCACCCAATCTGTCATGATACCCGTGGACAACTGTGTCAAATGCGTGTCATCAACAAGAATTTATGCCCTTAGTAATGTTATTCTTCTCCTGTTGAGTTTTTGTTTGCGTTCTCGGTATGGATTCGTTCATACAATTTTAAGTTGCGTGCGTATACTAGGCGGTATGTCATCTTCTGGGTATACGTGTCATACCTGTAACTGACTAGTCTTCGAGACTATCTGATTTTTTTTCCCTGCCGATAAACAAGTTCTCCATATCAGGCGTAATTCGCCTCACTCGGTCCAATCATAGTGCGACTTGCGCAAGGCTACATGATCTCCATATTGTGCGAAGAAAATTTCTTTTCTTGTATTTGTATTGTGCAATGTGCAGTGCACTGACTTGCAGCATCTATGATGTCATGTTTTATTGTAGGAGCTGATGGTGTTACGGCAGCCTGCCCAGAACGTTTTAGCAGGACACCCACACGATGAACTCGTCGATATCTGCGGCAGGTTCTGCGACTGCTGGTGGTCGGTAGTCTAATCCCATGTAGATATATACCAACAGGAACAATTGCGTCTTCGCTCAACCTTCGCTGCAGGAGTTTTGGATGGATAGGGGCTAATTATCCATTTTCACGTTGTTTGTCCTTGAGTCGAAGATTGGGCCGAGTAGGCAGTAGCCCAGATTCCCGACCACCATGTGTATGAGACTCGATTCTTGACAAAGATCTTGCACTGCTTCATTCTTTTCAGATTGATAATTCAATGCAGGCACCTTCGAATCTTTCAACAAATGTTACGCAAGGGTGTTATTCGCGTAACACCAAAATCTGGGATATCACAGAGGATGATCCTGAGGATATCATGTCTGCTTCTCTCCAGACTCTTTACGACTATGTCCCAATTACACACTCCGCCCCTGGGTCGATATTTACTTACACGATAAAACGTGACGGAGGAGGCTCACCAGAGTCAGCACCAAGACAGATCACCCTTCAGACACCAGACACGCAAGCAAACAATTGGTCTTTGCATGCTTCATCCATCTGGCAATCCTCCGTTCACATTGCAGATCACATTGAATATCTGCAGTTGGATCGCTTCAGCGATCGAAAGATATTGCGTGTTCTGGAGCTTGGCGCTGGCGCTGGGTTGCCTTCGATCATGATCGCACGGACTACGCCCAATGCTGCTGTTGTAGCCAGTGATTATCCGGACGAAAACCTCATATGCACACTTTCTGATAACGTTTCTCGCAATCATGCTTCAGAACGTTGCTGGGTTGTCCCTTACGCTTGGGGCAACGATATATCCCCACTCCTCACACCCGCCCAGCGGAAATCTGAAGGTTCTGCGCTCTTTGATATCATTGTCGCGGCCGATACGCTGTGGAATCCTGAGACCCACGTTCACTTTATCAACACGCTTTGCATGTGTCTCAATCGCAGCCCAGACGCTCGCGTACATGTAGTCGCTGGTCTACACACGGGAAGATACACCATTCAATCGTTCATGAATGCTGTTATGATACACAAACTTCAAGTAGAAAGAGTGATGGAGAGCGAAGTTATGAATGGCGTTCAAAGGCCATGGGATGTTACACGCGCCGAGAGTGAGGATGAAAGGGAGAGACGAAAGTGGGTAGTCTGGATGGTCCTGAAATGGGCATGAAATAAACGAGATTCGCAATGTAAAGTACAATCTAGTCGTGTCTAAACTCAATACTATGAGTACAATTAGGAGATATTAGCATTAATAGTCGTTAAGCAACAGGTTATTCATGGGTATCAAGATACGTCATGCTGGAGTGTCTCCGAAGGTCAGAACACGGATGACAGTTTGACCCTCGCGTTCCTGCGACGGATTTCAGGGGCCAGTAAAATTAGAATGCAGGAATACGTACGTTGTATAAGATCACCGCATCTTCTGTGGCGTCAACCCAAGTAATGCTTTGTACTTGTGTGGTGCTCGTCCTGATAAACTCAGCTGCGCCAGCCTTGACGATTTTACTGGTAGTAGCCCATTTCTCATTCCACGACCAAGCAGGCGACTGCGGTGCGATTGATCGCAGGCACTCTGCTGCATAGTCATTAAAGTCGAGCACGTGAAGACGACTTCGGGAATCGGCCACATAGTTCTCCTCACCGGCGCTCTGGAAAAATACTAGTTTTCTCCCCACAACCTCAAAGGCATGCGCTTCTGAATCGTCCGGCAAATGAATCACCGTACAGCGGTCCTGCCATTCCTGCCATGATAGAGTCTTATCGCCAAGACTAGGTGGCTGAAAAAGCGATTCCTTCATCACCAATGCCACTTTCTTGGAGCACCCTGCCGGTATTGAATGGGAGGGAAATTCGACGAGGATAACAGTCGTGCGCTGAGACGGATCAGAGTGGAAGAAAGTTCCCGTCGGAGGAGCAGTGTTGGGCTTGAGAGATGTGTTGGGACAAATTTGCAGAAACGATATTGCCTTCCACAATTCTGGTAAATCATATGATATCACCTGGGCTGATCTCAATCGTCTACCATCCGGTATATGGTGTATAATGATTTGAGGGGAGCGTTTGCCACGTTCGTGAAGGTACAACCCGTCCGGACTTCGTTCCCAAGTGGAAGCAGCAGATTCTCCACTATCATCATCCTCGTCCTCGTCAGGATGGGATAGCACCATCAAACACGATTCGCTGAGGATATCGAACGAGAGGAGGTCACCAGTAAACTGTCGATCTCACAATTTAGAACCTGGTGGGCCCTTGTGGAGCAGGGAAACACTTACCCGTTGCTGTTGGTCAATACCGGTGTGCCAGTTGACTAGAACAAGTTCTGTTGTTCCTTCGCCTTCTTCAACTCCAAGACGTACCGACAGACCGACCATTATTCCATAGATCTGGACCCGTTCAATGGAAATGCGGTGGCCTGGAGGCAAAGTGCCCCACCAGTCCGTCTGAAATTGAAAACGCAGGTTTTGAGCCTGTGGGTGTTGCTGGCACGTCCACATGTCAAGAAAGTGAAGTGAAGCAGTTATAGGTCCATCCCTAGCGTGTTGGTCAGCATGGACAGAGACGCCAGCCATAATTAGCTTACTGCGAAGGAAAATGAAGTTCTGCAAGCACCAAAAGGTTCTGAACAGCATCGATGGCGACCTTGCGGATTTCGAAAGGTAAATTAAATTTGCAATATTGTAATTTATCAACCGGCGGTGTCCTGTACGAGCGCAGCTCATAGATATGAAGTGACCACTGGAATAGCCCGTGATAAGAGCTTTCGCTAGCGTGATAGAGAAATCTTCCAGAGACGCCAACGATCGTTGGCGTGGGAATACGGAGCCTGTCCTCTGAGGTCCAGTTTAATGTCAACCATCCATTCCTGTGGCAGAGGAGCGGGTCCAGCCGTGCGCGCGGTGAATAAGAGCTTGAAATTCCGTCCTTCATACCGGACAAAGCAAGTTCGTATCGATATAGCAACGTCGAATAATTTGCGACGATGCTATGTATATATTGAGAACTCTATTAATGAAACGTTAAGTAGACATTCATCGACTAGCAACTTCGGCAATCATACCTTGCAGAAGTGTAGCAGTGAGATAGGATCGAGCTCTTCTAAAATGATTAAAAGGAGCTCCCTAGAGAGGCTAAAGAGTGACATGACCAGCACGCTGACAATGAATGTGGTGTTCGTGGTCATCCTGTTCTTCGTCTTTATAGTGCAAAGCCGCCCTGAGGCGCTTGACACTGGTGACCAAAAGACAAAAGCATCGGGGCACCCAGCGTATTTCGTCGAGAAGGGTTCAAGCGGCAAGTCAAAAGAAATCTTATTGACGCAAAGCGGCATGAGTACGTAGAACGAAGTCAACGTCCGGACTCGGACGATGTCGCCCACACCCTCGGACTGTAACTACCTTGTCTGTTCAGACAAATTAGAAGTTGCGGGACCGACTCGGAATTTTGTAACGCTCACCATGTCAACCATTGAGTGAAGGTGTCATCGTTGTAATATTGTCAAGCTCTATTGACAATAAGTTGAACGAAGTTGGCTCGAACGGGAAAGAAAGACAGTACTATTAGTAACCTTGGAAGTTTCGAACACTTATTATTTCAGCCTATCGTGGGATGGCACTCTAGCGACGCAGCCTACCTTGGTAGATTCAACAAGCAGAACTAATACTCTTGGCAGGCTGGTCGCTGTTAGTGTTGGTCCTTGATCTATGCTTGTTACAAAAGGCGGTCACAACAAAACCGGCGCACGAATGTGATGACTAATATGTTACTAATCAACCTATCCTTTGCTGTCTTGGTCAGCCTGTACAACGACTCGGACATCCATGGTTTGCAAGAAGTGTGAATCAGTGTGTCACTGTTAGTTTTTCTGAATGCGCATCTCACTGATTTTCCTCAGAAACTGTCCAAGGTTGCCGCTCCAGATCCGTTCACCTCCACATCTCAAAGCGTAAAGGACGGGTCACGAAGAGTAGGCGAGAACAAGCTACTAAGCCGGCCCGGGAGCTCGAAAAACAGATTTCAGGTGAGTGAGTCACGACTCCCTCTTAACATGCACTTAGCAAGGGAATGGTTGCTAGCCATATCAAAGCAAATGCAAGGATTGTAAGCAGCCTGTGACGCAAAATAAAGCCAAGTACTGCCACGGTGAGTACCGCAGCACTACCAGGCAAACTCGGAGCTCATTCCGTCCTAGGCTGTGCGTATAAGAAAGGCCTTTGTTCTATCTGTGGCAAACAAATATTGGATACGACTGGGTATGTGATGTCTAGCAAGTAATTGAAACCTGGTGTGTTGTACCACAAGATACCACTGTAATATGATATTTAACAAGAATGTCGCACCCGGTGTTTGGAACGTGAGCACAAGGGCTCATTCAAAACTATCAAGGAGGTGCTAGTTATCATGATTCATGCGCAACCTGCCCTATGTGCTTCTCATGTGGGGTCAATCGCAGCGGATGTTTGACTTCAGAGTCCAGGTGAACCTGACTGATTACCTCCAGTAAATATGGTGTTCACTGTTATTCGGCTCAGCGAAGCCGATGACGCAAGGGCTGCATCTGAAGATTCTGAACGAAAAGGACCCCGCTGGAACGAATCAGTACTAGTGACATTGTTGCACGTTCAAGCTATACACCGCCACACTGCGGATTTTATTATAGAACTTCGTGCTTGCATCACTAAATGGTTGGTCGGCACGTTTCAGAAGGGTCAGTTGCAAGTGTCACTTGTCTTGTGATCCTAGGAAACCTGATTGTCAATAGCGTTTCAATTGTCCTACATAGGCTACATCTTCCCATTCAGGCAGATCTCTTCGATATAAAAGGTATGGAAGTCGGAATGACTGCGCCGATGAAGGGTATGTACTATACATGCTGCAGACTAGGTGGGCTGGCAGCCATTTCTGGTTATGCCTGGGCAGTGGGTATCATGTCGGCTGCTGGTAGACCGATAGTGCAGCACTCGTGTCTCCAAGCAGCAGAATATGCACCATCGTTCAAATCCTCGCTGCAGCAAAGGGCTAGTGAGGCTGCGGTGATTTGATAGCTGATGAAGATAAGTCTACCACACGCACCGATCCTGGTTGCTGAACATCTTGTAAATCACTAAGATTCGGGAGCGGAGAAATTCATGATCAATACACATTTCTCGAGATAAGTCAATGTAAGCCGTGAAATAGGATTGGTGTCGAGAGAGAACTCACGAGTCCATACAGTACGACTTGTTTTTGGCGCGGTATTGAACAGACTACTAAAGCGTGTCTGATCTATGCAATTGTAATTTCAAAATATCGATATACGCTCAACAAGGTTATCCCTTTTTGACTTTGACGCCTTCGACCACATTTTTCGGCAGTACCACGAGTTGTCAGGGTGTTCAGACTCGTGTACTCCGTGACACCGTGCCCGTGAACCCTTAAAAGACGTCTTTGCTTGCTGGACGCCTCTCTCAAGTTTGTTCTCTTCGTCTTCTCTCCATTGCGCCACACTACTGGTAGCAGTCATGCAACCAGGGATTTACAAATTTATAAACCGCCAGAGCGGTACAGCAATGGACTTGGCCAAAAACGACTACACGCATGTTGTCGGTGGGTGCCTTTCAAATGGCTTCTGATTTTGAAACATCTCACCTTCAAACCTCTCGGATACAGGCTCCCCACCTTGTGATGATTCTATCCAAATGGTAATTGTGCCTTTCTCTTCTACATCCCGAGTAACATAATAAATGTTAAACCAGTGGGAAATAGCACGTCTTGGAGCAGGACACAGTATCCGGAATATGCAAACCGGTACCTACATGTCTGCGCAAGGAATTCAAGGCGGTGCTACCATCTTGGCGGGACATTTTCCTGTAGCATGGCAACTCATCACCATGAAAGTGGATGACGAAAATGCTGAAATGATTGAGTATGTCCTTATCTAGCGCGTATCTCAGACTTGCCTTGACCGTCCCGACTTAGAATACGCTGGCCGCTTACAGGATACATGTTTGATCTGCACCGTGGATTCTCAGCTCCTGGAACAAAGGTGCAATTCATGCTCTTGATCGGCGTCGACATTTTAGTTCATGTTCTTGCCTTGTTCCAGATTCATCTGTGGGACCATCAACTAAATGCGGTAGACCATCGTTGTAGATTGTGGAAGCCCGTTTTCATTCGAGACATTCATCACTCCGTTTTGCCGGAGCGTGCTGGTGAAGACGACGAAACTTCAAGCACCACTACTATCAGTGCTGCTGATGTGCCAGAAGGAGGCGAGCTTGTCTTGGTCACGACCACTACTACAAGAACAGTGGTTACAAAGGTACCGAAACAGTGGAGTAAGGGTCTTAGGGCTTAGGCAGGGCGAGAGCCTAGTCAGTAAAGACAATGTGCATGCATGTCTGTAGTACATCTCCAACACAGTAATTCTGTCCGAGTCCGGCCTGGGTAGCCCAGTCCAACGGTTGTCAGTGGAGAAGATGCTAGAATAGTTCTATGTCGAAAACACCTTCCTACCTACATAGACTACATCTACATACCCATTCAGAGTCGGGCCCGGAGACAGATCTCTTTTGGATATAACTTGAAGGTATGGAAGTCGGAGTGACCAAACAATAATAAACATCAATAAATCATCAGTCTCCCTGTTGTCAACATCATTCACAGAAGTCGCTCTCATTTATCCTACTCACCAACATCAGGCGAACGTCGACGCGTCATAATCCATCCTGTCGTCGACCTTATGAATCCAGGAGATATCCAATACGATCCTTGTGTCTGCATATATCCAGCTGTCATGGCAAAGTACTGCAGCTGCGGACTTCTCTAAAACAGTGGCGGGGCATATTCTATCTTTTCTCCTAGGGGAGACAGTGCAAGATGATAATGTCAAGTTGGGCTTCTCACTAGATCTCACTAGACGAGCATCAAAAGAACTTGCTACACATATCATTTGTATTTACTTCATTTTACCAAGCACTCGGTTATGCCTCGTGCACACCCAGCAAAGCTTACCACCCACCACACTCCCTCGCCGCGGAATGGTCCACCTGCTAAAAGAATCCATGCAGACATGCAGAGCTGAAGATTGAAAAAAGGGACTTATTTCATCGATAGCACCTGCGGAAACCAGTATGCTACGCTGCACCACATAAGCCTCTGCAAGTCAGTCGACTGGGACGTTGCTGACTCAGTCACGCATACTTTCCACAACGCCGACATTAAATGGTCCTTGTGCAGGTCCAGTAAAGACTGCCGTTCGTCATACTCCGCCACCGCCAGACTGGTAAGAGAATCCATATAGAGGCAGCTGAACGTTTACGTTTACATCATGAATCATAAATTTCAATATTTGTTCGAGCAAGCAAGGTGAAAATCGGCAACGCCGATCCCTAGTACTGTACATGCATGCTGCAGCATGTACAGGAGTGCAGACTGGATGAGCTGGCAGCCATCTCTGGTTATACCTGGGCAGTGGATATCATGGCGGCTACCGCTCGTGTCTCCAAGCAGCAGAGTATGCATCATTGTTCAAAACCTCACTGCAATAAAGGGCTAGTGAGATAGTGGTGATTTGAAGATAAGTCGATCACACGCACCGATCCTGGTTGCTGAACATCTTGTAAATCACTAAGATTTGGGAGCGAAGAAATTCACGATCAAGACGTACATTTCTCGAGATAGGTCAATGTAAGCCGTGAAATAAAATTGGTGCCGCCGAGAGAGAACTGACGACTTGTTTTTGATGCGGTATCGAACAGACTGCTAAAGCGTGTCCGATCCACGTAATTGTAATATCAAAACATCGATACACGCTCCACAAGGTTCTCCCTTTTTTTGACAGTGTGACGCCTTCAACCACGTTTTTCTGCAGTACCACGAGTTTTCAGGGTGTCCAGACTCGTGTACTCCATGACACCGTACCCATGAACCCTTAAAAGACGTATTCGCTTACTGGACTTGCGCCAACACCTCTCTCAAGTTTGGTCTCTTCGTCTCCTCTCCATTGTGCCACAGCTATGCAACCAGGAATTTACAAATTCATAAACCGCCAGAGCGGTACAGCAATGGACCTGGCCAAAAACGACTACATGTCTGTCGTGTGTGAGTGCCTCTCAAATGGCTTCTGACTTTGAAACATCTCACCTTCAAACCTCTCGAATACAGGCTCTCCACCTTGTGATGATTCTGGCCAAAAGGTAATTGTGCCTTTCTCTTCTATATTCTGAGTAACGGGATGATTGTGAAACCAGTGGGAAATAGCACCTCTCGGAGCAGGATATACCATCCGAAGTATGAAAACAGGTGCCTATCTCTCTGTGAAAGGACTCCATCGCAGTGCTGCCATCTTTGCGGGAAATTTCCCTGTAGCATGGCAATTTAAAACCGTGAAAGTGGACCACGAGAACGCTGAAATGATCGAGTACGTCCCTTTCTAGCGGGTATCTTAGGCTCGCTTTGACCGTCGCGAGTCAGAATACGCTGGCCGCATACACAACACACGTTTGATCTGGCCGGCTATGGATCCTCAGCTCCTGGAACAAAGGTGCGGTCTATAGTCTCGATTGGCGCCGTTAGAATTTAGTTCATGTTCTTGCCTTGCTCTAGGTGCAGCTCATGGACACTCAAATAAGTCCCGTAGAGTACCGTTGTAGATTGTGGAAGCCCATTTTCATTCAAAACATCCCTCTAGTGAAGTAGGGGTTCTAGGGCTTAGGGACGAGAGCCTAGTCGATAATTAGAGACGAGGCACATGTCTGTAGTACATCTCCAACACAGCAGCTGTCTGAGTCCGGTAGCCCAGTCCAACGGTCATCAGTGGAGAAGATGCTAGAATAGTCGCATGTCGAAAATGTTTTTCCTACTCATCCGATTCTAACGCAGATAGCCTTGTATGCAATAGAAACTAAAATGTGATTATGAACCAATATGCTACCCTTCACTATGGACGAGCTGAGGTGCATTCCTTATAATATGTTTAGACTACACTATCTACCCATTCAGACAGACCTCTTTTAGATACAAAAGGTGTGGAAGTCAGGGTGGCCGCGCCGATGAACGGTTTCATGCTCATGTCAATATGCTATACATGCTGCAGACTGGGGGAGCTGCCCGGGCCAGTGGCAGTCATTTCTGGTTATACCTGGGCAGTAAGTGTCATGCCGGCAGATTGACACTACAATGTTTGCGCCGATAAATTTAAGATAACGGTCCTGGTTGCTGAACATCTTGTAAATAATTAAGCTTTAAGATTCGGGAGCGGAGAAATCCACGATCACTGAGAAGTACATTTCTCGAGATAAGATTGGTGCCGAGAGAGAACTCACGAGTCAATACAGTACAGCTTGTTTTTGGCGCGGTATCGAACGGACTGGCTATTTACGGTACCGTGCCCCTGTTAGGGTTAGTTAGGGTTGCCAGTATTCATCGTCAACCCTTATGTAAAAGACGTCTTCGCTTGCTGGACTTGCGCCAATCCCCTCTCAGCTCTGTTCTCTTCGTCTCCTCTCCATTGCGCCACACTAGCAGCCATGCAACCAGGAATTTACAAATTCATAAACCGCCAGAGCGGTACAGCAATGGACCTGGCCGAAAACGACTACACGCGTGTTGTCGGTAAGTGCCTTCAATTCTGATTATGAAACATCTCACCTTCAAACCTCTCGGATACAGGCTCTCCACCTTGTGATGATTCTATCCAAAAGGTAATTGTACCTTTCTCTTCTACATCCTGCGTGACATAATCAATGTGAAACCAGTGGGAAATAGCACATCTTGGAGCAGGATACAGCATCCGAAATATGCAAACCGGTACCTACATCTCTGTGAAAGGACTTCAGAAAGATGCTGCCGTCACTGCTGGACATTTTCCTGTAGCATGGCAACTTATCACCGTGAAAAACGATGACGAAAATGCTGAAATGATCGAGTACGTCCCTTTCTAGCGTGATGTCAGACTTGCCTTCACTGTTCCGAGTTAGAATACGTTGGCCACATACAGGATGGATGTTCGATCTGGCTGGCTATGGATGCTCAGCTCCTGGAACAAAGGTGCGGTCTAAGTCTCGATCGGCATTGTAATTTAGTTCATGTTCTTGCCTTGCTCTAGGTGCAGCTCAAGGAAAGTCAATTAAGTCCCGAACAGCATCGTTGTAGATTGTGGAAGCCCATTTTCATTCAACATATCCTTCACTCCGTTTCATCGGAGAGTGTTGGTGAAGACGACGGGACATCAAGCACTACTACTATCAATGCTGCTGATGTGCCAGAGGGAGGCGAGCTTGTCTTGGTCACGACCACTACTACAAGAACAGTGGTTACAAAGGTACCGAAACAGTAGAGTAATGGTCCTAGGGCTTAGGCAGGGCGACTCGGAGAGCCTAGTTAGTAGAGACGAAGTGCATGTCTGTAGCTAATAGTACATCTCCAACGCAGCAACTCTGTCCGTGTCCGGCCCGGGTAGCCCAGTCCAACAGTCGTCAGGATGCTAGAATAGTTGTATGTCGAAAAAACCTATGTCACAATTAGCTCTTCAACCCATTCTAATGCACAGCAATATTGTTGCAGAGGGCCTCGTGTAGAATATGAGCTAATGGATGTCTTGCCATCCTCATTCACTATGGGCCAGCTGAGGTGCGTGCATCCGTTGTATTACTTGCATGTTTCAGGTACCTAGAGGTTCATCCTTTCGGTTGCAAGTACGTCGGTTTATTAATTGTAAATAAATGTGGCATTCTTGACGTCCATATTTCTGTATGCTACATGGTAAGTATATCTATCCTATATGCTAGTGGTGTACCAGTACGTCAATTTACTGTACCCAAGTTGCGTGGGTTTCATATGCAATGCGTTACCGTGCTCTAGACTTTCATCTTGGCCCTCTCCTCGAATATCTCAACATCGATCGTGTCCGTCGTTATGAACCGGTGAATGCTGACATGCTTGATCTGCCCATACCTCCTCAATCGTCCAATTGCCTGGGTCTCACAAGCGTCATATATCTCCTGGCTCTGGGCGAGGAGAGGGGAAAGAAAGATTCCATGGTTGGCAACCGTCAAGTTCGCACCGCTAGCGCTCTCATCCATGACGTTCAACAGAAGCACGCGTTCTTTACTGTCGTTCTGGAACTGCTCCAAGTTCTTGCTTTTCTGAGTTGCAGAGCCGTTTATTTCCAAGAACTCGATCTTGTGCATCTTCAATGCATGAGCGACTTTTGCCATGAGATCGGGAAACTGGACGAAGATGAGAACCCGGTCCTTCTTCGGGATTTGGTTCCTGTGGCCAGAGACCGTTAGCATGGTTGCGAAAGCATAGCAGGACCACGTACTTCACAAGGTCCACAACCATCTCCAATTTCTTCCCGTAGTGCTTACCGCGTCCATCGCGAGCTTCATCATCAACTCCCAGAGTTTGTCCCTTGACAATGTTGAGAGCACGAGCAGCAGCATTGCATTGACCAGAGGGATGGTACACGCATTCCTCTCGGTCAGCGGCTTCCTTTACACAACTCATGCAGCCTGTGTGGCCGCATGAAGACAACACAGCAACTTCATCCATGGGTATCTCGCTGCGCTCGCATGCTGGACATGAGACGATAGGAGGCGCATCTCTTTGCTTCTGCAGGTCGCGCACAACGGTGAAGTAACGAAGCGACCGGACGCGTCCAACGAGTTCCTTCGTGAGCTTACGGATAATGTGCGTTTGCTCACGATGTTCCCATACAGCCTCCTTCGTTTTCTCCGCCAGGTTCATATCGCCCTTGGCTTTGTTCTTCCAGTAGGTCGAAGATAGAACGGGGACTTCAGCCTCTGTAAGAAGATCCCGAATAGTGTCCGTAGCTTCATGGTCACCGACACCGCCTTCATCTCTAGAAACGCGGGCGTACTCCTGGAACATGCTTTCTTCTGGGAGCTTGCCAATAGATTTCTCTTTCTTGACGGCCTTCTGGAGCTCCTTCAGCAGTTCTTTCTTACAGGCTTCCAGCTGCTCGGTTCGCTCTTCGACGATGATCTCACAGGCTTTCATAGCATTCTCCTTGTCCTTGGTTTCAAGGTCGAAATGAGAACAACGCTTCAAAAGGGCTTCCTCTGCGGTCCTGAAAGTGAATGTCAAGCAGTAGTTTCAGCAGAACATGTTTGTTCTTACTTGCTCTCGCCAAGTGCAATATTGAGGCGCTTCTCTCGGTCACTCTCCGACTTCCTCGTGCGTTTGGCAACCATATCGATGGCGCGAAGGTGGTGTTCTAATTCCAAGTAGATCGCTCGTTCTGCGGCAGGCAAAACGACTTTGACAATTTTGAATGTACATGGTATCTCGTCAATTTCTGCGATATTCTGAAGTGCTAATTGAGTTCAATTACAACGATCATGAGGAATGTATCTGACCTGCCGCACGAACATGTCAAGGAATAATTGGCCGAGACTGTGACGATGCGCATGCCACTCCTGCGTGTGTACCTCACGGAATGAGTGGAACTCTTCGACCTCTGCGATAACAGTCAGCACGTCCCATTTGTCTGGTCTTTGAAATCTTACTCGTCTGTTCACGGATGCGTTTCTTGATCATCGCTGACTTGCCCTCGCCACTATCATCAATACCCAGATGAATGTTCAGATGTGCAGCAATAGTCTTCACAGAGCCGAAATCGTGAATCGGCGGGGTACCAGATAGCACCCAGCGTCGATCGCCAGTTAGTTTGGTGACCATGGAGTGTACCTTTCCGCTCAGGTAGGTATACTCATCAACGACGATTCGTGAGAAGTGGAATACTTCCAAGGGTGGAGCGCGAGCTTGTGTCCAGTCTTTCTTAACTGCGGTGGTTTCGAGTTTCCAAGGGTCGGTATCCTCCCGCCGCTTCTGCTTTTTGGCGGGTTTGTCGTCAGAAGCTGTGGTCTTGCGCTTTTTTGAGGTTTTAGAAGACACAGGAGATGAAGGTGGATCATCGACGTCCATACTGTCGGTATCTTCGCCAGAGCTCTTGGTTGGATTCTTCGTTGCCTTCTTCTTCGGGGCTGCTTTGAGACCATATTGCCTACCCTTACCCTTACTGCCTTTCTTCCCAACATCATCCTCATCGCTCATCTCCGCATCAGACGAAACTCCGATCGAGTGTCCATCTTCGGATGACGAGGTCGGCGGGGGTGATGGTTTCGGTGACGGCTTGGTGGGAAGTCGTTTGGTTTTTGACGACTTTTTGGTGGAAACATCATCGGCATCTGAAATGTCTTCGACGGATTCATCATCCGCATGATCATCGTCGAGATCTTCATTTTCATAATCACTGCCGTTATCACCTTCTGCCTCATCATCTGAATCGATTACTATGACTTTCTTGGAAGCCTTGCGTTGGAGTCGCTTTCGTGGGCGTGGCGAGTCTGAATTCTCGGCATCCGAAGTCTCCGGGGCGACCGGTTGCATCTTCTTTTTAGGCACTGTGATGACGACTTCGCAGATTTTGCCAGATGAGGTGGGTTTGGCAGGGAAAATCTCTCTCTCTGATGAAGAATCGCTGTTCTCGACCTTGACCTGAGACGACTTCCCTTTGCTTACAGCTTCCTGATAGGCCTTCCCCTTGAGACGCTTTGGTGCAATAAATAGCTCTGCCTCCAACTCTTCCTCTATTGCTGGCAGTCAGTTACGTTAAGCACAAAGGTATTAAACATACCGCGTTTTCGAGTGTCTCGGATGTTTGCCATGACACTAGCGGAACCTTCAGTTTTCAGTCGTTCGACTTGACTCCGTAGGGCTTGCAGCGTGATGTCAATGCGTACATTGAAGTAACGCCCATCTTGAGTAGGTAGGGCGCCTCCGGCAGCGAAGGCTTCCAAGTTGGCAAGATATACTGAGCTCTGGAACAGGTTGGAGGCGACGATGACTAGGTCCGCATCCTGAACATCTTCGATGGTGAGGTTGTTGATCTGTGCGGCAGTGGAAATCTCCACAATATTCTTGAATCGGTTGCGCGCGAATTTCTGTGCTTCTGAGCGCCATTGTCTTGTGAGATGAGGAGGAACGATGACTAATGTAGCTTGAACCGGAACCTTGCCAATGATATCGCCTTTCTCCTTGAACTCCTTCTTTACGCTCTTCGCTGTACAGTCGATAAGCCCCAGAGTAATTGCCGTCTTCCCATAACCGACTTGGTCTGCCAAAACACCACCTCGGATGTGCACAGGGCGCTGTGCCCGACCTTCTGCTCGCCACCCCAGAGGCTCCAGGATGGCTTCCGATATCTCTTCCTCGATGAAGGGTTCAGAATCTTGTGTTTCTCGAGCGATCATCCAAGTGAGGGAGCGCAGCTGTTCAGGACGCAAAGGGAGTTTGTCCTCATCAAAGTTTGGAGGCTGCGAATGCTCTGAGTCGGACTTGTTACTGAGCAGTCTGAAAGGAGGGTTTTGGATCTTTACGGAAGAAGCGAAATCGGTATCCAGTCGCCAGCTTAGCACCGGTCGCTCCGAGCGATTCGCAGTAGGTAGTCGTGATAAAGCCCTGTGCAAGATAGAAGCAATGTTGAGCCCCACTTTCACAACGCCGACTTGGTTATCCATCTTCAACTGCGTGACGAAGGGACTCGGACGAAGCTTGAGGTCCCTCTCATACTGCCCAGCCTCCTGGCTGTCTTCAATAGCAGCTATTTTCTTGGCATTCTTGGTCCACTTGACAGCGGGAGGGGTGGGAGCACAACGTTGGCAGTGGAACAAGTCATCTGGGACTTTGACAGTCTGCCAATGACCGAAATTATCATCCACATGTCGTATACGTTCCAGCAGCCAAGCCAAGGCCTTGAAAGTGCCACGCTCGTGAATCTTGTCGACTTCTCTCCAATTGCCGCGAGGCCACTCTGGACCCGCATCTTCAGGAAGAGGTACGGTGCACGTTAGAAGGGCATTGGCACTTGCGCATGCGTCAGTCGTAACGCTGGCTTCAAGGGTACCTCCAGGCACAGCAAAAGACGCGTTCCCAAGCTCGAGGGGCTATAATTCGAGAGTGAGACAAAATTGAGAAGCAGGCAGGTTGTGTTAACATCGACTCACTTGAACCTTGACCAACTCCGAGTTCATCCAGTGAAGAGGGACATGACATTTGACGCGCTGTTCCCCCTGGACATCCGACTGCCTCCATGAAGGGTCGAGCTTACAGATTATGGGGCGGAACTCTCCGAAATCATATCGCCGCGTGCTCGACGTAAAGACGAATGGATCTTCTGCGGGATTTCCGCATCTTGTTGGATCCAGCATCATGAAAAGTGGCGGCAAAGAGGCATCATCATCACTAGGCAGCTTTTTGTGTAAAGCACCGTTGGCTGTCCCACACTTATCGAGGAGAACATACACTCCGGAAATATCGCGATCAAAATGAGATATTTGGGATTCGGGGATGGCGATATGAAGCTGTGAATGCACCTCCTTGTCCTTGAACTCGTCGTCTAGTAAGCCAAGACGAGCTTCCCAAGAAGGAACCGTGCCTCCGCTGCCCTCGATGGTAATTGCCACCTCACGTGCAACAGGAAGAGCAAACTGCCAAGATCCCTGCAGAAGATCCTTATTGCATCTGAATCTCGCAACGGGCATCTGGAGCAAACGACGGATCTCTGCATTCGCTGGCTCATTATCACTTGGCTTCGCGTAAAGGCGCCACTCTGTCTGTCTAGGTTCGAGGTATAACTCGAAAATAGCGTGAGGTGATTGGTAGACAGCAGACCAAATCTCTTGGCGTTTAGGTTCGACAAAGCGGAGCTCTGAATCAGTTGCCCTCAACACAGCGGAGGACCAGCTGTTCCAGCGTTTTTCCGGGATTGTGACACCTGAAGTTTCTCTAAGATTGTCAAGAAGCTTCTTGTCGACACCGGTAAGAGAGATGCACATAGGCAGAGTAGACTTCAGCCCCCGCACGAATGTCGAAGGACTAAGACGTGGCAACTGCAATGACATTAAGAGGCTCGAAATTGTGCTCGGGACGGCCTGCACATTTCTTGCAAGATGACGAGCCGCAATCTACGCAACACAAGAGGTCGCGCGTCGTGACGTCCTTGCGACCCTCGCATTGACAAAGACGGACACTCTTCTGTGCGTCCTCCAAAATACGGGTAATCGAGTCCGTTTGCGTGGCAGCCAGATCTAACGGTCTCTCCGCAAGGTCCTGGTATCCTTTGATGCGTTCTTCAAGACCAGTGGTGGCAGAGGGGCGGAGGTCAACATCCATAGCATGGTCGTTGTTCTTGTGACCGACATCCTTCTTCATCTCGTACGTCTCCGTGTCGTCACCGGCCTTGAGCAATTTCTGGCCAGCGACCAAAGCCGAGAGTATGCATGCACCAACAACAGTAGATGACATGGCATTTCCCGCAAGGTCAGCCAACTCGTCTTGACTTTCCCTCGTCAGAAGCAATTTATCAATGGGAAGCCCCTGCATGGCCAGTGCCTCAACACCGACCATGGGCCCACCGCGATTGGTGATGTATGGAATCATGGACGGGGTCAGACAAGGGCAGATGCCGGTCTTGCTCGATCCGGTTGAGCGATCGACATTTTGCGAAAGGTTCCACACGAGACTGTCAGTCAATTAGCCACTTAATGACATATACGAGACACGCTACGAACGTCTTGTATGATGGGTCAACACCGATTTTTGCAGAGCGAAGCAGACTGATATCCATTAAGTCCCAGACTCGTTCTACCTGTCGTATTCCCCAATCCTGCCATGCAAAATCGGGCAGTCTGCAAGTACCACCTGTTACAATGTCAACGAGGGTGAAAACCACAAAACCCAGTAGGGTGCTTACCTTCCTCCCAACTCGTTAGCGGTCGTTTCTGCCCCAATTTTTCATCTAACCTAGCACGTGCGTGGCGCGATTCACATCTGGTCCAGTCAGTGCGTCCAGCTCGAGGTTCCGAGCCACTGCCGTCTTGAACAAGTAGTTGCCTTGCTTGGTGGATGCGAGAATCGTCAGAAGGAAGAAGGAACGCGTCCAGTGTCGATGAAGCAGGCCGCTTCAACTTGTTCATCACTAAGTCTTTCCATTTTGCGGGTATGCCTGACCCTCTCTTGTCAACAGCAAACAGATACTTCCGCATCCGAGTATGCGGGATATAGTATTGCTTTGTATCCACCTTGATGTGCTCCGCGCTGTACCCCTGCTTCTCAAAATACTCTTTCACCCTGTCCCACGGCGCTGAGCAAACATTTTCCAGGATGACTAATGGGGGTCGGTGATTTGTGACCCAGGACATCATGCCATGGAAAGTGCGACCAGATTCTCCTCCGCCATCGATCGTCTTCTTCTCATTATTGAGGTTAGAGTAGTCCAACGCAAGATGTGCCTGCGACGAGAAGATCGGCGTCTCCCGGAACAGGGGCTAATGCGCCATAGGCTGTCGTTCTAAATAACACACAAATTCGTTCAGTAGATTGAACAAAAACAAGTATAGGGACAACACACGCTTGAGGGTCTCCCAGTTCGCACACATCTCTAAACAGTAGTGGCGGTTGGAAATTGCGTTCGATGTATGCTTGCTTGAATGGTTCGATCTCACAAGAAAATACGTACTCAAATTCAAGAGGAATGCCATGCTGCTCAAGCATAACCTGGCCAATGAGATCGAGAGCAAGCAGAGGTGATTCTGTGCCAGAACACATGGTAGCCACGCGTAGCTTTCGACCTTTGATATGCTCGGCGACACCCTTGATTTCTGGAAGACGAGACACCAGGTCACTGAACATGGCGGGAGTTTCGTAGATGGGTGGTAAGGTGGACGACTCGATTTACCGTCTGTCTTTGCGGAATGAGCGGGGAGATCATCATCAGATGCCTCTTCATCATCATCCTTGACTTTCTCCTTCTTAACCTCTTTCTAGGTACTTTCTTTACAGCGGCCTGAGGTTTTCCGCTGTCAGATGATGTCTCCTCTGTGGCAGCTTCATCGGCAGATTCCTTGGGCTCCTTCTTCCCACCAAAGAAGGAGGTGATGGCCTTCTGCTTGGTACCAGCTTTGGCCTTGACCATGATTGAAAAATGTGATGGAGGAAAAAGAAAACGAACACGTTGATTCAATATGACAAACGCGTCGCGTCAGGTTACGAACGCGTGCCGTAACATTTGTGACACTGTGACAGACTTACAGACCTCGGACCGAAGTCCACTGACTTGAAAATAACATGCAAACAGGCAACTTTACTATTACTAATGACCAGCTGGAGTGAATTTGAGGCAATCCCTCGCGAGTAGCCTATGTAACAATGTCTACAACGAAATGTCATTCGATGCAATGCAACTCGATAACAAACAAAAATTGGTACGAGACCAACACAGAGAGGGCTACGACTGACGAGTGGTCACGAAGAAATGTCCCACATCATCAGACGGGAGATAGCTTCCGTTGACTACGAAATTACCACAGGGTCAGCCAAGATGATATGAACGAGTGCTTGAGTAGTACGCACCCATCTCCATTCCCAAGCAACGCCTCAAATCTGGACCGGAACTCATCCACTCTTTTATCGAGCCCGTTCTCAGCAGTTCCGTATGTGTAGGCGTGATCTAGCTGGAACGCTCTGCAGTCTCGTAGAAATTGGTCAAGGGTCTTTCACCCGGGTGATTGAAAGTTCTGGTTCGCTTGAACCACGCATACGAGCGAGGTATGATGCGACTAGAGTAGCGAGCGCCCCTGAAATGAGTTAAACAATCAGGGATATGGAATATCATCATTATACGCGTCGCTTGCCAAGTATTACGGTCATGACGGCGGTCTGCGATGATTCATCAGTTGAAGACATAACAAGTTCCTCGGGTTATTCACCTGTTTTCCAACTGCGACAGCAGACAAACCAGTAGTCAGGCTGCCGAGAAGAACCTGCAGGCCGATGGCAATGTTAATGCATAACCTACCCGCCTCGCTAAAGGTACAATTAGGCAGCCAAATCTATCTCAACTCGAACAGGCGAGGAACGTAAAAATGCACCTTTGGTTGCGTACTTGGCTCTTTCACGTTCAGCTGCATCGATAGTTGGCTGTAGGCGCTCCCCGACGGTGCGGTTGGGCTGGAAGATAGAGAGTTGAGGATATGTCACTTAGAAAAGAGTGATCCAAGCTCGCCTGCAAGGTAGTCTTTGGAACCAAGTCAGTTGGGAGACTGGGATACTCCTGTGCCAACAAAGTTGCCCTCCGAGGGAGAAAATCTCTGCCCTACTCGTTCCACGCGCGAGGTGGTCAAATTCTCCCGAAAAGGTTGGAGCACCGTGCCTTGAGCACCTATCAGGATACGGGCCATCTGTGTTCGACGATAAGTGCCTTTGTAATGTCTGAAGAGCAGGGTCCGAAGTAGATCTTGTTGCCGGAGGTGTGGGGTCCACCTGCGAACTAGAGCCAGCGCCAGACTCCGAGTCTACGGCTTGCGTGTGCTCGACGTACGAGAGAGGTTTAGTGGATACGGGTGTGACAGTAGACCCGGATGTAGATTTCGCGACTTGTCCAGGCGCTAACGTAGCAGTCTCTGTCCTAGACTCTTCGGTAGCTTCGCGAGTTAGAGAACTCGAATCCGTCAGGGTCACAGGGACAACAGAACTTCTGGTCGCTGGATCCATAGTAAACCGTGTAAAATGAACCACTTAGCTCTCGTAGTAGTACTTAGCAGTAGAGCCGGGTGCTAGCGGTGAGCTCTGCCAGGCTGGCTCGCACCCGGCACGTTGTAGATTGGAATGCATTGTGCATGGAACTCAAACTGCCTCGCCGGAAATTAGACTGGTGACTCGTCTGTTCGGCTTGCCTCATGATAGCCTGAGACGGAATGGTGACGAGAGTCTGGCGTGCTCGGAAATGGACAGGTTTCGCTCGCTCGACTTGCAGTCATACTTGAGTTAAAGTCGTGTCGGCCATACTAGTAGGTCTACTAGTAGTACGGTGTTTATACTAATAGCACCCGCGCTGTTTATGTATTAGATATCAGGAATCAGGATAAAATAACTATATTTTGCCAATGTTCGTGTATACATGCAAAGTGCGACCGATTAGCTATTTGCGTAGTTTACGAATGCAGTCCCCCCTCCTCATCCAGGCAGACTTTGAATTACTCCCAATACCCTCGGCATTTTGTGTTCACTTTCACCAGTGACATCTAAGAAATCCGAGGGACGATCCCGCTTCAAGTTCCGACGGCGATTGTTGACGGGCAACCGTTGATAAGCAGAGTCATGGCCAGCGGGTTGTTGGCTCGGGAACTGATTAGTCCACTGCTGACCTTGCATCCCGTAGGCCATGGGATTGGCGTTTTGCTGTTGCTGTTGCTGTTGCTGTTGTTGCTGCTGCTGCTGCTGAAGACTGGTCGCAACAGCGAGGGTTGCGGCAATGGCCTGAGCTTGTTGTAACTGCATCTGGAGTTGCTGATACTTGATTTCTGTGGTCTGCCGCACTTGATTTGGTAGGGATGGATTTTGAAGCATGATTGATATTTGAGAAATCTGAGCTTGAAGGGATGGGATGTTGTCAACGATCATTTGGGACATATCCATGCTAGGTTGCTGATCTGAGTAGAAGTCGTCATTTATGGAGTTATCCGCATCAGTAGCCTATCCGAATACGTTCATTTTCTAAACACAACAACGTCTGAACAGTCAACATACCTGGCCGTTAGAAAGGAAATGTGCAGAGCTCTCTTCGCTTTCTTTTCTGCTCTCTTCCATAACCTTATCGATATAGTCAGCGACCCTCGTTCGCATTGGCTTATCCATGACAACTTTGTCGAGTGAAGCTATCTTCTTGCCACACTTGGGGCAGGTAAAATCGCGCTCAAGTAAGTGTGTCTGGATACATTCCTCGCAAAATGAAGTACCACAGCAAGGCGTCTTGACAGCGTCACGGAACAATCTGTTGTCTATAGGACAGGCAAGGGAAGCATCGGTTGGAGGGCGTTCCCGAACGTCAGCAGCAGTCAAACCCTTCGGACGGGATAATTGCTTCTGCCAAGAAGCCCTGCTGGCGAGTTAACATGCATCCTATCATAGAACGAACCAAAAACCCACAAGTCAGGCTGGGCAACAACATAACCACCTTCTGGTGTGACCATCACACCTTGGGTGATCTCGCCCTTGTTCGGATTTTCAACAGCTTTCAGAAAACTTCGTGGAATACCAGTAGTCCTTTTGATTCGAGGCTTGTTATCGAACTCACGATCGCTATTCGTAGGACAATCTTGTATCCAATGACCTGTGAGAGGTTTACGTGTAAGATTGAAGTCCACAATTACGCAACGACCGACCTTTCTGCCCACATCGGTAACACACATAGCTAGGAGGCAACGGTCGTTCTGGCTGGGGACGTTGGTGAGTAAATGGTTTCCCACCACGACCAGATGTTCCCCTGGGATTGTTATATATGGGCACAGCGCTGTTTACACCCAATAAATGGGCACAGGAAAAGCAAAATCACGTTCATGAGACTCGTTCTACTACTAAGACAAAAAGCGCGATGACGCGATACCAACTGAGACATCTTTTCCTGGGTTTCCTCCCAGTTAGCAGTCTGGGCCTGGAACATAGCAGCCATCGCGGCTGCCTCGTCGTCCTTTGTGACGGCGTTTTTAGGAATAGAGGTTGACTGCATTGAGTGTAAGACTCGCTCTCGAGCGAGGTGGGCATGTTTCATATGACAACTACGCACGCCAGCTGATTTTGGTGTAGATGATTCCTCTTTGATGTCGAAACGCTTCGACATCGCACCCTTGTGCCATAAAACACCACTTCCACCAGGTCTCTGGATAATATCAGAAGTAGGAGTGTGGGTACCACCGTTGGTACCACTAAGGTACATGGCTGCCTTGCCCTTTCCTGGGCGCGATGAAGGGAGACGCTTCACAATGACAGACGAAGAACGAGGAATGATCTGAGAATCATCTTTATACTCTGAAATGCACATGAAGTCTCAGATGTGGATGATGCATTTACTACGCACCTTGCTGCGCCGAAGCATCATATACATATAGGTCGAAGTCATTTGCCTTACCCAAGTTATTGGCCAATATAATATCCTTTTTTCAGGTCAAAAACGGAGATCCCGGTGCCGTCAAAGGTCACCCGAGACTCATCCTTCTGGGACTTGAACTTGTAGAAAACTGAAGAAGCCATGAAGAGGCAAAGAATGGATTGTTGGACGGCTGCTACGATATACACGACAATGAAATCAACGCAAAACTGACCAACACGTTGACTACAGACAGATGAAGCGGGCACACGTCGTCTGGTCTCGCCTGGGTAGAAGATGATGAGCGTTTATACGAGAAACGTGGCTAACGTGGGTAGGAGATCAAAAATAAAGTTTAAACGGAGATTAAAGTATATGGCTAACTCCGCGAATGTAATTATTAATATCTTAGTCATCAAAATTCAGTCTCGTTCCACTTTGGTGTACAGGTTGATACTTTGCAAAATGGTTCAGTCTTACGGCGGCACAGGGAACGAGTTGAGACAGCGCAGTGTCGACACGTCTGCAAAGCCACTGACGACCACCGATGAAGGCCGCAAAGTAGACCAATTGCTCGACGAGCATCAAACGTAAGTTTTGCCTCAATCGCGTATATTTGCTACTTCACATTCTTAGGTATGAATTCGGTGGACCTGCAGGGGTGACTGCAATGATGGTCGGTTTCCCTATGCTCATGTATTATCTCTGGATCTGTTTGTGGTTTTATGACGGTAAACTTGTGTACCCCACATCATCTGAGGACATTGTTCCGTTCCTTGGGAGGATGTGGGCACACATTCGCGACGTATGTACTCGCAAAGGTTTGGGCTTCTTCTTGACCTCAGCTGGTTACAGGACGCAAGCCCCAATGCATACGCTTGGAAAGTCTATACCGGTCTTGTGGTTTATCAGCTCTTCCTCGCATTGGTCATGCCAGGGTACCAACAAGAAGGTCTTCCTGTACCTTCTCTTGGGTACAAGACCCTCATGTATAACTGCAATGCGCTCTACTCTCTTTACGCAACCATGCTGACTGCTGCTGCTCTGCACTACTACCATATTTTCCGTCTCACCGAAATTATCGACAATTATGGCCACATCATGTCCGTCGCCATGATTTACGGGTTTGCTGTGTCCTTCGGCGTGTATTTCATTACAGTTGCAGCCGGGAACGAGATCCGTATGTCTGGGAACTTGATCTATGACGTCTTCATGGGTGCTTGTTTGAACCCCGTATCGGCTCTGTTGATCTGAAGATGTGGGCCGAGGTCCGGATTCCTTGGGTAATCGTTTTTTTCTTGGCCGTGTCCGGAGGCTGCCACCAGTATGAACAGTATGGTTATGTCACCCCTGTGCGTCCCTTTTTTGGAGCTCCAGTCACGCAATAGCCTACAAAGATGTAGAACATGGCATTCATGATTCTTGCAACATGGCTCTACCTTAATGCATGGTGTGTCTCAACGTGAAAATTTGGAACTTTCTTTCCTGATTCCGTTCTCAGCGCGAAGGGCGAAGAGTGTATCCCCCAAACGTGGGATATGTATCATGAGAAGTGGGTAGACATTCTTATGCTCGTTTATCTGATTGACATTTTCTTCAGATGGGGCTTCATGGTCATCTTCTGGAATTTTGCTGGCGTCCCCTTCGTACGCAACTCCTACCACGTTTCAACTTTTGCTGATCCGTGGCTTTGTAGACATACGTATACTCTGTGGTATACATGGCATCGCACGATCCCTCTAACTATCAATTCTCTACACCTACATACGTCGTTCTTTTCGTCATTCTACTGACAGCATACTACATGTACGACTTTACGATTTTGTTTTCCTCACATAGCTGACATCCATCCTCGTAGTTGGGATACCTCAATGTCGCAAAAGAGTCGCTTCAAAATGCAAACACAGGGCATCACAACTTTCCGCAACACATTCCCGCAACTTCCAGGGGGAACCCTAAAGAATCCCGAGTTTATCCAGACAACACATGGGCAAGTCTTTCGGCGATTTTCAACTTGTCAACTCTCTTACCCTGCAATTTCAGAAACCGCCTTCTCATCAGTGGCTGGTGGAGATACTCTCGCAAACCTGTAGGCTAGATCCATAATAATATAATGTTTTTGATCTGCTAACCTCGTTACTCTTTGGCAGAACTATGTCGCCGACTGGACCATGAGCTTCTGCTGGGGTGCCGTTATTGGAAGTGCAACCATCATCCCTTACTTCTACTCCGTTTTCTTCATCACAGTACTGATCCACCGCTGTGGACGTGACTTTGAACGCTGCTCAATCAAGTATGGCAAAGACTGGGAGCAATATTGTTCCGTCGTTAAATACAAATTCATACCCGGGATCTACTAATCTATCAAGCTTTCGTCCATTTATACCTGTTTTCTGCTATTTATGTTTCTTCCGTTGCATATAGAATACCTTCGCAATCTAGTACCATGGACCTTCTTGGAGCCGTTCCTTGTGAAGACTGACAACATTCGATGAGCAATGCAAGGGAAACTCGAATCAGACCACACGGCCCACAATGACGTTCTCTTCCAATACGAATAAAATTAAAATATGCACTACCGCGCGCGGCCGCGACCCTCCCTGTTTTTGGTACTTATCTAAGGAATAAAAGAATAAAAGGCGTACGAAGCCATAACCCCAAGCATACCGTCGATCCCACCTATTTTTGTTGTTTTGACCTGTCTGCTGTCTCCTGAGAAGAAAAGAAGAAACGAAACGAAAAGAAAAGGAATAAGGCTTGTCGTTCTCAGAAGAGAAGAAAAAGAAAACCAGAGAGAACGATCAAAAGAAAAGAAAAAGACGACGAGATCGTGTCAAAGATGAAATAGCGACCCTGAACTTCAGATGAGCAGAGACATTCAAAGAGGAATAGAGATGATCACTTACAGGTTTGTCTCACAGCGACGCCGTCCGTTTTTTGCCACGTCATCGGGATGGACTGGAATCTTGAAGGGATCCACATTGCGACGTCGAGGCTGAATTTCCGGAGGGCTGCGAATGGGACTAGGAGCGTACATGCGGACCACTGAAAGCATCGAGTAGAGGGTAGCTAACCCATTGCCTTCTCCTATTACGTTCTCGCTCGGTTCCAAGAGTAAGTCCACGCCACCATCACCGAAGGTTGACGACGTGGAGACATCAAAGGTGTCACTGGGAAGATCTCGTGGGGATGGCTTAGAGACAGGAGGATTCTCTGGTGGGCACGAAAGCATCCTACGGGCGTGCTGTGAAGTGACGCCATCAACCTTGTGAACGGAGGTGGGTGGCGAAGAGGAAGTGCCGGTAGCGACAACAGGAGGCTGCGCTTTCTCATTCTTCACGATCTCTTGAGTGACGAGTGGGGATGCTTGGTGTAATACTTGAGGTCCGTTCCGCGACAAGCGCTTGCTGCGGCTTCGAAAAATGCTACCTTGAGCCTTCGGTGGGGTACTGTGACGTAGTTCGATGTGCTCCTGAGCTTGTTGGGATGTAATCTCCATTGTCTGGAGCTTGAAAATATAAGTACAAACTACAAAAGGCGTAGACGTTTGCGTACCTTGCGCTCCATAATCGCCTGTGCATTGTTCGCAAGGTCCAGCTGAATATGCACCTTCTGGAGCGTAGTACGTTGCTCTGCGAAATCCCTATCAATGAGGGTCTCGATCGAGTTGGCCTGCCCCGCATTCTCCCTGAAGAGCATGAGTGTTTCATCCAGATGATCTCTGTGGTTATGCGCCGACTGTATGCGTTCAAGCTTGAGCTGCTCTTCAACCCTTAGAAGTTGCTCGTGTTCCGCCTCGTAACGTTCCCTGGCTCGAGAAGCTGACGCGGTGGTCTCCTCGAGTTGGGTCTCAAGTTCCCAGATTTGTTGCTGTGAGCGTGCTTTTTCCTGCTGGTGTTCGACAATAAGTGCGTCGTGCTCGGAGAGTAGACGCTGAGCTTGCAATTCGACGCTGTTGAGCAAGAAAGCATTCGAGTTCGCCATGCGAGTACTGCGCTTGAGCTCGCGAGAGAGCGTATCACGTTCCGAAGTAAGAGCAGCGATTTGATCCTGATACGCTGCGAACTCCGTCTGGTGGCCGTGGCAAGCTTGGGAAGGACACTGTTCATCTTTCTTGCGACGAGCATCCTTCATTTCAGAAATGATCGCCTGTGTCTTGGCTCCACGCTTTCGCACATCTGCCAATAAGCCTCGAATATCCCGGAACGCTGTGAACTCCTGGTGGCCGTCACAAGCTTGGGAGGGCTGTTGTTCATCCTTCTTGCGACGAACGTCCTTCAGTTCCGAAATTGTAGCAAGTGTCCTGTCTCGCGCATCTGCCAGTACGTTCCGAATCCTGCGATGTGGCGCTAGATTTGGCCCGGAAGCGAAGGGATCGTCGTCCTTCAAGTTGCGGCGCTCGGATGCATCATGAGCAACATTGCGTTGTCGCTTGACTGGGTTTTCCCGTCGCTCTGGCTCCTGCTTCGTCGTTGAGTTCCTTTTGACAGCCACTACTGGCTCCGTTGGCTGAGGTTGCGACTGGTGTTCCGCGATGACTTGAACCTCCATCACCCAGCCTTGGGAACCAGTGTCCGCTTGAGATGCACTTTCGAGATTTCTGGCACCGGTCTTGTGAGCGACAGTCTCAACCAGAGGATTGGATATCTCCAAGCCCCCCGGGAGCCCGACGGGTTCATCCTGGTCGAAGAGCTTTGACTGGAGCTTGATGCCCCGAGCACTTTGTCGCATATTCAGCTCGTTCATGTCGCGCAACTTGCAGTCGTAGGACTGGATGGTCTCGGACATCTCGGACTGCATCGCTTTGCGGTCAATGTCGAGCTGTTCTTGAACTGCACGGCTATGGCGTTGCACCTTATCGAGGGTTTGGGGAGTAGCCTTCTGTTCCTTGCTGACAGCGACGAGCGAAGTACGCAAACCCCTCTTTGTTGTTCTTGACTTCTGCGTCTCCGTGCGGTCGAGTTGTGTTAGAAGGCAACGGAGGATGTGAGGCTTTGTTGCAAGAGAGTCGACGTTAGTGGCAGGGTCAACCTCCGGATGCGACTCGGCAGTGTCACGGTGGGTAGCTGGTTTGGCGCGGAAGATGGCTCGATCGACGAAGCTTGGAAAAAAGGAGCGAACTTTGCCCTTGCGCTGACCTTCGGCTGGATTAGGCGGTCTGAACTGGTCATATGAGGGAACACATGGCACGCTGTGTTGTTGCATATCGGCAGGCATAGTGGAATGAATAAAGATGTTGAAGGTATCGTTATGCTGGATGCGTAATAAACGTGAAGCAACGATAAAAGACGGACTGAAGAGAGGACAGGTGGGTGACGAGCCTTGCCGCCCTTTTGTAGAAACTTTGGAGGCTGACTGAGGCTGACATGTCCAGGAGTGAGACCTGAGTCTAGTCTGGTCTGGCTGCCACAGAACTGTTTACGTGACTGCCAGAAAAGACTGCTCACGTACATTGGAATGGGAGCAAAATCATTAAACTTTGAGTGCTGGTTAACGGTTACTAGCACTATTCGTAAGGACATAACAAGGAGTGCGTCGAGTCGCAACAATGTCTCGATGATTTCTGCGATGCTGCAGCACATAGTCGCAGATAATTACAAGCTGGAAACCAACGCAAGAGCGGGCCTGTGTGGACTTTCTAGCTAGACCAATTGACGTCTTGCATAAATTCCGAAAGAAAAGAGGCTGTTGAATACAACGCAACTTGAAGGAGTCGAAGGACTGGACGCGAAATCATGATGAGAACGGTCAAGCTCGCATGTGAGCACTGCACTATATTAGCTCGCAACTATGAAAGGGCCTATCAGTAGACGACTGGATCATCTATCACAAGCATCATGAACAACCAACCTGTGACTTGATACTTTTCGTGGTCTAGGCACCGCAATATTAATGAATCCGAAAGGTACTTGCCGAATAAGGACACGTTCGCTCTCACCGAGAAGCCTTCAAAGTACCCAAGTCGCCAGCTCACCTGTACGTTGGTTTGCTTTCAAGCGATGGAAGGTAACAAAGACGAAGCCATCAAATGTCTTTCAATCGCACAAAAATACAAGGATGCTGGTAACCTCCCTTCAGCCCGCAAATTTTGCCAAAAATCTATAAACCTGTTCTCCACGCCCGAGGCTGCAAAGCTTCTTGAGTCTATCGAGACCGCAGAGGCATCTGGATCGTCTTCCTCGTCAGCTGGTTCAGGCCCTTCGACGTCAAATGGCAATGCGCAGGCTTCGTCGTCGTCTACAGAGACACACCCATCCGCTTCTGGTGCTAAGCATCGGAGTACGGGCAGTGCGAATGGCACTGCTGGAGGGATGGGAGGAGAGAAACGGGAATTCACTGCTGAGCAGTTGAAAGTTGTGAAACGGGTGAAGGCTTGCAAGGCTACGGAGTACTATGAAATCTTGTCCGTCAAGAAGGATTGCGAGGAGGCTGAGATAAAGAAGGCATACAGAAAGGTACATTAGCATACATGATCTCGCGTGCTGACCGATATACATTCTAATACTGTGATACATCATAGCTTGCCCTTGCGCTACATCCTGACAAGAACGGTGCTCCTGGAGCAGATGAAGCATTCAAGAGTACGTCTAGTATTGTCATCATGTGCGCGAAGTGTCTGATACGAACTCACCGCAGTGGTCTCCAAAGCATTCCAAGTGCTTTCAGGTATGCTTGATTTATTCAATGCGCTGGGCGGCTCTGACATTCACTCAGACTCCCAGAAGCGAGCAATTTACGACCAATCTGGGTCGGATCCAGAATCGCGTTCTGGTGGCATGTCCTCGCGTGGGCCCGGCTTCTCTGCAAGCCCATTCGGTGGCGAAGGCGAGATGAGTCCAGAGGATCTTTTCAACATGTTCTTCGGAGGAGGCGGTATGGCGATGAACGGTGGATTTGGAGGCGGTCCTTTCGGTGGCGGTCCAGTATTCACTGCATCGTTTGGCCCAGGAGGCTTCCGGACGCCACGTATGCGTACGAATATGGGGGGCGCACAAGCACAGCAGCAGGGTGAAGGGGCGCAGGGTCGCTCGCTGCTTATGCAGCTCCTGCCCCTCATATTACTTATTGCGTTCTCATTCCTCAGTGCAATTCCGGACATGTTCTCTACGTCGATACCCGAACCGCGGTATTCCTTTTCACCAACAACACGTTTCAATACTGAACGGCAAACGAGTGGACTTGGCATAAAATACCATGTTAATGAACACGAGTTCAAGAACCATCGGCAGATTGCAGCTGACATTGCTGGGGGTGCCCATCGACGCGGATCGGCTCTGTCAAGATTTGAAGGGCAAGTGGAACAGGTTTACACCAATAATCTCTATGGCGATTGCCAGCGTGCAGTTGATAGGCGGCAACGGAGGAGAGATGCAGAAGTCGGTTTATTCGGTGTTGGCACGGACTGGGAGAAGGTGAAGGCAATCGAGGCGGAGAAAATAGATAGCTGCGAAGAACTGAAGCGTCTGGGCGTCATAAAGTCGTGAAGACTGGGTGAACGCCTTGGATTACCCTTGGACTTGCACACTGTTGGCTTAATTACCTGTTCGATTATCCATCGTACCCCCCGCCAACTTGGTCACCCTATGCTTTATTTATACCAATGATGTCGTCTTCGCTTTCTCTGTACTCGCGCGATGCCATCCGGACTTGCACCTATCTCAGGGTGATGACGTAAGGCAAAGCAAGTAGTTTGCTTCCGAAGTTCCGGTCACACAGGCTCAGCTAGTAGGATTAGTAAAAGTAAGAACTCGCAAGCACTTCTGAATTATATTCTGACTCTTGTCTAGCTGAGTATCAGCTTTCAGGTGTGGGATGAGCGCAGGGACGTCAGATATCCTAGCACCAGAGCAGGAACCCGCAGAACTCGCACGTTTCAGAGAGCAATGGAAGGCAGAGGTCAGGGAACGGCGGGCTGCCGCTACGTCGGGCGCGCAAACTCAACCTGTTCCCGGTGCCAACACTGCTGCAGAACGTGCCATTTCCCCGGCTCGGAGCGATGCCAGCTCGAAACCCGCTATCACTAACACACTCTCAGCATCTCGGGGGCCTGCAACCCATGTCGTCGCAGGTGCGCCTACCGTCATAACGCACGCATCTCACGGCCAATCTCATCTCAGTCCCAATCTGGCTCATGCCGTCGAGGTCTATCGCAAAGCAGTTTTCCACGAGCAGCACAGCCAGCTAGACGAGGCTCTCCGGCTCTATCGCCAGGCATTCCGTCTCGATGCGAACGTCGATCGTGCGTACTTCATAGAAGAACAACGCACACAGGAACGTTCTGCCATTCAGCCAGCCAGTCACAAGAAGGTTCCATCCACTGTTTCTGTAAATGGAGTTACACGGGATGTGCAGAAGCTCGAAGTGCAGGATAGCAAGAATAGATCCTTCGTGGCGTCAGGTTTTCTAGCACAAGTGCTCAAGAACTTTCCTGAGAATCTTGTCTTTGAGCCGGAGGATGAGAAGGAGGGACTACCCCCCATTAATCTCATCCCTGACGAGCTTCTACTCCAAATCCTCCGAATTCTTGACTATACCACGATTGAGCGGTTTGCGGCTGTCAGTCGTAAAGCACGAGTGCTCAGTTTGGATTCTGCGATTTGGAGGTATGGTGCTCGTCTCCTGCATGTACTTTGCGTCATAAATATTTGCAACAGAGATTTTGTCCAATTGGCATATAAGCCTCCCCAGATTGCTGATGATGAGTCTATAACGAATATTGTGGAACTGTACAGTTCGGACTACCGGAGAGCTTATATCGAACATCCCCGCTTGCGGTTGGATGGAGTTTACATTGCTGTTTGCCATTACATGTAAGCCATGCTTTCGGAGATGTGTTATCTCCACTGTCTTACAAAAATCATAGGCGGATGGGCTCTAGCGAGAACGCTTGGGTAAACGTACGTAGTAGAGAACTCCCCAACATTTTCGACGTGCTGAGTTTATCACTCCCTTGTAGGTAACTCACCTCATCACATACCATCGATACCTGTAAGTCTTGTGCCTGAGCGATCTCTTACACTCGCTGACAGTATTACAGCCGATTCTTCCCCAACGGACAGGTGCTATCCCTACTCGCTAACGATGAATGGCAGCCCCAGACCGTCATTCCAATGCTCAAGCCGAGCCTGCGCATGAAGGTACGCGCATCCTCAGCTTACCTCAACCCTAAACTCAACCACATCCATCTCAGGGTTTCTACATCGGTAACTGGTCCCTGTCCGGTAGCACTGTCTACATCACGAACCTTGACGAGAAGCACCCTTCGCATGCGCACGCCACTACAGAATTACAGCCGAACAAGTATTTTTTCCAGATGACACTCGCGTTGCGTTCACGTCCCCTCGGGCGGTGGAACAAGCTCGATTTTATTGGGTATGATTCAGTCAATGTGGAGGATGGGGAGGCGGTACCGCTACCGCTGAAGAACGAGCGGTCGTTTTGGTTTTCGAAGGTGAAGAGCTGGGCGGGGTATTAGAATGGGTTGATATACGAGTATGTGTTAGATGAGCACTGGAGATTTATCATTCACGAGACCTAGTATATGCGTTGTAACATTTATACATTCGATGAATCGACATGTACGCGTAAAGTCACCATTCGTAAGCTAAACATCATAGCAATTCAATAGCAAGTCGTAACTAAACCCTGGCCAGGATAACAAGAAATAGAAAACTGCTACAAAACGTTTGCGGACATAATGAACATGAGGATATAATCATGATGCAATACAGTAAACTTGTTCCGCGACTAATGACTCTTTATGTGCGACCGTTCTGAATCGTGATTGATGAAATGTGAAAAAGTGCAAAATGTAAAAATAATTCAGGTATGCATGGGTATCCGTTCCTTGTTCAAGCCTACATGCCTGCCTGACGGTTGAGCATGTAGAGCTGCAAATCTTGCCAGCCTGCAAAATTTATGTTAACACCTTGCACTGATAGAAGAATAGAACAGGCACTCGCCTCCTCCAACCCGACACATAACCTTCTTCGACATCCCACCCCCCCTTGCCCCGGAGCGCGTCAGCGTCGTCAGTTTGCAAGTCACCACTTTCCGGCTCAAACTATTCGAAATCGCATACGACGCCCTAATCTCCTCTCCCTCCTTCGGCGGCGCCTTGAGCGGGGGATCCACACGCTCAATCAGTAGCCCGTGCGGAATCGCATTCACAATCGCCGCCACCTCCACGTCGAGTGGGTCCTTGTCACTCGCGGGGACGTACAAGTGTAACGGGTCGCGCTCCATGGGTGTGTACGACCCTGAACGCGACCCCGGACGCGAGTTGGGCGTCCGGGTCGTCGACGAATCGCGGAACGATGAAGGAGGGAGCTTCCCTGCGACAGTCTGCCGCGCAGATGTACGTATCCCGCTGTTTCCTGCGCCCCCGTAAAACTGGACCTGTTGAGCTTTTGCTTTCAATTGCGACTCGGGCGTCTGTGCCCTGAGAAGAGACCCTGGGGTAAGTGGGCTTTGGGGGCGGTAGAAGGACGTCGTTGACGAGGGACGCGACTCGGAGGAGACGTGCACGCTGGGAAGGGGTATCTGCGACCGGCTTGGAGGGCGCGGTGGGGGTATGCGTATGCCGCTCTGGGTATGTGAACGGAAAGTGCTGGGAGATGTATTAGTATGCGGAGGAGAAAATGCGCGCTGCATAAGAGTCGTGAGCTCTTCCTCGTCGTCAGTATCAGGCTGCCGCATAGACACGGGGCGCCAGTGTAGCGCAGGGGCTGGAATTTGACTCGGGGTCTTGGGCCGTGGGCGTGGTGTCGTCCCAAGGCTGGGCGTTTGAGCTCGTGATGGTGGACGTAGAGGTGGAAGAGGAGGTATAGAAGGGTTCGTAGATACAGATGAAGTTACAGGAGACCAAGGCCGTGAAGACGCATTTGAACAACGGCTGAGGCTCCTTCGTGAAGGTGTGCCCGGCACAAGAGGGGCATATTCCGGGGTGAGGATAGACTTTGTGTTTGGCCGCTTTGGAGGAGTGGGCTTGATGGTCGCCGCAGGATCCGGCACCTCTACCTTTGTTGAGCTGTTCCACGGCTGTTTAGACATTTTCAGTTTCATAGTTGAATTTGGGTCGTCGATACGGTCAAGACGTTTGGAGGCGGGGGAGGACTCGGGTGTGAGGCTGTGGCTATATTTGTGTCCTTTCTCTGGTGTAAGTGGGGCACCACTAGTAGACCGATTGAATGCGAATATAGAGGTGCGTTGTCGTCGTAGTGTCTTAACCGGCTCCGATGACGGACCCTGTGATTGTGAAGAGTCTCTTGACACCGAAGACAATTCTCGTGATACAGGCAAGGGAGTGACGGGGGCCGGAGGCGACCGTACATGACCAGCGATCTTCCTTGCAAACTTCCTCAGTGGTGATATGCTCCGCGAAAGAGTGCTCGTAGAACTTGTTGCTCGGCTGGGTGCACGGCCTTTCGAAGAGGGCGTTGCAAGATACCCATTTGCTGTGGAACCTGTTTCGCTTCGAGCCACATCAACACCCGTGAGGATCTTTCGCACAGCTTCCATCTCTTTCTCCGTCTTGGCCATTCGCTCCTTGAGGATCCGCCACCTCTTAGCGGATTCTCCATGTCGTCGGAGTGTCTCCCCGTTCTTTGTGACACGATTCTGCACCCCATTGTCAATGATCGCAAGTACTTTGGACGTGGCCGGGACGTAGTGCCTAGAAGAAGTGTGAGTGACGAAGTCGTAAGGCAAAAGGAGAAAATCCACTTCTTCTTTGCTTCGAACGAGCTGAGCAACTCATTGAATACCTCGATGCTCAGGGGATTCTTGTCTGAACTAACTGAGCCCCTGTATGAGGACTGCGAGAATGAATCATCTGCACCTCCTCGGTGTACCTGCCAAATAAAATCCTGCGCGGTGTTTGCGAAGATGATACAGATATTAAGAACACAAGGACACACCTGACAACGATTGACTGCCTTCTCCAAGCTTCCCATCATTCCGTCCGCCTGTTCTGTGACGGTTCTGAACACAGTGAGCCACTTATCCTCTTTCAGCTCCTCCCTGAGAACATCTGTGTCATTCTGCACGGTTTCCCACTCGATGACGAGTACTGCATGCTTGCGGACCAGTGCAGCTTGTTCGGAGTCGGGGGTACCATTGGGCTGGTTCTGGAAGGGGGCAACAGATTCAGACACGGATTTCATGCCATGGGCGACAGCCTCAAGGCGTTCGTCGAGAGTCATAAGAGCCTTGTCGATGACGACGGTAGTGGCGGCTGCATCACCTGAAGATTGAGACTTATGTCGTAGTTCCTGTATTTCTGAGGATTGTGTGGGTAAGAAACGGATGGGACTAAGAAGTCGCGTACCAAATATACGCGTCTGGATGTCCGATATACTATACGAGAGTTCGGTGATGTGTGTAGAAATGGCGAGAAGACGGATGTCTCTGCCACGCGCGTGTTATGTCACGAGCCAGAATGAAAGAGATTGAAAGAGAACTCACTCGTGGCTCTTTCCCTTCCCCTTGCTTCTCGCGAGCAATGAACGCGACGCGGTAATGGTGAGATTTTCTGTTCTGCCGTAAATACCTGCCTCGAGGCAGCAGACTGAAGAACGGAATGACGCACCTTCATCTGCGTGATTCAAAGAGTCACTGGATGAAGAAGAACTTGATGATGGTGTTGGAGACGGACGAAGAGAATGGTACTGAGAGAACGGGGTAGAGTCGGAGGTGGACATGGACAAGGCTGGTGAAAGAAGGGTAGCCATTTCTAATGCGAACAGTTATATAAACTTCTAATGTGAACTGCAGCTATTGACTGTTAGGTCGATGGACCGCGGTTGGAGGACCCGCCCAGCCAGGTGTAAGCTCTTGAAGGCTAGCGAATAATTCCGAGTCAAGAACAAAGCTTAAGCCTCGCCCTTGACTACACGGTGACCGATGACTTATCTCTGCCGTTATTGGGCTCTTGAATTTTCGTGAATAATGTGCAGCCAGTATCGTAATTATGATGTGATCGTAGTCTGTCGTAGAGCGATGTTTTGTAAACAATCCTTCATATAAGCTTCATATTTGTAGTTATCGATACCATTAATAACGGAATAGCCTATGGCAACCTATTCTAGTCACGGCCCGCGAATTCACTAACCCATAGCGCCATTAACATCGTGTTACCTGCCTGGCGCATCAGGCTGAGCTGAGCGCTGAGCACTGAATAATAGGGGGTGAGCAATCATTGTTGCAATCGTCGTCGTCGACAATTGACCAACTTTTCATGCAGAAATATAATAATACTTCAACTAGTTCCGACCCGCACCCAGTCTGGACAGAGGTCGTTCCTTTCCTTTTGCTCCTGACAATACCGCTTGTCACTTCAATTGTGGCAGAACTTGACGATAATCATGTCGACGCCATCGAACGTTATGAGACAGCAAAGTCTATCAACAAATTAGAAATTATGAGCTCTGCCACTGGCCTTCATATTTTCCACCTCGACGGTCTATTTAAAGATTCTTACTTTTTGCGAGATCAACATGCTACACTCTCGATTTCATGAAGGATTGTATGTCTGGCGACGAGGTATGCATCCAAATTATCCCATGTATGTTTAGTGACTCGGAAGTCCTCGTAGGCAGATTCGTGCCATTCCCTAGCGTCACAGAGAGACATTCAATCGCCTTGCGCCTCCGTGATTATTTTCTGCTCAAGCTCGATGACACACTTGACAGCAGCCAATGAATCCACTGGCATCCCGGGCCTGCATCAGGTTTGCCTCAAACTTATCAAGAAGCATCGTCATGTATCAGTAAGTAGCCTGTTAATGGACCTAGAGCATTACTAAACAATGTAATTTAATTTCACTTTTGCTCAGTGCAGATGCAACAAGGGTGCCGCTCAATCATCAGCCAAATTCTTCTTGCTGCTGTAGTCTATGCACAGACAAAGTTCGACGAGACGAGGAATGACTTATCTGACTTGGATATATATGCATCGAACCTCCTCATTGCGATCTCTGATCGACTCCAGATTCCACCTACTCGGTTCACATGCGACCAACAATCCTATGTCTTTGAGGGATGTCTTGATTATGGTGTAAGGTTTATACACCCTCGTCGCAGTGGTGCGCAGTTTTCCATACCTGTAGTTCCATTGCACCAACGGATCTCGATTGTTAGGTTGGCTCTTTCATGGCTGCACGAAACTCAAGCTGTCAGATGTACTGTCGGTATTCAAGAGTTCAAGGGTTGGGCTGGCCTGGAAGATGCAGAAGCGCGGCTTAAAATACAAATTTTGGCTATCTTGGAGTCGACGCTAGTGTTTCATTGCTATCAGATTTTCAGTGTATGTCGCTCAAGCCTCAAGGTATTGGCTTTGTTCAGACATGGGCGTAAAGACCATCAGACCTAGGGCCTAACATTTGGTTTTTTTTTGAATTCCTGTTTATTGTCCGGTGGGGCGGAGTCCTATCATAAGTAGACAATACATACAATATGTATGTGACTATATCTTGTTGATTCATCTGAGTAGCAGGGAGTCTTTGTGATTGGTCCAGGCAAAGCGAGGACGTATATACGGCCAGCTTACGGCGTATAGGAAGGCGAGCCCGTCACTGCTGTGATGTATTCTTCTCCCCTTGTCTGCGGGGGGCGACGTCACCCAACACCTGCTCTAGTCTCCTCGTGCGTGCGATATATTGGAATAACGGTTTTATGAAGTTATGGTTGTTGAGGAGTTGTTGGAGTTGGGTCATGCGTGGTCCGATTTCCGATCTTAAAGCTGCGCGTCACTGTGAGTACTTGGGACAAACTGCTTGACAGTTTCATCGTGTGCACTGCACTGCAGGCAGCGTGCTGTCGGGAGCATTCGGGGTGCACAACGCACGTAGTCACGGTACGGTCAAGTTAACCACCGTTGGAGCCTCCAAAGACTTATAAATGATTATGCGGAGGCGAGAGTACTAGGCGGGTAACGCCAGATTCTTCACATATAGTACATTCCATGATAGCACAGTGAAAACAAAACATTAGCGGGGTACTTAGATGGCATGCAAGGGACACAGATATGGAAGACAGCCACCAACTCACTAATCAACCACCATCGCAGCCTCCTCCAGCATCCCATCCTCCGTTACTCTCAATTCCATTCTCTCCTCTTTCCCGTTCACAAAACCTTGCCCGTTACCGTTTGATCCTGGTGCAGCACCGCCAGAACTTTCACCTAGCCCAGATCCCCCCTCGCCACTATCCATTCCAGGTGACGGCAGCGGCGGCAAAAATGCCCCCTCCAGCAGCTTCGCCTCCTGACGCTCCTTCTCCTTGTTCTTCCAGTGTTCCTCAAGCCCCACCCGCGCATCGTGGCTTGCCTCCCGCACCATCGCCGTGCGAGTGGGCTTCCACTTCGTCGGGTCCATCGCATTATAGCACCCAGCCGTCAAACCCTCCAGAGCCCATAACTGCGTTCCACCAGCAGCAAGCGCGCGTTCAACGTGCCTGTCAAGCAACCGGTGCTCGAGAAGGCCTGGGTAATACCGCCCCGCGATCCACGTCAGATCCACGACAATCTCATGGCCCGGCTTCAGGATAGGGCGGAATTTGAATCCATCGGGAGCCTTTGGCAGTGGGAAGGCACTGAGAACCGGATGCGAGAGCGCGTTGTTCGCGTCACGTTGTGGTGGGGTAGATGCGGAAGCGGAAGCGCCGGCTATGTTGCTGTGCAAAAGAACATCTGTCGTCGTGCCTTCAACGGAAACCACTGGGTCTGGGTTTGCGAGCGGGGGCGGTTTCAGTGGAGATGGACCATGCATGAATGAAAGTCCGGATGGTAAACCATCCAGCTCAAACGACCCATCCTTGTTTGAATTGCCATTTTCGATCGCCTTACCCTTTCCTTTGTCAACTACCATCTCCCGACCGTCCCATTCTTCCTCCCAGTCTTCATCCACGAGTTCATAAAGCGTCCCTACTGCATGGCAGACTTTGGATCCTCTCCCGCTTGGCGGATCGGCAACAAACAATCCTTCGAGGCGCATGAACACGCCCCGCCCCTCAGCACCACCGACCTGGCCGCCCATAGACCGCGCATACTCCTGCGCCTTCCTGCTTGGACCAGCAGGTGCATTGATAAGGTCATTTCCTTCGGGAGCGATCTGGCCTCGCGAAAATTTGAGCCGAATAAGTTCATCTGTCCAGATACGCTCTGCACCCCACCACAGGCCCTGATAGCGTGTCTGCACGATCGTCTGGGCCAGTGTCAGTGGGGGTAGCGGTGCAGAGATACTAGGCGTGTGAGAGCCTGAGCCAGAGGGCGTCGCCAGGGACGAGGCAAGGTTGGCATTATGTGTCATACTTGAGTTCATCACTGAATCGAGGCTTTGGAATGTGCTGATTGATCGCGGTGGGCCGGAATTAGGGTATTCAATACTGAATTTGAACTCCCAGTCGTCCGTGGGTGTCCAATACCCAGAAATATTCGCGCCGATCTGCAGCGCAATGCCGTACGGGGCTGCGGCCTTTGTAAATGTAACTTCCGAAGAGGTGGAATAAGGGTTGAATGCGAAAGTGCGTGCGGGGTCTGGGTCGAGATCCTCATAAGATACTGCATGAATAGCTTGGATAAGCTCGTCTGAAGGAGCGACTGATTGATACGGAAGAACAAGTTGGTCTGAAATATACAATGATTGGGAGATACCAAGGAGTTTCATTTTATAAGAGAGGTCGTGCCGGATGACCCAAGGGACTTCTTCATCACCATTGGATGAGTCAACGTTCGAGGTCGGATGGCCGTTTGATGGTCCATCAAAGATATCCATATCTGTATCCTTTGGAATAGGCGTAGGCTTCATTCTTGTCTCCTCGACGAGACCTGGCCAGAAAAAGATGGAATCGTCGCCGCCTGGACCGCTGGGCCCATCGATCGGGGTGTTCAATGCGCACCAAAGGAGTTCACCATCACGGAACCATCGACGAACTTTGACTTCGGGACCATAGGCACAGCTCAAATCGGCGTTGCGCTCCCTGAGCATGCTTTGTTTTGGTGCAGGCTGCTTAACAGGTTTCGGCATGCGACGTACACCGACGTATGGTCTAAACCTTTCTTTGTCGCGTGGTATTTTCTCTTGATCCCGAACGGGCCTCTCCTTAGGTTGCTGAGGCTGGCGTTTCAATCTGGGGGGTTGAACTATCCGTGTGGGTGTGTTTGCAGCAGAGGGCGTGGAGCCGCCGCGCTTTGGAAGAAGGCCCATGGAAGCAGTGATTTCACGTTGGGGTTTTTTATTGCAATATTTGCAATTGCAGTTACTGCGGTCAAGCGTGGGGTCCGTAAGCAGCCATAAGGCGTGGGGAATAAATTCTGGGACAGAGCGGAAGCGTTTGGCATAGGTGGAACCTAGCATTTTGATAGTAAACGCCGACTAATTGCGCCAATGGGGAGGCATGGCTCACCTATAAGATAGGCATCATGACGAGGGCTATTTTTTGGGCCTTTGTTGTGATCGAACATCTGATAGCCCGTAGGCCATCCTTGCAAAACGTAGTTGCCCTCTGTTGAAAGAAAGAGATAAATGATCGGTGGCCCAAGACATGAGAAGTGAGTACTCACGAACCATGTTGAGCTTCGAGGCAAGGGCTGCAGCGACTTCGACGCGCCATTTGATTGATAACGATTCATCAAGGCCAGCCTGTCGCATGTAGTTTACATGACCCTCGCTGTCGATGACGGGGGTATTGTTTGTGGGCCAGTTGCTTGGGTCACCGTCAGATCTTGGGAAGTCAATAAAGGTAGGATTAGGAGGGATAGCGTGCGACGAGCCGAACCCCTTGTGGGTGCTTCTAGCACTCATCCTGCGCGCTGTGTAGTGCGAATAATTAAGTTTGCTACTACGACATGCTGGACCAATAGGCGATTATATCAGCAGAACAAATAAATCCAAACACTGGCAGCGCTTATTATCCTCCAAATTTAAAAACTTTGTTGTACCATACTATCCCCTGATGCGGCATGATGCTCTCGTCTTCGTGTGGTTTTTGAAACAGCCGCTTTCTGTTGAAAAAGCTCGACGACGGGGTCATCTTGTGCGCGTGAACTGCCGTGATTATCTACGTCTTGCACATTTATATCTCGTGGCAACGGCGTTAAACAACACGGCGAAAACGAGATACGTACGTAGTATCGTGGCTCAAAAGATACATCTGCCTGTCATTTTTATCAGGAGGATACCTTTCGATTGTTGCCAGACATTTTATGTACTTCGTAGATCATTGATACAATTGTTTTAGTTGGCTTTTTCATTCATACAGGCAATCCCCTTTGTGTGGCAGTACGCAGCGGGAGGTGCTAGATCTATGTTCACGCAATCAAAGTTGAGCAAAGCGAACACGTGCGTCACTCGCCAGGTCTGTTTTCCACCACAGGTCATGCCGATTTCGCGGAAGAACGTTGAAGCCTCAGGATAGTTTACGCGCCAGACTTCCCCGATACCGCAACATGCAAACATTGGTCCCCAGAAGGTCGAGCATGGCGCACACCCGATCATGCATCAGAACAACAGATTCAAACCATATGCAAGCAAAGTGGCTCTCCTAGGTAGTCCAATAGACAGTCGTTCCTTCTATAAAGATCCAGGTGGACGCAGTCTATTTGTGTGGTGACAGAGGTTCGGTGTACACTAAAGCGCGCTCATCACTGCGACTGCTGCTGCACTTTTGCCCGCTCCAGCTTGAAATAAAACTCCTCCTGCCTTTGTACTACAGCAAGTCAGTGTTAATGAACAAGGAGCCGCGACAACCCAGACGTACCAGCCTTGAGGTGTACGCCATACCTATTCACATATGAGCATGATTTGAGAAGCCGAAAAACAATCTACTTACCAATAAGCATAAGCAGACGAGACGCCGAGACCAAGGGCGACCGAAAGGTCGAGCCAGAGTCTCTTTCTAAGCTTGCCAGTGATTGGTGCAATAGGCATTGTTGGATTAAAGATTGTTTTGAGTGTTGAACGTTACGGTGCAAGCCGGGAGTGCGGTGTGACCAAACAATAGCACAACAAAAGGGCTCATCTCATCCACTTGACTTAGCATTGTACGAGCACGCTACCCTAAACCTTTAAACTCGTACAGATCATCAATCTACTCATCTTCCATCTTGCGGTACAAATCAGAATTAGATCAAAAATCAATTCTAAACTACTCTTATAACAATCCCAGCGAACCCCCTCTAGTTATACTACAATCATGGACATCGACCCATCAGGCTCTGGTAGCTGGCGATTTGCACAATGCTTCGGTGACAAGGGTGAAGTGGACGACATCACAGAAGGTCCGTGCACCCACTCTGATCGACTCTCTGGTTCAACTGACCCGCATCGATGGGATACCGCAGCCGACATCATATCCACCGTCGAGTTCGATGCAACTGGAAATTACCTCGCCACAGGCGACAAAGGTGGTCGTGTCGTTCTCTTTGAGCGCAATGAGTCTGTGAGTATCGTATCAACTCTATCGTTCCCATATCAAAACCCTGATTATGCCACGCGATCGTTAGAAAAGAGGCTGCGAGTATAAGTTTTACACAGAGTTCCAGTCACACGAGCCCGAATTCGATTATCTAAAGTCTCTTGAAATCGAGGAGAAGATCAACAAGATCAAGTGGTGTAGACGACAGAATACCGCCCACTTCTTACTTTCCACCAACGGTCCGCCACCCCTTTCCCTCCCAGCACTTCTGACTAATCCCACACACAGACAAGACAATCAAGCTTTGGAAAATATTTGAGAAGAGTATCCGTGTAGTCTCAGAGTCAAACCACCTCGATGGCCATCGTGCCCTTCCACCCCCAAGTCTTGTCTCCCATCTCAAGCTCCCCCGCATGCAGCCACAGGACAACATCATCGCCGCAGTCCCACGTAAAGTCTACGCCAATGCCCATGCCTACCACATCCATTCCATATCTGTCAATTCCGACCAGGAAACCTACATCTCTGCAGACGATCTACGCATTAACCTCTGGAACCTCGGCATCAGTGATCAGAGTTTTAGTAAGTCTCCTCTACCACCTTGATCTAGAAAAGACGCTTATGACCAACAGACATCGTGGATATCAAACCTGTGAATATGGAAGAACTCACAGAAGTGATCACCGCAGCGGAATTCCACCCTCAGCAATGCAACCTTTTCATGTACTCGAGCTCAAAAAGTAATATCAAGCTTGCAGATATGCGCGACTCCGCACTATGCGACCGTCATGCAAAATGTGCGTACCTCATTTGAACCTTTAGACCCTTTGCCCCTTACATCAAATCACGTGCAGGCTTCGAAGAAGAAGAGGATCCAACATCCCGATCCTTCTTCTCCGAGATCATCTCTTCTATATCTGATGTCAAGTTCAGTCACGACGGGCGATATATCTTGTCGCGCGACTATCTCTCTCTTAAGATCTGGGACATTAACATGGAATCACGCCCTGTGAAGACTATTCCTATCCACGACCACCTCCGCGGCAAGCTTTGCGATCTGTATGAGAACGACTGCATCTTTGACAAGTTTGAGTGTGTATGGAGTGGAGATGATAAGTACGTATTCGTTCCCCTGTGCCTTTCTTTATCTTCTGCTCCACCGTTATCCCTTGCTATCTCCCAGACCATCACTAAATGACTTGCAACCTAGGCATGTACTAACGGGCTCGTACCACAACTTCTTCCGCATATTTGACACCGACTCGCCGAATGATGTCGTGTTGCAAGCGGACAAGTCTGCTTTCAAGGCCAAGAAGATCGGCGCACCTGCCGGCAAGAACGGGCTCAAGAACGGCCCGCGGCCCGGCGGACTGCGGGACGCAATGCAAACGGATACACTTGACTTTAACAAGAAGATCTTGCATGCTAGCTGGCATCCACGAGAGAACACGATTGCTGTGAGTGTAACGCCTTGCATGTAGCTCATGCTTTGCGCCGTTATTTTTTGGGGCTGCCGATTTTTCCTGCTTTATATCTGCGCTCCAGTCTGTGTGCTGACACTTTATAATTAGATTGCTGCGACGAACAACCTGTTCTTGTACAGCGCAGCATAATCCGCTTCTACCCTCACCCACATTTCTTTGGCAAGAGAGGGCAAGTCAGCAGTGTACAAGCGCCCGAGACACCGTATTACGCACGGACTCATTCTTTCTTACACTACACTACCATATTACCGTGGGCGCTCGTTTTATCCATCTTGCTTACGATACGAATCAGATACCACGTACATACAACTGCGTATTACCCTGTTTGTGTTTTCGGGACATGTTTCTCATCCTTGGGCGCCCCTTCTTCCCTCTCCCCCTTACTCACGCACCTTGCATATCCCCCTACCACCACGTGCATCATGTTTTCGAGAAAAAGATTCGTGTAGAATGAGATGAAGAAGAAGTAATCAATGACAAGGCCTTGTATAATTTATGTACATTCGTGGATGACATGCGAGGTTTCCTAAGAGCACAGTCATATACTAGTTCATTCATTCCTCTGCTGTATGTATTACTCGCAAGGCAAATTTTCACTCATCCTCATCCCTATTCTGCAATTCCTCGGGTAGATGAGACGCTGACCACAACATCCCAACCGCAGGTATGCACAGAACAACATATACTGCATGACCACCCAAAATATTGTGATCCTTCGAGAACGCGAAAATGGACGCGGCGAACATGGGACCGACTGCGTGTGCGATTGATACTGTCGTTTGACCCATGCCATTTACCGCGCCCAGGACATTTTTCGTAGGTGCTGATGCGGTGACAAACATGAATATACTCGCTGATTGTGAGTGAGCCTACTACGATAGAGACACGCGCGATAACCAGAACTCTCACCTAGAGACATGTCCCACGTTACTATCAGGACAAGCTGGCACAGTAGTACGTTCGTGACCATGTAATCAACGCCTCTGGAGAAAACGAGCCACGACATGACTGGGAACATGACCATGATGGGTATAAAACACGATATACCGATGTAAAAGGTGCGTTTGGGACCTAGCCGGTCAACGACCTTGGCGAAGAACAGCGCCTGGAATAAACCGTCAATGATGCCGAATAGCGCCATCCATGACCCAATCGTTTGGGGTGCGAATCCTAGTCCGCCGAGGTAGTTGGGAGTGGAATAAAACAAGGGCATGAGAGCGAATATAGAGATGTCGAGAAACGCAAGAAAGGCTTGATTTGCGAGGGGAATTATGATGCTACGAGTGAGCAGCGAACGTAAAGGGACGTTGGCCATATTCTCCGAGGGTGATTCATCACTCCTGTATTCTTCCAACGGTTGATTGCCCGTGGTATCGCTAGGTATATTGCGCTTGCGCTTAGTCGCTAATGTCTGAAAGAGGGTCAATAGCTGTTACTTGGATATCGATCTCGAGTCTGACTTGCCTCTTCCAAGAGAAATACGAACATGAACGATATGAAAACAACTGATGCAGCAATAGCGCAGGGCAAGAAATACGGATATTTTGCCCAGAATTGTCCAGCAAAGAGATTTGGCCAACGGTCTTGAGGACGGGCTAGAGCTCCCCCCATAACGAAGCTGCGACACTCTCAGTAGGAGTCTTTATTCAAAAAAAGACTGACCCGAAGAAACCCCCAAAGCACCATGTGATAGGTATGAGAGCAAATCCTTGCGCCATGTTGGTCGAATCCGTCAGTTCACCCATCATACTTTTCATGACTCCGCTATTGCCATTCAGCATTCCACAGATAGAACGACTATTTGACCCATTGTATGGAAGCATTCAACCACGAGCGTACACTAATGAATTTGACCGACCTGACGACAAGAGTCCAGAAGGAGGTCGAGAGACCAAAGCAAAGCATCGAGAGACCCATTCCAAATAAACCGATCATGAGGACAGGTTTACGTCCGATGCGATCAGAAAGACGGCTCCACTTCAATACCGTCAGTGCTTGTGTGATAAAGAAAAGCGACTCCTGGTTTCACCGACGTCACATAAGAAAGTTTATGTGTTTGCTCAGATGACATGACCTACTAGAATTCCAGCGTAATAACCGACTGTTGCATCGTTACCACCAGTGATATCTAGTTCTCGAATCAGCTGTGATTAAAGTTCAAATTTAGACACCTGAAGATGCTTTTGACATTATACCTGGTTGATGTACGGGTATATTGACATGGAGGCAATAGGTTCTGCCAATTGGACGAGCATCAAAATACCGATCTGCAGTTTTGGAAGGGGCGTCTTTTGCTTCTTCTGCAGGGTTTCGTGCAGAAGGGGGGATGTTTCAATCTCAGAGCCCTGGACATTGAAGATGCTCATCTTGTCACAACTGATCTTGGGAGGGGAGAGCGAGATTTGCGAGCAGGCGCTGCAAGGTAAGCAATAAACATCGAAATTTGAGAGTCCGCGCTAGGACACGCAAATGATAGCAAGAATAGCTATGCTGATGTATCACGGATGATTCATAAGTTCGGGACCGTGATTTATGAAGTACTTGAGTCAAAGCTTGACCATGACTGCTGCGGTTCCGCGGGGAACATGACTCAGGTTCCCAGGATGTTGTTTGGCAGAAGCTTTAGAAATAAACAACCGCTTTAAGAAATGTTATTTCCGTCTGATAGCACAAGCATACAGTAACAACAAATCTGATAGGTCAAGAAGCCAGATTCACCTACGGTGTTCAGGTGAGATTTGAATTGATCATGATCAGTGAACTCACCTTTGCAATGGCCTTCTTAACTTCATTGATGTAGAAGGTACGGAATGTATTCAATTCGTGGTGAGCCACAAATTGGCAAGCCAAGCAGTCACGTGCTTTGACAATGGCGCGATCGTAAGATGCAGACTCGGCAGACTCCCATAGGGTCAGCTCGCAAGGCCTATTGGCCAACTCCTTTCTACTCGCAAGTAGGTACTTTTCAAACCACGGGGTAACCGTCAACTTTCCAAAACTGGCGATTTGGATTGCCAGCCTGCCAAACGCGGGGCCTCTTCTGCAAGCAACGCATTGCCACATCTGCATGCGCTTGATGTATGGGGTCGACGGCAGCCATTCAAGAGATTCTCCAACTGCTTGAGCAGCAACGCCACATTCATAATGGTATTTGAGGAGCCTATGGTAATCGACGGCACCAATGGCCCCCATACCAGCAAACTCAGAGCTTGGTCGTCCTAGACTTTTGATCTCAAGGCTCCGGGCAGCGGCTGTCCGAGCATGATGCTCCCATCCGGCCAAACAAGACACAGCATAGACACCGAGTGGATGTGCTGGCAGGAACTGAGCAGCGACGAGATCTCCTATACGGTAGATAATCGCGTCCATCTGATACTTCCTGGCTGCTTCCAATACCGCACTCGCGTCATCGATGTTATTGAAAATCGGGTCAGCACCGGCGGATGGGTAAGAAAGCAGAAGTAGTGGGTAGAGGATTGTGCTGGGCTCAGGTACTAGGATGACAGGTACAGCTAGTTCTGATTTGCTCTGCGGTAACGTGAACATGCCATCGAACATGGGTGAAACTAGCGACAGGATGAGCTTGAAATGATGAAAGTCGACACCATCGGTGGAGCGGAGGACGATGTCATGGTCTGGATTATTGAATGGTGCCCGAGCAGTGGAAGTCTCCTGAGTCTCTGACATGAATGGTTACGACGAATGTGATTGTCGACGATAGGGGTTTCCTATGTTGCTGGTGGCGGGACCCCCAGCACCAGTCGCATGGCCGTCAGTCGTCCGAAGGATATTATACTGGGAGACGGGGAAAACGACAAACAACTATCAGCTGGCCAGATGGGTGTCTGTGAGTGTACTGAAGATGTAATTTTCACAAAACTGTCTCTCACGAAACTGTCAAATATGGTAACTCGAGGGCAAGATCGGACAGATAACCGAGACTTGTATTGAGTAAAAGAGAACGAGATACGAAACGTACGCGTAAGCAGGCGTTGGAGGCACTGATGTCATGCGCTCTGGCGTAGGAGGCAGAGAGCCACAAGAGTCCGTCCAGCAACTGGTGTTGATCTGAACGGTCCAGGTCGTCACCACAGAACAAACGCACTGTCGGTCAGCACTCCGGGGAACGTGACCCCGAAAATGTATCGAAAGTAAGTGGCAAGACTTACTTTCTCTTACGCAGCCCTCATCCCTTGTTATCTTCGTTCGTGTACTTTCTGTGCACACTTACCCGGTGTGTCAAGGTACGTGGTGGGGCTTTCGTGCTCATTGACCTCCAAGTACTTACGTACATGGGAGTACCCGTGCGAGAAGTTTCTTGACTGGGGACTGGGATGGTAGGGAGTGGACAGTCAGTTTACAGGACCAAAACTAGTTCATTCCATTCATACGGTACAAGCCCGAGAGATCACGACACAAACTGTCATGTAGACGGCATCTTCAAGCATGTCGTCTTCAGCCCATCTCCACTCCACTTCGCCACCTCAATCAAAAGGTCGCGTTTCTTCTCTACAGCTGTGGCTGAGTGAAGCTCGTAGAGCGTCGCTGTCAAGACTTCAGTATTCCAAATTTTCTATAACGCGATGATCCACGCACAAAGATTGAAGAGGTAGGGTTCTGCTACCACGACGGTCGGATGGGGAGCTATGCAGTGCTGCCTCGAGGACTTCGATACTCTGGAAAAGCCGTCGAACACGAAAATACGATTGAAGTCAGAGAGTATTCACCTCCTTGAGCTTTCCCTGACTCAGAAGAGCCACAGATAGATTGTTGATAGCCTGAGTGTGTAACCATCGATCGTAAGCAAACAACTAGGGTAAAGTACTCACCACAAAGTTATCCGGCTCTGCCTGTACGAGGGCTCGGAGCAGTTCATCCGCCCGCGTCCAGTTTCCCTCAGCACACGCGAGCAAGGCAGCATTCATATCTTTGAGTGTCTGCGGGACGCTAGCGTCGCCTTCCACGGCAGCAAAGTGCGCCGCAGCCTGTGTGAGGTAACCACTCTGCAAGTAAATGCGACCCACGGCAGACTGGATGGCAGGGGAGGGTTGTTGTCCAGTACGTTGTGCGAACAGTGGCTCCAAGAGTTTCGTTGCAGCAGTGAAGTCCTGCACACAGGGGTATTAACTCGCTTATCGAGGTATAGAAAGACAGACGTGCCTTCATCTCGATCATTTGCGATGCAATGATAAGGCACATCCGTGCAGCGCGCTCAAGCCACATCGACAAGCTGGAGTCGTCGCCCTCGGCTTTCGAACTCTTGGCTCGAAGCTTACACTTCTTAAGCAAGGCATAAAGAATGTCCAGATAGCCCATGGGGTCGCCTGCCCAGTATTTGAGGCGTGCATGCATGACCTCGAGCTCAAAGGGAAGGACGCGGTCGAATAAGTATGCACGGGCGGACGGGGGCTCTGTAGCATTGAGCACCGCGAAAAGGTTGGTGCACTCAGCTGACGTTTGGTTGTAGAGGCGGAGGCGAGCGAGGCTTGATAGACGCAGAGACCAGAGCTGTTGAAAGAAGCTAACTTGAAGTCACAGCGTGTATGACCGTTGTGCGCTTACATCGAAGAACACGAATGAGATCCTCAGGATTACAGGTTATTAGACGATCCCGCGCCATTCTAGCAAGCGCACGCCAGCTGTTTGACATCTGATATCCGGGGCACACTCATTGAGATCTTGGATTAGCACAAGGTGTACACTCATACTCACAACCATCGAGTGAAAATCAGAATCTTGCCATTCGCCAGTGACATCTCGTACAGGACGCTTCTCAAGAGGGGATACATATTTCGTGAGGAGAATATTTAGAGGGTCCGTCTAATAGTACATGGGGTATACATCAATGGTGCGCGTCGATGAAACCACCAGGTGAGAGTGTAAGATAAAGAGAGGCGTACGTTTGGGATGGGTAAGAACATAGTAGGCATGGTTAGCCCAGGAAGATACAATTCGGGTGCCTCAGACTCAGCATCGCTCGCGGGAGGCGGGGGTACGTCCTTGTTGACGTTGGGGGAAGGTATCAAGGGGGGTACTTCAGATGGCGTAAGAAGTGTTGACTGTGCGAGCGCGATCTCTTCATCTGCAGGGGGAACACTTTCACCCTCGGGTGAAGCACCTTCAACGTCAGATGAGGCATCCTCGCCTTCGGACAAGGCACCCTCCGAGCCTTCAACTATGAAGGGGTCCGGCACCTCATGCTCCGACATTTGTGATGGTGTACCTGGACCCTCTCCACTATCCTCAGGCAAAGTCTGAAGTAAATGTAACGGGCGATCGATGGAATCCATATGCATGGACTTGGCAGAAGCGTAGAGGGAGCTCTGGGAAGGGTGGGAAGAAGTGGTTGATTCTGCGATAGATGCTGGTGCAACCGAACTAGTTCGGCCGATGGATTTAGTGCGCACACGTGGGGAAGCGAGACCCCAGTCAGCGGTGACAAAGGTACCGCTGTCATCCGATCCATGCGTTTCAGCAGACATCATGTCCTCTGAGGGCGTTCTCGAGTGCTTCGAGCTGATATCGATGACGTCCGAAGAATGGCGAGAACCCAGAGTTTCACTGCTTGACCTACTGCGAGGGCGGGATGGTGTAATGATTGTGTTTGGTGAATGATGATCATCGTACAGAGGAGAGTGGTGAGCAGAAGGTGTGGATGGCGCAGAAGAGTTCGATGTAGTGGCTGTAGACGTCGTCGCGGCTGATGACTTTCGCTTATGTTTTTGGGATAGCCTTCTCTTAACGTCTTTTACGAACGTTTTGATTGACTTGACCTGCATTGTCGAGGACCTGGGTGATGCTGAAGTATAATTGCGAATATTCTTGATGCTTTAGGCTTGGATGATAGCACTGAAGGATGTTTAGAGATGGAAGGGTTAATGAGAGACGGATGACTTGCCTTTTAATGCCTGCTAAAGATTCGCTTTACACGTTGCAACACACCAGCTGACTTAATGCGTTCTGTGTGGAGCCGCTCTATCAGTGATATCACAATAGACCGGATGTCTCAGACTCACCAATTGTCTCCACACTCTGCTGTAGGTCTTCTTAAATTCCTGGCGATAATCCAAAATGCTGCTTCATTATCACGGAAGGTTTAGCCCTTCTTATACCCGAGCCGGCACGGTTCGCGACCCGAGCAGGGGCCCTCGGGTTTCTTTGTTCAAACTTAGCCGCTTTTGTATCGGTTGGGATCCGCCCTTGCCGTGAGGCACCCAAGGGACCCACAAGTATCTTAGACCTACAACCGGAACAGGCTAATGTTTGCGTTGTCAACTTCGTCGCCTCGATCTGTTACGAGTCCCGTAATTATAAAGGCAGCGTCACCTATCGCGGAATGCCCCTAGCGCCCATCTATCTACTGCGATCTCACCCCTTCCTGGAGGGTAAACTCTTCATGTGAAACTCTTCCATTTCATTGGCCTAATGCATTTCATAGGTCCCTCAAAATGACACAGTTCGCTTTGGACCCTGGTTATTCTTTTCATAGATGGTCCGGGCCCTGCACAGCGCTCGCATATTGTTCGGTTTCCAAAGTATTTTACGACACAGCCACAGCAAGAACACTGCAAGACCCTAGCTGCATCCCTATAAGTATAACACATAGCCACGGGTTACAAGCCTTGAAGCTTGAAGGACTCGTGATTACGAGAGAGCCGGTGACCTGACAGGTACTGTACGTGATGTCGGAGTCCCACAGTAGCGTCCCACCGACGAACGGTCGTAGAGACTGGACACTCATACCTTCGATCGTGGGTTGACCGACGTCGCGGGTTTAACTCGCGATGCCGCGAACTCGAACGAATCTGATAGTGACTGGCAACGACATGATGGTATGGTCACCTCGTTCAACGATAGAGTGCGAAGATCTAGTTGAACTTACTATTTCAGTATGTCAGGTGAGTACCAAGCACAACACTTTTCTTTTCTTGGTTCTCGGAAATGATAAGCCACACCCCTATGATACATTATAAGTCCCCGACTCCCACATTAGTGAGAGAAGGGCTAGGGAAGGCTTTGTCGAACACAATAAAGTTCCCATTACTACTAGTAATGTCAAGATGCCGCTGTGCTTGCGTGCGTATACGCAAATCGCATTCTGCATCTGCAAACTCCCCATATCAAATATTCACAATTTGGAGGACACGCTTGTACCTATTGAAGATTCATGGTCTGGCGGATGTTTTCGCGATACACACGATTCGTTGGATAAATGACATGAGGCTTGTCATCTGTTCATCTCATGCGGTGGTAGCCTAAGATATCATGCAGTGGGAGTTGGGGACTTGCCGCGTGAGCGGCGTTACCCATAATAGTAACGACGCAGTCAGCTGCTGTACGAATGTGAGTACTTCCATTGCCTTTATCATCATGCATGCATGACGGAGCTTCGACTGCGCTTATGCAGCAGTTGCAAATTACCGTTTGGCAACTGCGACATAACACGTCCCGACTATGCCACGTCTTGGAGATCGATTATCAATTAGTTGCTCTCAACATTTCACAACAATTTCCTACGTACCTAGCATGCAGCTTCATCATGACGTGCGATATCAACGATCAGTCACTGCGCATATCTCTGGCGGCGTATCAGATCCTGTGTTATCATGGATCTTTGTGGGGCCTGACGCGGCCGCGGCCGCTATCAATGGCAAGACTTTTGCCTGCACACTGAGCAACCATTAGTAACTGTTCTTGTTCCGATAACTTCCACATTGTGAAAGGAAGAATAAGTATGGTCATACACCAACTCTTTCATATGACTATATACCTGGACTCGTTCACTCAAAGTCCCTCCCCGCAGCTGATTGAATGTTATCAGGGTTCAGAGCGTGCATACTATTATGTAAATTATATGTGTGGTAATTCAGGGTAATGAAAGAATCTGTCATGATAACTCCAGATGTGATTCTTCTTATCCGATTCGAACTGCCAGGATCATCACGAGTGACGAAATCGGCGAGACAATAGATTTATTTGGCAAGGTCAGATCGAAAATCCACCGGAATAAATGCAAACTTCGGACAGTTCTCATCCAACTTAGTCCAGGTATACAAAGTTTTGTCAAGTAGGGTACATTTCTAATAAATATTATATAAATTTTGGGCTTTATCATTTTCAGGTTGGTTATCTGATGCTCATCGTGTATGGACTCATCTCCTTCTCCTACATCACATCCTTAATATGCAACATAAGCAACGCAAAGCAGTGGGAAGCCAGCGTAGAGTCCCAGCCAAAACACCACATTCCCCATGAGCTTGTTGCGCTGGATCACTGGTGCCCTGGACACCAAAATCAATGGGATCTGGACGAGCTGCATCAGGAATAGGTACATGCTGCATCGGTCACGCCCCTGATCAGTATCATAATGAACATAAATAAAAAAGAAAGAGCATCTCACCGAATCTTCTTCGTTACAATCGCCATGACTAACTCATGCGCCATGGCGCTGAGAAAGAATGTGAGGAACATCGCTGTGGTACGTGATACGCCGTACGAGGCGCGTGTCGAAGCATACACGTGCCGAAGAAGAAAAGTATGCACCGGTTTGTTCCATTTGCGTGAGAATTCCTCCCAAGAGGTGGAATTCCACTATATGAAACAACGTTGAGTCACTTGCGATGCAGTTAGATTCCCAAAACGTCTCACCCAGTCTTCATAGAACAGGCGATCGGCAAAGCTAAGAAGGGCACATCAGCCATCTCAGAAGGTGACAAGCGCAGTAACCTTACTAAGAAAGCTCAGCGAATGCATTACATATGCATTCTTGGGTGTTCGTCAGTTCAAACCACCCTATTAGATCCAGCTCACTCACCAAATATAATATAAAATAGAAGCAGAAAGGCGATCATGAACGGCAATGCAAGGTCAAGGAGGGAGCGGAAGAACGATTGATCTGGCGTAGGGGTAAGCGGTATGATGAAACACTCCGCAACTGTATACAGCAGCGCAAATGAACCCATGAACGCAACCGTCTTTTCAAAAATGTACATCGGCCGTATTCTGCAACTCCTTATCAGTTCACGTTGCAACATTGAAGTGGATTACAGCGTACCTGTCGGTTCTTGGGTATTCGAGCTCGTATACCAAGGTCGGGATCAGTTGGTAGACCACAAAATTCCGGTACGTGACGTTGTCGGGCCAACGCACTCGTTCCGGGCCCGTACTCACAAGCTCCGAGTCCAAGTCCAGGAATTCCTTTGCCAGACCTGCGACAAGCTCATCCGGGTGGTATGAAAGGACACATGCAACTTCAATTTCATCACTTCCGCGCCCGCTTCCATTAACCGCACCACGTTCAGACCTCGTATTCTCATCCGAACTGCTGGAGACAGCAGCAAGCCGTTGCCTCAGTGCAGCAGCCGTCTTCACGTCCGTGTACGACTTCATCAATACTCCCTCCGCGTCCGGGGTGCACGTTTCCATCGGCGTTGATGTGTCATCGGCGAGCGGAGTCTCGGCTGATCGTGAAGCCACCTGTGCTTGCGCCCTCTTCGACGTTGCGTCACGCAATGCCTGCTCCAATCCTCCAACACGGGCTGCAGCACCATTGAGCTCTGCGAGAACGTCAATCGAGCGCTTAGAAATCGACTGGAGGTAGCCGTTCACGGAAATGTAAGAGTACATCTTCATAATCATGACCTTTGTTCCTCGCCCTTAGTAAAGCACTTGAGCACTAAATGATGGGCGCACAAATGAGTGGAGAGTGAGGAAGCCGGATTGGACCCAGGGCCATTGTCTGGGGGTGTTCAGCGGTCAAGATGCGAGTCAGAGAAAGATGACATGGCACGCACCTATGAAATGTCCACGTGACTGTGATGAGCAGCACACATGCCTGGAATAGGTGTTGTATAATGGCACCTGTCCAATAGTAGCTGATCCAGCCCTTGCTAATGGCCTTGGCATACGGAACACATAAAATCGTGATGGAAACTAGGAGCAAGTCACTCAGTGCTAACGTGACTGCGTGCCGTGAAAACATTGTCGCGAAGGCGAACGACAGAGCGTAGCCGTTAGCTTCGACGCTACTGATATAAGTCTGTAATGTGAACAGAAACAATGACATCCAGAAAAGCGTGAAGAAACCCTGGCCAGTGACGTATTAGTTTCCACCATACACACTCGCAATGCAGGAGACGAACCCGGAACTCATTGGTACCCGATGCTTCATTCGTGGTGTCAAAGTGCGTCTTCCTGGGTTCAAATGTAATCATTGCACGAAGCTTCTTCGTCGATCTTGACCGGAATGGCTTCGAAACGTGCAGTGTGCCTTCTGTTGTAGCAAATCTGCCATCTTCCGTGCGCGTAGTCATTACTATGGGCCCAGTGTCCTGCGTCCCATGGCGTACCGACGTTGATGTCTTATAGTTCGTCGCACCAGATGATTTTTCTTGGTCGAGGAATGGAGCGGAGAGCATTTGAGCTTTGCCAGCAAGGAACTTGGGGCTAAATGTTAGCAACAATGACAATGAGAATCAGACTGATCTCACCTAAGGAATACCGCCTCAAATATGCCTCGGTGTTTCACAAGATATCAATATTTCAATATTGGAGATTGCGCAGCTCACCCCGCCCCACTGTGGTGTGAGCGGCAACGTTAACGTTGGTGGGATGAAGTTTAGTAAGTTAGTGGATATGAATCATGTGATGACTAAATTTTAAACTCAGCGAAGGTTTTGTTAATGATTGATTCCGAGTTTCCACTGCTGCTGCCAGACTCGGATGAAACACAAGAGTCCGAGACTTCCAAGAATTCCAAGACTTCGACTGTCTAATTCCCGAACATCATGGAAGAAGAAGATAACAACAATGAACAAGCCCAGATGAGCATTGCTCTTATCCATCTGAAATGGATGCGAGAAGCAATGGTGATGGTGAGAATCCGTGTTTAGAGTGCTGCTTGATCATAACATACTTCAGGCAGAAGAAGCATTAGCACACAACGAAGTGCCGGTGGGCTGCGTTTTTGTGCGGAAAAACCGCATTATCGCACGTGCGAGGAATCGCACCAATGAATTAAGAAATGTAACTATAAGATCATCTACTCACATCCGCTGGTCCAATTCCTACTTTACAGGCTTCTAGACATGCCGAGCTCGAAGCTATCGATCTTATCCTCGCTGATATGGAGCTGACAGCAGAGTCCACTCGTTATCCTCTGGCAGATACTGTACTGTATGTCACAGTGGAACCATGCATTATGTGCGCGTCCGCACTTCGCCAGCTAGGCATCAAAGAAGTCTTTTACGGATGTGAGAATGATAAATTTGGCGGGTGCGGGAGCGTGTTAGGTGTCAATGCGAGGTCTGTTGTCGCACTGCTATTTTTCGATTCCGTGTTCGACTAGTCACGTCAGCGTGAGGCATCCAGTTCATCCATCCTATCAAGCTACCGGTGGGTACCTTCGAGAAGAAGCCATAATGATTATGCGTCGGTTTTATGTGACGGAAAATACAAACGGCATGTCCTACTATTCTCCGAGCCACTAATCAGGTCATCATACTGACGTTTTTTTTTTGCTAGCTCCAATCCCAAAGCAAAAGTCAAATCGGGTTCTCAAGACAGAAATTCCCCCGAAGATCCAAACCTGACCGCCGCTCACGATGGCATTACGTTCCAAACATTTAAATGTCAGCATGAGAAGGTTGCGGCGCTTATTGCAGATTTTATAACTGCTTTTTTTTCACAAGGTTGTCCAGGACTACAACATCAGCGAAATTTATTCCGGCGCAGATCGTCCAAGTAAGAGACTATTCATCACGGAGTTGATAGCAGTACCGAATACTGCATACGTAAAAATCAATTTCGGTTTCCTGATAATATGGTGTATAGGTATATATGAGCGCATCGCCATGTACTACACCATTGCCCTTGCTGGACAGGATCAATCTTGCCACTCTAGCCCAAGAGACTGGGCCACGAAACCCCACTTGTCTGCCGCATCTTGGATTCTGTAAAGCCACTACGTCAAATATTCAGACTTCCCAGAAGAACAAGCACGCACCTCTTCTCAGTAGCCTTACCTGCGCCGTGTCCCGCTTTTTTGTCGATGCGAATAAGAAGGGGATGAGGGTTATGGGCAAGTGTGTGTTGCAACGTCGCAGCATGTTTGAACGAGTGAAGGGGGACAACTCGGTCATCATCTGACATAGCTTGATCAGCTAAAATTCACAAATTCAGACAAGACGACGCACGATCGGCGGTCATAAGCAACAACGGAGGCAGGCTCTTGCCCGTTGGGACATTATGGAGGGGTGAAATGGGATAGATGAAATCAAAGTCGTGCGGGTCATGTGGATTTCCGTAGTCAGACGTCCACGCTTTGCCTGCAGACCAGGGCATTAGATCGACGTCAAGCTCTGCAATACAGTATGTCCTTACCGATCGTGAAATCAGCAAACTATAGGATTTATGGTTGAGTGGGGATAGATACTGCCAAAAACATAATCGTCACCTTCAGGAGGTCAAGCACACCAACTTCGGCCACGCCCGCCCCGAATGTGCCCTCTGGGGCGATGTTCATGCAAGCGGCCACGAGCAATCCTGGAATCATGGCTGAGAATCGCAACAAATAGGCGGGTGGAGTAACTTGCCTCCATTGGATCCACCATTGATGGCAACCTTACCGGGAGCAGCGATCTTGCTTTTAACAAGATATTTACTGCACACGTAAGTTGTCAGCTTGCAATGGCTAGAAAACTCCACTCACGTAGCAGCAATGAAGTCATCGAAGACGTTGATCTATGGCAACATTAGACATGGTCCTCGGCAGCAGTCAAGCTCTGCACCTTCCGTTCTTTTGTGCCAGCAAGATGCCATTCCTCGCCAAACTCGCCTCCTCCGCGAATATTGGGCAAAGCATATACAGCACCGTATGCCTTGATGAAAGTCAGGATGGTGGGACTGAACGAGGGGCTAAGTGATATACTAAATCCACCATAACCTTGATCCATAGTGTCAAATACTGATTAAAACGGACGATGACATCTTACCGTATTGAATAGCAGGTGCAGTTCCATCGGACTTTGTTGACTTGTGCTTCACGATGAACATCGGCACCTTCGTACCATCCTTGCTCTCATACCAGACTTGCTTAGCGCTGAACTCATCTGGTACCAGCCCCTTCATTGTTGTTGATCGGTATATGCTCCAACGTTTGTCTTCACTTGGTTCATCGAATTTGTATCGTGCTACAATCCCAGGATTGGTAAACCCAGTCAGGAACACGAAAAAGTGCGACTGTGCTCGGCGGCCGTTGACTTCTGTGGCGCCAACGAAATCTGGAGCAAGCCGAATAAGCTGTTTGCCCTCCATCGAGTAGAGATATAATTCATCAATGACCTGTAGTCCTCCACGACGTCAGCTTCAGTAATGTGGAGCGTGTGGGGCAGCTCCTCTTACATTGCGTTTGTAAACAACGGCCAGCTTATCATCTCCCACGGCAGTAATGTCATCTAAGTATGCATCTTTGACTTCCGGTATGAGAACCTTGTGCTGGCGCGATGGGTCCGCGAGGTCGATAGTGATAACCTGGTATTGAGGCGCATTCTCATTTGTCCGCAGGTATAGTTTAGTCCCGTCATTCGCAATGCTGATGGGAGAATGGCATGCGGTGTCAGCAGGTCAAGTGGTTTCCATCACAGATTAATAACACCACTGACACCGTGTATTCCGATTCGAACTCATTTACAATCTTGTCCCATTTCATGTTTTGGCCAATTTCATTTTCTTGCAAATCGGCCACCCACAGCATGTTTTTCTAGGCCCAGAATAATTAAGTGAACCGGCGAGGTTGGGTAAGAGATGAGCGCAGACCTTTCCAGTGTCTTGGACGATATCAAGAAACAGATATCTCCCATCTACCTCCGAAACCGAGGCACCCCACATCCATTCGGGGTGTTCGGCATCTTTCATGACTAGGATATCTTGTGCTGAATGCTTTAATTAGTCAAGAGAGCAGCGATACAACCAAATGTGGATAGCTCGAACATTGTGGAGTTCCGATTCTGTGGTAGTAGAGCATAGCATCCTTGTCATCTGTGGTTTCTGTGCCAGCTTTGTCCTCCGTTGCCAGACCATGAGACTCTCTGCTTGGAAACCGCTGGGGAGAGTACCTTTGGGGTCAGGTACAAGATGGAAATTACTCAGTACCTACCTGGTAGAAAAAACCTTTCGAATCATGAGTCCAAGTGATGGACGAGAATTTCACGAAACGAATCTCCTCCGCAAGCCTTTTTGCATTGTGGTCGTTAAGTTGCCCACCAATCGCGGCGAAAGGTTCGCTTGTACGGCGCACATAAACTGTATAAAAATCGCTTCCCTGGAATGAGCTGGAGATTAACGTCCTGTCCCGAATGAGATAGTATAGTCACGCACCGACAACGAGATCCCATAAGCGAAATATTCACCAGAGCGAGAGAATGCCGTTACAGAGAGGGCCGCAGTGCCGTCAGTGGACAACAAATTGGGCTGTGTAGTCATGTGTCATTACTATCTGCCTAAAGTAGGCGGGTATTTCGACTCTTACATCAAAGTAAACTTCTCCGCCAGGCCCCTCCTCCCCCGACCCGTCAGGGAGATTGGCGTCCTTGGAACGACAAATCACTGTAAAACTAGGTATTTAGCATGCAACATGTTCATGGTGTCTCAACCGACCTGACTGAGGCTGGAGACCGCTATTATAGTACCAGTACCAACGGCCATCGTATTTGAGCGACGGTGCAGAAAACTTGAGAGAGGTGAGAATAAAGAACAGCTAACTGTCACGATGACCGACCTTAGCATAGTCAGTATTTGCCCTGATCTCATGCTCTAGTTTGGTTCGAGCAGGATTTTTATCTAAGTGAGATCTAGTAAATTGATCTTGAGCCGTAGTCCACTGATCAGTCTCCTGGGACTGTTGCTCGAGCCATTGATATGGATCAGGAACGCGAACTTCGCCTTGTTTCTCGCTCTTGTAGACATCGACATGGTCGGACCGACGAGCATTTGGATATCGGTTAGGTGTCCAGGGAGTGGCCATGATTCTGGTATGAGTTGAGCGTGAAGTGAAGCTGAAGAGCTTATAAACGCGAGCTGTGGGACGAAACGCGCAGAGACCCAGGATGAGCATCAAGATGCCCACCTCCGCTTTAATTTAAATCAGATCAGGGGGTGCCAAGAGTCCCACAGCAAAGGACAAACATGCCAAATGACTAAATCGATGAAAGCGGCAAATCCAGGTTGCTTTCCAAGCCTTCGATACAGAAACGGACACGGTGTTTAAGCCTAAGGCGGTCTACTTGTCTGGAGCGAGGCCTAGGTTCCTTCTAAATTGCTGAATTATTTAAGACCCTCGAAAATTCCAGTCGGAACGATACCCGGCAGTGGCACCTGTCCTCCTGAATCCCCTTTCGAACAGAAAAAATATCTAGAGACGGATGACAATGAGCGACAAGTACTCACGAGTTGTCGATATTTTAAAAAAAGAAAAGGGATGCTAATTAGTCAGCGCTTGCAACCGTCGGACGGCAACAACCTTGAACACCCCGGGCCTCTGATTCTAACATGTGCAAACAACGCCTGCGTTACAGCTTTGGAATCAGACTCGAAACGAACCGTAAAGTTAGCTGAAACGCCTTCCTCCTTGCTATGGATCAGGTTAGTCAATAGATGACCTGTAAAGCTATCACATCGCTGATACTCAGCACAGGATTCTTTCAGGCAACTTCTTCAGACACCTCGAATACCCGGTGTGACTCCGCACCTTAAAGGAGCTCAGGGAGCATCTCTACTCAGGCAGCATGTCCCACATCTTGAGTTTAAATGCGTATAGTAAATAAATTAACAGGAAAGCTTCGGGATCATCTGCGCCAACGTTCAAGCCACGCAAAGTGAAGAAGACTGAATCTAACTACCGTGATAGGGCCGCGGAGAGACGCGATGGCGGGAAAAATGATTATGCTCAGGTACATCCACCCTTGTTCTGTGCCTAGGACACTAATGATGAGTGCAGGTCGAAGCTGTTCTCGAAGTTTTTGAACAGCGGACTGCAAATGACGATAAAGATACTGTGTGTGCTATTCCATGTATTTCTATGTTTCTACTGACATTCCCTAGGTCGACGAGCAGCGCCAGTATCTTGGCGGAGACAGCGAACATACAATTTTAGTGAAGGGCTTAGATATGTCCTTGTTAGAGCAGAACAAAGCTCGGGCAGCTGCTTCTACCGAAGATGATGATACCCTCGAGCAAGCTTTTATTGAAGCCTCCTCAGAACCCACGGCACATAAGAAGAGGACTCGCGAAGACATCATCCGGGAGCTGAAGGCTAAAAGGAACGGCAAGGGCCCGCAATCCTTCGACACCGCCGCGGAGGCTCTCGAAGATGGAGCCCGTGACCTTGAGAAAGCAAAGAAGGCAGGGAAATTCAAACCAATCAGCTTCAAGCCGATAGGGGTGCAGAAAGATGACAAGGGTACCAAAAAGCGCAGCAAGGAAGATAGCGCAAGCCGTGACAAAAAAAGGAAGAAAAGGAAAGTGGAGGGAATTTCGGGTTCACCTCAGCCGGCCAACACTATTCCTCACCCGGAAGCTAAGCGTCCAGCGGTAGCGCCAACTTCTGTTGCCGAAGTATTCTCACAAGTCGACCAAAGACCTCCATCTCCACTCGACGACAACATGGATATTTTTGCGGGGGCTGGTGACTATGAAGGCTTTCCTGGGGATGATGACAGCGATGAAGATGACCTAAATTCTCCCCACAAGACCGAATCGGAGCATCATATCAATGATTTACATCCTTCATCCGAACCCGCTCGTTCTAGAGGATGGTTTGGAGATGAACACGATGACGAAGGATCAATACAACCACTAGCACCCACGGAGAGTGCTGCACCTCAGTTGCCTTCATCAAGCCATACACCTCAAGTGGATGAAGAGGAAGAGGAATCTTTGCGTCTCAAACCATTAGAGTCATCTGCATTACCCTCGATCCGCGATTTTCTTGCGATGGATGCTGCTGCTGAAAAGGAGGATAAGAGGAAAGCCCGAAAAGAGAAACGAAAAAACAAGAAGAAATCTGACGGGGATGATGACGACTGAGGCTAGTTACAATGTCGTTCAGTGCTATGTTATATACCCGCACAACGTTTGTCATGTATATGATGGACAATCGATATACAACGCTTCATGTTTTACTATCATGTGGACTCGCAAACAAAAACTTTCCACGAGACTTGTAGTGCGCGAATCCCAGCCGTGAATCCATTCCGTCAATTGTACTAAAAAAGAGGTCAGTGTTCCAGCGAGTAGATCAACATTCGAAATATCACCCACCGCTTCTTCATTTCACTTGCCCAAGTGATGTCTTTCAATGGTGGAGCATTCAAGGATGCTCCAAGCAGCCCGAGAATGAGCGCAAGAATGCTCTCATACACAATCTACTCCATACTATTATTTGTTTTTGCTCGACGTGATGAGTTGACTTACATCCAGAGGTAATGATCCTTCAGGCTTTCCCAAAGCTTTCAAAAGTGACAAATCTGCAAGTGAATTTAGCCCTAGACTCAAGTCCTGGCTGCCTCTATGATGCTCACGTTCGTACGTGGAATATGCGGCTATAGAACAACTTGAGTAGTGTGAGATGTCAGAAAGGACATTCATACCGTGAAGAAGCGCGAGCGTAGCCAAGGTTAGGAATAACTTCCCAATCATAACGGAAGCGAGACCGTTGGAGACGAGGTTACGTGGGTCACGGACGAGGGTTAGGTTGTTTATTTCCAATGCTCTTGCCAAACACAAAGACTATAATTAGACGTTTCCAATATTGGGGCCATTTCTGATCGGAGTCTATGGCGATGTCGATGCTGGACCAATATCATGATATTTCAAGCACAAAAATCCTGACTCATTTACGACAGGCCATAAATACAGGAAGTTCTTATCAAGGTAGCTCCCTTCATCTCCTCTTTGCACTCCCAAGGTTGAGCAGAATGGACACCTCAAACTCTCCTCCTCTAACAAGCGAAACCACACCTCTGGTCCCAGCACGGGCCTCGAAAAAGCCTAAAACACCCCTTCCAAAACTCCAGATAGGCATACTTATGACATTGCAACTTGTTGAACCTCTCGCTTCGATGTCCATATTTCCGTATATCAATCAGGTATGATCATTTCACGATGGGCCATCAGATTGTTTTGCATACGTTCTTCATATTTTTTTCTCAGCTTATCAGAGAACTTGGCATCACTGGAGGTGACGATGCCGCTGTAGGATATTATGCTGGAATAATTGTAGGCACCGATATTATGAGTCGCGAGAATCATGATTTCCTCATACTATCGGATACGATTGACAGGAATCTCTGTTTTTCGTCGCACAAGCACTAACAGTGCTGAGATGGAGTCGGTTGTCGGACCGTATCGGACGCAAGCCAGTGTTACTAGTGGGACTATCAGGAACTTGCATCTCGATGCTATGTTTCGGTCTCTCGACGACATTCTGGGGCCTTGTCATTAGGTATGGCTTCAGCTGAAGAGATGAAATACAATCCTTACGTTGTTTTCTAGCCGCTGCATGTGCGGCATACTGAACGGCAATGTTTCAGTCATGAAGACTATGGTGGGCGAATTGACGGACTCTACAAATATGGCTCAGGGATTTGCCTTGATTCCGATCATGTGGTGCATTGGAGGCTTTATCGGGTTAGTGCAATTATTGACCAGCTGAATGGCCACAACTAAATATGCATACCAGTCCTTTAATAGGCGGAACGTTCGCGCGTCCCCAGGATAACTGGCCCAGATTATTCGCTCATCCATTTTGGAGCAAATACCCATATTTTCTACCTTGTGCAGTGTCTGCTTGTGGGCTTGTCCTGGGCTTTTTCGTCCTGTTATTTTTCTTAGAAGAGGTGAGTTTTACATACTATCTGTGTCATCGCACAAGTTACTCACGATCTGCAGACATTATCAACCAAGCGCCGACCAAAGTTGACAGCTACTCTAGGTATTTCAAATGGTGCCAACAGTGGTAATCGAGAAAGCCTTTCACAAACATCTAACATGCCCGTGCGATCTCTGCTCACACCTACCATCGTCATTCCAATTGCAAACTACGCCTTGCTCGCCTTGCTTGACATTGCTCTCATGGCTCTTTTGCCACTGTTCTTTTCTACGCCCACCTATCTTGGCGGCCTTGGTTTTACTCCTTCTCATATTGGCTTGTGGATGGCAATGTTTGCAATGGCGGATGGTATCTTCCAGGCACTGTTCTTTGCCAAAATTGTCAATTGGATTGGTCCAAAGCGTCTCTTCTGTGTGTCCGTGTCGTGCTTCACGCCAGTTATGCTCATGTTTCCGATCATGTCGTGGCTTGTACACACAAGTGGGATGGTTGATCATGCAATTGCATTTGTATTGATTAGCCAACTAGCGCTGACGATTATATGGGATATGGCATACGGTGCGTGTTACGACGAAACCCGACCTGTCATTGTCATTGAAACTCAAACCTACTTAATTATAGGGACTGTGTTCATGTTTATCACGGCCTCCGCACCTACAAAAAATGTCCTTGGCGCTGTCAATGGTCTTGGTCAAACCTCCGCGTCCATGGCTCGTGTCATTGGGCCCGCATTTGCGACTTCGCTCTTTGCATTCTCAAAGGAACACAATATTCTCAACGGGAATGCGGTCTATGTTGTCTTGATTATGCTGGCTGGTGTATTGAGGTGGCTAGGGTCACGATTGCCAGATGAAATACAAGACAGGGATGAGTGACGGTCGAGTGAAGGTCAATATTTAGGGTTAGGTTAAGTGGACACCGAGTCGTACTTCAGATCCCGGGCAAACGAGATATCAATATTACTTATATCATAATCGTGAGACCCGTCGTTGGGTTTGGCGAGCAACGGTTGCGTTGAATATTATGTAGGTCTCATCTACTCATGAGTGAGGATCACGTCGATCGTACTTTTGGGCCTGGTGATCGCCAATCCGAAGAAGTGATGGACACCATTTGTACTTGATGAAATACTAGTAGACTGTCTTCTTCCTATTGTTACTCTACCTACGGGAGACTACACTTGTTGTAAATGTAAAATAGTTCGTCAGATTGGCCTCACTTGGCCAGGCAACCAGTGGAAGATGCGTTATATATGCATCGCTGTCCACAATGTCCTCTCTTTTGTCCACTCATACATCCCAGGAAATTACCTGATGCATATTCATATTCGTTCCGGTGCAACGTTTAGTATAACTGCATGTGTTTCAATCATGATACGACTGACTACGTACTAACCTCTGCCGCCAAACATCCGATAATCCGTAACTATTGCAGCAGCATAGATACTTGATCACCGGACTGGATGTCCACCCATGATTTTGTCCAGAGTCTTCGTCCTCAGTGGTGTGTCTGCAAACAAGGCACGTACAAGTTTCACCAGTTCGTCTACCTCAAAGTCCACCAAAGCTCCTTCCTCGAAAAGATATGTGAGATCAGCCATGGAAGCTTCCTGGAAAGAAGGGCGATGAGATACTAATCGAATAATCAGACTTCGAGTAGTTATACCAGGAGTTCAGATAGATATGAGAATTTCAACCACGACGGAACGTATGACACTACGAAAGATGACTGGGCATGAATGAGTTAACTATCTTGAAAGGCACAGTAAACATACCTCGCTGAAGTCTTCAACGAAGAGCCCTTCAAGAGCAGCCAATATTCTGCATAACTCGCTCAGCTTGTGCGACTCCACTTCAGGGATATCCGGAATTGCAAGTATGTTCTCAAGGATCCGCTGCAATGAAACTTCGACTATTGCGCCCACGGCAGTGTAATACTTGCTCTTAGGGAGGACGGGCTACAGTAAGCACAATGAGCTACTTTCAACATCACAAGATGCGCCTCATTCGCACCTTCCATGCGTTCGCAGCGCTTCGGACCTCGCGAACAACACGGGAAATGGCCATCTCACAGTCATCATACCGATCCTGGTCTGACGTGTCTGTGAAGCCCTTCGCACTTGCTAGAATGTCACGCAGGGCTGTCCGTTGTCTGTCCTGTTCCAATACATGCGTGAGTACTTCAATACCAGCGACGGTAAAGAATCGAGAACTCACAATGCCATCCTGATACCAACTGTCGGCTAACAATTGTAAGACATTCTTGCATTCCTCTAACTTGTCTTTCACAACAAGTACTCCTCGCTCGTGTGTAACCAAGCGACCAACCTCCTCTGCAAGCCAACAGCAGTTGTTGGAGAACTTCATGACATCACTAGGGCGAACGAGTCGTGCTGCAGCAACGATAGGATACACTGCACGATACAAATCTAACACCAGTGCTCCTGACTGCATGACGAGTGTCCCGGGCGTCGTTTTGGATGTTGTTGAGGTGGGAAAGATACCCGACGATGATAGTCCTTGTCCTTCGTGCAACGCGTCCTCGACCGTACGAATGATTGACTTCGCAAGAGTAGATACCAAATATGGCTCGGTTATGGGCCCTGACTTAGGAGGATGATGAGAGGTGCCGTCCATGGGGCGAGAGACCCTTTGCGTCGCAGGTGCAGAGTTCGCAGACGGGCGTTGTGAAGACACAGGTACTGTCCGCACAGCAGGAGTAACCTTTGATACGGCAGGTTCTTCACCCCATGGGTCATCCCACGTGTCTTCTGCTTGCACTTCAGGTACGGGCTCTTCATCATTCCAGCCCCATGCATCCCCTGGATCTTCCTCGACTACTTCCACAGGTTCAGCTTGTTGAGTTTCCTTTTCCTCCTCCAGATCATCATCAAAGCCCCAGACATTCTCATCTTCTAGCGCAGACCTCGAGGATCCTGTATTGAAACTCTGGCCGTCGTCATCAAGTCCCCATGCATCACCTTCATCTGCAGGCGCAAGTCCAGCATTGTCAGAGGTTTCTTGTGAATGAGGTAACTGGGCATAGAATGTTGGCTCAGAAGAAGATATACTTCGAATGATAAGTTTGCGAGCAGAATCGAGAATGTGTGACCGCCGTTGTCGCTCATAATGAGTACAGATATTGTTGACCCAAGCCTTGATTTCGCTCTCGCTAGACGCATCGAGCATCCCGACGATGTACTTTTCTTCTAAGTCCACTGCCTTGTTTGCAATTTGTAAAAAAGCAGGTAGAGCTTCGAGCTGTGAAGGCAGACCAGGAATAAGCAAACGGGCCAGGACTGCAGTGGATATGGGTTTGCTAAGACTTCGCGAAAAACTGTGTTTGTGCGTCGATGGGAGGGCGGGAAATAATTGTTTGTGTAAGAAGTCGAGGGCTATGGATACGTTGGTAAGTGGAGAAGCTGTGTCAGTGGTATTTGGTGACGAAGGGAATCGGCCGAGGACGTGCATCAAAGCGCCAGACTTATCCTTCATAGTGCTGACCGTAAGTGACGTCGGCTGGTCAAAAGAACACTCGATGTAGTGCGTTAGAATATCCCTTCTTAGGATGGAAAGATGCGATGCCAGTGATGCGGAGCTGATCGATGAGAGGACAGACGAAAGGGGTAGGGGCTTCAGTGACCGAGGCACTGAAAAACTACTTGAGATACCCCCCACCATGATGTTCTGTCACTCACCAAGTACAAATGGTTTGATGATAACTTCAGACGCGTTCACAACAACACTCTTGGTATAAGCATCGCTGAGCAGCTCCTCCACGCGATTGTTAAGCACACGCAGCCGAGCCTAAAAGCAAGCAAGTTGAGACAGAACGAAAGGATATTACTCTCTTACCTGCATTTCAGACACTACCGATGCGTCCTTCAGTGGTCCGGGAACGGAAACCAGCAAGGAACTCAAAGCATGACACGCGACTACAGCCGGAGGCAGATCCCCTGCGTCAACGAGCCTCTGCAGCGCACCCAGCTGTACTCTATATTCGGAAATGTGCGAAAGAGAGTCACTCAAGACATCTGCATCCAAGGATTCTTGGGCAAGTAATTGGTGAGCTTCCAAAGCCTCGAGCAAGATCGGGACTAGACCGGACTAGTGAAGTGTTAGTAAGACGTCTTATAACGCATAACAGAGCAAACACACGCCTTCGAGTCCGAAAGCGTAACAGTTAAGGCTTGGACATGTCCGGAAAGTGTGTCCAGTCGTTCTTTGAGAGACTTTGCCGAAGAGAGCTGTCTTTGGAAGCTAGAAGAGTCTGCACATATTCTGTCATGAATTTTTGTCTACTCCAAATCATTACTCGGAGAACTCATGTCAATTACAGGAGAATACCTTAGTCAATCGAATGGATTCGTCAAGCTCAGCCCTACATGAGGATGCAAAAGACGAATTTAGGGACTGTGATGTTACAGAATCGAACTTAGAAAGAACGTTCGATGAAACGTCAAGCTGTCGCGGGAGATGCTCAGGGAGAGGAAAAGGCATATGTCCAACCGACGTCGAAATCAAGAGAGTAAGTCTACAGTACTAGTAGCTGTACACGCTCCCTCCACGACTAGCTACTGAGTCAGGTGATCAGAACTCACCACGTGATTCATCGCGTCCAGCTGACTCCTGAGTAGGCTGAGCTTATGTGAACATAGTAGATGACCAAATAAAATATTTCACTCATTTATTCCAACTCGGAGTCCAAGTGACAAGTTACTGACAATGACAAATAGCCAGCAGAAATTGCGATTCAAACAGCCCCCTCGAACTCGTAAGTATGTGACCCGACGGATTGTGAACGCCGTATTAGCAGCAATTTCAGAGTTTGGAGGGTACTACAACTGTGAAACACTACGGAAAATAAACCTTGCAGAAAGTTATTATCAGGTGCTTCAATTATACGATGTATCACTTCGCAGAAAGCTCCACAGCATTCTTGAACGCTCCAAGTAGAGCAGATAGTTGCATCTTCTCACTTCCGCCAGTCGATAATCTATGCCTAATGAAAAAGTCATCAGTTTTTTGTCACAAAACTGGAGGTAGACAAGACATACTCGGTGGTAGCTAGGAAGTCAAGTAAATATACTCGGGCCTGCGGCTTGAATTCAATCGTTTCCACGTATTCGTATGTACCCGATATCAAGTCTTGCAGTGCGAGTCCACGTTCTGTTTTCATGGCCGAGATCACTGATGGAGGTTTTGTGAGGCACTAACACGATGTGAAAGAGCTCACTTTGGTAAGAAGTGGTGAATTCATCGGAAAGCATGGAGTTTACGATGGTTTCAATATCTGACGGGTGAGGGTTTCCGGTGCAGTTATAAATTTCAGTCTCTCCGATAGAGCTATATGCTGCGTGACATGCTTGTAGGACATTAAGAGCTCGCCGCATGTCTCCTTTCGAGAGTTTTAAAAGGGCCTTTTTGCCGTCCTGAGTCAGATTTACCCTATTACAAAGTTGGGTGTTTAGTAGCAGCTTTAGAAATAACTCTACATACTTCTCAGCTTCCACGACACAATTCACGCGCTTCTCCACCTCTGCAATTGGCAGTGGCGAAAAACGGAATCTCGTACATCGACTCTGAATTGCTGGAGCGATCTTGTTCACGTAATTGCAGATTATGCAAAACCGCACATTCTTAGTGTATTGTTCAATGACACGACGTAGTGCAGCTTGAGCTTGCTGCGTCATCATGTCGGCTTCATCGAGGATGATGAGCTTGAAGCCTTTCGAAAACAATGTTCGGGTCTCCGCAAATTGCTTGATCTGTTCGCGCACTACATCTATACCTCTGTCATCCGATGCATTAAGCTGAACAAGATTAGCATTGCTCTGTACAGATTCAGAGAGGCTTCACCTCCAGTATCTGTTTCTTGTATTCTGCTCCATAAATTCGTCTCGCCACCGCAAGGATTGTGGACGTCTTCCCGGTTCCAGGTGGACCGTAGAATAGAAGGTGAGGCAAGCGGTTCTTGTCAATGAATTTCACAACTGAGTGGATCTCAGTGTATGCATTGCTCGAGCCAGGAGGGACTCAACTTGTCGTTGTAATATCCTTGTGTGAAACCACATCGTCCAGTGTGACTGGTCGATATTTCTCTACCCTATCGCGTATTGAGCAAGGACGCCGATGTGGGAAGATGGAAGACGCAACCAGGGCAAATTATCATCCTCGTGCGGATCATATCTCTCTGCAACCTTAGCCTTTCCTTTACCCTTGTCAAGCGACGACGTAGAGTCAACATCCATTTGGCCGTCACTAGTCATGACGCGTTCCAATGCAATGAAATTTATAGATTCAATGTCGCGTTGAGCGCGACGCGTCGAAAAGATTGGTAATTTGATTAGTCAGGCGGGAGTATTCTCACGCACAGACCATCATCAGACTGATTAAGGTTTTCAAGCATTAATCATCCTTTCCATCTTACAATTGTGACCACTACGACCGCGGCTCTTGCTTTCGTCAACGACTCCATCGATTATTCGTTGGACAGACAGAAGCGTCCGGCAAAATGCAGATCTTTGTAAAGACGTGCGTGCGGTTCGGAACTAATTTCTGTAGCTTCACCTGACATTGATTTCAGCCTCACGGGCAAAACTATCACTCTTGAAGTCGAATCTTCAGACACCATCGACAATGTCAAGGCCAAGATCCAGGACAAGGAGGGGTAAGGTTCTATTTCACATACGTATTATCAATCCTCATCACTGTCTTAGCATTCCTCCCGACCAGCAGCGCCTGATCTTCGCTGGAAAGCAGCTCGAGGATGGCCGTACTCTTAGCGACTACAACATCCAAAAGGAGTCCACTCTTCACTTGGTTCTTCGCCTCCGTGGTGGTGCCAAGAAGCGCAAGAAAAAGACCTACAACGTGGGTACCGTTGAATATTTTTCATTGAAATGTGACGCTTATCATCCTACTCTATAATAGACCCCTAAAAAGATCAAGCACAAGCGCAAGAAGGTCAAGATGTCCATCTTGAAATACTACAAAGTGGACTCGGACGGGAAGATCAAGCGTCTTCGCCGCGAGTGCCCCAACGCTGAGTGCGGTGCTGGTGTCTTCGTAAGTGTTAACTTGATTTCAACCTGTCGTGTGGGGCTGATGATCCATCTCAGATGGCTTTCCACAAAGACCGTCAATACTGTGGCAAGTGCCATATGACCTACACCTTCCAGCCTGGTGCAAAGCCTCCTACTGTGTAGAGTAGTGTTATGTAGTTATCGCTGGCTTGTCGAGTAATGAATATTATGTCAGGCATGCATGTGTAATGAATCATTCTACGGATTGATTATTTTTACCATATACTAGTGCCACTGTACAGTCATAATAATTGACATCCGTAAGCTATCAGAGAGTATCGGATACCCATGTCATCGGGCACTCGTAAGCACCTGAGTCATGCAACCTATGTACTACGTTAACCGGAAGTATTAGCGCCTCGTTTAAATACAGGGGTGCACTTAGATCATGAACTGGTACTAAACCTTCTTCATCAACACAATGTCTAAAGTTCAGTATCGCTCCCTTGGCAAGTCTGGTCTCAAAGTCTCCGTGCCAATTGTAAGTCAGAAAACATTTATTGCTAGCGCATAGCACTCACCATTCATTAATATTCATTCTTCATAGCTTGGTACAATGAGCTTCGGAACGTCGAAATGGGCTGTACGTGATCACTTTCGATGTTCGGTTCACGGTGCACGAGATCCTCAACCTTTTACAGTCGTGGGTCCTCGACGAGGAGCCCTCTATTGAAATCATGAAGGCTGCTTGGGACCTTGGTGTCAATACCTTCGACACCGCCAATATTTACTCGAACGGCGAGTCAGAGCGCCTCATCGCGAAGTTCATCAAACAGGTGTGGCTTACGGTGTCCTAAATTTACATTTATTGATGGTATCGTACGAACTCTATAGTACAGCATTCCTCGCTCCCAGATCATAGTCGCCACCAAGTGCAATGGTCTCGTTGCAAATGATCCTTCCATCCATGGGTACGTCATGCCTGATTTGAAAATGCTGCCCGAGTACGTTAACCAATCTGGCCTGTCTCGCGCTGCAATCTTCAATGCTGTCGACGCGTCCCTCGCTCGTCTCGAAACCACATACATCGATCTCTTGCAGATCCACCGCTTCGACCCTTCAATCACCCCCGAGGAGACCATGAAAGCACTTCACGACCTCGTGCAGAGCGGTAAAGTCCGTTATATTGGTGCTAGTTCCATGCGCTGCTGGCAGTTTGCTATGCTGAATGACGTGGCCGCTCGCAATGGTTGGACAACATTTGTCAGCATGCAGGATGAGTACTCACTACTCTACCGCGAGGAGGTGTGATCCTAAAAATCACAACATTTGCTCTCCGGTCTGACATCTCGTTTAGGAACGAGAGATGCTCGCTTATTGCAAACACAACGGTATCGGTGTCATCCCCTGGGCTCCTCTAGCTCATGGTGTGCTCGCCCGTCCACTTGGTACAGAGACGACGCGTTCTAATTCTAGGAGGGGAACTATTTTGAAGAAAAATTTGTCCAGTGCAGATACAACTATCATCAACCGGGTCGAAGAGCTTGCGAAGAAAAAGAATTGCAAGATGAGCCAGATTGCGCTGGCCTGGGTTGCATCAAAGGTGTCGAGCCCTATCGTTGGTATCAGCTCTATACAGAGGTTGCAGGAGAGTATCGTCGAGGAAATTGAGCTCACGCCGGAGGAAATAAAGTACATGGAGGAGCTGTGCGTATTCTACTTGCTTGGTTATTCGACATGAGACTGACGATACCTTTATAGGTATGAGCCCAAGGCCGTCCGTGGCCACCTTTAGGTGATCGTGGTCAACCTAGATGTCAGCCAAAATCCGTAGCACTGTATTACCAGCATCACCGCAATGCATTGAGTGGAGAATGATTATATCAGTTTGAAAAGTCTGCAATACTGAGATTAAATCTGCCAACGCATGATTAGTATAGATGCCCATCAAATGCAGATCCTCACTGACGAGGTAAAATCATGATTTCATGACGTTTGGTCCGAAGCGAATCTGGTCCTAGAACATGTAGGAAAAGCGAAAGATATAATGTAGTTGCTACGCACCTTATCATTTTCTAACCCGCTCACTTCCTCCAAACCTGTCTGCACGCTCTGCCATTTTTGTTGTAGTAATATGACTGCGCTCGGACGTGCTCATATCCGACGCATCGCAACACTACAGTACGGTCATATATATATACAAGCAAGGTCAAAATCGGCCACGCCGATCCCTAGTACTGAGCAAAGAGTTAACACACCACAACAGGTGGACCGAAAGAGCCGTGAAGAGGAGACAGAACGCAACTACACAGAATGACGTGTTGAGCACAATAGCACCCGATGCCGGCGGTATCTCGTGCTTAATACATGTAGAAATGACTTTATTGGCTGAATTTGTGAGGTCACAGTTGTGGTTGGGGTCTGGTGCTTTGATTCATATTAATGTCTGTAAGCTTCGCGAACTTGTTCTCCGTCCAAGGCCCCGCCCTTAGTACTGTGGTGCTTTACGATGGAATATTTTAGAGAGTTCAGCTGGAGTGCCATTGTTCACCGATCCGGCGATGGGTCTCATTGCATAAATCGACATGGTGTGTGGTAATGTACTACAGGTTATTTACTCGAGGCATCCATTGAAGTTTCGGATATTGGTACATTGATTAAATCTCGAGAGGGCCGGACCCTTACTCGTCCCTCACTTGCATCTCATCTGGCAACTGTGACGCCAGCCACCTCAATACGCCAGCCAGCACAATAAAGATGAAAAATACGGCATTTCCATTCAGAAGATTGTGTTCTTTTGAAAATGCAAATAGCGAAGTCGCTAAGGCGGGCCCAATGGCACGAGCCACTGACGCGGAGGTCTGGCCAAGACCATTGATAGCACCAAGGACATTTTTTGCCGGAGCAGAAGCCGTGATGAACATAAAAATAGACCCTGTAGTGAAGGCTGGTTATTCGTAATAGGAGGTCGGTATCATCATAATGCGCACCAAATGCAGAACCCCAAATAACTGTCAGAACCAGTTGGCCAAGCAATGCAAACGTGATTGCATGATCGACTATCCCCCTTGTGTGTACAAGCCACGACATGATTGGAAACATAAGCATGAGTGGTGCGAAGCACGACACTGCCACACAGAATAGACGCTTTGGGCCGATCCAATCGACAATTTTGGCGAAGAACAGAGCCTGTAAGAGACCGTCCGCAATCCCAAATAACGCCAGCCATAAGCCAATAGAAGAAGGGGAAAGACCAAGGCCACCGAGATGCATAGGCGTGGAAAAGAACAGTGGCGACAGAGTCCTGAACGAAATGTCAAGGATGGAAATCATGGCGTAGTTTGCGATTGGGATGACAATGGTAGGTGTGAGCAAAGATCGCATGGGCATATCTGCCATGGATTTTTGCGCAAGCATTTCTCGATTGTCAACGTCATCTCCGCTTGTGACGCTGAAGGTAGTTGTCGTCGTCTTTGGCCGACGCTTGGTTGATAATGTCTGCCAATTGTAAGTAACGTGCGCTATAAATATGTAGAAAACCTACTTCTTCCAAGAAAAAGAACAGCATCAAATAGGCGAGGACGACAAAACCAGCAGCTACCGCACAAGGCAGAAAGTATGGATATTTTCTCCAAAATGAGGGGGCGAATAGACCGGGCCAGCTATCTTGTGGATGCTCAAATATTCCTCCCATTAAAGGGCTAGCATGTGGAATCCATCATTGGATATCCCCATTAGTCAACGCTTTGACTTACCCAACAAAGGTTCCAACCCTCCAGAAAACTTGCATCAAGGAAAATCCCTGAGCCATATTTGTGGAGTCTGTCAATTCCGCTATCATGGTTTTCAAGACTCCAACGTTGCCGTTCAGCACACCACACATGCAACGGCTAGCGAAACAAAGAAACCATGTCAGGGTGATGTTTCTTGCTTCAGCTGAAGACATACCTGACCACAAGGCTCCAGAAGGTCGTCGAGAGGCCGAAACATAGAATCGAAATACAAGTTCCCAGTAGTCCGATCGATAATACTGGTTTGCGTCCAATGCGGTCAGACAACCGGCTCCACTTTAACACCGTCAGAGACTGCATGACAAAGAACAGAGATTCCTGTCAATCAAGTACATTAGTATGAGGGAATCATGATTATTGGGAGTTGTAATCTTGATGCCTACAATTATTCCAGCATAATATCCTACAGCCGCATCATCGCCTCCAGTGATTCCAAGCTCTTTGATAAGCTGATAAGAGTGAAACGGTGTCAAAAATGAAGAATACGATGCTACTGTAAAGTCATGCCTGGTTGATGTACGGGAATATAGACATCGAAGCGATTGGCTCTGTGACGTGTAGCATCATAAGTATGCCTATCTGGAATTTGGGAAGAGGGGTTTTGGGCTTTTTCGAGACGCCTACAGGGACCAGAGGCGTGGTCTCGCTCGCTATACGAGGAGGATCGGCAGTGATCATTCTGGATAGTCGGTGTGAGCCAAGAGGGAGATGGATGTGGATACAACGAATCACCTTGATATGGATAGACGCACGAAGTGCAGCATTTATTGCCTGCGCATTGCCGCGTTATCGATCATGATCAGATGGCTGTTAAATCAGGACTTTGGTCAAGCAACAGATTGACTCAGCCCGGGCCGTCAACCACAAATCGGTTTGACGAGTAATTAAAGAAACAAGCTTTACCTATTTCCTACCAACGCTGCCGCAAACTAGAACTTCGACAGCTTGGATGACGCGGGGGTTGTAGTGGAAGCAGCGAGGAAATATTGCATGTAGTAAGCACCAAGCGGGCAGGAACTAACTAATATGATTCATGCAAGGGACTGATGTTGAATTAGTTCCTGCCAATGAAATTGTCCAATGCGACCTCCGCTCTGTAAGTAGCAGTGTCAGATGAGTCCATTCAGTCGATACCCGGAGCCTTTAGATCAAAAATCACAAACGACTAAGGTTCTAGTGTGATGGACGTCGTCTCAGAAGTCTATGATAATCAGCTCCCCGTGATATTCACAAGCTCCTGCCAAAATACCATTATGAACGTGGTGTCGCTGCTCAACGATTTTTGGAGAATCCTGGGCCCGGGTCGGTCGGCTGGAGTCATCCGATGATCATACGCAGATAGGCCGCTGGCGGTGTTGCGGTAGTGAAAGACGTAGCTGCCCAAGCATGTCAATGGAATCCGATGGGCCTAGACACCGGTGACCGCCAACGACATGTGATGCCTACGTCACGCCGGTGGTTCGGTGGATGGAACATTTATATCCGCAAAGGTTGCGAAACAGATCTGCACCGGGACTCCATTACCCCCACACACATTTCAAATAACTCTTCTTGGTCAGAAATTTTAGGGCTTCACGATTGGCTCGCGTGGCGGATCTGAGCTCGGCAACATAGACAGACGCCATTTACAACAAGTAGCCGTCTTACAAGTACATACGTACAAAACGAGTAATATTATTCGGGGCAATCCATATCGAAAGTAATAACTTAAGGCGCAATAATCACTCAGCGCACATCATATCACCACCTAGGTTGAGGCTGACCGTCCCATTGGCCTCGTTGAGGTAGATGTCCCTTCATAGTCTGGTCCGCTACGAGTCCGACTCCTTTGCCATCCTGAATCCGGACGATGTGGCGCATCACCTCTCCCTCGTCCCCGGCCTCTGCCCCGTCCACGCGTACCATTTGTCCATCCTCCACGGTCTGGTCCATCATGATAGGGAACTGGGCCGTGACGTAACTCTCGATCCCGATCTTGTCGATTGTACGACCCATTGTTAAAAGACCCACGTGCGGGGCCCGTTGGCGGAGGTATGGAATTAGGGCGCATAGGTGATGGGGGTGGAGCCGCCCGCGGACGACTAGGAGGATGGCTTACAGGAGGAACGCTTCCTGCAACGAATGGTTGTGATGGAAAACTGGGTGGGGTGGTGTTGTTCCATAGCTGAGGCGGTGTGGCTACTATGGAGGAGGCTGGTGCGGTTGGTGGAGTGGAATAGCTGCCGACACTCATGCCATAATCCGCAGATAGGGTTCTTAACACGATGTGTATCTGTTCCTGCGTAAGGGAAGCTACCTCTGCTGCAAGGGACGTGTTAGCAAGCTGAGGATAAGCTTGCTGTAGGGCACTAAGTGGGGGTGCATTGATGGTTGAAGATACAGCTAAGGGTGCAGGCGCAGACACATGTGGTACAGAAGGGGTTGCAGAAGGGCCTGGTTGGCCAACGGGATGATTGGCAGCAGTAGGTATGTGAGGCGACTGCGGTGGGATAACCTGAGCAGGATGTTGGAGCACAGATGGTGGGGGCGGCGGCGGCGGGGCGAGTTTCCCTCTCGTTAAGACCCAGATACCGATAACATAATTGGACTTGCGGGTTTTTGGCAGGCATAAATTATCCATAAGCTCGACGAAGTCAGGCAAAGGATGGCTTGCAAGCAGCGGAACCATGTATAATTCCTTGCCGGGGTGATGGTCCTTCGGTCGGTTTCCCCAAGGAAACACCAATCCATGGCGACTGAAGGAAGTTGTCGGTCAGAAATCTGACTTACAATGGACGCCAGAGAATAGAAAACATACTTTTTATTGATAAGGAATTCGCTGAACGTCTGCAGCATTAGGTTCCCCTCCACTGTAGAAAATGCGCATGCAATGAGCTCCTTCTGCGAATTCATTCGCATCTGGAGGAGGAAATGCGAAGAGTTCTCTGTAGGAACACGACCATCAATGCGGAGAATATCGGAAGGGAAGAGGGTTTTCCATAAATCAGAATCGTGACCCAAAATCCGTCCTCCGACTTGCCGCGCAACCACAGGTGCTTCCTGAAGAGGCGAGGATTCTAGAGGCATGGATATCTGGTGCCCGTAAGTTATCGCTAGGAACTACAACGATCAAATGCACCAACCTTGCCACTCCAAACAAGAGGAAGGGCGTCGAAAACCGCTTCAGGATCTTGAGAGGGCTGCTCCGTCTGCTCGGACTCCGGATCATGTTCCTTTTCTAACAACATATCGAAATCTTCATCGTTAGCTTCTGCGGCGACGAGATCCGCCTCCATTTGCGACTCTCGTGAAACTCCAAGGTCTGATGCGGGCTCAGGAGGTGCTGCTGATGGAGCTGACCATAAAGTGTTGAGGTCGAAAGATGTGCGAAGAGGTGTCTCAGGTTTCGGTGTAAGCGAGGGGGCGGGTGTGAATGTATCCGACTGAGTGGCAAGAAGGGGGGCAGGCGATTCGGAGAGTGCAGGTGCAGGTTCTGAGGCAACGGCAAGCGCAGGCTCTGGGACATCGGCAGGTGCGGGCTCTGGGCTTGGGGAAGGTGCGCTATCTGTAGCAAGCATGGGAGCTGCCAAGGTTGGAGTCTCCAGCCTCTCTGCATATGAATCTTGCTGGCCTGGCTCATCGTCTAGATTGATGAGATCCGCGATATCAAGCTCCGGCTCCGGGAGCATCGTATGGAAATCAGATGAGAACAAATGATGCATAGGCGGTCTGTCATCGCCTGCCGGAAACTGGTCGACTGAATGCATGGGCACAGACGGATGCCCGCCCCAACTCGATGTATGAGGTACAACTGGAGACTCAAGTGGCGCTGATCCTCGAGCAGCTGCAGACGCACGCTGCTTCTGCTGCTCCTCGGCGGCTCTCAAGCGCGCCTGCCGCTCTCTCTCGCGTCTCTCTTCCTCCTCCCTCTCACGCTCCCTCTCACGCTCGCGCTCGCGCATCGTAACATCACCATTCACATCCTCAATGTCCTGCAGGCCCTTATGAGTAATTTTTGCACGAGGAACAGTTGACTTTTGTAGGATTGAATGTTCCAGAGATTCTTTCTCCAATATTTTGATCGACTGTTTCGTCTCTTCGTTCGCTAAGTCAGTCGAGCTCATGAGGGCAAGTTCCTTTGGTGTGATAGAGGATGAGCTAATGCGCTTGTGAATGACCACACGATCTGGTTTGCTAAGGTTAAAGTCAAGCATACGGAACCTCTCCCTGTGAATGCCAATCAGGGCGCTAATCAAAAGATCAAAACGGAGTACGGGCTCACTTATACTTCGGCCCAACGCTGAGCTTGTTGTGCTTGTCCGGTTCGCAGTACATATCAAATACGCATTGCTCAACCTCAACAGCAAACGCCTTTGCCTCTTCCTCTAAGCGTGTCTTATCTTCATCACTTAATTCACCCTCTTTGAGTTCGGCCTTACTGCCATCCTCCGTCGCAGCAGCATGTGGGTACTTCAAAAAAATCGAACAAAACAGCTGGTGGAGTTTTCCAAGACAATACTTTCTTGCTGGATCCTCTTCAGCTGCGGCATCGCTGGATCTCCTGCGCTTGGAAACAGGAGGTTGGGTGGCGCTCGTCGCCTTTCGCTTGAGACCAGAACCTGGGACGAGAGACGCCTTCCTCGCTGATGATTCTTGAGACGGGCCAGCCTTGTGGGAAGATTCTCGGACATCGTTACTTTCGCGGACGTTAGAATTTGTGTCAGACTCGCTGGAGCTGGAAACTCTGCGACGACGCTGGCGAATGAACCACGAAAACGATCAGACGCCATATTGAATAGGGTGTCAGGAACGCACCTTAGCAGATGATGACCCTTTCCTCTTGAACTTCTCCGGCTCTGCAATGTATTCGTCCTCGCTGTCTGTATTGTCCTCCGATTCTGATGGGGGAATCGCCGGAGGTGGCGTCGAAAGCCTGACAGATTTGACCTCGTCCTGCTCTGGGTCGGCGTGTTCTTCTGCTACATCTGGTTCTTCCCACTTCACTGAAAACACGAAAAAAAATTAGCACCTCAAGTCCTGAATTGACACGCTGTAAGGAAAAAAGGAAAGAGCACATCATTCTTTTTCCCTGCGTGCGAACAGGACGTCACTGTGGCACAGGTTGTACCATCTAGCGCCCGTTGACCGCCGTGCTCAAGCAATCGCTCACATCAAAACCTCTTCAGACAAAAATTGACTCAAGAGGAATAGTCGCGTGCCTATAACGTAAGGCCAAAGGCACCATTGGATGCACAAGTACAACCATCACAGCGGCACGCAATTGACAGCAACAAGGGTGTGGCGAACAGGAACAGATATGCCACTAACGATAGACGATAGCGAAGTACTTGCAGGACAAGACTCATATGATGGATGTACATGAAGAGGAATACGAGCCCGCAGAGACAAACCAGAAAAAGACCGGTGACACTCACTGACTGTACGTCGACCAGTTGATTCAGTGCATGTAGAACATACATAAATATCTATAAAGGTCGGGGAATAATCAGCAATCGATGAGATGCGATAAGGAAAAACTTACGAAGTTCAGAAGCCTCCACTTCGTCAAGCCTCACACAGCGAAAATGATACCTATGCGCCGATTTAGTGAAGCCTGGTATAGGGATCTGATCGCATGTACGCACCACTCATTACAGACAGAACAACAGACCATGGGCGTGCCATCGTCTGGTTCATGGCAGATACAAAATGTACATTTATCCTTTGGCTGTCTGTCCTGGGCATCCTGGGTGGCCTTCATAGGCGTCTTCACCTTCCCACGACCAATCTTGGTCTCCTTTTCCATCTCGCTCATATGGTCCTCGCTCTTCAGGGATCTCGCGCGCGACCTGATAGATTTTGGCTGATTACCTTTGCTTGACTGTGACTTGACATTATTTGTAGCCGACACTGATTTTGTTCTTGAGCGGGTCGACATCGTTGGCGTCGGTGTCCGCGTTTGTAAGGTTTAGGTTGTGAGTCAAGAACAGAATGACTTTGAAACTCCGACATTCCGACATCGTGGCAAAGAATCAACGTCATTCTTTCCAAATTGACCTTAACTCGTCTGGTACGTTGGGCTCTGGATGACCAGGCTGAACTATTGGTTGATCACGAGTTACTTCATCCTGGCAACTCACAGTTGTACATCCGAGTTTGGGTGCGAACTTACTAGCCGCCACGAGTGTCATATCAAGCGGTCGCGTAAGCCTTCAATCATTCATCACAGAAGCTCGTGCTTTCCTGCCGTCGGGGAGTCGACGGCGGCCTCGCGCTCATATTACGCTCACACGAACGGGTCATAGTCTAGGTCTACCCCTAAGTGACTCGCGATGTCCGCCTCCGGCGGCAAGTTCCTTTCCCAAGTTTCATAAATTGGCCTCTCCAGAATGACAGTCACTTCTGCAGTCTTGTGTGAGTCTGGGAAGTGGATGTCCCGTTGATATACACGTGAATTTCGCGAAGCAACAGCCTAATCTAAAGTTTCTAGACCACGTGGTTTCTCCTCTCATTATTTTGAGATGAGCCAAGTCCAATTGTAGTGGTCGCTGCTCCGATGGCTGGCAAGATCCAGGAGATTCGAGAACACGCCATGGCACCAGCGATACAGCCGCTCTCTTTTGGTCAGCTCCGCATTCAGTGATGACATCTGGCTTGACTGATGTGGCGATCTTAAACCCCCTTTAAGGTGGCGAGTCAGCTGTCCGACAATCAGCCAACGCAGGTGGTGTGGTACCGTAAGAACTGCGGTCCATGACCCGAATACCCTTCCGGGTCCATGCAGTGGGTGTCAGATACTGTCAGATATCATGAATAGCATCAACCCGAAGGACCACTAGTACAAATTTGATGTGTAGATGTCTGCTTTTGTTGTGCAGTCACAAGTTGCTAACTTTACATAACTTCAAGTTGAGGATACTCTCAAACCGTTAATACTGCCACAACTGCAAGTCGGTCGGTCGTGGTAACTATCCGAACTGGTAGTATTTAGGTCGTTGTCTCTTGCTTCCGACGTCAACATCTTGTCAATCCGTGCATGATTTCGTTTCACGACTACTTATCAATATTGAACGTTCCTAACGTTCCCGGAGCGCACGCGCTGCTTCTTCCGGAGATCTCAATCTATTACTGGCGAAAACTGTGGCCCTGTTTGAATCTCGGGAGGAATATTGTTCCTTCGGATCCTGGCTTATTACTGCACCCTTCTCTTCAGTCGCCACCTTTTTCGTCTGTCAAGATTGTGTGGTGACAGGCCATCCATTACATTGTACTTGCTGTGCTTCGGCCACAAACTGGGAGGATTTGCAGTGTATCGCATACTGTCAGATCAAGTTATTGGTGGGTTCGCCTTCCGAATTGATATCTCCGCTTGCCGCTTTGCGAAGTGGAGTAGTATGTGAATTCATACTTTCGTAACGCTACATGATAGTGTCCGCACCACTTACGACAAGTATGCTGACTTTGGAATTGCAGGGTCACTTGGCTACTATCTTGCACGTTGCACTCCCATCAACGCCTCACTTTGAAGCGAAGTGTACGCGGTCGTGTAGCGTTAGTCATACAGTTTCCTCGAGATTTCGGCATTACATGCGGCTTACACATGGTAGCAATCGCCCTCTCGAGCGGTCCAAGGACACAGACATCCAACCCCTTCCATATGGTCTCTCTCCAGCTTGGTAACCCGAGGCGCGACCCGTCACCGAAAGCGTTGCCCCGCACTTCAGAGCCCTTGTCGTCGTCATCATCATTATCTCCCCCTGCTCAAGAGATGCCCGAGACAACCATGACTTTCAAGAGACTTCGATCGTCATTGGAGCAAAGTTTGAAGACCGCAACACGTTCCAGAGCAAAAGTTCTGCCACCCGTTGATGACTTCGCAACCGTGTCCGTCAATGGTAAAGGCAAGGAGAAAGAGCTTGAAGACCACGTTGATGTGAAAGGGCAGAAGAAGGATAAGATCATGTCTGGCATGCTGAGGCGATTGGAATCAAGGGTAGGACTGCGCAGAACTCCACGTATGTCGACATCGACATCGATCCCCCTCGACACAAGTCACACCAACGCGATTGGAGCGACTACTGGCAATAACGCGGATGTAGTCATCAAGTCACGCCAGGCTGGATTCACGAGTTTTGTTACCCCATCCCTGCGGCAGGCATCCGTGTCTTCCCCTGTTCTCCATCTCTCGTCCCAAAATTTGCCGTCGGGTCCGTCGCAGCCTGCAGCGATGGCGCCATTAACAAATACAGGCCCTATCACACCTGTACGCGATCGCACGCGGCGCGCCAGTGTTCAGCCCATTAAGTCCAAGGAAATTAGTGGTCCTCAGCCATTAGCATCGCGGCATGACCGCCGTAGTGGCGCTGCAACGCCTGACCGCTTTGGCGCGGCCTCCTCTCGGGCAAGTAAATCTCGTCCAACTCCAGTGCTTTCTACACCAAGGGGACGTTCGTCGACTGACGCACCTAGGCGGAGCCGTGATTCGTCAAGTCCGCCGGACACCCCGACACCTCCGAGTCTGTCTGGTTCCCGAGGGCAGTTGGGCGACCTGTCCAGAACGCCCGTGGCTGCGAGTGCAACTCACCTGCCTCTTCACAGCAGTCCGCCTTCCTCTCCCATTCCTAGCCGTGCTGTGAGTCCTGCACGCGCAAGGACACCTCTGAAACAAGTCGTGGCTCCCACATCGTATCAGGGGTTTACTTCTGTATCTGCGTCCCATCTTCCCTTGAACTCCTCCAGTCCACCGACGGCATCAACTCCAGCCCGTATGCCTTCTGTAGATGCACCAAGGAGACCTTCAGTTGATGCGCCACGGAGAGGTTCTATTGGTACCCCACAGAGACCATCTTTTGATACCTCCCGAAGACCATCTGCAGAAGTGCCGCGAAAGGCATCTGGCGAAACCTCTCGGAGAAGCTCCATTGACGTGCATCGGCGACCCACGGCCTCCCCTGTGCCTCGAGCATGTTCCCCTCAGTCCACCGTGCGTCCACGTGCTACATCACCTTCTCAGCGCACGCCTGCATGCGCCCAGAATCGCTTTAATATCTCAACTGCTTCCCTTATCCCTCCTTCTACTCCAGAGCAGCGTGAGATTATACGTACTGCAACTTCGCTTCTGTGCAGGGAATTACGGAAAGCACCAGCGCATCTTGCACGCGGTGATGCACAGAAGGAGTGGGCGGAAGTAGAGGTGCGCTTGCAGCCCTTAATTAGGCTTGAACGTGTTTGGGGGAAGAGTGGCGGTGCCAGCGCTAGTTCTAGCCAGATTGCTGTGGGCGGTGTTGGTTCCACTGTACTTAGCTCTGCTGGGGAGGAAAGAGAAAGAAAGCTCTTCTGCGAGGCCCTTCGAGATGGCGTTGTTCTCTGCCAGTAAGTCTTGACAGTTACTCCGACTGGTGTGCTGTTTAATGTTACATCTTTTCAGGTTGATGAACAAGCATTGTTCTGGGACCATAGCTCGCATCGACCACCGTGAAGATGGTTTTAAGCACACCAACAACATCACCAGGTTCATTGCTGCATGTTCGCAAAACGGCGTCCCTTCCGGCGACATCTTCTATCGTGATGACCTCATCCAGGCGACTCCAGAAACCCTTTGCCGTGTCGCATGTACCATCATTTCGTTGATCAAGCTTTTTGAAGACCCTGGGGTCGGTCGTGCGAAGGTCATCACGGGTCAAGGCAGGAAAGGTGCCATCATAGCTTCAAGCAACGACCCTTACTCTCCGGCGGTTTCTCGCGCTGCTTCTCCCACACCGAATCTGCTGCCACGACCAGTCTCTCCACCTTCTCCTTCCGGTCCGACTCGCAGAATGCGGAATCCACATGAACGATTGCCTCCTCCCATACGACCTGATAGTCCGCAATCGGGAACATCTGCTGGCACAGCTAAGAGAGTCCCCATCATAGATAGAAGTACGACGCCGGCCAGTAACAGCGATCATGAAATCGACGAGGTTCCCCCTATTACGGGACCATCTCCAACCCCTAGATCTCCCTTTCGTGGGCACTCTCGAACTGGACTTCCAGATGACAGCAGTATGAGCCCTCTCTCCAGCCTTCAGCCACTCGACATTCCCTTCCCTCAAGTATCGACCTCACAGGTGTCCAGTCCGTCGGGCTATGATGCAGACTATCCCCCACGACAGTCGAGAACATCCAGCAATCTCACTGATAACACTGCCCTCTCCAGCATCTTTGACATCAGACGGGCGAGCAGCAGCAACCAAAACAAATTTGGTACCATCAGGACTTTCACAACTGAGGCGACTTCTTGCTCTGAGGCGCCCTCGTTCACCCGAACGGAGGCTAGCTCGGTGGCAGCATCCATGGCAGAAGAGATGAGCAGGAGACGGGGTGGTGGAGAGCCTACACTTCGGTCGAGAGAGCGACGCCCGAGCGAGCCAGGTGTACTTGATCTGGTTAGCCTCGCAGAGGAAGAGGAGAACAGTGCATGTGGGTCGAGCTCCAATCACCACCAGGGGGAGAGTTTACAGCCTAGAGAACCCTCGCGGGAGCGGGAAACGGAAGCGCAGGTTCGTGTGCGGCTCGGTAAAGGCAAATGGCCTGACGATTTTCTGGACGCTTTCAAAGCACAAGCTCCAAGTCCATCTCGAACAGTCCCGACTGCAACATCGTCAAACCATGTAGATACGCCTCTTAGTTCCAGTCCTCTGTCTGTATCCCCGACCAGAAAGCTTTCCATTGTTGGGACATCACGTCACAACGACAGCACAGAGCCCACGGTTCGAAGGCCATCTTATCGGTCAACGCATAGCGCGGATGTCCTGATGCCGAAGAATTCAGTGCTCCGTTTGGATGCCAGCTCAGAGAATTCACCAGGCTCCAAAGTTATTCTGCGTCGTCAGAGTACACGGAATGGTGCTCGCAGAAATGGGGCCTACTATCCTCGTAATAGCACCGACGATCCTGGGACTGCAAAAGATGACGATCCTCATACTGTCCCCTTCCCACGTGCCGTGTCAGGGGAATTTGCTGCTCATTCCACATCATCTCCCGATTCTACTGCCAGGGGCGGTGTCACAAATAACCAGGATGCTCCCCGTGTGCGTGGTCGTTTCCAGAGTGATGTTGAAGATCACCGAGCTCGAAGATGCAGTCGTCCGACTTCGCATGATGAGTTGGGCAGACCGCGGAGGTCTCGATATGAAAGCATGGTCAATCTAGGGGTGGCCTCTGCGAATGCAAGTACGAGCGACTTGCTGGCAAGAGACTCTGGTGACGGAAGCGCTGTACGGCAGACTGTAATAGTTGAGGAAGAAGGAAAGCCCGCAATTCATTTCGTGAGTTCTCCTATTTATGTGAGCTAGCGCCCAGGTTTTTGACTTTACCTTTATAAGCAATTCGGGAATTGCATCGGCCGCGGACAGTTTGGCACAGTGTATCGGGCCCTGAATCTGACAACCGGACAAATGGTAGCAGTAAAACGAATCCGATTAGAAGGTCTGAAAGAGGACGAAGTTGCCCAGCTCATGAGGGAGGTGGACTTGATGAAACAACTATCCCATCCAAGCATTGTGAAGTATGAAGGGATGGCTCGAGATGACCAATACCTCAACATCGTTCTTGAGTGAGTAAAGTCCATTATCTTGTTGGATCTTTCTGTGATAAATTCGATGTAGGTATGCTGAAAGCGGCTCATTGGGCCAGATGCTCAAAGCTTTCGGCAAGTTGAACGAGAAACTTGTGGCGAGCTACGTTGTCAAGATTCTTGAGGGCTTGCATTACTTGCATTGTTGCGATGTTGTCCACTGCGATCTGAAAGCCGCCAACATCCTTACCACGAAGACGGGGAATATCAAGCTCTCGGATTTCGGCGTTTCCCTGAACCTGAAGGCTATAGAACGAGAGAAGGACGTTGCTGGTACTCCGAACTGGATGGCCCCAGAAGTCATCGAGCTCAAAGGGGCTTCAACGAAGGCTGACATTTGGTCGCTGGGATGCACAGTCGTCGAACTTCTTACTGGACGTCCGCCATTTGGGGATATCACCAACACAATGACAGGTATGATCGTAATCATTGCTTCGGATGCATGACTGATGTAGATGCAGTCATGTTCCGCATTGTCGAGGACGAGATGCCAATCCCTGAAGAATGTTCCGAACCGTTGAAAGACTTCCTTCAGCAATGCTTCCAGAAGGAACCCTCGATGCGACCTGATGCCGAGCTATTGTGCGAACACCCCTGGTTAAAGAAAAATTGGGATGCCCTCAAGGTTCGTGAGTTTCCGAATAGCATGCAAGGTGTTACCAATCGATTTCATTTAGGAGCTTCGTCCCCAGGATAGCATACCTTTTCTCCGGCGTGTTAGCACTGATCTCCAAAAGACTGACGTTGCATTCCTTGCATCTATGGATATAAACAGAATCGAATCGCCCTTCTCGGTAGCCTCAGTTCAAGAGGAGACATCAAAGTCTCCAAGGCGCAGATTATCCAGTGGACCGTCTTCACCGATCCCGCTTCTGGAGGGACACCCCATTCACCCCTAGGGATCATTCCTTTATCAAGACCACCTTTGAGAAACGTGAGCCCGGAATTTGCGGCCCGTTAGCCTCGCTGATCGTGTTTGTAGCCATGGTCTGCAGCGTGTGTATGGGAAGTGTCAAAAGGAGTGCCGTCATTTGCGACAAGTGTAATCTCATCACTCACTCGAAATGTGCTCCTGAAGCTCCTCCCACATGTGACTTCCGCTCTCAACTGTTGCTTTACGCACAGTACGCCGAACAAGGAAGCCCTGCTGGTATCCCACTCGATGGATCGAATGGGTTGCATCCTCGTCCATCGACGACTATTCCTTCTGAAGTCTCCTTAGCCACACCTTCTCCACGACCAAGCTCGGACGTCACGCCCTCATCGTCATCGCCCTCATCCACTCCTCCCAATGCTTACAAGTTTATGAAACCTTTCAAACATTCTCGTTCTTCCCTAGCAACAGAGAATAGGTCTCCCCCTTCCACGTCGGCGTTACCGATTCCTCAGCCTCTGACTCACGATGATGTCGCTCCCAAGCGAAAACTCCCTAAGCTCCCGTCAAATATGATCTCCAAAGAACGACCTCATTCATTGTCAAGTAATAGTACTGCCCGCAATGCCACTAGCGTGGAGACGGCTGACAGCCAATCTAGCCGTCAAGAACCTGGTCGTCAATCCTTCCTTTCGATAGCTGAGCTTGATACAGATACCATTCCACAACTTGGTCCGCCAGTTCCTGACAAGAAACCCTTTTATGCCCATACTATGACTGCTATTGATCATATGAACACTCCATCACGCCACATTCCGGGCACGACGCCCAACGAACCTGACCGTTATAAAAAACGGGGAGCCGAGAAATCATCAGGGTGCACTGTCCAGTGAATGCTATCCCTCATCCACTGTTATCCTCGCCGCACCGATCATCCGAACATAGCATCAGATACCATGGACATCGTACCACTGAAGTTCTTATTGCTTTTACTCACTTATCACTTATCACTTATCATTACCATACCTTTCATCAAGACATATATATACTCTATTTTAGCACCTATGACCTGGTGCGATATCTAATCGATCTAATCACCAACAACCTTAACTGTTGGCAACTTACTCCAGCCCTCATTTTTCCTATGCGCTACCACATAGCAGGTATCTGCGGTGCAATTGGAATGGACTCATGTGGCCTGTGTCACTCTGATTTGACTTTGCAGGGGAATATTTGCTCATCATTTGAAACTAGCCTCATCAGTGACATATTGATCATGTTCGCGAAGCGAGCCACAGTGCTAGCGGCCGATAACTTTTAGTAGATCTTCGAACCATTAGAGGGAACGGTTATCCCCAGTGGTTATTCTCCTTCCAAAGGTCTCGGACATCCCGAATCAATTGCTGGTAGGTTGAGCAACCTTGAGGTTGGCTCGTGAGTCGACACCACAACATGAAATTCCAGAATCACTGCCAGCACATTCATCAAATTTGTCGGCGTCAGTGAATTGAGCAGTCCAGAGCAGTCCCGGATATTAAGTAGCCGAAGTATAGCACGATATAATTCTGCTCTTGTCAAATATTAGTCATCAAATTTCAAATCTTACTACATATCGCACAATCGATGTCGATGAGGTCAGGCAAACAGTAGTTGGACTGGGTCGAGCGTTAGCTCGGTCGGACGCTGGCGAGGTTGCCGCTGGGTGGGTGGGAACACTCAACATGCGGGCTGATTGAATGACCATTATGAGTGTACATATACGAAGCTGATAATCACTGGCAAGCACGGGTATTTAAAATATCAAAGAGCTAGGTGTCATTATGGAAATTATAATGATATTCGAAGTGGCGGGGGCAAAAATATGAGAGCGAGCGAGATTATAGTGAAACGAGCGAGCGGATCGTATCGTGCAGCTATGACTCGGAGTCGGAAGTGAGGCGAGAACAAGAAGAAAGAAAGGCTTGCCGCTCCGAGTCGATGTGATGCCGGTTCCTTCCGAGCATTCAGGTCTCAGGAACCGGGGTCCGGCACCTTCACATTGGGAGTTTGTGACATCACTGTTAACGTGACTTTGCACCATCCGAGTCGCAGCCGCCATAGTATAATATACAAGGTATTGTAGGGAAAAGTTTATCCCCTTGTAAGTTGTCGGGTGTTCTCAGTTCCCAACATGACTCGACTCACAGTACCAACCTTTTTGGTTGCCACCGTGACTGATCCGATCTACTTAAAGCTGAAGAATTTTACCTGTAATCTCGGAGGCACCGTCACGGTACTTTCGGTCTGAAGCACCCGCAGATATAGCCAGTTCCGAGTCATGAAGCCACCTTAAGACGCCTCGAACACAGCCGCTCGTCGGTCCTGCCTTATACCTTACTTTACCGTGTGTTAGTGGCCTGAAACATAGATCTAGAGAGGTCGACTTGCGAATCAATCGACGGAGAGATCTCGATCATTTTGTACCTGAGGTCCAACCGTCACTTTTTTAACTGGCAAGGTCAGACCCTGTGACATGCACATCATGATGGACAACTAAAATTCGATCATATATCAATGGTACGCTCAACAACAGCTGGCATCGCCTTGACCTCCCGCCATGCGAATTTTTGTGCTGAGCTGTGCCATTGCACTACTTCTCTCCGTCTGTAGTGCCGGTGCAGCATTGACAAATGCACAACGACTAGCTCGTGGCCTGCCAATTTTACCTCCCAAGTTTGGTCGCTCTCTGCCAGGTTATGCAAGGTCACCGACAGTAGCTGGTACTTCTAAACCCATATCTCAAGTACTTGCACCAACTAATGTGTCGGTGTAGGAGTGAAGGACCCGTCCCCGTCGTCCGCTCCGCCTCAGACGTGAGTCCGTTGAAAATTTCACTGGAAATTTGTTTCAGCTCCTTCAGAATTACTGGTCGGATCCTGGTTAAGAGCCACAATGGCAAATCACTAGGACATCTACATAACATGGCCTCAGGAATGTAAGGACGCCTGCCGACTTGAGTGTTTCTCCTATTGAAAATGTCACTGCTGAGCTTGTGACTAGAAATGGCGTAAACTTTGGTGCCTCAAGCGCGGACCTGCACGTGTCGTTCACCACGTCTCGATCTGGAAAGGGGCTTATCGACATACAGGCCGTCGTACGGTCCCCCTCATCCTTTTCATTTCTAAAATTTACAAAGCTCTTGACAGGACGCCGCATTTCATGGGCCTCATTATATTGGGACGACCAGCAGCCACACCCTCGCCACTGGCTCCTCAACGTCGGTATTTTCACCAAAAAAAACCGGTTGCTAGACACTGATTTTGCTCCATCAACAGAGCCGTCGACTTTGGCAACGCCATTAGAAGTAAGTTTGCACGGCTATCACAAATTGAATGTTTAATGATAAATCATTCATAGCACCTGTGCATTCCCCACCCGTTCCTGCGGGCCAGCATAATGCGGACGAATCAGCTATTTGGACTTTCGATCCCAGAACTCATGAACTGAAGGGTGGGCTATCTCGATGCTTTCGTTGTCCGAATCTACTTATCATTGACATGTCTCAAGTGCAATACGTAAATCCCGACGGCCAAACGGCAAAGACGATTATCGCTTATAATATTCATGACAACACAATATTCTTTGTCGGTGACATCGGTGCTTATAATGCCGCTCAAGTCCATCCTGATCACCACGTCTCACCTATTGTTAGTCTGTTCAACTTTTTGCCCGAATTCACCGACTCATCGATTTACAGACATTTTACCTTGATTCGGCGGTTAAGAAATGAGAGAGCAATGATCCAGAAAGGTTCTCTCTCTTCCACATCTTTTAACATTCCCTTCATTTTCCATGTCAATCTTTTAAATTTCAGTCCAAGTCGTAGGTTCACCAAATTGGGTCTTTCATTCGGACTTTGAAAACTGTGTTGGTCTCTAGATCCCTGACATTTACTTACATACCACTTATTCCCAACTTGAAGTTTGAGATCTGGAATACATACCTAGACTGTTACTTTGAACTACTTATACAAGATCAAAGGATTGAGTTCAAATTATTCTTTCATTGGAACAGCAGAGCAATAAATTACAGCGACAGAGTAAGGAGTCACAGGCGCTGTTTATTCTGGGAATGCGAGCGCTCGCACAGCTTCAATCCAAGCTGCTGCAGCGTCGGGGAACTTGGTAGCACACAACGGATTAGTAACATTCTTCTGACAGGTTGACTTGGCTCACCTCCCACACCATAACGCCAGCATCTGGAAACTACGGTTAGCCCCTGTTGAACAGCACGTGGGATATTAGACGTACCCCATCCATCTTCGTAGGCGGTTTCCACACACTCGGCGAGTAGGGTGGTGTTCATATAGCCATTGGTCGCATCCGCAGTAGTGGCTGGCTTGCCGATGACCAACTTGTCTAAACTAACTCCTGCTTCCGCAATCTGGAAGAGTGAAGTGTTTGGCCATGTCGTGGATGATTCCGTAAGGAGGCCAGTACACGTTGTGTACTCAGTTGTACCCTCTAATATAGCTAGTTAATAATAGGCAAAGAGACAGGACTGCGTGACTCACGGTTGTAGAACTGTACAAAACCGGGAATTCTGTATCAGCATCATGAAATTACCCATTGTCAAAAAACACTTGCCTGAACGTTGTACTGTAAGGTGGCGAATGAGCTCACAAAAAATTACAGTGATTTTCTCACTTACCCAATCAATTAACGATCCAACGTTCATGTTGACCGCCAAATATGCTCCACTAGTGTACGACGTGGAGAACCTATAAACAGGGAGATAAATCCAGACGACTCGCATAAATACGATTGGTCCAAATACCATGGAGCAACAGCTAGATGAAGGCCGAGAACTTAGTCAGGTCCAATGACTGGAATTTGAGGCAGACTCACGTGCATGGGTTAAGATGTATTGTCCTGCGGCGTGCTCTCAGTACGTCCTCGTCACATAATGGAACCAGCAAACATACCTTGCGTAAGCGTTTCACGGAGGGTTTCGGTGAAAGTGGTCAACCAAGTTTCTGCAGATCCATTTTCAGCATTCATGGCGTCGAAATCCTGTTGCAAAGCCAGTATTCAGTTGTGGACTAATGTACGTCAAGAGAAACCCACTTCGTAGTCAATATCGACACCGTCGAGATTATATTCCATCACGAAGGCCGAGAGATTATTGGCGACGGTCACAGGATCAAGTCCATCAGTCGTAGGCGTATCCGTGGACCCGAAAGCAGATACAATAAGAGAAATCCCGGCATCGTGGTATGATGTCAAGTAAGATTCTCGTGTGGCATTGTCAATCAATGTCCACTCGTCAGCTTGATCAACTGGGCCGGTTGTAAGCCAGAACGATAGAGCACTGAAGAAAGTTAGACTGCAAAACACTCGTGCTTGTCCCCAAGGCTCACAAGACATTATACCCCTGATTCCAAGATGACAGAAAAACAATTAATAGGTGCTAATGAAGTTGTCGGTGAATACATACCGTGACTTCGCTGACATCAGGAGGGCCGTCCTCACCATCGACCCACTCGTCGCTGTAAATGACGAAGCGAGGGGCTGCAGGTGGAGCGATTGTACGAGCTGAAAGTGTCGTGTCCACAAGAGGCACAGACAACACTCCGCCGATGACTGTAAAGACGCTGAGAAGACTCGAGAGCATGAAAGACACCATGATGAGGATGGAGTAGAATAGTAGCCACTGGTAGGCATTTATACCTTTCACCAAGAGCTCATCCCAGGGTTAGTGTATCATAATATGACCTTCAATGGCATATGCACCAGAGACCCCGTCCCACTAATAAAAGATGTGAGTGTCAGTATCAGAACAAAACCAGGGTGGTGGCTGGATGCCGCATGGATTATCGCCAGACGATTTGGCGATAAAGTTAGACCCCTGTTTGCGAGAGGCAGCACATGAAAAGACTCGAAATTATCACCAGCAACATAACCCTCTGCCCCCTAAGGTTCCCAAGTCCAAAGATGGGTCAGACGCGGGATCTCCGTATTGGGAACACGGTCGGTCGGTCCATGTCCAAAGTCGTACGAGTGGTGAGCATGCGGACTCAGAAAAACATGCGAGGGTATCAGGTACGTGCATGCGAGAATTGAAAAATCGGCCGCATGTGCTCGAGAGGCATCCGAGGTTGGATATGATTGAGCAAGAGAGATAATTCCTCAGAAGCACGGATTTGGAATGCCAAAATTGAATGAGTCGGTATGCGGAAGCAATCCGTGGTGAATGTAATAGGTGAGATAAGCTTAGGAAATCGGGGTAGACGGCGGGAGTCCCTGTAACCTCTCGACGAAGGACTGTAGCGTTCAGCGGGAAAGCTTGAACGCGAACTATGAAATTACAGTTCACATCGTCCGTTGCTTTGCCAAGAGATCCCCTGCACGCATTGGCAGGATACTAGCATGCAAAAGCGACAAATGCCAGCAGCAAGACACGCATTTGACGGAGGATTGTCGCGTGTGACTCTCCCTCTAAAAGGGATTCTCAGCAGTTCTGCAACAAAGCCAGGTTTTAGAAATGTGAAAGTGAGGGAAAGTGTGAGATCTTAGAAGGGCATAATAAGACTTTGCACCAGATGGTACTAGCTGGCAACTTGAGCTGTATCTCAGTTCCGAAAAATGGGGTAGGCGACACAAGGTGGCACAAGGCGAAAAGGTGTAGTAGGCTATGTTTCCGAGGCAATCAGATGTACACAGTCCGTTGCACATGTACATATGCTTAGCTAGACCCCATGCACCGTCAAAGGTAACATGTGAAGTTTTGAAACATTAGCACCTGAGACAAACCAAAGACACTTACTGCAACGATCCTAACTCGTGCCCAGCCCAGCTGGCCTCTGCTGACAATATATGCAGCGCCTGTATACTCTGCACAAACTTTGATAATCCGTAACCTTGCAATAATCATCGTCAAAGTCCAGCGCATATGCATATATCTCGTCCCAGCTCCGCTCTGTACTCAACCAGGTGGATTTTGCTACCCTCCACCGATATTTCTGGACGACGTGTTCTGGGAACTCCATTGGATCCGCTCAAAGCTCAAAAGCCGAGGTAATATTTTGAAATGTCCGACGCGGTGACGACCCAGAAATGGGAAGAATGGGTAAACCATGTTCATGTTCATATGCTAAGCACTAGACCACTGGTGTGTTTGTAGAGAAATATTAATGTGTCATGAGAGCGCCCGATTCCCGCTTGGATGCGAAATCGACGCTGCATACGGATTTGGCAGCGTGAAGCAAGTTGTCTCTGGTTATGGCATCGAATTATGATGATGGTTATCCCAAGGTTATCAGTTGGGGCATATACTGCTTACATAACAGACACTATTACGGACACGCGGATTCCAAGTCGGGCAGCCAATATTTGCCCAAGGCTGGTCCGGGGCCCGTGTTCAAAATTCACGAAGCCTTTGGCAGTACGCTGCATTTCCTAAAACTTATTGGCATCAGGACAACGAGCAATGACACTCTCGCGCCTGCAGTACGCCTGGTTTCCAAAATGTTGGTGTTTTTACAGAAACAATCTGCATAGGATTTTCTGATGTAATCAGAGATCGACAGCCTGACATTAATTCCCGTCATTGTCAAGTTGTCGGTGCACCAAATTGGGAATCTCTTTTGTTCGGACCTTGAAATGGACTGTCGGACTTGTCTCACGCCTACATACCTGACGCGTACTAACTTAAAGTTCAAGCCTGTATGTGTTCTACGCATCTGGAATACTTAAACACACGGACCGTTACTTTGAGCTACTTATTACACAGAGGATGTGTCCGGAAAATGACCTCAAGATCATACCTACATTAGGACATAAATGACAGCGGGAGAGTCGGTAGTCACAGGCGCTGTTTATTCTGGGAATGCGAGCGCTCGCACAGCTTCAATCCAGGCCGCTGCAGCGTCGGGAAACTATCACACGACGGATTAGCGACATTTCTCTGACAGGTTGACTTGGCTCACCTCCCACACCATAACACCAGCATCTGGAAACTATGATTAGCCCCTGCAGAACAGCATGTGAAATATTGGACGCACCCCATCCTTGTTGATAGGCGGTGTCCACACACTGGGCGAGTAAGGTGGTGTTCATATAGCCATTGGTCGCATCCGCAGTAGTGGCTGGCTTGCCGATCACTAACTTGTCTAAACTAACTCCTGCTGCTGCAATCTGGAAGAGTGAAGTATCTGGCCATGTCGTGGATGATTCCGTAAGGAGGCCAGTACACGTTGTGTACTCAGTTGTACCCTCTAATATAGCTAGTTAATGATAGGCAAATAGACAGGACTGCGTGACTTACGATTGTAGAACTGTACAACACCGGGAAATTTGTATCGGTATCATGAAATTACCCATTGTCAAAAAATACTTGCCTGAACGTTGTACTGTAAGGTGGCGAATGAGCTCACAAAAAATTCCAGTGATCTTCTCACTCGCCCAATCAATTAACGATCCAACATTCTTGTTGACCGTCAAATAAGCACCACTAGTGTACGACGTGGAGAACCTATAATGTTACAGGGAGATTAAACCGGGCGAGTCGCATGAACACGATTGGTCCAAATACCATGGAGCAACAGCTAGATGAAGGCCGAGAATTTGTTCAGGTCTAATCACTGGATGTTGAGGCAGACTCACGTGCGTGGGTTAAAATGTATTGGCCTGCGACATGCTGTCAGCACGTCCTCGTTGTTCATAACGGAACCAGAAAACATACCTTGCGGAAGCTGAGCACGAAGAGCTTCGGTGAACGTAGTCAGCCAAGTTTCTGCAGATCCATTCTCTGCATTCATGGCATTAAAATCCTGTTGCAAAGCCAATGTTCAGACATGGACTGATGCACGTTAAGAGAAACTCACTTCGTAGTCAATATCGACACCGTCAAGATCATATTCCAACACGAAGGCCGCAAGATCATTGGCGATGGTAGTAGGATCATATCCCTCAGTCGTAGGCGCATCCGTGGACCCGAAAGCAGATACAATAAGAGAAATCCCGGCATCGTGGTATGATGTCAAGTAAGATGCTCGTGTGGCATTGTCAATCAATGTCCACTCTTCAGCTTGATCAGCTGGGCCGGAGATAAGCCAGAACGAGAGGGCACTAAAGAAAGTTAGACCGCGGAACACCCATGTTTGTCCCCAAGGCTCACAAGACGTTATACCCCTGAATCCCAAATAACAGAAAGTAGTCAATACGTGCTAATGGAGTTGTCGGTGAATACATACCGTGACTTCGCTGACTGCAGGAGGACCGGTCTCACCGGAGATCCACTTGTCGCTGTAAATGACGAAGTAAGGGGCTGCAGGTGTTGAATGAGCTGAAAATGCCATTTCCACAGGAGGCATAGGCAACAGGCCGCTGATGAATGCCAAGACGCTGAGAATACTCGAGAGCACGAAGACCATGATGAGTAAAAATGAAGCAGAGTATTATCCATCGGTAGGCATTTATACTACACCTCATTCGAGGGTTAGTGTACATGATATGACCTTCGATAGCACATGCGCCAGAGATCCCGTCCTGCTACAAAAGAAGAGGTTGCTAGTATCAGAACGAAAAACAAAACTAGGATCGCGGCTTGATGCTGCACAGAGCGCCGCCAGACGATTTGGAAATTGCGATAGAGTTAGACCCCCTATTGGCAGGAGGAGGCGCATAACGTGACTCGAAATCGTTACCAGCGGCATCAATCTGTTGCTTCCAAGATTCTCAAGACCAGAGATGGGCCAGACGCAAGATCTCCGTTTTGGGAAATCGATGTCGAAAGTCGTTAGAGCGGTGAGCACCATGGGCATGCGGATTCAGTAAGACATTGGAGATGTCAGGTACGTGCATGCCAGAATTGCAAAAATTGCTGCATGTCCTTGAGAGGCGTCCGAGGTTGCATATGATTGTGAAGGTTGTCCGAGTCGCTCGGAAACACGGATTTGGAACGCCAAAATTAAATGAGCGTGCATACGGAAGTAATCCGTGACGAATGCAATAGGTGCGATAAGGTTAGGAGGCCGAGGTGAAGGACGGAACTTCCTGGGACCTCAATCGTAACAGAAGAGCCAGGCTTGTCCGGAAAAGATCACCCTTGACCAAGTTATGTGATGACGTTTTTGGATAACATTAAGTATAGGCCACACCAGATTTACCTTGACTTGTATTTTTAACGATCATGCGTGCTTCTATGCTCCACGTGTACGCCTCGGTAGTGGCTGTATCAGCGCCTAGTGGTCACCGCACCGTGCGATGTGAAAGGTGCAGTACCGGAAGGAAACGGCATCACACGAGAAAGCGTTTCGGCTTCATCGTTCTTTCCCCGCACGATACATCTCACTCGCTCAATCCTACACAGTATCCTCGCTCGTTCTCATATTTTTCGCCCTCCCTCCACGCCCACTATCAATACATCCGAGAATGAATATCCGCACCGTATTCCAATTATATTTCAATTACCCATCCCAGCTGGGTCATCTACAATAGAGGTCATTCAACACTTAGCCTGTCGAGTTTGTTTTCCCGCCCACCCGGGGCAATCTCGCCAGCGTCCGAATCGAGCTAACGCTCGGCCCAGCCCAACCACTGTTTACTTGACCTCGTTGTTTTTGCGTTAGACGAAGCTGGATCGGTAAAAACAATATAACCTCCAACTTGCGACTTACTGTGGACATAGCCTCGGATCACAGATAGGTGACAAATGTATTGACATCGTTTGACGCTCTGCCAAGAGATCCCCTGCATGCATATGGCAGGACGACTAGCAAAGGCGACAAAGCAAGCACGGATCGTCACATGTGACTCTGCCCTCTAAAGGGGTTTCTTGGCAGCTCTGCAACAAAATAGATTTTAGGAATGTGAAAACGGAAACAAAGAGCCTAGAAGGGCACGTTTAGACTTGTGACCGGATAGTACTTGCTAGGTCGAAACTTGAACTGTATATTGATTCTGAAGAAGTGGCACAAGGCGAGAAAGGTGTAGCTAGGTTTTGCCCAAATTCCAATGTACGCAGTCCGCCGCCCATGCACGGCGCTTGGCTAGATCCCGTGTGTCAGATCAGTGTTATGTGAATCAGCGCTGAGCATCTGATTACACAGATCAAAGGCACTTACTTGCAATCCTAGCTCGTGCCCAGCTGACCACTGCTGGCAAGGTATGCAGCGCCTGTATCTGCCCAAACCTGATAATCTGTAACCTTGCATTCGTCGTCAAAGTCCAGCACATATGTAAATATCTCGTCCCAGCTCTGCTCTGAGCTCAACCAGGTGAATCTTGCTCGGCCCTTCACCGAAACTTTCTGGACTTCTGGATCGACGATATACTCTGAAAACTCCATTCTCTCAAAACTCAAAGTTGAGGCTATGGTTTTGAAGTAATCTCGTACTCCGTCATGTCCGACGAAGCGACGACCTAGAAATGGAGCAAGAATAGATAAACCATGCTCATATGCTGAGCACTGGTGTGTCGTAGAGAAATGCGTCATGAGAGCGTCCGGATCTTTCTTGGATGCGAAATCAATGCATAAGGATTTGGCAGCGTGAAGCAAGTTGTCTCTGGTTATGGTCATCGTACGGTATTATGATGGTGGTTAAACGTTAAACGTTGGTGGTTGGAGCACGTTGCTTAGCAAAGACGGCGAGCCTCAGACTCACACGTGAATTCTGACAACGGGGGTTCCTTTCTCTCATCTTCATTCACCTTTGAGGAGCCTCGCTGGCCCTCTAATATGCCGAGCGACCCGCCGATACTAGTGCCAGAGGAGGCTTTGAAACGCTCTAGAAGCAAATGCAGCAGCACCCTCTCGTGAGCGGACTACATAGCAAACTTGTAACTTTATGGTCGGAGGTGGCTAATGAACGCCAGGAATCATGCACAGCATACTTGCAGTCACAACATAGAGGAAGTAGTAAAGCGTACATCAAAGCGTATACTGCAGTACGAAAGTCAGATGCAGGAACTCAGCGTCAGTTGCTCTAATGTCCCGCTCAATGTATTGACACTTCCACTTCCCTTTAGACCAAGCTTACAGAAGGCTTGAGCAACTTTAGAGCTATGGACAGCTCGATGCAGGGCTCTCTCGATGAACTGAAGGTCAGCGATTGCCTTATTTTTAATAGTGACTGAAGTCGATAAATCTAATCACTGAGTAGAGAGACACACAGCATGCTAAGCATGCACTCGAGGAACATATACCATGCATTAACGAGGAACTTCACAAATCTCTTGTCTCCCTAGAAGAATTGTCACATACACTTCCGCAAATTCAATCACATGTGGCTGAAATACAACATATATACGATTCTGGTCGAGAGAAAGTAAGAGATTATAGCATTTTCCTATCGAAGATTTGACTCACCAGGAAAGATAGGCCAAGAATCTCGTGACAGATCTCAATTGGTTGAACACTGAGTGGCATGAGCGTTGGCGAATTATCATCTTCACGAATCACTCCCCGGTCTCGAGGTGGTGGACTGCCACAATGCGCATCTTGTTTGCTGTAACTTTCATAACATTCGGATGGATTACTTGGGTAGCAATTGGGGGTGCCTATACAGCTCACAGACAAAGGCTTGTCTGGGGGGAGAGGCTGATGTCTTAGATTCACGCTTTTCTCGGCCTCCTTGTAACTGTAAGTAAATATTCAATTGCTATACCTGTCTCTTTTGGTGACCTGCTAATCTCCAGCGTTGTGTGCAAGGGGATATGCAACAGCACATATTTAGGTTGTGAATCTCCTCTACGAATCCAACGGTCTCCTCACCCAAAACAGATAGTTGCATTCCACGGCACCCCAGGGGGTAGACGAGCGGGACATCAACTTCCATTCTCCGCTCCATGGAATATACATTATTCCTCGCACTTCCGCTTCTGATCGTGTGGGTAAACCATGAGCATACGTACGTGTTATCCACGGTCTGGGAGATGCATCAGAGCCGATATGACCAGAGTCTGTTGGGTTGCTGGAGGAGGAAGGCAAGGACCGATAGGTTTGGAAGAACGATATAAGTTCGGAAGGATTGATGAACTTTGAGTACGTGTGGGTCCCCACGGGCACCTTGCGGAGGACATATTCGGCGGCCAAAATTGTAAGGAAATAGGAGAGTGGCGTCCTTGCAATTGTGGAAAGGAAAAGATGGCCTCCAGGCTTATGTCAAGCAAAAGTTACGCTTGTATTTGACTACGGTGTCCGGAATGAGACTTACTTTCACCAACTGGGCACAAGCAGAAAGGAACGCCACCGGGTTATCTACGTGTTCAACAACCTCCATCGAGCATACGGCGTCGAACCGCTTGGGCTCTTTGACAAGCTGCTCTACAGAAGTATGACGATATTCCAATGAATTGCCCAGAGAAGACAGCTGGGGATCACCACTAGCATGTGTCGAAGCTATCCCAATGTTGGATTCAGATGCATCAATGCCAAGAGTTCGTGCTCCCAGCCTAGTGAGACTCTGGATCATAGAATGGTTCGATTCGATAAGTCATATTGAGCAATGAGACTGATGGCGAACCTCTGAGAGCAAACCGCCTCCACAACCTACATCCAACACGTCCATACCAGCCAACACGGCGCATTTCGACTGCAACTCTCTCCTTGCATCCTCTCCTTGGTCTTCGTACGTGGCCTCAAGGAGTTTTTCCCGGATGTAGCGCACCCTTACAGGGTTCATTCGATGCAACAGCGAGAACTCCCCTTGCTCATTCCACCATAGTGAGGAAAGCCGAGAAAAATGGGCAATCTCAGCTGCATTGACGGTCGAGGACGTTGCTGCCGCCGACTGGAAGCATCGAGTGTTTTGGCAGAAGCGCAAGAGACGCGTTGTCGGTCGGACAGCTGCAGACAACATGAAAGACTCAAGCTTCAAGCTCAAGAGTCTGACAGAGCTGTTCAAGCTCGGGAGCAATTGCAACACTATCTTGGTCAACCGAACGTGGCATTGGCTGCCGTTCCTCATGATCATGATCTCAGAGGCCATCGTGGCCCCGGCACATTTGGAGTTGCACAGATGTGTCTTTCAAACTACTGACAATCCAGGAGTCCGATTCCTGCCAATACGATGGCTGGACGCGAGCGGCGTACCGCCGGGCCAGTTAGACTGGCCAGTGATGTATTTGTGATATGTGCGTAGACATCAACATGATCCAGCTTCGCATGTTCTTTACCTAACACTTGCACTGAAATCCTTGCGGAGGAACCGTTCCTTATACTATCCGAGTCACTGGTACCTGGAGAACTCGCTGGCATGTCTTTTAACAATATTCATGTGGCACAGTTTACACCTTATTGAACTGGAACACCACGTAGAATTCAGCTCTTCAAGTGTAGAACACCGCTATCGACATTGGCATTGCGTTATTCACTGATGACTATGTTTGTAGTAGTGCCAGCTACGCCGATCCTTGACAAGGCAGCGGAAAATAGAGTGCATTGTCTAGTGATAAGTGATAGTACGGTAGGCATAGAAATCAGATTCTGCATGCGTGTCATATGAGTATGCAATAATTACAAGAGATAATATACACCGCGCGTGTTCATGGTTCTTCATGCTTTAAGCTTCAGTTTCATGTCCTGACTCTTGCATAAAGACCCATTTATCGCCCACGCGTTGCATCCGACCCGAACCCACGTTTTCGTCTGGATCTACATCGAGCAAGTTGTCTCTTCCCATTTGCGCTAGATCCATGCAAGCTTGCTCTTCACCCTGACCACTATCCTGGCCGCCTGCTTCTCCCAGGACTATGGCGTCTGAGTGTTGAACATCTTCATCCCAGCCCTGTCCACCGTCTCGGTATTTGCCGTGCCCAAGGGTATCGCCACTGCGTCCAGCCATCAATCCTCTGCCTCGCCCTCTACCTCCTTGCCACCCACGTCCAGAACCTGCGGCGGACTGGGCACTCCAACTCGGATCCTGCCACTGACCAGCTTGCACAGCATTTGTCTGACCAGTGAATGCAACTACACCGCCTGTCATTACAAACTGCATGAGTTCTTCTTGAGACGGTGTATCGCCGTAAGTACTGAGCCACATCTTTCCCAATGCTTCCCACGATGAAGGCGCAGTGAAATCAAACGTTGTGATATCAAAATGATCAAGCCCTGGTTGCTGCAGCGCTGACGCCGAACTCGGTTTACGAGGTTCGACTTTCTGTGTAGATGTACTGGCAGCTACCGAGGGCAACTGGTCTGATACAGGTACACGATTTTCGGGTGCCGCCGTACGGGCAGGGACTACAGATGGAACCGTCGGAGGCTGGGGTTGAGCATCGACTGATGCAGCTCTAGGAGTGGTAGAAGACGGTCTAATATCTCGTCCGAACTCGTCTTTTCCCGCTTCAGGGAGTTTTGCCGAAGTTTGATTTTGGGCTACATCTCTGCTTGCTGCAGTTCTCTGAGGCGGACTATACGGTCTTGGTCGCTGCCCATCGAATCTGCGTGGGCTTCGGGAACGGCTATTTCTTGGCCGTGAAGAAGAATTCCAATCTCTATCTTTGAAACGATCGTGGTCACGGTCATCCCATCTACCCCGACCCCGACCACGACCACGAAAACCACGCTGGAATCCCCCGCGTGAGTTGGAATCATGGAATCCATCACGCTCTCTCCCATGATCAAATTGGCTTGAACGACTCTGCCAAGAATCTCTACCAGGATCATGCTGAGTGTGCGACTGTGATGAAGGATAAGGTTGTGGTTGGTTGTTTAGATGAGATGGAGGACGCTGTGGCGCAGACAGGAGTTGTGTATTTCGCAACGGGAGCTGGATTGCAGATTGTGATGGAGGACCACCATTTGGGACGTTTGCCGTGAAAGCCAACTGTTGCAACAACGCTAGGTGCCCAGCGAGGGGTGGGGCAGACACAGTGTTTGGTGGTGTTTGGCTGTATCGAGAGGTTCAGAAGAGTTCCAATTCGCGACTGTAATAAGTAGCTTACATGCGTGGCTGTCCAGCGGCTTGTGCAGCTTGTCCAAGCAGGGCCAGAAGTTTGGACTGCACCGATTCTGGAAGAGGAGGCGTTGGACCCTGGGACGGGGTAGCCAATGGAGGGGTGGTAATTATCGGCAATGCTTGAGTTTCGACTCGTGCGATGGGAGGCGTTGAGTTTTTCACGGATTCTAACATAAAAAGCAGCCAAATCGTATTTCAGTGTAAATTCTCATTTCATTTGAGGCAGAGACGCCAGCAAAAATAGCTATTACACAAGCAGAAGAAATACTTAGCGGACACATGTTTGATTCGTGATATGCACCTTTTCGAGAGTCCATCATCTCCCTCAGCCGTGTCAAAACCGGCGAAGGAAAAGTATTTGATTTGGTCCATATATCCAGAACTTTCTTCGTCTTTTCCTGTTATTGAATAAGTAAGACCACGTTGCATCCGACGTAGAGGAGAGAACAGCAAAAATAATGTGGTGAAAATACGCGTTAGTGACGGTATCGGTACTCGAAGATATGAGCCAGTTAGTGGAGGGCACATTTACAGCAACATCGAGCTACGCAGTCACGTTGCTTGGAGTACCATACAAAATCACCGACGACATGGATGCCGCAGATATAGGCCTGACCTGTGTGTGAAGTGGATCTACTCGCGCTTACCTTCGCTTCCGCATTATCAAGCGTAATCATGTCCTGGAACAGACCATCCAGAACACCTTCAACTTTGAGTAGAAAGGTGGCAGCGTTTCCGGTGCTTGAATTTATGTCACCAGTGATACCGCGCTTGGTGGCATAACTTCGGGCAGCACGTGCCAAAGCATCAAACGCATAGAGACTTGACACCTTGGCAGTACTAGACAGTGACTTGTGAGTGCGATAAAGTATCGCAACAAGCTTAGTGTCATGCTGTCAATACAAAAAGTCTGAGTAAACAAGCCTTCAAGTATTATTTTGACACGCACCTCTACGGACTTTAGTGTAATGTCAGTCAATTTCGTCATCTTGGAAGCTGACAGTCGTTTTGCATTGACGACATCTTTCAGCGTGCTCTCGAAATCCTGGAAGTGTGTAAAAATAAACATCATCGACGGAATAAAACGTTGGCTGGACTAACTTCAAGTTGGCTCATCACTCCCAAAGCATCGGGCGCTCTGAAACAGTACTAGTGAGGTTAGTGAGAATGTTGATGGTAAACGGTGTCGAGCCTGACTGAAGCTTCTGTTTGTTCATGTTGATTCGAAGGGCGTTTATGCACCTTGCCGCTTACACTCATTTTCCCATCACCTCGGATGTCAACTAGAGCTAAAGCGACACTGGCTGCGTCGCTCGCATTTTCCTCCTTCATTATATGGGCAGTTCATTACCAGCAGTCAAGGGAGCGAGAGGTGATCACTATTGTTGCTTATAATTTCATACCTGACATTCCACCTAATAGGACATGTTCCAAGGTGTCATTCGTGATGACGCTCGTCGATTAGAGAAAATGCGGCAACGCGAAGAAGAGTTTCGTGAATCCTCTCGCAGGCGAGAAATGTATGAACAAGTACAGAATGTCGTATCAAGCGACCAGTCAAACAAGACTTGACTGGCGGTCCGAAGACGGCCATAGGCCACTGCCTAGAGGTATCGCATCATTGCCGCACTGGTCACCGCCGAAGCGATGTTGGATCCTATTGGGTTACCCATAACTCCGAGTCACTCTACGCCAATGCATATCCTGTTTCCAGTCTTAGGGGGCGGAAATTAGAGTTGGTATTTCATCAACCCCGTCCCACGGATAAACGTGCACTAATGAGTAATGGATTCACCCTCTCGTAACTGCCTACATACGTTCGCATTCATTGTCCTTATCAATTTGAAACTCGAGCCCTGACCGCAGGCCGCATTCCCACCCGTGGTGCTCTTGAATCTGATATGTAGGGTCTAATCTACCAAGTAGCATGAGCTTGTGTCTTCGATGAGTCAACGGTAAGCAAGCTACAAGAGGCTCTTCTTTTAGAATCTTTCTAGTTTTTGTGAGTGAATAGTACGGTGATCCAATCCCTGATTTATTACAATATTTTAACCCAGTGGACAAGTACATGACGAAGTACAACGATTACCCATACAAAACCAATCTACGTGAATATTCTACAACTCTAGAAATCACCACTCGTCACAATGATCTAGTCTTGAATTTGCACCTTGATTGCGCCTTGAGAAGGGTCTGCAGCAACATGGAAGGCAGAAAACAGCTTCCTCTAGTTTAAACCGATGCGTAACCAGAGGCTTCAAGTCAATCAGACCGCCAGCGACAAGGCGAATAGCTTTAGGGTACTGATCGCATATGGTAAGGATCACAAAATTCTTGCAGAAAAGGGGCATACCTGGTTAGCATATCTGTATTGGAAACTAACATCTATCTCATTGGCACTCAGGTGCATGAACGGGAACTGAAAATGACTAATTGAGCGTGACCAATTTGGGGTGTGCGGCGTTTACATACCACTTGTTCGTTCTTGCCGACACCAATAATGAACACCTTGCCACCAAATTGCGCTGCCTGGGTACCATCCAGCATAAGCACGACTCTTGAAAGCACAGACGACTTCAGGGTTTCTTACATGCACGGCAGTATGCACACTGCTTTCCACACCACTGCACTCGATCGCAACTTTCACAGGGCCATCAGCGGCGGCTTTGATCTTTTGGGCAGCGTCCTTTGGCGTCAAGCCACGCTCTACCAATACCGTACGCACACCAGGAACGAGCTTCTTGGCGAAATCGAGGCGGCTCTGGAAGAGATCCGTGATGACAATAGGCTCGGCGCCTGCAGCACGTGCCGAAAGGAGAGAAACAAGACCAATCGGTCCGGCGCCACTGACAGCCAATCAATGGATCATAACATGAAATATCCGAATGCGAACACACCAAATTAAAGTGGAGTCACCAAGGCGGAGACCAGCACGTTCGATGCCTGCGAGAGCTACAGCCAGGGGCTCGCAAAGAGATCCTTCTTCAAAGGAAAGAGAATCAGGCAAACGGTGCAGCCACTCAGCGGGGTGCAGGTGATAGCGAGTCAGGGTTCCTAGAAGGTAGCTAAGTATCAATAAAAGCTGGATGTTCGGGGTTCCTACCATGGAAAGGAGGAGTGGAGAAGAAGACAACATCAGGACCTGTAAAGAGATAACACGTTACGGACTGCCTGATGATAGGTTAAAGTGGAAACGTACAAGCGTTATACCTACCGACCCTGCAATGGTCACAAGAAGACTTCGAGCAAGGCACGCCGGCCTCGATTGCAACGCGGTCCCCTAGGTAGTGCACGGTTAGTTCTTCACACATTATCAGCATTTTGGAACAGGTAACTTACCGACTTTCCACTGAGTCACACCTTCACCTATTTCAATGACCTCTCCTGCGGACTCGTGTCCGGAGCCACACTGTACTCGAGATCAGATGCTATTTTGAGCGATTCGTAATAAAGCCAGACCTCATCAGTCACAACCATGGAATCACCGACGCGTCCATGCTTCCAGAAATGAACGTCACTCCTGCCAATCATCGCAGATCGCGTTAACACAATGTTCAGGATGTTGTAATACAGCAACGAACCCGCAAATCCCAGTCGAACGGACGTGCACCAGCACTTGTCCAGGGCCTGGCGTTGGGCGCGGCTTTTCCACGAGGTGAATTTCATGATTGGGGTTATAGAATGCCGCAATATTTGCATTAGGTGCAGGCACCTCTCCAGATGCAAGAACGCGGAAGGAAGGGTCGTCGAGGACCTTGCGAGGACTATAAGTATCTGCGTATCCACCGTCGGGCATCGTGATCTGGATGGGAGTTAGATTGTGAAGATGGCTTTTGGGAATCTGAATTTATGGCGATTACATGGTGGGCACCTGAGATTTATATGCATTCTGAAGTATGGTACCTTACGGCAAAATTGTGGCCACCAGGCAGAATGTAACACACACACGAGTTCCGGTCCGAAGGTAATGTCATAGGTCCCCATCGAGTTAGCCTCAATGTTCTCAAGCTATTAACCGAGTGAATTAAGACTCGCCGAGTCGGACCAAGACAATATCCCCGGACTTGCCCCCAGACTGTCCATTAGCTAGACTTTCTGGACGACGGAGGTTGATTGCCAATTGAGGTACAAATGCTGTCTGCAACAAAATGGATCTAACTTTCGAGATTACACAAACCCAGTGCTTCTATGGCATCGAAAAGGTATTGATCCAGGGCGGGCGAGCGAGCACGCCGCGGAGCAGATGATGATCCAATGGTACAAGTGTGTCATATGATGTAAAGAGGTAGCAAGCAAGCGCATGTATTCCAATCACGGAGCTTGTCCGCCAGTGAAGCGCTTGAACGTGAATCTATATTAGGATAGAGTCAGGGGTGTTAGCTGTGAATCCAACCCACACGACTTACCCCAAGAAAGCAAGATCCTTGTCAGATCCGACTTGTTCGACAACTTCAAGTTGTTCAGGGAGGTTGCCAAGTTCATCAGTGGGGAAGTATGTGGTATCTGTAATCGATGATAATGCGGGTACGAAAGGCGGGGCGATATAACGTAGATTATCCCAGTCGGCTCCATAGAAGAAGGGATGATTCTTGATTTCATTGACCCCCAAACGTGTATTCGCCCATGTCATCATGCTAAGGCGAAATGAGTAAAACGCCTTCGTTTGTACGTAGGCAGCAAAGTCGCACCTGCGAACCAGATGCTCAGCTTCCTGGCTAAGGTGGACTTCCTCCGGGAAGTATAGGTAGTTCGGCCATTCGATGATTTTCTTGTATGTATCACTTGGGTTTTCAGAGCAGAATGGCGCGTATCCAACCACACACTCAAAAAATATTGCACCCAACGACCACCAGTCACATTCCTTGCCGTAACCTTTCAGCATGAACACCTCTGGCGCAATATAATCCGGCGTTCCTACGAAGAGCTCAAGCAGCGCACAAGGATTTGTCATCTGGTCACTTACCGACAGTGGAGTATGCCTGGTAATACAAGAATCAATGTCGATACGAAGTAGAACGCGAGGAGAGACTAACCAGTTTTCGTCGGTTGGCCTTCCAAGTAGCAATTTGCTCGCGACTCATTGTAAGGTGGATAGCATTAACCTGGACGCTGTTTCGGGCGGGGTCCCTTTGTTTGTCTTGGTCTATCAAACGCTTGTAGAAATCTCCATCTGTAGTCTTGTGCAGACCAGTCGAGAGACCAAAATCGGACAGCTTTAAATGCCCATTCTTGTCTATCAAGATGTTATCAGGTTTGATGTCCCTAGAACGAAAATTTATATGCTTATAATGAAGATGGTAGGTTATTGCGCACCGATGAATGTACCCGAGGTCATGGACAGCCTCAATAGCAAGAATGCACTCCGCCATGTAGAACCGCGTCACATCTTCCGAGAAAACATCGTATTTCATGAGCATGGTCATTAGGTCGCCTCCAGGGAGAAACTCCATGATGAGATATAAGTATAGTGGATCCTGGAAGGAATAAAAGAGTTGAACAACCCAGGGTGATGTAGATTCAGCAAGCAAGTCACGCTCAGCCCGAATATGAGCAAGCTATAAGACCATTCCATCAGCACAAGGCGACAAGCATAGATTGTGCATACAGACCTGATCTCGCTTTAACATCTCAGCCTTTTGGAGGGTCTTCATGGCATAGACTTTCCCTGTGTCTACTTTCTGAACCAATCTTACCTACGCATTAATCAAGTGGTGAGCTCAGAGAATAATTCAATGAACAACCTGGCATACCTCACCAAACGCACCCTTCCCAATGACTTTTATTGTGCGAAAGTCCGTGAGACGGATCTTTGTCCGACGCAATCGTAAATGCTGCGACTCCAGCTTGCGGTATTTACGAATTTCGCGTTCTTTCGACTCATTAGGTATCATCGCTTGATTAAGTCTGTGCTCAAGTTCTGTGCGCCTGCAAGTGACATCGGTGACCGTTAACTGAAGAAACGAACAAAGGACCGGCTGGCGCACCTCCCATTGCGTTCGATCGCGGCATCAACAGCAAGCTTGTAGTAAGATTCAAGCTTTAGCTTTGCAGCAGTTGCACGAGATACGGCATCGGATGAAAAGCTATCAGTGCTCCGCTCGAAATAAACGTAGTCGTCGCCTTTCCTCTTGCTTGCTGAACTTGTGGAAGCAGGAGAACTAGACCGTTGCTGGCCTGATGGTGATGGGGAAAGTTGGGTGGACTGGGTAGAGCTGCCACCACTGGTGTTTGAGCTGACTGAAGCTACGGTATCTTCGGACTCGCGTTGGCTCATGATGGTTCAAAGGAAAGCGAAAGTACAACCGCTATGGCTAAAAGTCGTGGTGGAAAAATCAAACACAGCGAAATGGAGAACGTAAAAGATGTCTCGGAAACACCAAGTTTGTGTTGTTGTTATGGAAGGTATGTAAACTTCCAATAATTAAATTTAGTTTGAATAAAACTACGATTATGTACAGCGAAAAGCACTAAACCAGGCCTGGACCACGATGTCAATTCAAGGTACTAGCAGCTCTTGGTAGCTAGTGGCCCAAGCATCGTTAAACTCTGAAACACGAAAAAAGTACTTGTCGTTGTGCGATTCCGACAGGTGTGTTGGCTGTGAAAACATGTTTCTATGGAACCATTGCTACGTACTGTGAAAAATTACACGTGGTTGTCTGCGCGCGAGAGTGATGAGATGCGGGGCGCG